TAATTTAGTTTGTACATTATTATCGATACATCGATGTATTTATTAACAGAAGAAAAGTACGTTTGAGTGTGTTTATCAATTACCTTATTATTTTATTATTCTGCACTAATCTTTAATTTATTATTTTTCCAAATTAAAATTTAATAAATGTAATCTGTTCTGATATAAACAGACACTTTTAAACATAAATATTGATGTAGGTACCATCTTTTGAAAATCATTTAAAGTTATATTTTCTTGGTGTAATAGCCATATAGAAAAAAAAGTATTAAAAAAACCCATGAAATTACAAAAAAAAAAGAAGTAAAGTAAACAGTCAAAATATTATTTGATACTTTTATAGCTAATATTACGAAATATTCGCTTGGGTAATTTATTATTAGACAATAGTACGGATACTATCTCACTCTTGCACTTCAGCCTGCCTAATTTAGGTCGGCAATACATGTGAATCATGTTATAAGTGGTTTTGACTAGGGTCTTGACGACTAGACGCTTTCACGGTCTACCCTACTTGGGAACAAATACGCGGATACGGAACAATTGTGTTTTCGGGTGAGACAAACAGTCCCGAGCACAGAGCAACTGTGCCACCGAGTTTTTTTTATTACATAATAATGTAAATGTTAAATCACTTTTCGTCTTCATTTTCAGGTCGGAATGACCCTCTGCGTGCCTTTTCGTAAGTATTTAAAAAAAACTAGCAACATAGTGATATGAAAACCGTGAATTAAAAGAAGATTGAAGTATGTAGTTTTAATATGTAAACAAACGAATAATATTCTCATATATAAAACGTTATGAACTATTATTTGTGTAAATATGTTCCTATGCATGAGTAAATCAATTATTTTGAAACTTTTCCAATTAACATATACATAGAAAAAAAAAAAAGGAATTTAATTTATTATTTATCAAATAGGTAGCAAATATCAATTAACGCTATTAATGTCACCTATTTTTCTTTTCTTCCAATCCTTTTCAAATTTTCCCTTTTAAAATATTCTCTCATTTCTTCTGAAATGCCACATTTAATGACGTCTGTAATAATAAAGTTCGAGACTCCTTACATACAAAATGCGAAATTGATATAAAAGAAATGTAAATTTAACAACACCATACGGTCATAATGATTTTAAGAAAAAAAAGTGTATAAAAACAACAAAACTTTTAAAATTAAAAATTATCATACACACACATAAAAGCTTCCGAATATTTCTTCTTTTGTGAATCATTTTATGAATTTCTTCATTTTTTAATGAAACACCCACGAAATTACTTCATGAAGATCGAAAGACCGCTGACCAGATAATAGTTCCGCTTTAATATAAGGGACATTGGGGATTACACGTAAAAGTGACAAATAAGTCTGGTCTCCCATAGCTTCATAAATCATCGCATCTTGGGTTTTTTATTGCAGATAACATTATAGATACCAGATAATAGTCCCTGTAATAATGCAATGGATTGAAACAGGTAGTTCTAACCATCAATCTAAATGCATAAAATTGCATGCATGTTACAGTTTTGTCAAATAATAACCGTCTTCTCCTATTACGACTATTAAGGGATATTGTAGTGGATCATACAATCGGTGTAACTCAGAGACCCTTTTAAGTTGGCCGTGTCTACCTAGCATCAATATATCACTGGGGCCTTTTTAGAGTTCCGTACCCAAAGGGTAAAACGGGACCCTGCTGTGTCTGTCTGTCCCTCTGTCAATAGGATGTATCTCATGAACCGTGCTAGTTACCTACACAGTTGAAATTTGATCTGGGTGTTTGTTTCCCAAGGAGGGTTGACGTCAGGCCAATATAGCCAAAACCGCTAACAACATGATTCATGTTGTGCCGACCCCGCCTAGGTGGGATAGGGGCAGGAGGATGATGATGACTTGTATACTTGTCCCTCTATTTTAAAAGTTCGCGTCAAACGAAGTCATTTGAAAGAGGCTATTGTACTTTCGGATGTTGGTTAAAAATGTCCAGATGCTGAATGTTTAAATACCATTTGATTCATCGACCCATTTTTTGGCAGAACACTTAGAGCAGATCTTATTCGTGGCTCCGATTTGGACGGAAGACTGTTGAGCATAATGCAAGAAAGCTGATCTGTTACTGTGAGCTAAAACTCGATTACGAACTCGTGTTTTTTTTGTATCGGGTGGGGGGGGGGGGGGATCTTCGAAAGATACCCTGAAAAAGATAACCTTACATGACAGGATTATGACTCCGGGATCTCCCATAGAACGCACCGGTGTCCCTCGGTACTACGCCTGAGCCACGCCTCGGAGAAGGATAAACCTTCTCCGATTCCCTCACCCTCTTGCAGCGGCACGAGACTACTTCGTGCTGCTGCCCATCCGTGTCCCCTTTTAGTCGCCTTTTACGACAGGCAGGGGATACCTTAGCCTATTCTATGAGCCCGGGACTACAGGGCTAGTGTGAATTTGTAAGCCGCTGCAAACACTCTACTTAACTCTCACCGACTTGTAAGACGAGTTTCCGGTAAAGATTCCTTCATTACGACTTATTTTTGATGCCCTCGCCTGGGAACTACTTCTATCTTTTGGCCATTTTAAAATGATAAGAAAATTAAACTGCCTTTGTACTTAATTATCTGCTAACTGTTGAACAGGAATTACCAGTATAAATGTGATTGAAAAATTATAAGAACTACTAAGTCAGTCATTTGGCTGTTTGGATAGTTAAATTACAATATACTAACATTTTTAAACTTGTGATATCTTTCGAATGGAATGTCCGAATTTAATAATTCAAAAAGTTTTATAAAGGTATTGAAACAGTCTTAAATATGAAGTAATTTATTTTTATAAGGATTAATACCAAGATACAAATAAACAGCCTTTGTTAGCGGCGGCATTTCAATTAAATTTTAAAATAAAAGAACACTTATTGTGGCATAACCATAACAGTTAGACATATGCTGTAGCGACACTTTTTGTAAATAATGATGTGTTCTGCAAAGTCGTAGTACCTTATTTTATTCTACCATCAATAGTTTTCGCAGCGCACGCGATGTGAAGAATATTTTAGGTAATTTTTGTACACCTTGGGTTATTGAAGTTTTAGTAAGGATCCCTACTTTTTTAAAATATAATATAGCCGATATCATCCGAGGATAATGTAGCTTCCCAACAATGAAAGAATTTTTCAAATCGGTTCAGTAGTTTCGGAGCCTATTCAATATATACAAACAATCAAATCTTTCCTCTTTATAATATTAGTAAGATTGTACTACTGATTGATTTTTTTCTACATATTTTAATTTTCTACATATTTTAAGATTGTACTGTGCATTTTACTGTAAAAATATTATTAACTTTTGACCTATACTTACACAAATTATTAATATTCGAAATATTGCGTCATTCACATGTATAAAATCAAATAAATGAAAAGCAAATGGCGAAATTCAAGTTTATTTAGAACTACTTCGAAACTTACCTTTCCAATGATACAATAGAAAATCTTAACAAAAACAACCCATTTTATTATATAAATACTATTACAAATTAATTATGTTGCCACAGATCCGTTTGGATTTATTGAAATTGACATATCGAGCAGTGCAAAAGAGAATATAACAACTACGTTTTTGTTTTGGGTCAGTGTTCCATTTCGCGGTCACTTCGAAGAAAATCAGTGACGCTGCAATACTTCATAACGTAGAAAATTCAAAACGACAAAATCCGTAAAAAAGTTCCATTTCACAATGAATAAATATGCTCTCTTTTTTTAGTTGGCCAAGGTGCCGGCTACGGTGCGGGATTCGGAGCGGGAGTTGGTTACAGCAAGAATGGTAAGAAAAAAATATGTATATCTTTATCCTCTTTATATTATTTTATAACAATTCTTTTATTATATATCTCGGAGAAGCATTGTTCTAGTTGAGATCGCCGTTAGTGGTTGCGGGCTTAGTGGACGTCATCGGGGTAAAATGCGAGCACAAAACACAATGGTCACAGCTTTTTTTTAAAATTTAGATTAAACAATGTTTTCGCTTGATAACGATGTCGAAAGAAAACCTTATAGTTAAAACCGAGCTGCAGGTTCAGGGCACCGATCTTACTTTAACTAACGAATAAACTGTCAACGATCCCACTCGATCCAATCGCTTTCACTCCAACCAATGTGTCTCCCACGTCCCTTATGTCAAGATGGCGACTCTAGGCATGTGCTCTGCTCTGATTGGCCATTACGTAGTTTACAATATTCATACCGATTTAAACCTTTTAATTTGAAAAACTAAGTTTAATAGGGAACTGTAACCTTTTGGATTGGAATGGAAGATGAGTCGGTATTATATGAATCCGTGATATGAGTACATGAACGCCTTTTCCTACGCCCGTGAGAATTATGGCATCAATAATGTTTCGCACACGTTGTCTGAAACGACGCCTCGTCCCGTTTTATTTAATTTTCCATTTTCTTTCTTTTCTCTCTTTCATTACATAAGCGATGACGGGCACACCTACTTTCAACTGTAGCTTGTGTGAGTGAAACGCTGCTACTATAACATTAAACTTAACGTTCAACGTAATATTCTTTTTGTCAGTTACCTATAACTCCAAGATAAAACCGTTATCAAATGCATTTATTGTGTTTTACACAAACAAAGAGTACCTACTAGCACAGGGGATAAAATTTTTAGTTATTTCTCTTTTGTTACGCTAAACAAAGATCTTACATACGTTCGTATGTCGCCTGAACTCGCGGTGTTCCACCGTCAGGGCGATAATCGTTTGAACGACGTGCAGGCGGCCATCCGATAACACTGATGCAATAACCAATACGAAGACACTTTAGAATGTGTGTGTGCGCACGAATGGTTCGTCCCATTCAAATGTAAAAAATTGATATCAAAAATGATATAGGTACAAAGAGATAAGGTCAAAACTTATGTACTCTCTTTTTTAGCTGACGGTTACAGCAGCGGCGGTGGCATTGGATTAGGAGTGGGCTATTATTCAGGAAGCAATGGTCAAGGTGGATACAATCAAGGTGGAAACAATCAAGGTGGAAACAATCAAGGTGGAAACGATCAAGGTGGATACAATCAAGGTGGAAACAATCAAGGTGGAAACGATCAAGGCGGATACAATCAAGGTGGAAACAATCAAGGTGGAAACGATCAAGGCGGATACAATCAAGGTGGAAACAATCAAGGTGGAAACGATCAAGGTGGAAACGATCAAGGTGGAAACGATCAAGGCGGATACAATCAAGGTGGAAACAATCAAGGTGGAAACGATCAAGGTGGATACAATCAAAGTGGAAACGATCAAGGTGGAAACGATCAAGGTGGAAACGATCAAGGTGGATACAATCAAGGTGGAAACAACCCAGATCAAAACTACACTCCAAACATCCCAGGGCCCACAACCCCGGCTCCTTGCTGGGATTAACCCCGCAGGTGAGGGCGCTCAATTTCTCACGTTGTCACCAATCATCACCATCTAGTCATAAGTCATCACCAATTCCTAGCAACCAGCGCGTATTACCACGCAGGGACGGTCACTTTTCGCGGTGCGATGATCTTAATACCAGGTTACGGAGGAACTCAATGTAAAATTGGACCCGTAACATCGGAGTTTACTCCACGCCGGCTGCTGTGAGGCCGTTGTACTTCTCCGGTTGACTACCACTGCACCAGTTATACGATGAATAGCAATGAATTAATTGCAAAGTACCATATACCATGAGTGCGGTCGAGCAACGTCGTGACGAAGCGTTTAATATACAGCGTGTCTTTACCATCGCGACAATAAATGAACACACATATAGAGGATAACTTTTTAAAATTGTATTAAAGATTTACATTCTTTAAATATTAATATTTACCGAGTTAAAAAAAATTCCAAAACAAAGAATTTTAGAACAACCTTACGTATAAAACTGTAATTTAAAGTTCATTTGTACAGGTCACAAAGCATATGAATGGGTTGAATGAATTTAAAAGAGACAAATCATACTGTTAGAAGGAGAGACTTGTAATGCGGCGCTGTGGCTACGAATGAAAAAGTCTCTGAATGTATGAATCAGTCAGTTGTGGTTGTATAGGATGTTACAAATTTTGTTTCTTTTTTACTTAATTAGTTAGTTTGAAAGATTTTTAATTATGGATTTTTTTTAACGTTAATATTTTTTATGATTATTGGCAAGTAGCGTTAGACGTGTGTTCATTTATTGTCGCGGTGGTAAAGACACGCTGTATATTAAGTGTGCGTATTCATATCACCCTCTGTTACGATCAGAGCGCCCGCCACGATGGAAAGCGAGCTGGCGGTTCACCTGAGGTTGGTCTCAACATAAGCGCCACCCATGGAAATTAGCAACAGCCGTAGGGATGCACAGGCGTTCCCGACGTTTAGCGTGCTTAGCCCCACTACAATAAATGTTTGCCACTGTAAAGTAAAACACGGCCGTTGTTTTAGTTTACTGTGGTAACTATCAGAACTATATTTACTCACTAGTTTGTTGTCTTGTGTTACAGATAACCGTACACCGGCTTCCAACAATTGGATCCAGTTCAAGTTAATGTGTTTTTTTTTTTGCAATTTCCTGAGTAACTATTATATCAATTCGAACGATTTTTATTTCATTTACCTCTGTTACCTTTAATATGTGATACGTAGGATATGTTCAATCAGGGACACTAACGGTAAAGCAACTTAAAGGCGAAAATCGTCTGAACATTTCGTACGCCTTAAGACGATGGCGCGGAAACGATAGCCAACAGGATGCAGCTTTTAAATGTGTTTGAAAAAAGAAGGTGCGGGCAGTGCAGTAACAGAGTATTTAGAAATAATGAATTCTTCGGTGAAAGGAAGGTACTTTTGCGCAATGCACATTTCAGTGTGCTGGATTGGTAAAGAAACAAGAATGTCGTGAAGACAGAAAGAAATCGGTTTATTTTGAGACGTTCTGTACAGATATTTTCTTATGTAAATTATTCATATTAAATAAACGGTCTTCTATAACTGCAGGCTCCTCCTCTTCCAGGCTGCAGGGTTTCTTCTTTCTTGCTGACTTCTTCTAGTTGCTTGTTCCACTAGTAGATCTTGATGCTCGTCGACTGCGATGATGCCCCGAAACGCCGCTATATTTGTATGTTCCTGTGGGAATTAATTCCTGCTCTCTGATTGGTTGTCATATTGGTGGCCAATCAGAGAGCTTACGTTTTTTATTTGGCACCCCCGTGGTGCGTTACCTTAAAGAATCTAGGTTTATTAGCTAGATTACAAAGCGGGAAGTCGATGGATGCAGTTGGCTCAGGATCGTACTTCATGGCAGTCTGTGGGGGAGGCCTATGTTCAGCAGTGGACTCAAACAGGCTGCAATGATGATGATGATGATGAAGCAAAGTTTTAAGCAAATATCTCAATTTATGTTACATGAACTAATTATTAAATTACTTATACAAAGACTAGTCTACTTATCTTAATTTTCTTTTCGTGGTTCACTAATAAACTACGTTATCCCGCACATTCTCCCGCCGTGCAACTGAGTTGCATAGCAGACAATAACAGATCAAGATCAACAGATCACTAACAAATCAAAAAGGTCAGTTCGCACGCGGATAAAATAAAAACGCGAACTAATAAAATTAAAGAACAAAATGTAAATCAAAAAATCAAAATAAACTTTTAATGCGGTCTTTCATTCACGCAATTCCGTTTCCGATCCTGGCTGATCGAACCCGACTCAACCCTTGTTCTGTTCGAGTCGATGCGAGTAAGATGCAACACCTTACGAACGGCGCGCGCGCGTGTAACGTAACTTTGCATTTCGGAACAAGTCGTGAGGCCCCCGCGTATAACGTCCGGTTTGCGTTCGGACGACCGAGTTGATTCGAGTTGCTTAAAACTGAACTCGAGTTGACTCGTTTAAGGTTTGACTCGAGTTACTCGAATCAAATAACTCGAGTCGAACATTTCAGTATATATGTCTTATCTATGGTCTGCTGCGTCCCTGCGTGTTGTTATCGTCACCGCCTTTGTTTTCCGTTATTTTTTTGGACTTTTGCTGCCTATTAGTTAACCCTGCTTGTTTTGCGGACTGATCCATCGACTTACTATTGGTACTTGGTTCGTAAATCTGTACCACAATGCCGCGTAATCTCTCTGCTGATGAAAGAGAAAGAATCATCGTTTTGCATCAGGAAGGGCTCAACATATCGCAAATTGCGGATGCACTTAATGTGACGGTGAGTACCTAACATATTTTATGTATAAAAGAGTAAAGGCTACGCAAATTGCGTACTTTATAATGCAATGAAAAAAATTAAACTTAAACGATATACAAAAAACGGCGGTCACGTATATTGTTGTCGTAGGTATTAAAAAAAATAATTAAAACTACTGATTTTTTGGCAACAAATTGTTGCTTTCAACATAATAAATAAATGAGCTTTTTTAAAAAATGAAACATTTTAAACTATAAAAAACGTTGCCATTATTACATGTAAACTGTAAAAATCAATATTGCCTATGTACTGTTACATGCATTGGTGGTGTTCCATTTAAGAAAAGTTTTGCCTTAATCAGTGCTTCCAGATCGCAAAAGAAGAATACAGCCAGCTAAAAAATACAGTATTGTCAAAATTTTCATACAATGATAATTACAGTAGAAAGTATTTGGCTATATTAAAAGAAAAATGTATTTTCCTTTTAATGACTTCCTGACATTTAATTGAGCCATTCATGGCGAAATTGCTGTCTATACTTCTTTTTTGCCGTAGACAGCTCAAAAGCCTTAAGATCAATTTCCTAGCTTCTTGAGCACATGGATTTAATATTTATTTCCTTTTCATTATTATGAAAAAATACGAAACATGTTCACAGTTAAAAAAAATCTGACCAAATAAAGGTTTAGAACGTGCAATAAAAAAATAATTATGTACTGTATTGTTCCTTTATAAGATACGAGTTTGTTGTTAGATTATACTAATTCTACTCAACTTGCAGTACCTACTTCATTGAGGATTTCCCTTCAAGCAAGTAATGGAGTTCATTTATTTTCGTTTTGCGGATTGATTTTGATTACTGTGAAATTGATTACAGTAGAACCCTACACTGTATATTTTCACTACAGTAGACAGTGAAAAATTCAATATTACAGTTAACCTACTGTAATTACAGTGAGTCTGGGAGCACTGGCCTTAATCCTTGCAACCGATCGGACAACTTAAATGTGTGAGCAACGCCATCCAACGCAAATTAACTCAACAAGAAACTGGTAAAACATGAGCTCTGGGTACCTATATTTTTATTAGAATTTAAATATTTAAATTTCAACATTTTAGGTTTGATAATACAATTATATTTTTTGTATTTATGAGTATAAAATTCAATATAATATGAACTACCTATCATGTTCTTAGGACATAATGAAAACAAGAATGATTTTACAAACATTAATTTAAAGTAAAGTAAAGTAACAGCCTATACATGTCCCACTGCTGGGCAAAAGCCTCCTCTATACAGAGGGTATCAGGGCATAGACCACCACGCGGCCCCACTGCGGATTGGCGGACTTCACATATTTTCGAAATATATATTTTTTGTTATTATTTGTAAAATCAGCAGGTTCCCTCACGATGTTTCCCTTCACCGCGGAGCACGTGATAAGTCAGCACTTAAAGTTAAAAACTTCATTGGTGCCGGCACCGGGGATCGAACTCAGTTTGCTCGAGTATATTGAATTAAAGGCGAGCGCCCGGACACTGAGCTATCACGGCCACTTACTATAACAATAGGACCTTTAAGAAGAGAGCCTATTCCTACCTTAAAGGAAGGCAACGCAATTGCGACTCAACCGATGTTGCAAACGTCCATGTGCGGCGATGATCACTTACCATCCGGTGACCCGCATGCTCGTTGGCCTCCTTTTCCCATAAAAAAAGAAAAGAAAAATGGTATTTTACAGAGAGGTACAGCCAGCCGGTGGGTAGCGCGCTACAAGAGCGAGGGCTCGCTTCGGGACCGCGAGCGAGACAGACCGATGCGTGTCGTCAAGAAATCCGATATAAATCGGATGGTACAGTTACGCGGAATATCCCTTCGCGCCGACCAGATTGTTTGCGGAAAAATTCAACTGTTCCATAAAAACAATACGCAGATATTTGAATATGAACGGTTTCGAAAATAGAGTGGTCGTATCCGAGAAGCGAAAAAAGCCGAAAAGCGCCGAGTGAAGATCGTCGCACCGCAGTGCTGAATATCGCTGGGTTCTGGAGAATTTAATGATTAACTGTGGTAGAGCCATGCAACAGTCCTCACTGTTGCACTAATGAGCAGGTCCGTCCGGGTAATTACCACGAGCTCACAGAAGGCCGGCGTGAAGTAGAAATTGTATACTCCAGCGTTTCGTCTGGCGATCGAGGTAGCCGTGGCAACGCATCTGCAACCCTACGGGTGTTGCAAATGCCCATGGGCGGGGGTTATCACTAAACATCAGAAGAATCCCCAACTCGCTTGCTTCGGAAAAAAAATGATTTTTCAAACGCCATATTTTCTGACGAAAAATGTCTTGAATCGAATCAACATGGACGTCAGAATTTCTGGCGAGCAAATAATACTAGGAACCAACTTCGTTTTGACGTAAAACGAATTTAAGTTAAATACTGAAGCGTACCTTGTACACTAGTGCATCGAAACTGAGCACTCAAATTACGCCAATTGGTGTAGTTAGGTTGCAATTCTATAGAATGTCTACTGCTATCTCTTTCCGTATCATACGTTCGTTGCGATGACGAAGCATTGACAAAAACAAAATGGCGGAATTCTTTCATGAAAATTACAACATTTAATTTATTTTTTGCGAAAATTATAAGCGATCCTAGAATTCTATTTGATTGATACATTAGTGATTTTTCTGTTTAATTTTTTTTAATTAAAATATGCGCTTGATCAGTTTGTGAACATTTACCAAAGAAAGAATAATAACACCTGATCCTGATTGCGTTGTGTTGTGATATTAGTAATAAATAAATATTGATATGTAAATTGTGTACATACATTTTCATTGGCTATTTTCTGCCTTGTACTCCTTTTTATAATAAATTTAATTTTTTGTTCACAAAACTTTTGGTCGCACAAATAGTTGTCCCGTGTGGGAATCGAACCCACGACCCTCGACGCCGAAGCCAATACCTTGGCAACTGCACCACGGAATCAAAAGTCAACAGAATAGGACAGGCTATAATTTATATACATATTTTATGTATATTTATCTTTCTATCTTAATGTTACACCTACAGCCTATTCTACGCAGACGTAGTCGCGGGCAATATTGGTTTCAGTCTCTCATTGTATAGAATTTTTTTCTATTGGAGAGTTGTATTTATATCTGTCTATGTTTATTGTGATATCTTTATTGGTAGGAAAATTATAACTGTCCATATTATTGTCATGTACTGTCCATTTACAAAGAGGAGTTATGCATGCACTAGTGAAGTCAAAAGCTGATGCAATGAACAATTCACTACCCGTCCGTATTAGGGTAGTGAATTTTTACAGTACCATCTAGTAAATCATACAATCGTTTTTTTTTTTTTTTACTTAAAACAGGCCAGCAGTTGACTGCCATCCCACCTGATGGTAAGTAGCGACGCAGCCTTTGATGCTAAGCGCGCTAGCTTAGTAAAAACCTATTCACACTTACGTAAAGACAACGTAAGCGTTGTAATCGGACGGATAGACGGACGCCGGCAGGTTGTTCCATTGCTTAGATGTACGGATGATGAATGGCGAAGCGAATCGCTTCGTTCTTGTGCGTGGAACGTCGACAGCATAAGGGTAGAGCCGCGCCAAACGCCACGTTGTCAGATGATGCAAAGTGGCGGGAGGAATCAGAACGTGCAATTCCAACACTCTCCAAAATGCATCGTGTAGAAAACACAGAGGCTGGCTACTCTGCGCCTGTGCTCAATGCTAGTGTGGTTGGTCCAAGTGGTGTGCTCTTCTCATCCGACTGCCAAATGATGAGCATTAAATAATAGTTGATGCTGACTGCAGATCATCATATCGCATGACTAATTCTCAGAACGCCAGATTTTCTGACGAGAAATGATTGAACTCGAATTTAAGGGCGTCAGAATTACGGATAATATATGCGGTTGGATGAGTTCCTCTATGTCCGGAAATTATACCCCGTAAACGTTTTTAATTGTTATGTTGTGAAGTGTTACACATCTGTGAGGTAGCCGGGGTCCAATATATTTAAAGGTGGGGCGCATTTGCAATCCTATGGGTGTTGCAAATGTCCATGGGGGCGGTTATCACTTAAGATCTGGTGAACCGCCAGGTCATTTTGCCACTTTATTTATCGTTTGTCACATAAAAAACAAATAATAAAATACAGTAAATTAAGAAAAACAATTTGGTATTCTAAAATGAATGTATTATTTATAAGTACCTACTAAACGATTCCTGCACAAAAAATATTGATATCCAATCAAAAACTAATGTGAATTAGAGCCAAGTTTAATCTAGCGTTGATATAGACGGCGCAGCATAAAGGTGTGGTGAGAGGCAGTACCCTTCTGGAACGCCAGCCTTGATCGCGTGTGTTTCCGATTCAGCCAAGTCGATGTGCACGACGAAGCTACGGCTAGCTAAGCCCTGTAAATTAGAGGCCACTAGCCGCAAGAGCGAAATATGGATGGTCCCAACCCTCTGGTGGTAAGCGCAGCATTACTAACCCAACACAAACGCGAACGTCAACAAGCGTCGCCTGCGAAACGACCTCATCGACCCGGTCGAGGAAGGGGACTTAGATACGTCGGACCCACCCAGGGCGGTTCTAACCGCCCCCAGCCACCGATTAGCTAAAAATACAGTCGACGACCATCGGGGTCCCGGTCAGAACCGCAACCTCGATGGCCCTTAGATGACATACAATAGTTAAACGCACGCATGAGCACATGCGCGGCCCTACACACAGTGGAGGGCTCACACCCGTGGGTTCTGACTAGCCCACCGGTTTTGCGTCAGATGAAACTTTAATAGTCTCGGGACTGAAAACAAAAACATCAGTTAATACAAGAATGTGGATGGTGGTTGCTGTTGACAGCTTTTAGGTGAGACCTACGTGCCACCCTGTCGAAGGCCTACTCCTTATCGGAAAGACAGATGCAGCCGCGGTTGAACTAGGCCGCGAGTTAGTGTAGAACGCGGGTCAGCTACGATGTAGTTGAATGGAGACTGTGGAACCCGAACTGCTCACTTCGCAGTAGTGCGCAGGGAACACTCCTGCCAGGCAGCAAAATTTGGAAGAGCTCCCCACGAGGAGTTTAGTATCGCTGAGCCGTTTATTTAACGGCATTCTAGGCCCAATACACTTTCCCTCTTGGAAAATAGTGAAAAGGAACTAAAAGTTGTGTAACTCTTACAAATGACTATAACAATAGTAATGTAATGTAATTATTGTCCAATAGAAATCCTAATTACTCAATCTTTCGCTTAAATCAAACTCTTACTAAAAATTAATATTATACCACACAGTTATCAATTATTTATGGATCAATTTTCTTTAATGGTTAAACTTTACCAAAAACAAAAATGCTTGTCATACAAAAACAGAATCGATTATGTAATTCGAATAGATAATGTCAAAGTCAAATAGTTGATAATTTGATTCTATCAATACGATCTGTCAACGCGGTTCATTTGATTTAAGTTGTGAATTTATTGATTTATAGCGTAAAAACTTACCAATATTTGTTTTATTAATGTATATAAAAATTTATATAATGTAAATTCGTGACTTAGGTAAATATTATAGCAGGTGCAGTGTTGCACAAGATATTTTAATACCCGTGCACTTAACCTTGAATAAGTCCGTATTTTTTGCGATTGCAATTTAGCAATTAATTTGAACGTATATTTTCCTCGTTCCTTCCAACCAAAGGTAAAATTAGGATGTTATTAAAATGAATAATGTATATAACGTACATTTATCTCTAAGGTTATGTCATTTTCTTATCTATCACATAATTATACCATCATATATTTTAATTATCATAGAAAATATATATTATAGTTATATAATAGCAAAATATAGTAACGTAAATTTTTCATACAAATTGTAGCTTACTTGAGTCTTAAAAATGTAAACAATTCAATTCTTGTTAAGATTTTAAGATACTATAGTACCTATCTGACAATATTTGGGGGGCTCATTTATAATTTATTTTTTATTCATTTGGCATAATCGTCTTGATACAAAATGAACTTAAAGAAATTATGTTCGAAAAGTCTTTTTAACCCATCCTTATGGTAATTTAAATTGTTTATAGTGCTAATCTTTTGCACTTAAGATTGAACATTAAAATATGTAGAAAAAGTGCGAAAAGATTGTCACCGCTGTGGGAATCGAACCCACGTCTTCGGCATTCGCGGCCTGACGCTCTAGCCACTGAGCTATCAATAGGCCTATCACTGACTCTAATAATGCGTTAAGATTTGATAGACCTCCAGTAGGAGGCCGATTCTTCCACATTGTTTTCTTACCATCCTTATGGTTTTGTTTCATCAAAAATTTTTATTGCTAAAATTGTTGAATGCCCAGATTAAGTCGTTAATTACTTGAGGCAGTTAAGTTTATGTAGTTTGATTATTATTAGTTTAAGTTTATGTCTGAAGTGCAGGTTTTACTTAACAAAATCTTGAATTAAAAAAAACCTATTAAATTAAATTTATCACCTCAAAAACACAGGCTTATGCATTCACAGCAAAGAAGTGACGCTTGATCAACAGCTTCTAAAAACCTTGGTGTCCTTAGTAGAATAGGACAGCTAGAGGGCCAACTGATGTTAAGGGATCGCCGCCACCCAAAGATACCAGCAACACCAGAGCAGTCTAAACAATATAGCAAAAATGTTCTGGGATATTGGAATATATTTGGTCATCAATTAGTTTCAGGTACAAAATGGTGTGAAAACAGAAGTGATTGACAATGCTCAATACGAATTTGGTAGGACTCAAGAGGACAACTTTGAAGTCACTCCTACGACTGACACGCACCAAATTTAACAAGCCATTCTACATTTCTGCAGTGGGCAAACGGTGTGCATGTTTATGCAGCCTAGGGTACTATAAAAATGTCCAAGGCCCAGGAGCATGGCCTAGGAATGTTCGGTTTTACTCCACACAAACTGAGCATAGGCAAAAGGCGGTCATAGAGACGACCGCGGCAAAAATTGTCATAGACAAAACCGAAAGGAGAGAGAAAGTGTTACCAGTGGAGAAAACAATTGATGTCAGATTAAGTACACTCTGGAAGGAGAAAATCGATCCGTATGTTAAGCTGGCACGATGGGACAGACCTATAGGTATGATATATAATATATATATAATATATAATACTTTCACCTCATACTTTCTGCATTCCTTCTCAACTCAGCATGATGCACTATCAACAGTTTTGGCAATACAAAATACACTCTATGGCCCAATACTTGTATACTACATATGCAGTCAGGTTCCTTATATACAGTAACACAGTGGTTAATTTTTGATTGAAAAGGTCTTTATATTGTTTCCTTTCCATCTCCAGGTGTCTACTTGCTGTACTGGCCTTGTACGTGGTCGATCGCTCTCGCCTCTGTGCCGGGAACGGTGCCTCTGTCCACAACCCTGGGAACTGCTGGGTTGTTCCTGGTTGGAGCTGGCCTGATGCGCGGCGCCGGTTGCACCATCAACGACATGTGGGACAAAGATATAGATGCTGAGGTGAGAGTTAACTTTGCAATAATTATTTAAAACCAAAACTTCCCTTAAGTAAAAACGAAAAAACTAAAACTTCTCTGTACAGTGGGTATTAGAGCATTGACTATGCAACCTCATAGCTGTCTCTCTATTTTTTTCATTCGAAACTGGGCAGCGCTTGCCTACCGTCCCACCTGGTGGTAAGTGGCGAGGCAGCCATTGTTATAAAGCGCATCAACCTATTCATTCTTGCCTTGAAGACACTTCTGTTCTACCCAAAATTGGTTTTGTAAACCCATCCCCTTTGAAAGTCCGTCTGTCTGTATTTGCAGGTGGAGAGGACGAAGGACAGGCCGCTGGTTTCAGGAGCACTGTCAGAGAGGCAAGCAGTTGGATTCCTCGCGGCCCAGCTAAGTCTGGCTTTAGGCATACTGTTGCAGCTGAACTGTTACAGCATAGTGCTGGGAGCTAGCAGCATGCGTGAGTAGATTTTGTGCTTCATATGCTAGAAGGGGGAAGATAGAGATACTTATTTATATTGACACTCGAGACAACTATTTGTGTAACCCATATACAATTGTTTTATTCAAATTTTATGAGTAAAAGAAGATTCTTATTTTGAAATTCTCCATTAATGAACCAAACTAAATTTGGGCATCGATTCCTTTTTGTAACTTTCTGTAAAAACAAAAGACGATCCGATTGGCGTAGTGGGTAGTGAACCCGCCCCTTGCGCCAGAGGGTGTGGGTTCGAGTCCTGCTACTGGAAAAATATTGTGTGATGAACATAGTGTTTTTCCAGAACCCAGATTCTGTTTATTTATTAATAATACATAATTATTTATTTTTTAAAAAGAAAGTATGTTTAAGTATGTTTATCAGTTATCTAGTAACATAAGCAAAACTTGTAATATGGGTATTACAAGTTTTGCTTAGGTTGGGGCTAGACAGTGTTGTGTAAAAATGTGTCCTAATTTTTTTTTTATTTATATATTTAATATTTATTTATTATTTATTGACATGATATATTCTAAAAAACAGTTATTATTTTTATTATAATTGTTTTAAAGCTTAAGTTACTATATAGTACCAACAATAGCTAGTGTCTTCTGACATACACAATTCCCCTGAATTTAGTAGACGCAATCGAATTCGAATCCCACAGCACCAAAAGATACTACAAAAAATTTGCAACAATGTCATCCTGTTAAGTTCTCGGATTGCTTGCAGTTCTGGTGGTGACCTACCCGCTGATGAAGAGGATCACGAACTACCCCCAGATATTCCTGGGGGCAACCTTCAACTGGGGCGCGCTGCTGGGCTACTCGGCCATTCATGGCACCGTAGACCCACTAGTTTGCCTGCCCCTCTACGCCGGAGCCCTCGCCTGGACGGTCGTCTACGACACCATCTACGCCCACCAGGTGACAGTCGCCAACTCGACATACTAGTGGGTTTGAATGTGCTTAGTAATATAGATTCCATCAAGGATGTGTTTTTTCACAAGTTTTTATTTTTTTAATGTGAGATAGTATAGATAGGATAGTACTTGGAATACTTTTTCTTTTTTTTTTTTTGATAACAGGACACAACACGAAAATATCGATATTTTCTTTATTATCGAGGTCGATATCGATATTTTTATAAAATATCGATATATTTCTTCACTTTCGGCTTCCCTAGTTGGGACCTGTCACCGCTCCCTCACAAATACTTAATCAACCCTGTTCCCAGGACAAGGACGACGACGCCCGCATAGGCATGAAGTCCACCGCGCTCACCTTCGGCCGGCACACGAAGCCCGCGCTTAGCCTGGCCCTGGGGCTCAGCGCGGCCTCGCTGTGGGGCGCGGGCGCGGCGGCCGGGCTGGAGGCGCCCTTCTACGTGGCGGTGGGGCTGTACGCGCTGCACGCCGGCAGACAGGTAACTTGGAGGTGGGGGGAGGGGATGGGCATATCGCGGGGGGAGTGGGGGAGATGAGACTTTTGTGAGAGGAGATGGGGGGGATAGGACTTTGGAGGTGGGGAGGAGAGGAGGATGATTAAACGGGCCGAGGCATTTGTAGTATGGATGCCGAAAGCGAAGAAAATATATCTAATCAATAAAGAAGCATTACACTTATTTGTTATTATTTTCTCTTTTCTTTATTATTTTTTTTGATTTTCAAAAAACACTACTACCGGTTCAGAAAAAAAAAAGCCACTGACCTAAGAAGATCCAGAGTGTGTTATCATTCAAATAATCACTAATATTATTATTACAATATTTATAAAAATCACCGCACACACACTTTCTTTAGTGATGTCGAAAAAATGTTTATAAAAATATCAACATCTGCTATCATATCGATACATTTATTCACTTTCTACATACTTTCTACTTTTCTTCCTCCCACCCTTGTCCCATCCAGGAGAGTTAAGCACTGCATGTGAATCATGACCGGACGACTGCTGAGGTCAATAACTGGTAACAAACACCCAAGTACGGAACAATTATCTGTGGGACACACAAATACTAGTGCTTTTGTGGAATCCAACCCACAACTCCCAGTGACTTAGCTACTGTGCCATGAATTCAACGCTCATTCATACATCATCATACCACCTGCATCCATCGACTTGCACAGGTCGTCACTCCATTTAGTGGGGGGTCGTCCCACATTACAATGGCCAGTTCGAGGCTGCCACCCGAGAACCTTTCTCCCCCAGCGGTTATTCATACATAAGAAACTATATTCATTGTCTCCCTTTCAGATCTACACCCTGAACCCGAACAATCCAGACGACTGCGCGAAAAAGTTCAAATCCAACTCTATGGTCGGCCTCATAATCCTGCTGGGAATCCTAGCCGGCGGCTATAGACAATACACGGAGAACAGACAGAAGAATAAAGGCAAAGAGAACATAGAGGCGACGAAGAGCTGCATTTTTAGCTGAAGCGATTAATAATAGGTAATTTAAACTCTGTGTAATTTACAAAAACGGTGTCATATTAAATGTTGAGAACTATCCTATGCTAGGTTATGTCTTTAAGGTTATTGTTAATGTTCCTACCGTCTCTTGGGGGCTATTTCTTACATCTTGATAGGCAATGGCTGTTTAATAACAATTTTTTTGGAGTGTTGGAAGAAATTTTTTTCATATATGAATATGAAACATACCTTGTTTACATTATTTAAAGACAATACCTAAAAACATATTTTCTAATAAGCTTAGAAACAAATTTCTCATAAAAATAATATGCTCTAAACAAAACCACGCCATAAAAACAATGTCATTATGCTTCTCTTTAAGCAGAAGATGGAGATTTAAGAGATTTTAACTATAAAGCGTGGCGTTACAGCCGCGACTATAAATGAACACGCTTCTAACGCTACTTGGCAAGATTCGTAAAAAAATCCATAATTTGAAAAAAAAAAATATTTTCAAACAGGATAATTAAATAAAAAACAAATAAAATTTGTAACATCCTATACAACTACAACTGACTGATTCTAACAGTATGTTTTATCTCTTCACCAATCACTAAAGCAACAATCAACCAATTTACATATAATTGTCCCCTTTACAAATTGATTTTACGTTACAGTTTAATATCTAAGGGTGTTCTAAAATTATTTGTTTTGGAAAATTTGATAACTCGTTAAATGTTGAAGTTTAAGGAAAGTAAATGTTAAATACAATTTTAAAATGTTATTCTCCTATATCCTATATGTGTGCGTTGATTTATGGCCGCGTTAGTAGCGCCACGTTTTACAGAATATAATTTTCTTTTGTCCAAACTCTGAACAGAAGCAAGCATGTTGTTATTTTGTAGACTTTTTGATCTATAATATCTATCTATCTATCTATCTATAATGCTATGTGCAGTGTGTTCTTTCACAAGGGTTTTTTAACCTATGTGTAAAAAGTTCACATTCAAGTAAAGCTTGTATACCCCTAATTCTTGCAGAGGGATATTGACAGATGGTAAATAATTTAAAATAATCGTGGTGAATCCATATAAATAGTTTTATAATTATGATGTGATGTCGCAATGTAGAAAGATGCAAACATCATTAATCAAAGTATTTTACCAAGAGAGAAAATTTAAATTAAAAAAAGTATTATATATATGTTTATATATATATATATATAAGCTTATAACCTAAAGTTACTTCTTTTGTATTTGTATGTACGTCACACTTCAGTTTTTAACATATTTGTTTTTAAACTATACATATGTGCATGAAGCCAATTAATAAGAAAAGACGATTATGAGTAGAACTGTAAAATTTACACTCACAATAAAATATTTGGTAAAAGGTTAGCAATAGCATTATTTATTTTCATTTTGTATTTACTGAACACTGTAAATTTTTGGCCAGGCTACCGTATAGGGGTATCCGAGCTACATAGAACAATGAGGTTTTTGCAATGGACTTTTGAAGTTATACTTCTTTGGCCTGGTTTGGAAAAAGTTATGAGGGTAAAATTTTTACGATGGGCGCTGCTCAGCGACATCTACAAGAAGTTGGTTGCATAGCGACCAACGTCGCAGTATTACCATGGCAACTAATAGCAACTTTAATACTTTTACCTATAATTCCAAGTTATTTATTTAAACTGTCATGAAATGCAATAAATGTATTTTTTTTTTCACAAACAAAGAGTACTGGAACACGGGACAAAAGTTTTTAGCTGTTTCATTTGTTACGCTTAAGAAGTATAACTTCTCATGTACGTACTTTCGTACGTATGTGAGTACGTACATAAGTACACACATATTTCTTTTATATGTTAAAGGAAGGTACAGATTAGCAACAATCTGTACCTTAGCAATTCCCTACCTCGTAAATAATTTCAGCAGTTTCGGTTAAACTAGTCGCAAGTTGATCTCGCTAACCTGAATTATGACATTTATGGTTTTCAGTTTGGTGATAATGTAAATGTAATACATCATCTGTCATTCTTAACTGTAAACTGAAACCTTGTTGTGCGGCTTTATCTGTTCTACTTTTTTTTCTTTTGTGAATTAAATCTGTGATTCGCTTTGGCATACTGCTTAGTATGATTTTGTAAGGTGCCAAAGGTTAAAATTATGTCAGCCATGGTACTTGTTTGTAAATTATTTTTATGTGAGATGGTGGCTCAAGCGGTTTTACCTCATGTACCATTTATTTCCACCTTGGCGTTCCAGAATAATGTTATGTGGTACTTTAAATTTTAATTACTTATTTATTTTTAGTATTGAATGTTACCAAAAAATAATAATAATCGTGTACATTGAAAATATTTTATTATTAATAGAGTAGAGATACATTTATCTGCATGCAGAATAAAAAGATAATGAAGTATAATATTCCACTTGGATTTCTGATTTTTTTGAATAAAACTAAGTAACAATCACGAAGTAATGACAAAGTTGTGTGTATATATTTTTTTAAAGTAGTTAAAAGAACGTCCTAAGACAAAAATAACCTGTGAAAAATCTATTTTGTACAAACTTATATTATAAAAGGTCGCTCATAAAGCATTCTTTAGAAGTAAAATTGTATATTTAGGAATTATGTTCCTATGTGAAGAATTTTGTGGCATTGTCAAAAATAAGATAAATAATCTATATAGTTCGTGTTTATATGCCTATGTAAATAAATGTGGCTTTTTGTGTTATTAAATGTTTCTTGCCATAATATGTTTTATTTTAAAGGAAATGCACTTTCTCAACCTTGAAATAAAACGTAATAACCTTTTTACTGTGATAGCTCAGGCTTGTCAAGTTAGGACTTTTAGCACCAAAATTAGGGCGGGACGGCAAGCAATGCACGATATCAGATATCGAGCGACAAAGCGCGTGAGATATAAATACTCACTAGTTAGAGCGGGACGGCAAGCAATGCACGATATCAGATATCGAGTGACAAAGCGCGTGAGATATAAATACTCACTAGTTAGAGCGGGACGGCAAGCAATGCACGATATCAGATATCGAGCGACAAAGCGCGTGAGATATAAATACTCACTAGTAGAGCGGGACGGCAAGCAATGCACGATATCAGATATCGAGCGACAAAGCGCGGGAGATATAAATACTCACTAGTTAGAGCGGGACGGCAAGCAATGCACGATATCAGATATCGAGCGACAAAGCGCGTGAGATATAAATACTCACTAGTTAGAGCAGTACGGCAAGCTAGGCACAATATCAGATTTTTAAACAGATATTATGAATAAGTTAAGTAATTTTGAATCTTAAAACCATCTGAATAAGATCCGATTCAATTAAATACTAATCATGGTATCAACGATTACTACAACGATATTTTTAAGTATATTTTTATTGTTTTGTTTAGCCTTGAGCCGTAACGGGCGACAAAGCGCGCAGTTAAGTAATTTTGAATCTTAACAGCATGGAAAAAAACATTTTTAGTTGCATTTAAATACGAATTACGGTATTAACGATGTCTTTAAATTTTGTTTAACCTTGAGCTGGATTGCATTGGTACTTATCACGTAATATAAGGGATGCCAACTTACTACTTAAGAATTTTCTGCCTAAATTAGGGAAGAAAAATATAAATGGAAATTTTTTAGGAGGTAAATTTTTTGTGAATATTTTTATTAGTTAAATTTTATTCATATGTTTGGAAAAAAATAAAACTACACAAAAAGAAAAATATAATTTAATAGTGCTGTGCTGCTTGGGTGGAAATCAGACCAAGGTTTATGTGCTTTGTGTGTATATTTTAAATTCTTCCGCCCTAAGTTATAATACTGAATGTATTATTTCTTACACAAATTATGAAAATATTGTCACTCATGATTGCGTGTTCTAAGAATATGTTAATGTCAATTATTAAGCGATATATAAGATGTCAATTATTAAGCGATATATAAGATGTTAAAATAAATCATTTTTATATTACTTCAATTTCTATTTTTAATTAAATTTTTAATTTAATCAGGTAATGTTTTAATTTTACCTGAATAGTATAAAAAATCGTGATTTTAAATTCAGTAAGTTTTTTGAATTTAGTCAATTGTAGTGGGTTTTCGAATTTATTTAGAAGTATTCTTTTTGAACAGTTGGTATCACTGGTAATAGCTTTAGATATGTATAGGTATAATGATCGTCGAACAAGACTTTCGAGGAATAAAGTCAAACAGCTTACGTTCCTAAACGTGAATTTTTTTTTTAGAATTCAAGGTGGATACGGGACCGTAAAATATCTAGATATTAAAATACATAGTTTCGAAATCTGATATTTGAAATCGAAATCTGATTCAGATACGTTACTCAGAAAAAGCGATACGACCCATCTCTATGACAACAAAATTATGCGACTGTCGCGCCTGCGCACGTTTCATTTAACGGTTTTATTCCACGCACTTTTTTCCACGGATTTTTTCTTACGGTTTTACTATCACATTTTTTTCAGTTAGGTCACGCAGCAAAATCCCTATCCCCTCCAAGCCTGCCTTAAGGAACTTCGTTCCAAAAATTTATTGGTGCCGGCACCGAGGATCGAACTCTGGTTGCTCGAGTAAATGGAATTCTGGGCAACAGTGGGTATATATAAAAGTAGGGATTCACTGTATGAATTATATAATATGAGGCAGTGGAATCACGACCCTAATTTCCATAAACGGGTACAAAATTTTTCAAAAATATTTAAAAAAGTCTGTATACATGCAAAATCTATCTACATAAGAAATAGGATTTTAAATTCTAGTAATAAAATGAAAGCTACATGGGACATCATTACCTGTATATCTGGAAGACCCAAGATATTCAGGGAACCTATAAAGCTAGTGATAGGCAATACACCCATAACTTCAAATAACAAAATTGCAAGTAGTTGCGAAAGTTATTTTTCAGAAATTGCAATTAATGTCACATGCACGTTAAAATCCTCTCCCATTGATGCAATTAATGTATTAAAAAATAATGTTACCTGTTGTCGACAAACGTTTAAATTTAATCACATAGATACTAATGATATTATAAAAGTTTTGAATTCTATTAATCTTAAAAATACAGGAGATTTGTGGGGCATGTCCATAAAATTAATGACCACAATAATGCCGTATATTGCACCATATTTGGCAAATATTTTTAACAAATGTATAGAATCTGGAATATTTCCAGATCTTATGAAATTTAGTAATATAATCCCCGTTTTCAAAAGTGGGGATAAAAACGATCCAGGAAATTACAGAACTATCTCCATATTGCCATCTCTGAGTAAGATTTTTGAAAAACTAATTTTAAATCAACTCTCGAACAAATATTCTAATCGAACAAAATTTTCCACGATGAGCAATATGGATTCACTGAAGGCAGATCGACAACGGATACGGGTGTCGCACTTGTCAAGCATATTTATAACGCCTGGGAAAGGTCACAAGATGCAATAGGTGTCTTTTGCGACCTTTCAAAGGCTTTCGACTGTGTAGACCACGAAACCCTTCTTCAAAAGCTAGATTATTATGGCATTCGTGACATCGCCCTCAATCTCATTGCCTCTTACCTTAGTAATAGAACTCAAAAAGTATCTATAAATGATGTAAATTCCGCAGGGTCCCCCATGAAAATGGGTGTCCCACAAGGATCAATCTTGGGTCCATTATTATTCTTAGTGTACATAAATGATCTCCCCTTTTATGCCAGTGAGTTATGTGATGTTGTACTGTTTGCTGATGACACATCGCTCATTTTTGAGGTTGACCGAAACGTGTCGGATTATGACGACGTGAATGGTGCACTTTCGCGTATCCTCCCATTGGTTTACCGTTAATAATATGGTGTTAAATGCTAAAAAAACTAAATGCCTTCTTTTTACCCTTCCCAGCGTAAGAAGGCAAAGTTTTAGCTTAACATTAAATAGCGCAACCCTTAATCCTGTTGAGTCCGCTGTATTCTTGGGAATCACAGTAGATTCAAAGCTCCAATGGAGTCCCCATCTATCACCTCTTGCGAATAGGTTAAGCTCCGCTGTTTTTGCAATTAGGAAGGTTAGGCAGCTATCAGACATCGACACTGCCAGACTTGTTTACTACAGTTATTTTCACAGCATCTTGTCGTACGGCATTTTGTTGTGGGGTAGTGCATCTGATATAAATTCAATATTTATTATTCAAAAAAGAGCTGTCCGAGCAATTTATAACATCGGAGCCCGGAATACACTCAGAGATCTTTTTAAAGAGATTAATATACTCACTGTTGCGTCTCAATATATTTATTGTAATATTTTGTATGTTAAACAGAATATTAATAATTATCAAAAGAATAGTGACAGACATAAACTAAATACTAGAAATAAGGACAAACTAATTACGCCATTATTTCGCCTACAAAAAGTAAACAGATCGTTCATGGGGCAAAGTGTGCGCATGTATAATAAAATCCCACAGTCGATGTTAAGTCTGCCACTTGATGAATTTAAACGAAAAATTAAAAGTACACTTATGGCTAAAGCCTATTATACTATTGCCGAATATCTTGACGACGCCAATGTGTGGGGTTAATACTGTTGATACTCACGTAGGCTAAAACAAGACTATTGTACCTGTACTATTATATTGTAAACTGATTTTTTAAAAAAGAGCAACTGTTGAGTTTCTTGCCGGTTTCTTCTCAACAGAAACTGCTTTCCGAACCGGTGGTAACTTACGAACGTGTTAATTTCTTGTAAAATTTTGACGTTTCATAAGAACGCGCAAGCGTCTATGTGAATAAAGATATCTTACTATTATTATTCGATAGTACATGCTCCTCACTTGCCACCTCACACATCATATTAAGAAAAAAAAATATTTTGTAGTGAACTTTTTTATTTCATTTCGTTGATAAACCGTCGTTATTATTTATCAACGTAGTGGCAGAATCACAGAGTGTTTTGTAATATAGGAAATGTAGGCAGAATGTTTGCCATTGATCGCTGACAGGACAAAAAGTAATATTGCCTATGGACCTGCTGTAGGGATGCCGAAAGTGAATAAATACATCGATATTTAATAAAATACCAATATCAGCCACGATATATCGAAGAGAAAACAGATGTATCGTAATTTTTTTTTTGCCCCGTTGTCCAAAAAAAGATGTGTCAGGTAATAAATATTTGACACCTTCGGACTCTGTGCCACATTCGATTTGAAAAAAGATATCTTTTTTCGATATTGAATATTTTATATCGATATGTATTATCAAAAAATATTGACGTATTTAATAAATATTATCGATATTTTCCGGTACCATATTCCATGTTCTTGTCTATGGCTCTATGGTTTTATTATAGGGATGGTCGATATTAGAAAAACATCGATGTTGACATCGAGGTCATAATCGAATGCCCAACATCGATGTTGGATATTTATCGAAAACCGAACATCGATGTTCAACAACATCGATGATTTTTGCATTAAAATTTGAACCAAGATATAAAATACATTGAAATGATTCGAATTCTCAAAAGCGACTTTTGGCAGCATTTTTAATTCTGTTCCCGTATCCCTGAAAATATACAATTAAGTGTAAACAAAATTCAGTTATGAACTCACGATAACCAGTTATGAACACGATAACGGACCATACAAAAATATTCATTGATAAGTACACAAAATTAAATATTATATCCTTAATGTACAATTTTCAATGCAACTAAAACCCCAAACATCCACATTCCAAACCAGCTGTGGTACAAAAAGTGAGATAAATTGTCGCATATGTAGCATTTATAGCTTTAAAATAGAACGATATCGTTTAGCATGCACAGAAAGAAAACAAATGTATTCAATATTTAGAAGTCAATCAGTAAAAACTTACATAATATTGTTGTATTCCATGTAATTTTATAGGCACAACTATCAAATGAGTAAATTAAAACAGGTGACGCACGCGCACAACATAAAATTTTATCAACAAACTTATGGAGTTGTAAGAAAGAAAGAGCGAGCGAGACTACGAAAGATGAACGAAGGCATCGACCGGTCCGCAGTGAATGAATACACGTTCAGAAATATAATAAACCTTTTGACTAGAGTTGAGGCATATTTATTGGATTAGGTATTTTCAAAGATTATGTATCACCTAATCCCGCCCGTGAAGATATTATAATAATCTGAATATCCTAATATTATTCGATTCCTGCCGCTCCGATTACTTATTACTTACATGCAGTGTGGCCAACAATAAAAAAATGGCCCTAAAATGATGATAAAATACCCGTAAATAACCCTAAATACAATTTTCAAAAGCCCTAAACTAAACTAACTAAAGCCCTTAACTCTTTTAAAGGTGTGTGTGTATTCTGTGTTGTATATTGTAATCTGTGTTATCTTGCACAACTTCTGTTTATAAATGTAAAATTTAAAAATAGCGGTTTTTTAATTTTACAAATAGCGTATTTTTTTGTAAATTTTATAAAATACCGTATTAATATTTTTTATTTTAAAAACATTTTTTTATGTGTTCTTTTATGTAACTTTTCTAACATGTTATAAGTTTATTTCTGTGTCTGCCGTTCATGTTGGTAACTTACTAATATACTGTAAAATACTCCCTAGTCATTAGATAGCGAATAAATGATTATATTAAATGATTTTTATTACATGTATTCTTTGGATTACATGGATTAGGTATTTGGATCTAATATTTTCCTGGATTAGGATTAGGTGTAACTAGTACGAAATTTACCTAATCCAGCCCATACCTACTTTTGACTTTGTGGATGCGTTCATATAAGACATAATTTACTTCGTAAGTTGCATTGGTCGTGCATGAGGCACGGCTTCATCGATGATCGATTCCGTTAAAATCGATGTTGCGATATTTTTCGTATAGCAACATCGATGTAAAAACATCGATGTTTTTGCTTTCTACATCGATGATCATCGAACATCGATGATCATCGAACATCGATGATCATCGAACATCGATGATCATCGAGCATCCCTATTTTATTAGTCAATTAATGTCTCTGGTCTTGAATATTTAATAAGTATTTTACTATTTTAAAATAATTATAGTTCCATTCTATTTCTACTACGTTTTATAGATAACAGCTTTATTCGTCAATTTCATTGTTTTATTAATGTTTACTAGTTACAGTTTAGTTCATTGTGAAAAGTCTAACAATCTGATAGAAAAATGGCTATGTTCCGCTATTCTGGCGATATTGGTTCGCGGCCTCCTATGGGCACGAAAAGCGACAGACAGGGAAGCGATCGGGCAGTTTACTGCAATATCTGTTTGGATAGTTGGGACAGTGAAACCGAAGTGGAAATTCATCGTAGCACCGCCCATAAGTCGGAGCTAATGGACTTGCTACGGGATTCCAGCAAAAATGTTTGCAAAGTGAGTATAAATAATCGTTTACAAGTGAATTTAGGATAAATTCTATACTTATCACTGTGTACTACACGGTAATTGTGTTGTATAATACGTTTTGTTTCAATTAGAGTACCTATGTATTCACAGATATTCATTTGAATCTTCTTTCTTCTGCTATTATACCTATATTCCCTATATTCTGGGGTCTGGATGACATGTGAATGTAACATGTGTGTCGTGTTGTTTGTGGTATTGGCTAGATATTTAATTCCCGACCACCTTCCATAGGAAAAAACACAAATTCTGAACAATTATTTGTGGGTGACATAAAATTTCCCTTGTGTGGGAATCAAACTTAACTTGCAGCGCCAAAGCCAATAGCTAAGCAACTGCACTTGCATGTCATTAAACAAACATCAAATTGAATAACATCACAAAAATAAATTATAATGAATATTACATAATTTTAGTATGTCATGTTGAAAAGATACAAGTAAATTTGTCTAGTCAATATTTTATTCATCATCATTATCGTCGTCACCAGTCCCAAGACATCCTCTGTTGAACATAGGCCTCCCCCTTAGAATGCCACAATGAACAATGAACACACTGCCATATATATTTTAGTCATTCACAAATAATTCAATTTGATAGAGAAAAATCGCTATTGAAAATATAACAAAAAGGTCCTAGAATCTAGACATCTAGACAAAAAACCAGATCTTAACAAAAAGTAAAATCTTTAAGTTTCATACTAAGGAAATCTGCCATAACTTTGTGTGCAATATTCAATTTCAATTCAATAATAAGAAATAGATCAATAAATCAATAAAATATTTTCCTTTTTTATTTTTATATTGATCATAAAACGAAAGGTTTGTTAGGTGTTCATTCTAATACATAAGGGAGTCCGACAAAACATTTTGAGGTCACCAAGATTAATCATGGTAAACAAAATCTTAAATTTGATAGTGATTGACCGATTTTTTACCAACTTATTTCATCAAAAGTTCAGCCTGTTCTAGTCCACTGCAGAAAATGGGCTTCCCCTGCCACGAGGCATAACCCTGAGCCACCTGCATCCATTAACTTCCTGTACATTTATAAAGGTCATCATTCCATCTAGTGGGTGTAATACTACCAAGGCTCCTGATTGAACCTTTTTTTGCCATTGGTTATCGGTGCTCTAACCTATAAGTTTGGCCCTTCTGAGCTATGCTGATTACCTTTGTTCTACTATGAAATTCTGCATTACTAATCAAGCAGAAAACTTATTTATTAGAAAAGGATTTTAATATAATTTAATAAAGTTATGTACATGTGACTTACAAAACACTAGCATGAAGTATACTTTCATGTTTCACTTGGTGATAAGGTGTTGTAGATGTGTCATCAGCAGTGATAATAACTTAACATCAGATATATTATCTGTTTGTTTGCCAAAAATTCATATAAAACGACATTAATATATCTGTAAAGGTTAAGGCGTTCAGTTTGTTTTAGGTGCACTGCCAAACTTAAAGAAAATCTACCTCAGCAACAATCTGCACAAAACCTTACACTAGTGACACCATTTCTACTTAATTGGCTAAACCAACTCAATCACCTTTTGAAAATTTGGCTCCGGCTACCTCACTCACCAGACGAAACGCGAAAGTATTTGTCATACTTCCACATGACGCGAGCCTGCCATTCGTGCAACAGTCGGCTGCTGTGTGGCTCCACCGCAGTTAGATAATAACCCAGACTATACAATAGGCCATGTCTCACAATTTTCAGATCTGCGTGAAGCCCAATGACGACAAGGATCGACTGGTGGAACACATCAAGACCTGGCACCTGTACAGCGGTGCGGACGCGGTGCGGGTGGAACGAGAGATATTCATCTGCGACAGCTGCTGCGCTGTGTTCTTCAACAAGCGGCTGCTTCAGGCGCACATCCTTATATCGCATACTAACGTCAACCGCGAGAAGACCTTCACGGAGTGCCCCAAATGCCTCAAGCCGTACCGCCTGAAGACCATCTGGTACCACTTCCAGGGCCACAACATACAGAGCGTCTCCTGCTGCAAGATATGCATGACCAAGTGCAAGGACCGGCTGGACCTGCTCGCGCACGTGGACGGCCACCTGAAGCATCTGTTCTGCGACATATGCCAGTACCAGAGCAAGAGCGAGGCGTTCTTCGCGAAGCACTTGGCCACTAGGCACAGGCGCGAGCAAACCGCGAGCCGCAGGAGGGCCAGGAAGTGGCAGCCCTACTTTATGCCGAGAGCGAGCGATTACAAGGCGCGTTTCCAATGCGACACCGCCTCAAAGGGCCTGCAGTTGGAGTTGTTCGCGGACGTGGAGCTCAGGGTGTGCGTGCTGTGTCGCGAGATCTGCATTGGTGAGGACGATGCGCTGGCCCATTTGGAGAACGAGCACGTGGAACGGGAGCAGCCGCAGACGGTGCACACTTGCATCTGCGGCGAGACCTTCAGCAGCAAGGTACTGCTGAAGTATCACATGTTCAAGAATGACCACTCGAACGGTGAGGGCTTTTGGGATTTTTACCTTGGTACATATGTCGCTCTCAAGGCATACTATGTGGTGAACATCAAGGCTTCTGGTGGTTGAATTTGAATTTTTTCACTTTGAGGTATACATCAAAGTAAAAAATTAATGAAACCCAAACAGATCAACTGAATTGTTGCTGCATGGCTTCGTTTTATTTTTTATTATAAGCCATGACAATATAACATTTTATCCTCTCTTTTCAGAAAGCAACGATACGGATGTCGTTTACGCAATCGTGCTGGTGCCAGATGAAGTGGAAATGACAACCTCCGCAACCTGAAAACACGCTCCCAACCCCGCGAGAGCCGCATGCGGCTTATGACCAGTGTTGCCATGATATTGCGAAGTAAGAAATGCCTACAGACATCAGGAACAATGGAAAGTCAAAAAAAGCCACTGGAAATGATGAAGTGAAAGTGTAAAGTGCAAGCAAGTGACCTAGTTTGCTAGTATATACATCAACAGAATATAAGCCAAGGAGAAACTTGCCGATTTGCTAACTCTATACAAACATACCTTAGCTGATACACTGTTCACCGAAAGTGCTTTATCGCTTTTAAACCATCAAGGGTTAACTGCTGTAACTCACAAGTACAAGAGTTAATTTTATAATATAGGCAACACAGTATTTGCAGTAGCACAAATGGGCGTTTGAGGAAGTACCAATAGCTCACAGAACTATACAATATACAATCACCGCTGAACGTAAGCCGCAAAGTGCGCCAACTATCCCGCTCCTGGGCAGCCTGCATCCACCCGCTGACCACCACCCTTCTTAAGTTGTCAGTCCACCATGCTACGGGCTGTCCCACACTACGTTTTCCTAATTGTGGTGTCAACTCTAACACGTATCGGCGCCAGCGACGTCTGGAGACATAGCCATCCATTCCACTACATCGTGCAAATTCTGACAAGATTCGAAACAAATGACTTCGTTTCGAATCTCGTCTGCCAAAGAAACCCCAAGCATCTCGCGACCTTGAATTTGTGGACCAGCCCCACGGTGGATGTGCACGATTCGTCTCCGTACGTCATTACTGGTACGACGCACTTTTGGTTTAGAGCTCGCAGAATGCCAACCTTAATTCGAAACGTTACCATTCGGCGTTTCGTGTGGTGAGTGAGGCGACCGGCGCACACTTCATTTAAAGATGGCAACGCATCTGCCACCCTACAGATGTTGCAGATGTCTGTCGTGTTTATCGCTTAACATTACGTGAACCGCCTGATCGCTTGCCCACTTTTCATAAAAAATATACCAGTACCAGCAGTACACATAGCCAGCTGGACCAAGAAAGCAGTAAGATCGACTTCAGGCAATGGGTCGCAACCACTGTCGTAGCATTTTGTTGTACTCTGGGCGGTGACAGCGAGCCATTGTCTTACTGGGACAGTACCCTTTGGTAGTTTTACAGTTAAACCGTGATGCATGATGATATTATACTTATGGCAATACTCAAAACATAGCAAAAATGTAATAGTTAAATTCACAGAAACCTGTAGCTTGTAGGTGATAGACCGAGATGTCTAGTCTTCCAAATTTCCTGGACCTCTCTAAGCGCATGCTTTAGAACCAGTTGCTTTGTTTACTTCATCACTTAAAATGTAATGCTCTTCGTATATATATCCTATTGAATAGTGGATTAAATTGCTAGTTATATTGTTATTTTTCATGTTGAATCATGAAATAAGTTATCATTTGTGAATACTGCAATCTATGATTGAATAATTTTTAATTCAATTCATACCTGTAAAGCACTCACGTCAAATCTATCACCAGTCCACAGATGTAACCAAATCTGGTATGAGATATACAAAAATTCTATTTTTATTTTCTTTAAAAGAAATATGTTATGATAAGATTTGTATAAAATAAACTAAATTAGTTTTATGGACATAATATATGATTTCTTTAGTTATAAATAGTTTTTAAGTTTGCAAAATGTACAGTATTATGCACAAAAATCTTCATTACTTGAAATATTTCCATTGAATATTCATTGTTTGTAATTTCCGTACCTAACAGATTTTCTGACCTAGAGTATTTTGAAATCTGGTATTACATTGGTGATGGTTTCAGTGGTAAATGGCGATTGTTACATACAATCAGCTTACACCACAAAATGATGTTGCATTTGCTTAATATCATACATCTGTATCCGTAGTGCCTAGAGAACTTGATATGTATATCTTAATACCATTGATATTTAATTGCGATGTGACACAATCATACAAACAGACGTAGTAACAATATAAATCTGTAAACTAAGTTTGGTAATGGGATAATAAATCATTTTTGTTCTTGTTGTAAATTCAGAAGTATCACACAAACCGGATTTTTTTGTACTTTATTAAAAAGTGTGACTCCCATGATATTCGCAGAATTCTTTTGATGATTTTTTTTATGTAAGAAAGTGGCAAACGAGCTGGCGGTTCATCTGATGTTGAGTGATTACCGCCTATAGACATGGACATTTGCAACACCCGTAGGGTTGCAGATGCGTTGCCACCCCTTAATAACGTGGGCCCCGGCTACCTTACCAGACGAAACGCAGAAATGCAATACTACTTTACGTCGGTCTTCTGTGCGGTCGTGGTACTAACCCGGACGGACCTGCCCACTCGCAAAACAGTAAACACTATTGCGTGTCCCTACCACCGTGATTTCTTCTGTTTATACAAATGCTACTCTCATTGTTAAATAAAACTAATTTTTCAATTAATTCACGTTTTGTGACCCATTAACGGGAACCCATGTGACCCCCACGAACGTGAATTGAGTAGGGTTCGAGAGATCACAGCCCCGTAGTCGCGGGCTTAATAGAATAGGGCTAAGGTATTCCCCGCCTGTCGTAAAAGGCGGCTAAAAGGGGACACGGATTGGCAGCAGCTCGAAGTGGTCTCGAGCTGCTGCAAGACGGTGAGGGAACCGGGGAGGCTATCCTTCTCCGGGGAGTGCTCACGCGCGAGGGACACCGGTCCGTTCCGTGGGAGATCCCGGAGTCCCTCCAAACGTACAGAGGGTGGCCACCGAGGGGGTTTTGGTGGGTAAGAACCTCACATAACCCTGTCATGTGACGTGAGTATCTTTGGAAGATTTCCCCCCATATACCAAAAATAAAAAAACGGGTTCGAGATGTCAGGGCCCCTAGCCAAGTGGTTGTCGGTCCGCGCCGATTCGATTTCGAAAATCGTTAACGCTTGTGTGATGTCGATGGCCAAGTGGTAGACAACGTTACATCACCGTACCGAACGATAAGTCGAACGAATCGCTAAATTGAACTTCTTGGCTCTATGGAACAGCCCAAGCTTTGTTTGATGCACTTTCCGAGGCTCAAGTAACGCTTTCTTTAATATTAAAGATGCGATTGGTTTCGGGGCTGATACTACTGTTTTTATTATTATTTTTTGTGGAAAGTTGCGAAACGAGCAGACGGTAAACCTGATGTTAAGTGAATACCGCCGCCCATGGACATCTGCTAACTACACCCGAGGGTTTGCAGATGCGTTGACAACCCTTTTGGAAATTGGGCTCCGGCTACCTCACTCACCAGACGAAACGCGAAAGTATTGTACTTCCACTTGGCGCCGGTCTTCTGTGAGGTCGTGGTACTTACCCGGACGAGCCTGCCCATTCGTGCAACAGCCGAGGCTGCTGCGTGGCTCTACCACCGCTTTATTTGTTTGGCGAACAAGGTGATTTAGTTGCCAAAATAAAACATGTAAATTCCAATCGCATATTCATTAAGTTTGTACTTATGGCATTCTATTGGTTTGTGTGTCATACGCCAAAAACTATACTGAGTAGAGAGAATGCGAACAGAGCCGCAAAATGTCCCAATATTTCTAACGTTGCAAAAACTATTTTAAGTTGCCAATGTCAAAGGGGAAAAATAGGTCCTCTATTTTTCCCCTTTGTAATAGGCAACTTCTAGAGGACGTTATCTTAAAGGCGGATCAAATTTCTGAAAATCTAAGAAGATTGAATATGAGTGACGATCGTCAGCAGTGAATGAACGACCAACATTTCAGTAGTATTACTTTACTCTATGACCAAGAAAAAGATGCCTCATGCGAAAAAATGTCTATTTCATTTATTTATATTGTATTGCCTCCAACGATACAATAGAAAGAGGGCATATTTTTGGCATTTTCTAAAGTTGGATTAGGCAGATTCGGCATTTTTGAGATAGTCACCCTGCTCGGTTTTTTTAATTTCGTAGTGCTAAATTAGTAACATTATCCTTATTATCTCTATATGTCGTTTGCGTCCTAGACATGCATGTTGTCCATTTAGCAAAGATCTGGATCAGGAATAATTCAATTTGCGAGTGTGGTCCGGACGAAGGAACTCTGGAACATATTCTTCACCTGCCTTAAATTATCTTGTAAGAGACTTGCAAGTTCTTACTGTCTTCTTTGTTGTATACTTTTGTACGTATCTTGTCAGATTTAACATATATTAACAAAATTAAATTAAAATTTCTTAATTAAGTATATGCTTTTTAGTCAGTATCACATGTCAATGATGTTTGGTCCAGATAAGTCAATAAAGTTTTTGTTCGTTCTACTTATTTTTTAGTTTCGTGTTACTCCCATGATAATAAGTATAAGTAAATATATATATACATAATATATATAATATTTATGTCGGAGGACAAGATCCTCTTTAGGTCGCTGATCCAGCCAAGTAAGTAGAAAAATATCAATATCGGCCACGATATATCGAAAAAAATATCGGTCAAGTTTTCGGTTTTATAAAATAATGTATTTAGTTCATTCTGATTCAATCATCATAAGTAATGGTAATTTTTATACCAAATTCACATAATTTTTATGTGTGACAAGTTTTAATAAAACGAAGGTAAGTTATTCATTAATTATTGATTTATTTCAATCATTTCTCTTTTATAAATCTAAATAAAAATAATTGGAACAAAAAAAAAAACAAACAGCTTTGTGCTACAAATTAGCTTAACATGTAGTTAAAATATTAAAATATTAATGATTAGTAACACCTTTATACCATGTCGTATTTTAGATATGGATAGTATAAAGTACGAAGCATGAAACTGTAGCATTAATATAGTACAAAATAATACACTGCATCCGCGACAATAGTAGTCATAGGCAACAGTAATTTTTGATTTTTCCCCCGTTTTATCTTTAAATCTGAGAATATACAGCTATCTTCTTCTTTCTTCTATATTATCTTCTATATTATAAAGAGGAAAGATTTGATTGTTTGTATGTATTGAAAAGGCTCCGAAACTACTGAACCGATTTGAAAAATTCCTTCACTGTTGGGAAGCTACATTATCCCCGCTTGATATAGGCTATATTATATTTAAAAAAAATAGGGATCCTTACTAAAACTTTGTCGCGAACTTTTAGAATAGAGGGACAAGTATACAAGTATCATCAATATACAACAATCATCATCCTTCTGCCTTCTAGGTGGGGTCGGCACAACATTAATGATGTTGTTAGCGGTTTTGGCTATATTTTTACAACCAGCCGCCTGCCTGACGTCAACCCTCCTTGGGAAACAAATACCCAGATCAAATTTCAAGTGTGTAACTATCACGGTTCATGAGATACAGCCTGTTGACAGAGGGACAGACAGACTGCGGAGTCTTAATAATAGGGTCCCGTTTCACCCTTTGGGTACGGAATCCTAATAAGTCCCAAGAGGTATAGTGTTTCACGGTAGACACGTCCAACTTAAAAGGGTCTCTGAGTTACACAGATTGTATGATCCACTAAAATATTCTCTAAAAGTCGTAGTAGGAGAAGACGGTTAATATTTGACTATTCCTCGGCAAGGTACTGTGCGTAACAAAACGGTGACATGCATGGAATTTTATGCATTTAGGTTGATGGTTAGAGCTACCTGTTATAATCCATTGCATTATTACTGGGACTTATTAGGGTTCCGTACCCAAAGGGCAAAATCGCACCCTATTACTAAGACTCCGCTGACTATCTGTATGTCCGTATATCTGTCCATATGTCACCAGGCTGTATCTCATGAACCGTGATAGTTAGACAGTGGAAATTTTCACAAACGATGTATTTCTGTTGCCGCTATAACAACAAATACTAAAAAACAAAAACGTATAAATAAGTGGGGCTCCCATAAAACTGACATGATTTTTTTGTCGTTTTTATAGATAATGTTTACAGTAGTAGTGTTTTTGACAATATGTAAGTGTAATACTTCTATACTTCTATTGAATAAAGGTATTAAAACATGATTTTTTTAATGTGATAGAGTGGCAAACGATCTGCCGGTTCTTCTGATGTTAAGTAATAACAACTAAAAAAGCCAACATTAAAAAAGTGGGCACCGGCTACCTCTCTCACCAGACGAAATGTAGAAGTATAACACTTCTATTTTACGCCGGTCTTCTGTGAGGTCGGTACGGAACCCTTCGTGTGCAAGTCCGACTCGCACTTGGCCGGTTTTTATTCAATACATTGTCGATGTGATGGCAAAAAGATATCAGAAAGATTGAATTACATAATTATGATGTCGTGATTACCAGAGACTGAGGGCTGGTGAAACATTCATCTTAGAGACGCCTTAAATCAAGACATTGGGCAATCAAATATCGGTCAACGCGTAATCTGCAACGTCATATTCATTTACAGGTTCTCCTACATATCTGCATTAAAAAAACCAAAGATGCGATGATTTATGTCCGAAGCTATGGGAGACCATACTTATTTGTCACTTTTACGTGTAACCCCGAATGTTCCGTAATTAAAGCGGAACCATTATCTGGTCAGCGATCTTTCGATCTTCATGACGTAATTTCAAAGGTTTCATTAAAAGATGAAGAAATTCATAAAATTATTCACCAAAGACGAAATATTCGTAAGGTGTTGTGTGTGTATGATAACTTTTTGTTAAATACCCGTGCGAAGCCGGGGCGGGCCGCTAGTATTAAATATGAATAAAAATATCGTTTTGGATACGATTTCAATATTTTCTATATCGATGTATCGGGTTAAAATATATCGGCTAAAATATATATCGATATTTTTCTGGATCTCTAATAACGTAGCCAACAGCCATCATAGATAATATATAAATATAGTATATACTGTTTGTTTGTGTTTTTGTAAGCGTAGCGCTCAAAATCTCAACATTGGTTTTAGAATCGAATTAACGGTTAACTCGAAAATTCATTTCAAGTAAGTTACAGAAATTGGTTAACTAAATGTAAGTTTAAAATAATACAAATTTTATGAATATAATTCAATGTGTGAATAACACTTATTTGTAACGATAAACAGGAGCTATTTCTTTTTTTTAATTTTTAAGCGTTTTAATAATGGAAACTAGATTACGGGCCAGTGGTAAACAATTTTCGGTCCTTTTGGAATTCATGGAAAGGTAAGGAAGTACTCACGTAAACCCTGAACTTGATTAAATCAATACCACTTGAGAAAGCTTTAAGTAAACATAGACGAGAGTGATCCTAACAATTAGGATCACCTCGTCTATGTTATATATAACAAGCTATTGCCCTATTCTTTGTTCAATTACAGTCACGGAGATCTATCAAATCCCCGTGGGCTGCAAGGACGATTGAAATCCGAGCGTTTGTGGTGCGAGTTGGCGAAATTATTGAACTGTATTGACGGAGGAGTAAATAAACCGACAGAAAAATGGAAAAAGGTAACAATTGAACATTTATGTATTATTATGACTACAGTTGCCTTTTACCCTACTTTTCTACAATGCTTTCTTCGTTTCGAAGGTTTGGGCAGATTGGAAGTCCAAAACAAAAAAAAAGGCCTCAGTAATAAGGCGTCGAGCAAGTGGTACTGGTGGTGGGTCGAGTAGTCGTCAAACCCTCACCACATTTGAGGAGAGGGTGTTGGCTACCATGGGAAAATTAGCTGTGGAGGAACAGCCAAGCATTCAAGAACAAGGGTTTGCTGTAAATATTGTGCTTATTAATTTAAGGTGCTTGATTTTATAAAATCATGACTTAAGTTATTCATTCTAATTAATTTTCTTGATTATAAATTTTAACGATTAGGTATTGAAATAAATTTATTTTAACTATTATGTATGTAAACATATAATCAATAAATACTAAAAAAATCAAGAAACTATGTGGGATTTTTAAAATTATATGCTTAGGTAAATGATTTATTTAACTGTAATTATGTAAAACCAACCTCTTTACAGGGGCCATCACAACTCCTTTCATCAAAGGTCAAGCATAAAAAAGACAGAATTTACTTTAAAATTGCAACATATGATGGTAGGTATACCTAAATAGTAAATAAATAATTTTTTAAAACATTATTAAATGTTTGAATCGCTTAGGCCTAGTTAATTTCATTTCCAGAAGCTGAGGCGACACCACCACTCACACGTACAACTCCGCCATCTACTAGCCGGCAGCCAGCTCAAGCGTCTACCAGGTCGAGGGTGCAACAAGCTGCTCAGCCTGCACCTTCTACGACCAGTAGACAACCGTTACCATCGGCTCTGCAGTGTGAGGTGACGGCTTCCCCCACGCGCTCAGTATTAAGGGCGCGCAGGAGACGGACACTGACGCCATTCGATAGAGCGATGAGGAAGTTCGTTGCCGTCGAACAACAACGTCTTCGGGTAGAGGAGAGGCGGGACAGGCAGCTCCATGAGCGGGAGACCCAGAGGATAGAGGTTGACCACGAGCGTAATCAAATATTACGCTCGTTCGCAGACATTGCACAAGCCTGCTTAGACCACTTCCGCAGTAGGCACAATGCGGAGCATTGAGATAACATTTAAGTATGTACAAATAGTATTGGAGGTTTTGTTTTCAACTGTTTACTAATTTTTAAGAATTTTAAATTTACATTTGTTGTTATATTTGTCTTTAGTACTCATAATTTATTAAAGTTAATGATTAATAATAATTATATTGAGCCATGTTTTAGTTACATCATTAGTGTTTGTACCTGGATATTATTAAGTTATTTATTTAAGGTCATTAGGCTATACGCTTCTATAACAAAATCCCAGTATATGTGCAAAGCTTTGCTATTAACAGGTTAGGTTAAGAAATTTTTAAAAGAAAAACTGTATAAAAAGTGTTATTGTAATATAAATGAATACTTTAATGACAATAACCCATGGGAATGAGTTGTAACCTCCCAAGCTATTTCTAAAAGAAAAAAAAGTTCTACTTTAGAGGAACCTCATGATGAAATGGTGGTAGATTAAAAAAAAATTGCTATTGATAGATGAAATATATGTGTATTATGTCAATGAATAAATGATTTTTATATTTTGAGCAATTTTATTACTTTTTTTCATTTAGACTTAATAAAATTGTAAGCTTTAATTATTACTCTTTTTTATTTTAATAACACATTTAGAATGGTTTGAGTGAATGAAGGGTCATCATTACTGTTTAATCGGTTCTACTGCCAATGGCAACGCCGGTCCGCGATGACGAGAGTACGTCGATGTGACGTCAGGAACAAGTGATCTTGTATTATTATACTCACAATTATACTATTCTCCCACAATTGCGACACGATTTGAAAGCACAAACCGGCATAAATATTTTTCGTGAGCATTTTATCCGTAAGTGATTGAAATTATACGAACGTAAGTGAAACGCGGGTCTACCGATTTTAGTAGACAGTTTTTGCACCGTTCGGTGCGGCTAATGGGTTAGGTCTAGACTAGTAATGTAATCAAGTCTTTAACTCTTTGTGATACCCCCATTTGATTTTTTCATAAACATATCCAATGTATCCAACACATCGATTGTACCCTTTTATTAAAGTAGATGAGACTGCAATATTCACCACCTTTTTTGTAACGCCCACAGCTCATAATGTTTCGGAAAACGGTTGACTTAATTTGCATACTTTTTAAGACAATCTTCGAGTTTAAAAAAGTGTAAGCTAGCTATATTATTCTTTCATTGGTTGCTTGTTTCGTTGTTACATACCTATCCCTACTAATATTATAAAAATGTTTGTTACGCTTTCATTCGCCATATTTTAGAGGTATTAAAAAGGACGTAGGATTCTTATTCAAAAGAACTGTTTTATATTTATTGAAGGGCACCAATGCGAGCAAAGCCGCGGGTAAAAGTTAGTAAGTAATAAAACCAAATTTGCATAATTAATTTGTCACGTTTAATTCTCTGTTTAAATTTCCTATACTCCAGATAATTTGTAACATTCAGGGCACATATAAAAACACAAATATTTCCATGTGGCTCGGAATAAAACCAAACCATTATATAAATATATAATCTGTGACATTTTTTATTGTGAAAACTATAATTATGTATTACAGCAAGTGAAAATTATTCAGTTTTCTTCTAGTTTTTGACTTTTAAATTATTGTAATAACCCGTTTGTGATAATGTTTGTGATATTGTCTTTTCTGTATTTATTAAAGTTATTTTTATTATAAAGATTAGGTGATAAATGAAACTAATTTTACGGATTTATCGCGTTTATTTTTAATTTTAATTCCCGACGTTTCGAACCCTTTACAGCGTTCATGGTCACGGGACAGACTGAGGTGTTAGACGTCTGATTGTCATAGTTAACCCGGGCTACCGTCAGTTTTTGTATTATTAATTTTGTGTCCGATCTATGCAGAGGGAGCTAATTGTATCTTGTCTTGCAGTTGTGGTTCGTTTGGGCCTAGATTTAATTTTATTGATGACAGGATCCCAAGCTGATGGTAGTACCCAACCTTCTTCTCTATTGAAATTAGGGTGTTTTTTAATTTCAATAGCCTCGCGAATCATCCTTGGGAGGAATCGGTGTTCTTTTGCAAGGATCTGTGGTTTGTCAAACCTGATGTAGTGGTTGGGTCTATTCAAAATGTGCTCACAAACTGCAGACTTGTTCAATCTATTGTGTTTGATGTCAGCTATATGTTCTTTCACGCGGGTTTTTATTGCTCTTGTGCTAAACCCCCAAAATTGTATGGGTTGCCTAAAATACACAAACCAGACATACCATTACGCCCTATTGTAAGCCAGATCGACTCACCAACTTACAGACTGGCTCAACATCTAGTACGAATTCTCTCACCACTGAGAGGACACACAAGGGCATACACAAAGGATTCTTACCATTTTGTTAGTGAGATAAAACAACTATGTCTTGCTGACAATGAAACAATGGTCAGTTTTGATGTACAGTCTTTATTTACATGCCTACCATTAGAAGACTGCATCTCAATTGTAACAAGAAAGCTAAAAGAGAATAACATGCCGGAAGAGTATGCATTACTACTTAAACATTGCCTAACATCCGGCTACTTGCTTTGGAAGGAGGAATTTTACATACAGATAGATGGTGTAGCAATGGGCTGCCCAGTATCTCCCATTGTCGCTGACATATTTATGGAAGACTTTGAGGAGAAGGCCCTTCGCACAGCTCCCATTTATCCAAGGTTTTACAAGAGGTATGTAGATGACACCTTCACCATTTTACCAACAAGTAAAGTTAATGCATTTCTAAACCACCTTAACTCAGTAAATTCCAAAATACAATTCACTATGGAATTAGAGCATAATAACTCTTTAGCTTTCTTAGATGTTTTGGTCATCCGCAATCCAAATAACACTGTAAGTCACACTGTGTATAGGAAGGCAACCCATACAAATAGATACCTAAACGGTGATTCTCACCACCATCCATCCCAGTTAGCTACCGTGGGTAAATCTTTGTTTCAGAGAGCACAAGGGATCTGTGACAAACAACACCTGGCCGCTGAGCTTCAACATGTCAAGCAAGTTCTGCATGACAACAAGCTTCGAGCACCGCGCCTACGTCACAGTGACCGAGTGAAACCAGCCACAGTGGAGCGAGTACCTGCTGTTCTACCATACGTCAGAGGAGTCACCGACAAGATTGGCTATATCTTAAAGCAGGCTTCAATTAATACATTCTACAAGCCGCTGAAGAAGATTAGTCAGTTTTTACCATCTGTCAAGTGTAATATCCCTCTGCAAGATCCAGGAGTGTACAAACTTGACTGTGAATGTGGGCTCTCTTATATAGGTCAAACGAAAAGAGCAATAAAAACCCGCGTGAAAGAACATATAGCTGACATCAAACACAATAGATTGAACAAGTCTGCAGTTTGTGAGCACATTTTGAATAGACCCAACCACTACATCAGGTTTGACAAACCACAGATCCTTGCAAAAGAACACCGATTCCTCCCAAGGATGATTCGCGAGGCTATTGAAATTAAAAAACACCCTAATTTCAATAGAGAAGAAGGTTGGGTACTACCATCAGCTTGGGATCCTGTCATCAATAAAATTAAATCTAGGCCCAAACGAACCACTACTGCAAGACAAGATACAATTAGCTCCCTCTGCATAGATCGGACACAAAATTAATAATACAAAAACTGACGGTAGCCCGGGTTAACTATGACAATCAGACGTCTAACACCTCAGTCTGTCTGTCCCGTGACCATGAACGCTGTAAAGGGTTCGAAACGTCGGGAATTAAAATTAAAAATAAACGCGATAAATCCGTAAAATTAGTTTCATTTATAATGTGTAATCGCGTAAATACAAGAAATTATTAAGATTAGGTGAGTTAAATCGCCTGTTTCAATATATCCATCAGCCTCACCAAGGCCTGCGTCTTCCGAATCATCATGTTAGAAGTTGTGAGCGATCCGGTTTCCAGTGAAAACAATTTTCATTAACAGTATATAGTTAGGGGACATTAATATTTTATTTACATAATATAAATATATGAATGAAGTTATTGAGTTATATTAAGCAAAATAACCAACTATTATTTGAAATATAATTAAATAATCTAGAAGAAAATATCTTTTGGCCATCTTACTGAAACTGAAATTTTGCGCATGACAATAAACGTTTTAATTATATAGGTAATAGTTTATAGTTATACTACCAATGAAGGGCATTTAACACATTTACATTTAGAATCTATAAAGCTCTCCAAACTCGTGAGTTGCGGCAAAAAATCTGAATTTTGTAAGATTATGGTACGGATGTAAAACGGTTCACAGGTCAGTATATAGTGGTCATTTTAATTCTAATAAGGAATACTTTTTAACAATAATTAAGTCAATTAGTGCTAACGAAAGCACGCGGTGGTGGAAACAAATAGAGAAAAGAAAAAAAATATCTTTAAATGGAAAGGATGTCATAATCAGTTTCTTTAAATTAAAATTTATTAAAATTAATGTCGCATTACGATTTCTTGTGATTTTAAAGCGTCTCTGGTACTTACATCTGAAGTAACAAAGTACTCGGCGATGAATCTTGCGCATCGAATATCGGAAAGAGACAATCGGCTGATTTCGTAGAGCATTGTCTCTGTCACACACTGTTTGTCTCGTTAGAGCTTCGCGCGACAGAGATAGCGTTCTACGAAGCCGAAATATTAAAATATTTATCGCAGAGTACTGTTTATAATTATTGCTAGCTTAATTACCTGAGACGAGACCATTGTAACTAGTGTAATTATAACTAATTGTAATTTCACCTTAAGGACACGTGTTGTTATTTAAAAATTATCTAAAACTTCTTAGTCGTACTAAAATTATTACATAATTCTATATTTTCTTAAATAATTTAACTAAAGAAAGGGCAAAATTACTATTGAAAAGAACATACACAATACAATGTTAGCGTAAGGAAGTGAAATTATGAATTAAAACAAACTAACAAAACAATCAGTCTTTGTTTGAAACAATAATTGCTTAGGTTTTGGTCTTAAAACACACATAGAAACAAAAACCACCAACAAACCGTTGTCGTTCTTACGTAGTTAACTATCATCGTAACAGGAAATGACATTATTAATTTGTTTTTTATTTAATGAAATTCTATTTTAACTTCAGTTAAGTCTGGTAAGATCTGAAAATTCAGACCTCCTTTGACCTTTGACAGGTCCTTGATCCAATTGAGGCTTGAATTTTCTTCTATCTATTTTATTAATTATCTATCTATTTAACACAAAACAAAAAACAAAAAATGCTCGAAAAAAAGAAAAAAACTGAAACTTCTATCTGTCGTTATCGCATAAATGTCGATATATACAAAAGAATACTAAGATAATAATACACATAAGATAGTCTATTAAACGTTAAAAATAATTGATCTAGGCTTAGCTAGGATACACGACCAGGTTTCTGCCTACCCTCTAATTATATTTCGCCTTCACGTTTAAAGAGCTTCTCACATAGGGATGTTGAAAGTGAAGATATATATTGATACATCGATATTCATAAAAATATCAATATCGACCTCGATATATCGGATATATAGGTCCTAGAATCCTCTTTGTCCAAAAAAAAAGGTATATATGTCAAGTATTAAATAGTGGATACCGACGGACACTGTGCCAGACTCGAATTAGACAAAAAAAAAAACAGTTTTGATACATTTACGATACTGAATATTTTGTATCGATGTTCCAAATATATCGCCTGAAAATATCGAATGAAAAATATCGATATGTCGATATTTTTTCGTCGTCCCTAGGGCATCACGCGCGAGCTCCCGACGACCTGGCTTCGAGCTCGCGCCTCAGTCTGCTCCTCGCCTCCAGCCGCGCCAAATGCTCCCTCCTGGTGACTCTCACGACCCTGGTGTGAGGGTTCGGCGCGGCTTTGCGCACTCCCACCGGCCGGGGCTTCCCCCGCCGCGGAGGCCCCTCTATGGGGGGGGAACAGGCGGCGTCCTCTGGCGGCCCCCCCTCGCGCGATATCCGGTTGTAGATCTTCAGGAACTGGTGGAACTCCACGTCGCCGCCCCTGACGTTCCGCGCGTAGAACTCCCTCAGGGCGGGGTCGCATCTGTGGCGGTTCACTATCGGGCGCGGCTCGGCGTGCCGGTTGGCGGAGGCCCCGCCCCCTCCCACCGCCTCTTCAGAACGAGCACTTCCCCCCGTGTCCCCCGCTGACTGCTGAGCGCTTTGCGCCGCCCCACCAAAACCACCCTCGGCGTCTTCCCCAGCCTCTGCTACCGTCTCTCTTTTGTCCGTTAGCGCTGCCTTTGCTTGTTTGCAGGACGTCGGCCGCGATTTTCCTTCTCCTACTCTTCCCTCGGCGTCGTCGCCTGCTCCGTTCCCCGTTCTCCCGCTGTCATTCTGCGTTTTCGTCTTGTGCTTCCATATCTTCGGCTTGTACGGCTTCTTGTTCGGGTCGTGGCGGCGCGTGTGCAGCTTGAGGGCGCTGAGGGTCTGGCATATCTTCGGGCAGCCGTCGCACGGGAACAGCATCTTGGCGCCGTGGGCTTTCGCCAGCCGGCTGAGTCGCTTCAGCCTGGCCAAGTAGTCGTCGCCGACTTCCGGGCCGGTGTCGCCCTGCGCCGCCAGCTCGGGCAGGAGGAACTCCTCGACGGAGAGCCTTTCCGTTTCCACCACCCACTCGGACCCCCTCTTGACCAGCTTCTTCTTGGCCACCGTCATCTCCCTCTCGCGCCTGCTCCGCTGGTCGATCTTCGCGCACTCGCGCCTGTTAAGGTTCCGCGCGCTGGGTATGACCTCCACATCGCCAAGGTTGCCGAGGTCGTAGTAGAACTTGGAGCCGTTCTCCTTCGTCTGTTTGATCCTCGGGTGCTTCAGCCGCACGTGGACGCCGTGGACCAGCCTCATGTGCCTCCTCAGGTCCAGGTTGGTGGCGTAATCGCACATCGGGCACTTCTTCAGCATCACGCCGCCGCAAACGTCGAAGTGGTGCTGGCAGTGCTCCGTCAGGGCGAGCTTCGTTGGGAACAGCTGGAAATTGATTGGGTGCATATAATCCTATCGGTTTGTTTGAAGTGAAACTTCTCAGTAGGCTAATCGTTAGTTGGATGAGAATTGACGCTGTCTAAGTCGAGTCATATTTCGTCACATCAGAGAGAAGAAAGGTACAACGTGGGGTGTAAGAGAGAGACGCACGATGTAGGCGTACGAGTCATACGAAAGGTATGACCCGGTGAGGTACCACGCAATTAGTAACAAAATTTTTAGTTGTGTTTCAGAAGTTTCAATTCCATCAAGCACGGTGCTGCTTTTTTTTTTAAATCAATGCAACTGAGCATACGGTACACTTGATGATGAGTGAGAGACGCGTTAGAAACCAGTGCACGTGAGGTATTTTACTCACCAGGTCAAACCCAGACGTGGAAAAATTCAAGCCGACCATTAACGTAACGGGAGTTATGTGTTCTGCTTTTCTCTAACACAGCAGAGCCATTACCGATCCCTGTTCCCGCATAGCTTCTCGCCCACATCCATTTTTGGCTGAGGGTGGCGGAATGTCTCTATCGCTACGGTGTGGCCACGTGCCTGCCACGTGGCAGTCCTCGCTGTTGCACGAATGGGCAGGCCCGGAAAGTACCACGACCTCGCAGAAGACCGTCGTCAAGTGTCACTCACACTTGACTTCTTCTTACTTCTTATACTTCTGCGTTTTTTCTGGTGAGTTATTCTCACTCACTTCGTTGAAGCCAGAAGTGACCGGGGCCCACTGTGTTGAAAGGTCCACGGGCGGCGGTCATCACTTAACATCAGGTGAACCGCCAGTTCGCTCTCCACCTTCGCACGTAAAAACTAATATGCCGCCAATTTGGAATGTCTCACCTTGAAACAGACGTAGCATTGGTGAGTGTTGATTTTCAACTTCCCACCCTTCCTATCCGCCGCTTTGTCGATTTCGTTGTCGTTTCCATCCGTCTCTTTCTCACTGGCCGCGTCATTATCGTTCAATGATTTGTCTTCATCGTTATTCTCATCGTCATTACCGATGAATTTGTTGAGTTGTTGACTCTCACTGATTCAACGTCATCGTCCGTGGCTTTTGAGCTTTTCACGAATCTCACCGTGATCCGGTCTGGAAGCGCAATGGGATCTGTTAGGCACGGGCAAAAAATATCGACACCTAATAAGGTTCGATTCCCACGGCGGCGACAATCTTTTCGTACTTTTTCTACACGTTTTAATGTTCAAATCTTAAGTGCAGAGATTGGCAACTTTAAAACCTAATAGTATCGATATTTTGCCATAGCATTATCGATATGCAGCGTGGCGCTACTAACGCGACCATAAATCAAAACACATATAGAGGACATAGCTTATCAAAATTGTATTAAGCATTTACATTCTTTAAACATCAATATTTACAGAGTTATTAAATTTACCAAAACAAACAATTTTAGAACATCCTTTCGTATAACACTGTAACATAAAGTTCATTTGTAAAGGTTACAATGCATATGAATGGGTTGAATGAATTTAAAAGAGATAAAACATACTGTTAGAAGGAGAGGCTTGTAATGCGACGTTGTGACAGCGAATGAAAAAGTATCTGAATGTATGAATCAGTCAGTTGTAGTTGTATAGTATGTTACAAATTTGGTTTCATTTTTATTTAAATAGTATGTTTGAAAAATATTTTTTTTAATTATGGATTTTTTAACGTCTTATATTTTTCTATATTTATTGGCAAGCAGCGTAAGACGTGTGTTCATTTATTGTCCCGGTTATAATGACACACTTTATATCGTCGATTTTTTTTATCGCGATATATCGATAATCAATATTAATTTTAGACTATCGAATTCGTGTCAATTCGATAAATCGATATATTTTCAACGCAACTCTGGTTTCGTGTTTAATGCTAAAATATATTATTTGCATGCTCCTCGCGCAACGTTAATTTTAAACTCTTTTCAACTATTTTCTTAATGTCTATTCTATTTTTACGAATTTTGGAAAGGTCGAAGGTTTGAAAGTAATCATGCAACAAATGACGATATATCTCGCTCGATAATTATATACTTTTTTTTTAAATGTCGATACGATATATATCGATATATTATTTTTGCTTGCCCATCCCTAGGACTCGGTGGGGTGACAGCCCGTTTACGGCCACCTTTTATGGGTCCGTGAAGGTGCCGCGACCGCACAGAAGAGCGGCGGTAAATTAAAGTGTTACAAATCTTCGTCTCGTCCACATTGACAATAATGCAGTGGAACTAACGTAGGCAGCTGTCAAGATTTTCACGCAGCGGGGTCATCTACAACTTAACTTTGCTGGTGAAGCGAAACAAGAACACACAGTTTCGAATCCCGCGGCGTAAAGATTTCGCTCATTCGTCTACAATAATACATAATTTAAAGTTATAATGTTAATAAGAAGTCTTTTTTTATTAACGAAAAACAAAAACCGACTTCAGATATCTCGCTCTGAATGCATTTTATAATTGATTTACACGTGTTCCGTAAGTATCTCCGGGGCCAAAGATCCAATACAAAGAAATTAATATGGCGCCGCATGGAAGCACCAGCATTCAAATAAACAAGGAATCATCAAAATCTGTTCTCTCTCGAAAGTTAAACTCAGTCGAAAGTTCTGAGGTAACAAACATAAAAAAAAAAGATTAAAAGATTGTCGCCGCTGTGGGAATCGAACCCACGTCTTCGGCACGTCTTCGATTCCCACAGCGGCGACAATCTTTTCGTACTTTTTCTACACGTTTTAATGTTCAGTGCAGAGATTAGCACTATAAAAAAAAACTTTAAAATTTACAAAAAAAAAAAAAAGGGTAGAATTGAGAACAGACGGTTCTAGTTCTTTTTTTGTCTTTTTTGAAGTAGTTTAAAAATATAAATTTATCGTATAAATAGTTGTTTTTCTACCCTGGTCCCATAGACCTCCGGAGTCCGTTTGGAACAATACATACCTGTCTTCGGTTGTTCGCCGATAGCCCGTCTTATCCTCTCGTTGTAATCCCTCCTGGTCTCCTCCAACTCCGCCAACTTCTTCTCTCTTCTCGCCTTAGACAGGAGCGTCTCCAGCTCTCTCTTCGCGTTCTCCTCCAGTCCGGTGTCTACTTCCACCAGGAGCTGGGCTTCCGTCGCTTCTGCCGAACAAAACAGACGCACTGGTGAAGAGATAAAGTTGAAAGATTTGGCGACGTAATAAGATCAATCTTTCTCTTTCTCAAAAGAGAAGATGGCGGACGGATATGAAGCAAAACATCCTTATGGAACCAAGAAAAGTCAAACATTGTAAAGGATATCGCGATATAATAAGATCAAAGTCTTTCTCTTTCTCAATAGAGAAGATGGCGGATGGACATAAAGCAAAACTTCCTTATGGAACCAAATGAGCAGTGTTAAAGATATAAAGGATTTGGCGACGTTATTAGAACAAAGTCTTTCTCTTTCTTAAAAGAGAAGATGGCGACATAAACCAAAGCATCCTTACGAAGCCAAACTTGCAGTTAAAGATATAAAGTCAAACATTGCAAAGTCTTTCTATTTCTGAAAAGGCAGAATGGCGAATTCAAAAATGGTTAGATTAGTCCACAAATGACCTGTTAATTGATGTGAGGATTTTGACGGAAATCTTCACACTTGGCATCCTTGCGTCGCCCAATGTCATTCCATTCACATCATCCACAGTCGACTCACCCTCGACTTTGCCGCTGACTTCCTCGAGCTTCTCCACCACCACTTCGGTGGAGATCTCTGGACGCTCCTCATCTTCACCGTCACCGGCTTCCAGCATCCTCTCATCATCACGGAACTCCCGTTTCGTGTACTCCACTTCTGCGCCGCTCTGAGAATCTGCTTCCACGTCTAGAAGTAAGACAAGTCGGATCGGTGTTATCCGAGGCAATATTTATCAAAGTAATTCCAATTTTTTATAATATACTAGCTGAGTCGGCAAACGTTGTTTTGCCATATAAATTATTTCTAGAGGAATCGGAACGCACGCATAAAGTGTTTGACAGGTTACACAGACATAGTTGACAGGTACAGTTTGTATGGTCGCTATTTCGATTTTCCATACAATTTTTCCATAATTTCTCATCGTTTAAACCACAGATCGACTGCCACAGATATTTCAAAACCAAAATTTGCCTCTTCGGTCCAGCCGTTCTCGAGTTTTAGCGAGACTGACGAACAGCAATCTATTTTTATATATAAGATATTTAGTGTTCCGTACGTAAAAGGAGAAACTGGACCGTATAACTAAGACACCTCTGTCTGTTTGTACGTCTGTCACCAGACTGTGTCTCATGAATCGTGATAGTTAGGCAGTTGAAAATTTCACAGATGATGTATTTCTGTTGCCGCTATAACACTAAATACTAAAAAGAAAAAAACACGTCTTTTTTTTTAAATTACATTGTATACGTAAATAAAGTTGTATAAAAATTATAAATATTTAAAATCACTCGAAATTAATTAATTACATTCATTTTAATTTATCTCAAAAAGTGTGTGATTTATGTTCAACTCATTTATTTTACGCGGCATCATTCACAACTAAAACGCACACAAGTTCGTTTCAAAAGTATACGACGCATTTATGAATGACTACCGCATTGTCAACAAGTTCTGTTTTTTAGGGAATAGAATTGCAATTTTTTTTTTCGAAAAAAAAATTTTTTTTTTCAATAAACGATTATAGTACCGAGTCTGAACCTTCTGTGTGAATTTGGGCACCTTTAGAAAAGCCACCCTGTATATCGCCCTACTTTTAATTTACTGCTAATAAAATTCGGTAGACGATGTTTTAAAAAAATAAGATTAAATCAGAACACTACAACTCGTACCAGACATTATCTCCTCTTTGTGAACTTCTAGCAGATCTATTTCTGGTATAGTGTCCATCTCCTGTTTTATGACGGTCTCCTCTATCTCCTTCTTGCGCCTTCTGAAATGTCAATTGCTTCTTAACATCTCTTTCTTTTTTCTTTAAAAAAACATTGCCCTTACTGTAGGATAACATTATCTTGTGTTGTAAAGTACGCTTTACAAACATTTAAACGTACGCTTTACATACATCTCACGCGGACAAACGCCCCGATACGAAACAACTATCTTCTTTTCGTGGAAGGCTCTTCGAGTCTAAACCTTACAGTTTTTTCAATACAGGGCCGTGGGGGTTCATAGTTTGATTGATTAATGTTGAGAAAAGACGCGAATAACTAGACAAGTCGGAAAGGAATACTCTTCAACTCAGATCTAATACAGCGTATTCATAAAAGTTTGTAGAAAAATTAATAATTTTTATAGCTAATCTCTGCACTTAAGATTAAACATTAAAATTTGAAGAAAAAGTACGAAACGATTGTCGCCTTGAGGGAATCGAACCCACATCTTCGGCATTCGCGGCCTGACGCTTTAGCCACTGAGCTAAACGGCCGATAGCCACAGCGACGAAAATCTTAACTGCCTGGGCTTCACCATGTGCACGGTGATGAAGAAAGAAAGATGTAGTTAGAGAATAGCAACATTTGTACACTTGTCTATGGCGTGTATCTATGGCGAATGTCTATGGCTATACGGCCATGTATTGAGGAACCATGAAGTATTTCATTTATTCACTCACCGCCGTCTGACCTTCTTGTATTGGACGCAATGCGCGTTCCAGTAGTGTTGTCTGAGATGCAGGTTGTTCTTGAAACCCCTACGGCATATCTGGCATACTTTCCCCTGTTTCGTGAAGAATTCACACATCTTTTTGAAAAACCCAATCAATAATCCCTTCTATATAGACGAATTGAATAATAATAGATAAATATTTTAGTAAGCATTATCACACAACATTCTATAGTCGCAAACTACTACTGTACTAACTGTACTATGGGTACTGGATAACTGATATACATACTTGAACATACTTTTCTTTTGCAAATAAATAAATACATACTATAAATATATAAACACCCTGACACTGGAAAAACACTATGTTCACCACACAATATTTTTCCAGTAGTGGGGATCGAACACACACCATCTAGCGCTCACTGCAGGCTCACTGCCCACTACGCCAATATAACACATGAATCTATTTTACGGAGTTTGTGACACAATGTAAGACGTGGCAGGTCCGTCTGGGTAAGTACCACGACCTCACAGAATACTGATGTTAAGTGGAAGTATAATACTTCTGATACGTCTGGTGAGTGAGGTAGCCGGGGCCCACTCTATTAAAAGATGGCAACGCATGCAGATGCAACCCTACGGGTGTTGCAAATGTCTATGGGCGGCGGTTATCACTTAGCATCAGGTGAACCGCCAGCTCGCTTGCCATCTTCTTACATAAAAATAAATCATAAATATTTACTGAGTTATTAATTTTTCCAAAATAAATTACTTCAAATTTCCTTTTTAATTATGGACCTTTTTAACGTTTAATCTTTTATGATTATTAGCAAGTAGCGTAAGAAGTGTGCTCATTTATTATAGCTGTTGCAACGCCATATACCTTGTGTTTGTACATAATATCATTGGCCGTGTGCGTGCTGGTATGCGTGTGTGCGTGCGTGCGTGCGTGCGTGCGTGCGTGCGTGCGCGTACTCACGTTCTCCGTTTCGTGGCCGTGCTTGATGTGCATCACGAGGCTCGGCTTGTTCGGCGTGCGGAAACCGCACTCGTCGCACTCGTAACGGCGGCCGCTGTGCTTGCGGAGCATGTGCGCCGCCACGTAGTTGGCGTTGTAGAAGCTGTGTTTTTTTTTATGTGAAACTCCTTTAAGATCGATTTAAGCCGGTCACGCGATTAGTGCAGTGGACGGCTACGGCGAGTGAGTAAAAAGAAAGTAAAGTAAAGTCATGTCCCACTGCTGGGCAAAGGCCTCGTTTGTACAGAGGTATCGGGGCACAGTCCACCACGCGGCCCCACCGCGGATTGGCGGACTTCACATATCCTCGAAATGTTTTTTTTTTTTTGTTATTACTTCGAAAATATGCAGGTTTCCTCACGATGTTTTCCTTCACCGCTGAGCACGTGATAATTTTTGGAAGTACAGTAGTGTAAACGTCGGACGGTGGCGAGTCGACTTGGAACTCACCATTACACTGATCAAGTGTTTAGTATAGTAGATAAGTACAGTGAGCAAGTACAGTAGTGTAAACGATCGGACAGTGGAGGCCTGCGTTAACGATGTGGCGGAATAGTTCAGTTGCAGATTATCAAAGTCAAAATTTCCTTATTTAATATAGTGTTACGAACACATAAAGAAACTAGCGCCATCTAGCGTCAACCAGTAAACGCGCTCAAAGAACAAAAATAACATAAAAACCCCCTATTCACTACTAGATGGCGTTAGAGGAACTACTGTAGAACTATATAGAACTACAGTCTCGAAAACCGGGTACATTCGCGAACTTTCCAGAATCACGATCACGTACGTGCAAGTCGGGTGCGTTCCAGGAAGGAACTTTCCGGAATAGTCGGGGACTCGTCTCGGCCCATATAAAAAGCCGCAGGGGGGCGTCAGTTTGAGTTATCTTCGAGGCGACTTCGGAGTTAAAACTAGTGATCAAGAGCGATACCAGTGAAACCTACGCCTTGGCTACAATCTAGGACATCGTTAGTGCTTAGTGCTTTGTGTTGGACCTAGTACTAGTGAATAAAGTATCTCAAAGAGTCAGCAGGTCTTTCTCTCCAAATCCTTCGAACCCTAACACGTAACAATAGGTTATATTTTAATATTGTAAGCTCTTATTTAACGTCGAACTACCACCGGATCTCTAAACTAGACCTGACCAGAGACGAACCGGCAAGAAACTCTGTAGTATTGTTATCTTTCTTTTTCATTATAGAAGTATACAAAATTATTTAAATATAAAATCAGCAGCAGAGCAAGTATAATTTCCAGACATCATTGTCCTCAATGTATTCTTCGACATTATAATAAGCCTTTTCCATTAGGGTAGCTTTTAGAAAATTATTGAAATTGTTTATTATAGGTTGATGCAAGGTTCGAACCTAGGACCACTATTATACAGAAGGCGGGGTCAACAGCGATTATACCAGTTAGGATGCTAGTATATTATAAATCAGAATAAAGAATCTAGACCTTACGGTAGAGGTATCAGGCCCTCGAAGAATCCTGGCCCTAACCTGAACGTCAGTTTATCGGTGGCAGTTCTGTGCTAATACTTACCGGACCCCACAGAGGTCGCACTGGGCCGACTTGACCTTGGGCTGGTGCTGGGCCAGGTGGCTGTTGAGCCGAGTCTTCCGCGAGAAGAGGTGGCCGCAGATGTCGCAGGCGTAGTGACGCTCGGGGCGGTGAAGGATGCTGTGCTTCTTCAGATAGTCCTGAACGGAGATTACGTAAGTGTGATGCCATAACAAAAGCCGCATAGCACATCTTCTTTTTATGTGAGAAATGGCAAGCGGGCGGGCGGTTCGCCTGATGTTAATCGATTACTGCCGCCCATGGAAACTTGCCACACCCGTAGGGTTGCAGATGCGTTGCCACCTCTTAGTTAAATGGGCACCGGCTACCTCACTCACCAGAGGAACCGCAGAAGTATAACACTTCCATTTCACGCCAGCGTTCTGTGAGGTCGTGGTACTTACCCGGATGGACCTGCCCACGATGCGTGGCCCTACCGCAGTTGATTATATTAGATGTTGTAGTTCAGTGTTCCCTATTGCGATCTCATTATAATTTACGACGAAATTAGGTTTCTTTTAATTTGACGTTATTTGGAAAAGGACTTATTTTTTGAGTGGCAAATCGAAAACGTTCAGTAAAAAGTTAGCACCCAAATTTATGATATGTCGGATAACTAAAAAATTATCACCATTGGTTTACGAATTGGAAGATATGCAAGGAAATAGTATCGGCGCTTGGCACGTAAAAGACTAAACCGACAGGAATAAACATTACTAGCGTTTGTATGAGGGAGAAAGTGAATTAGATGCCGTTAATTAGACAACCGGATAGTTAATATATGAAAGGATGACGCTCGTCTGGTTGTATATATTTTATTTTTTGTAATTTAAAACTGGAAAATTAAGTTATAATCTCACAGTCGTTACAATCCACTTCCCTTAATAACGTCATCTGATGTCTAAATCTTCGCGACGGTCGCGCGTTCTTATGAAGCGCCGAGCCGATACTCAGCTCGGCCGCGTGTCGAGCCGAAACGCAGCCGAAACGCACGAAACACGCCCGCGGCGCCGAGCGCGAACGCAACCCACCATCCGCTTGAACAGCTTGCCGCAACTGGGGTGCGCACACTTGTACGGCGTTATGTCCGTATGTGTGCGCATGTGTGCGAGCAGGTTGCCCTTCGCGCTGATGGCGGCGCCGCATATCTCGCACTTGCACGAGTAGCGGCGCGCGTGCACCCTGTTCTGTCGGAGCGGGGAAACGGAGGGGACGATAGAGCGGACGCGGTGTTACCAAATGTTCAATAATACTTTTTGATGACTCCGGTGCGCCGCTGCCGAGTTACTGGCTTCGGCGTCGAGGGTCGTGGGTTCGATTCGCACACGAGACAACTATTTGTGTCACCCACAGATAGTTGTTGCGCATCTGGGTGTTTGTCCGAGTGAAATTTATGTTTGGGTGTAATTTATCAAGGTGGATGTAATTTATCAAGGGCATTGTTTTTAAAAAAAAAATACTCCTAGATAAATTCTAAGACCCACCAAAATTGAGTAAATTCAAACGAAAAGATCCTAAATTTAAAATCACTTCTTTTAAAAGGTAAAATAATTATGTGATAAAATCAACAATTTCTTTATTTATCCATATTTTAAAAATGGTCCAGAAAAATTCCTGAGTTGGCATCCCTGACTGCGGACGCTGTGAGTGGGCGCCGTGGAAATCCCCCGGGATGCTGTTTTGAGGGGGGGAGGAGGGGTGGCAAGCGGATCGGAAGAGCGACTCCGTTTTAATGTAAGAAAGAGACAAAAGAGCGAAGACTGTAAATGGGGGCCGTCGCCGGAAATCCCCCGGGATGCTGTTGCGTCTCTTTGAGGGCGGGAGTTTCCCGCTATAAGGTTGACTGTTACTTCAGTAGGTGCCCATTTGTGCAACAGCTGAAGTAGCCTCAACCAGCAACAATATTCGCGAATAACATCACTTTTGGTATCTCGTTACGATTTGTGCGAATCAATTTCATTCACAAATAAAAAAAAATATTTCTTTAAAGTTGGCGACTAATAGGCATATCCGCCTGATGTTATGCGATTACCTAGCCCACTCGACCCACTTGGCATGTGCCACCCACATGCTTTGCCAACCTTTTAAAAAGTGCCTCCCGGTTACCATACTCACGTTACATGTTTATTCTCGCTCGTATAACTAAATGTGTCTAATCGAATGACCACCAAGAAGTTTCATTTTCAAAATAATGCACGGCGAGGGCTTGTATAGTAACAATGAAGGGATGAAAGTCATCTGATTAGGAATTTTGAGTATGAATATGTTTGGAGGGTGTGAGGCTAGAGGGAGGTGATGTCTGAAAGTGGTTAGTATTAAGTTGACGGCTGACATAGTACAGTTGGTGGGACGGACATTCTATGCTGGCCTCACGTAGTACGGGACAAGGGCAGGAGGAAGAGGAGTCTTGTATACTCACCACGTGGTTCGTCAAGTGGGTGGTGCTCTTAAACATCTTGCCGCAGATGTCGCACGGTATCCTGTTCACGTCCACGCCGAAGTGCCTCTCCTCCGTGTGCAGTTTGAGGGACTTCTTCGATTTACACCTGTAAGGTTCAGGGCATAAGACAGCTGGGAAACAAAATATGCTCGCAAATCCGTGATCACGTAAGATACCGAACTGTAGTTTGCAAGCACAACTTATATTAAACAAACACCAAAATCCAGAATCGGTAAACAATAGAATTACTCGGTTTCCAAGGATAGGAGTCGAAACCTTATTTTTTATTATAAACAACCCTCTCTATTGGTTTCGAAACTGTTGTGTCATGACAAAACATGCATATTGGAAACACTTAGTGCCTATAGAAAAACTTGCAAGTATACTTTTTTTTATGTGAAAAGTTCCCAAACGAGCAGACGGTTCACCTGATGTTAAATGAATACCGCCGCCCATGGACATCTGCTACACCCGAGGGTTGCAGATACGTTGACAACCTTTTGAAAAGCTCCGGCCACCTCACTCACCGGACGGAACGCGAAAGTATCATACTTCCACTTTACGCCGGTCTCCTGTGTGGTCGTAGTACTCATCCGGACGAGCCTGCCCATTCGTGCAACAGCCTCGGCTGTTGCAGCTACGTGGCCCTACCACCGTCGTCCGTTGTGACAACTCACTGGCAACACTTACTGCCTGCTGCAATATTTGCACGGGTACATTTTCTTCTTGCCCAAGTGCCTATCCTGGTGCTTCCTCAGCGTGGAACTGTCACGGCACGCGTAGTCGCACATCGAGCATTCGAAGGGCTTTACGTCTGGAACGAGAGTAAAACACCTCATTGTTTTTTTTAAACATTGTTTTTTTTTTTAAACATTGCCCTTACTTTAGGATAACATTACCGTGTTGTAAGGACGTTTTACAAACAGAATTTCACGTGGAAAAACACCCAGATGCGAAACAACTACCTGTGGCTCGCACTAATAGTTGTCCCGTGTGGGAATCGAACCCACGACTCCGACGCCGAAGCCTTACCTTGGCAACTGCGCCACGGAGTCAGTTAAAACAGTTTTATTTCACGTCGGGAGGTGGCAATCTAGAAGGCGGTTTACCTAATGTTGAGACATCGACAACACCTGAGGGTTCGCAGTTTCGGTGCATCCAAGCTCCGGTCACCTCACTAACCAAACGAAACGCAGATGTACAATCCTCTCCCGTTACGATGGTCTACTGAGAGGCAGCGGTACTTCCCCGGCAATGGATGCTACGCGGCCTTTATTTATCGCATTCCATTTTCCATGCACTTGAACTCTGCCGTTCGTTGCGCATTCAGTAAAGGGTTGGAACAATCGTTCTGATGTTACGTGGGATATAACAAGTTTAAATTGAATAGGCTGTTGTACTGAGCTGATGCGTGGTGCTGGTGCTTACAGCGGCAGCATACACACAATTAGGGGGATAACGGGCGAGAACAGTATCTTAAAAAGAAGAAAAAGGCCCTATTAAAGATCGGTTATTCAAATTCGCTTGCAATGTATCGGTTATGAATAAACAAGGTAGATGCCATTTTTAGGGTTCCGTACCCGATGCGTGAAACGGAACCACTGTATGGTGAAGAATACGTTCCTGCGTAAAGCGAGAGGGTCGCCGCACCTGAAGAATTTAAATGAGATCGGCGTTTGATATCGAGAGGAAAAAAACTCAACTATTCTGTATTTACAACATCGAATATTTCGTAAACTGAACTCAAATACCAAAGACTATCCGGGGACTGTTAACATAAAGTTGTTAAATAAAACCAATACGAATATTTTAGCCTTTAATTTTCGTTTAATGTTCTAATTTCAGACGTCTTGACGAGTTAGGGCGAGGGGTTGCAGTTTTGCCAAAGTTATTAGTTTAGGCGCCAAGGATTGTGGCTTCGATTCCCACAGGGGCCAACTGTTTGTGGAATCCACATATAATTTATTTATTTATCCTTAATACACTAAAGTACAGAGGCGGGCTTAATGGCATCTCCCAGTAGGATCTGAGAGTTTGTCAACGTAAAATTGTGTTAAACAATAAATAATCCGGGCTGCCGCTATAAAAGGCAACTATCCGCAAATAAAAGGGATGTTTGCGGTCCACCCCGGATCTCCCCAAGTCTCTTACACGTTTGACAATTTCAAACGAAAATAATATTGAACAAAAAAAAAACGACTTCCAACTGGAAACTAAACCGGGTTTCCTTATCATGGTACCACCCTTGGGATATCTCCTCTCCAACAAGAAAAGAATCATTAAAATCGGTTTACAAATGACGAAGATATCCGCGAACACACACAAAAAAATATATATATATATATACGGTCGAACTGCGAAAACCTCCTCCTTTTTTTAAGTCGGTTAATATACGATACAATACTGCCCGGTTTCTCGGCAGATAAGTTCCGACACGAGGTTTTCCATTAAGGAGAACAAACTAACAGCGATCACGTGCAATTTACAAGGGCAGCGAAACCAGCCCGTGTAAACTCTCGCCTAATGGGCGCCATTTGTAACGGTCAATTTGCGATTACCGCGCGCTTGGCGCGAATACAGGAGTCTCGCGGGAATTTACAACGAAAGGCCGGTGCATGGTGAACTTGGTAGAGCGCGTTAGAATAACGCTCTCACGTACTATTCAATACACTTACGCCCGGTTTCTGAAACACTGATCATCCTAGATGTCAACTAATCGGCCGTCAAATGGCTTTTCAAATTTCATTTGTTAAATTATATTTCACTCTCTGAATTGACCAGAATGATCTTCTAATGATCAGAACGATCAATCCAAAGAGTTTAACCATCCTTTTAGCAACTAAAATGAAATTTGAAAACCATTTGACAGCTGATTAGTTGACATCTACGATGGTCAGTGTATCAGAAACCGGCCGTTAGTTTTCTTTTTCTTCTGTTGAAATGAATCTATGGAATTAACTAGGACACTACGAAATTATTTTCGTTAGGACACATCGTTCAATTTATTATCGCCAAGTACACTTTCTTTATTCTTTACTGTACACAGAGTATAAGTGAAAACAAAGTTACAAAAAAAAAATGTACAAAGGAGAGCTTAACCCTAAAAAGAGTTTTCTTCCAACAAACCCTGTCATAAGATTAGAAACAAATTTTGATAGGTAGGTGTGTAAAACTACACACTTTTAAAATTTATGTCTCGATGCGAGTATATTTAATGTTCCTTCATATAGATATGGTAATACCGGTTAAAACGATGACTAATATAAGTTACATTTTCACCATAACCATAAAATGTGGCACTTTCCCTGATGTTCACGGAGATCCAATACCTATATCAAAACATGTAAATTTAAAGAGGCATAAATATGAAGTAAGTCCGTTAATAAATAGTTATTTGAGCCCGGTCAGGATATTTGAACGAATTCGTCACAGTTCAGAACAAGTTATCATATGAATAGACTTGGAAGTGACAAAATGTTCGGTGAATTTAAAACCGAACTAAAACGCGATGAAGTAAGTAAATTAGTTTCATTTAACCATGTATTTAATTCGCGTAAAAACAAGAACGTTCCGAAACATTAATAGATATGTTACTCATTACTATTTGCTTAACCTTTATTAGGTAAATAAACGTGCCTCACTTTTATTTAAGACACGGAACGTTAGGAATACTAAAGTTTATTTTCACAAAATAAATTAGGAAATATGTGGAAAAATAAAAAAGATATTATACGATAAAACTAGAAGCGACCACTGAATTAACTTTGAGAATTCTTCACAAGACAAACATACAGAAGTACTTATCGCAACGGCTATATTGACCGCACTCGATAGACTATTATTGAGTAATACTAAGGCTATTATAGTTTCGATGTAAACGGCAATAAAGTTTATTTTCACAAAACAAATTAAGAAAAATGTGGAAAAATAAAAAAGATATTATACGATAAAACTAGAAATGACCACTTAATTAACTTTGACAATTCTTCACAAGACAAACATACAGAAGTACTTATCGCAACGGCTATATTGACCGCACTCGATAGACTATTATTAAGTAATACTTAGGCTATAAAGGTTTCGATGTAAACGGCAATAAAGTTTATTTTCACAAAACAAATTAAGAAAAATGTGGAAAAATAAAAAAGATATTATACGATAAAACTAGAAGCGACCACTGAATTAACTTTGACAATTATTCACAAGACAAACATACAGAAGTACTTCTCGCAACGGCTATATTGACCGCACTCGATAGACTATCATTGAGTAATACTAAGGCTATTATAGTTTCGATGTAAACGGCAATAAAGTTTATTTTCACAAAACAAATTAAGAAAAATGTGGAAAAATAAAAAAGATATTATACGATAAAACTAGAAATGACCACTTAATTAACTTTGACAATTCTTCACAAGACAAACATACAGAAGTACTTATCGCAACGGCTATATTGACCGCACTCGATAGACTATTATTAAGTAATACTTAGGCTATAAAGGTTTCGATGTAAACGGCAATAAAGTTTATTTTCACAAAACAAAGTAAGAAAAATGTGGAAAAATAAAAAAGATATTATACGACAAAACTAGAAGCGACCACTGAATTAACTTTGACAATTATTCACAAGACAAACATACAGAAGTACTTCTCGCAACGGCTATATTGACCGCACTCGATAGACTATTATTAAGTAATACTCAGACTATTATAGTTTCGATGTAAACGGCAAAAGAAATGAATGAGTTTCAAATATTGCTCATTATAGAACTCGCATTTTGGGTAACAGGTGAGATTTGTCTTTGACTATCTTTATATATATAATTCTTCTGTACGCGTGTATGTCACTGAAATCCCCCTAAACGGCTGGACGGATTTTAATGAAATTTTATGCCTGTCTTCAGGTCGATTCGAGAATGGTTTAGATACACAATTTTTTTTATTATTATTTTTAAGTCAGTGTCTACAGGACAACGCGCATGCGCGGTCCGCTAGTTTTAATATAATATTATATCGGTAACAACGCATATACACTTCTTTTACTCTGTTGTCTACTGCTAGTTTTTAGTGATTTACATAATATTATTATTGTTTATCTTACATCATCAATTTTACTATTATAATTTTAGGTATAATTCTTATCTATACACCTACGATTATGGTTTTAGTCCCATTTCGTTGATTCTTGCATTTTCACTTTCTGTCTCGTTTTGTACTTCACTGTCGTTAAAGCAATAAAATAGTAAACGGTGGACTATGCCCTAGTACCCGGGACGAACACAGGACGATACTTTACTCAACTATGCTTCGGAATGTATATAGCGTGTCGTTACCACCGCGACAATAAATGAACACACATATTGAGGATAACTTTTTAAAATTGTATTAAACACTTATATTCTTCAAACATCAATATTTACAGAGTTATTAAATTTTCCAAAACAAACAATTTTAGATCACCCTTACGTATAAAACTGTAACGTAAAGTTCCTTTGTAAAGGTCACAAAGCATATGAATGGGTTTAATGAATTTAAAAGAGACAAACATACCGTTATAAGGAGAGGCTTGTGATGCGACACTGTGGCGCGAGTTGTATAGGATGTTACAAATTTTGTTTCTTTTTTACTTAATTAGTTTGTTTGAAAAATATATTTTTTAATTATGAATTTTGTTTAACGTTAATATTTTTTTATGATTATTGGCAAGTAGCTTTGGACGTGTGTTCATTTATTGTCGCGATGGTAACGACACGCTGTATAACAGGCGACCTTTGCTTTCAGAAGGCAGAGTGTACTGTCAGGATGCGCACGCGTCGCCGTGGATCCCGCTTGGCTACTCGTGTCCAGTCATGTGCCAAAACGTCATCAACGCCATAGAGAAGTAATAACCAATTTTTTGACACACCTACACGAATGCGATAGCTCTACACCACCCTAAGGTAGACTGGTAGAAAATGCCTTTGGCATTAATTCCGCCTTTGTACTAGATTGTGCATAAAGTGTAAATAAATAAATAAATAAAATGCGAAGTCTTAGCCATTACACCGCCATAGTCAAATCCGCTTTTTTACTAACGAAAAACAAAACCGACATCAAATTCAAACATCTCCCTCTGTATTCATTTTATAATTGATCTTCAGGAGCACCCTAAGTATCTCCGGAGCCCAAGGTCCAATACCAATGAAATTAATACGGGACCGCATGGGAGGCGTCAGCTTTCAAATAAAAAAAGAATCACCAAAACCGGTTCGCTCAATTGCAAGTTCTGAGGTAACAAACATAAAAAAAATACAGTCGAATTGAGAACTTCCTCCTTTTGAAGTCGGTCGAAAACCGGCCAAGTGCGAGTCGGACTCGCGCACGAAGGGCTTCGTACCATATGGGAACGCCACGTAAATATTTTTAACAGTGTGTGTTGTTATAGCGGCAACAGAAATAAATCATCTGTGAAAATTTCAACTGTCCAACTACCACGGTTCATGAGATACAACCTGGTGACAGACGGACAGACAGACAGCGCAGTCTTACTAACCCTTTGGGTACGGAACCCTAAAGAGCAACGTTTCCTCCGAGTCACACTTTAACTTGACAGCCGCCGCCTTCCGCAGGTTAAAGATAATGGACTATCGGAAACTGGTCGAGGGGAACAGGAAGAGGAAGCAGAAGGTCAGCGGTAGCTACATCAATCATGTCATAAACACCGCCAGCTCTGAGAATTTCGAGTTCGGCAGAAACAAGAGGGCGTCGGCCAAAGACGGTCGCGACTACAGACCAAAGTTCTCCTATAAGAACGGGATCAACGGGAAACTACTCGGAGACCAACACCGTATGAAAAAGATAAAAAAAGACGAAGAAATAACGAAATGGAAACCAGACTACGCTATAAAGAACGTTCGACAACTCGACAACGTCATCGGCAACGACATTGACGGCTCCGACGCGCCAAAACAAGATGGCGGCACGTCGTTTGATTACGAAGACGCCGTCTATGGAGAGAGATATGAAAACTTCGCGACGCCTCACGCTTCGGCGTTCCAACTGAACAACACTGGCCACAGCGAGCCGGCTTATTACGACGCTAAAAAGTACAGCGAGACGGTGACGTTTTCGAAAATGGCGGGAAGCGAGTTCGAGATGGCGCTGAGGGGCGCATTCGGGAACGGGACTTGCGATTGGTTCAAAGGAAAGCGGCAGTACGTGCTGATCGAGAAGATTACCAGGCGGTGCGGCGCGGTCGACAGACGGGACGGCTACGGCGATGAGTTTTTAAGGACTCTGACGAAGACGATGAACAGATTTTCGAAGGCGTCCTTCGAGTTTACTGAGGACATGGTCGAGGTACGCCAAATACCAGAAGACCTTTTAGTTATAGCCTTTATATCAACTTTCATTTTTAACTAGCGTTTATATTTAACTAGCGACCCGCCCCGGCTTCGCACGGGTGCAATATATTATACATATATATCTTCTTTTGAATCCCTCTATCTAGTTAAAAAAAAAACACATCAAGATCCGTTGCGTACTTTTAAAGATCTAAGCATACAAAGGGACAGACAGACAGCGGGACGAGTTTGTTTTATACTATGTAGTGAAGCCAGGAGAATCAACTACGGATTGTCCGACATCAGATATCATCACATATTAAAAGAATGTAACACGAAACGTATATGTGATTCTGCTGGGAAAAGCCCTCTTTTATACAGATTTATCCGCCACCGAATAACTTAAATTTTGAGAAAAACAACTTCATTGGCACCGGTATGTTTATATATTTGACATCGGTTCTTCCGGCTGTCGTACAAATGGCCAGGTCCGTCCGGGCGAGTACTACGACCTCACAGAAGACCGGCGAGAAGTGGAATGTTATACTTCTGCGTTTCGTCTGGTGAGTGAGGTAGCCGGGGCCCACATTATTAAAAGGTGGCAAATCAACGCAATCTGCAATCCTACTGTGTTGCAAATGTCCTTGGGCGGTGGTTATCACTTAACATCGGGTGAACCACCAGCTCGCTTGCCACCGTCTCACATAAAAAAACATACTGAATTAAGAGCTAGGGTCTAGCAGAATCTGTGTTCAGACTCTAGACACTGACTCTGCGTAGATCGCTAGTTTGGTCAGAGGTTACTTATACGCAATTAATATAGTAACACACGCTACTCTAGTAGAGCCCCGTACTAGCTTAAACAGTTGCACTGTTGCTGTTGACCATTATTCAGGCTCGTCCGAGGAAATACAGCAGCCTCACAGTAGACGGGCATGAAGTGGAAGTATTAGTAGGAGGTGACTAAGACCCTCATGAAGGTTGGTAACACATCGGCCTCTAGATTACCGGTGACCACTAAACATCTGTTTAGTGGTCACCGGTAATCGCGCATGCTCCCTATACACTATTTCATTCGAATCATGGAGACTTGTCGCAGCTGATGCTGGAGAAGGTCTTCGGGAAGGGGGACCTGATCGACGTGGACAAGCTGCTACACTATCTGAGGAACGCGGTGAAAGTCCATAAAACGCACAGACGGAAGGACACCACGATCGTGCTGAAGCCTAGACACTGCCTGTCCTTGTCTATGCCGGGATGCTTCTGTAGGCCGGGGTAAGGTACCGCAGGCTTAAAGTAAAAGCTTATATTTTTTATTTATGGAAAACGAGTAAAACGAGCAGGCGTGTCACCTTCTGGCAAGTGATCACCGCCGCCCATGGCGAGTCAGCTTCTGGCAAGTGACCACCGCCGCCCATGGCGAGTCAGCTTCTGGCAAGTGACCACCGCCGCCCACGAACTCTCGCAACATCAGAGAAGTCACAAATTGTTTGCCGACCTTTTAGGCAGAAATAGACTTATGTCCCACATATTCAAAAAAAAAAAAAGGGCAAAAGCTTTCTCTACACGCAAGTACTAGGGAATAATCCACCACGCAAGCCACAGGGGAATGGTAGACTTCATTTGATTTCCCTCACGAGTTTGTTTCAATTTACAAAGATCATTATTTAGCAAGTGAGCATCTGTGTTACCTGATGGCAAACGTCGAGCGAAGGTAAATAGCCTTTACTAGTTCAGCCATGACGAAAATCGAATTATAGTTAAAAAACACCAAACCTTACATCTAAAATCTACACCAACCGAGGTATAGCAGTACAGGATTCGTACTGTGGAGCAAATTAGAAGAAATTAGGGTTCCACCAGAAATGGGAGAGGAAACGAATAGGGGTAACAGAGACGATTTAAAAAGTATATGGGGGAAAAAGGGAGACAAGATGATATAGGGTAAACAAGACGGGGAATGGAACAGAACTTTTTTTTATTAAAACATTCCCGTACTTTAGGATAACATTACCCGGTGTTAAGGACCCAGTGGGTAAGGACGTTTCACAAACATAAATGTCACGTGGAAAAACACCAAAATGCGAAACAACTATCCGTGGGTCGCTCAAATAGTCCCGTGTGGGAATCGAACCCACGGCCCCCGACGCCGAAGCCAATACCTACGCAGCTGAGCCGCGGAGTCATAAAACTGTCCCTTTCAGGTTCGTGGAGAAGTCGGGACAATGCGTGCAGCCAGCTGACTGCTTCTCCGAACCATCGAATAACGTCTACTTGGCCAGGATTGTAGTTCATTAAACGAAGTCAAACTTTTAACTACTCATTTCACTGTTAAGTTCTACTTGGTTCAGGGGTCATTTTTCGGGTTCCAAAAAGGTAAAACGGGATCCTATTATTAATACTCCGCTGTCTTTTTGTCTGTTTGTCCGTCTGTCACCAGGCTGTATCTCATGAACAGCGACAGTTAGTTGAAATTTATACATATGATGTATTTCTGTTGCCGCTATAACAACAAATACTAAAGTAAAAAAGTAAAGTAAAGTAACAGCCTACACATGTCCCACTGCTGGGAAAAGGCCTCCTCTTAACATACATGATCACAACATACATGAGTTTTTTGAAGTTTTAATAGATAATGGTTTAATGGTACGGAACGCCTCGTACGGAATGCCTCGAATTTTGGCATTTTTTTAACTGCACGCATTAAAAAAAATGCCAAAATGCGAGTCGGTATACACGAATGGACAGACGGTTATCACTTAACATAAGGTGGACCGCCAGCTCGTTAGCCGCTTTCTGACATAATAAAAAAGAAAAAAGATCTCACCTGAGGATCTAGAAGGTTCTAAGTTAAAAGGACTCACCTTCGTGTATGAAGCTGTGGGTTTTGAGAGAGTACGTAGAGTTGAACGCTTTGCCGCAGACCTTACATTTGTATGGTTTCTCACCTGCAAAGAGACTTATGTATAGTTTTTTAGGGCTCCGCACCCAAAGGATAAAAATTACTAAGACTTCGTTGTCAGTGCGTCTGTCACCACTGTATATTACGAACCGTGATAGTTGGACAGTTGAAATTTATCAGATTATGTATGTCTGTTGTTACTATGAAAACAAGTACTAAAAACTGTGGCAATCGAACCCACGACCCCCGACGCCGAAGCCAACACCTTGGCAACTGCGCCACGGAGTCATCGAATTAAGGTTATATATAGATATTAATATTTTAGGACACATTTTTACACAACGTTCTCTAGTCCCAAACTAAGCAACGCTCGTACTATGGGTACTAGATAACTGATAAACATACTTAAACACACTTTTCTTTTGTAAATAAATACATAATTATACATACAGGGAGGCTTTTCTAAGTGTATCCATTTTTTTTATCAAATTCTAGACATAAAGAATGTTATATAAAATGATAAATATTTAAAATCACTCGTAATTAATTAAATACATTCATTTGAACTTATCTCAAAAAGTGCGTGATTTACGGGCAACTCATTCATTTTACGCGAGAGCATTCATAACTAAAACGCACACAAGATCATTTCAAAAGCGTACGATGCATTTATGAATGACTATCGCATTGTCAACAAGTTCTGTTTTTTTGGTGATAGGAATGGCAATTTTTTTGAAAAACAAAAGGTTTGTTGTTGACGACTATACTAACGCGTCTGAACCTCCTGTGTGAATTTGGGCACCTTTAGAAACACCCAGACAGCAGAAAAACACTACGTTCTTCACACAATATTTTTCCAGTAGTGGGGATCGAATCCAGGCGCAGGACGCAGGTACACTACCCACCGCGCCATTCGGGCCAATAGACAATTACCCCCCCCCCCCCCCCCCCCTACCCCCGTACCGGTGTGCACCAGCATGTGGCTCTTCAGCTTGCACACGAAGTGGAACATCTTCCCGCACACCTCGCAGGCGACCGTGGGCGTGGTGTGCATCTTCTTGACATGCCTCCCCAGGTACTTGGCGGTCTTCCCGGCATACGGGCACAGGTCGCAGGCGTACGGCGTCGCGGTCGAATGGGTCTTCTTGTGCTCGCGCAGCAGCGATTTGTCACCGAACACCTGGATTTGCATTTGGATTTGTTGTCAGTCGATTCGGCATTCTAGACTGATTTATGTGCTTGTGTGAGAACAGTAAAGTGAGAAATTGCAAGATTTAGTACCTTTTTTGTATATAAATATGATTTTCATTTATTGGTTAATTTGAAAAAATGTAGATGCATAAATTTCATTTGCGGTTTGTAAATAATTACCCTTAACATTGTTAAAATATTGTTTTCTCTCATTTGATAATATTTAATTTATATATAATTTTCTTGGGAAATCTAAGAATAAGTACTCGGCTACCTCGCTTATTAGACTATACACAGAAGTATATTATATTTCTAATTAATACCAGAGTTCTGTGATGCCATATTAATGTCTATAAAATACTGTTTATTCATTGAAACTACGCCTACTGTATGAAATGACCACAGCAAGAGATGAAAAAGGTATTCAGAAGTCTACTTACTTTTTTACAAACATCACATTTGTACTCTGTAAACAGTTTCTTGGATTTTCTCTTTTTCTCCTCAGAAACCTCCATTTTTGAACATCCGTTAAGATTAATCTACCATTTCATCGATACTGAGAAAGGGAAAACAATAATGATAATCAGAATCAACACGATGTCTTAAAAATAGGTTTGTAGGTAGATATTATAAAAATATTTATATTTCTGTAAGCAATTTATTGAGATGGGCCCTGAAATGTATACTAGATAAGAACTATATACCTATTTAATAAATAATACATTTTAAAATTTAAGATTGAAAACCAACTTTCACGTTAATAAATAAATAGCATTGTGATAAATAGCATTAATGTGCTAATGTAACAAAGTAAACCTACCTACAAAGTCCACCACTTTAACGATCTTCATTTTGATTTATTTCACTAGAACCTTGTTTTTAAGGATTGCCCATTTTAACAATGCTCCTTAGGAATAATAAGATTCTATGATATTTTACTGCAATTATTATTATCCTTTATGATAACGTTTTTACTGCTGCCACACACCGCCTTTAAAATTATTTCAATAATAAAATTATTAAGATTGATATAATATAACTTGTACCGACTTCGATACGCATAAACGTCAATGTCAATTCTCATGTGTCAACAATGACGTTTAGGCGAAGCGGAGATGGGATTGGTTGGAGTTCTTGTTCCTAAATGTTTTTGAAAAGGAACGTTTCGTTGTACTCATCATTTTGAAAATTAATTAAACCAACGAAAAATATTTTTGAATTGTTCTAATACAAAAATGGACATGAAACAAAATAACCAATTTAGTAAAACAACTCATGAAGATGGGTTTTATGTGTCAAAAGATACCTTTTGGCGAAGGCACATCTCTGCTTTTCGATTATAATCAATACCACAGAACATAATAACTCGTGCAGGAGGATCAATATAGCCGTACGTATGTCATTGTCAATAAATATATGTAAATGTCAGTGTAAGTAATGATTAAGACCGTAGTTGTTGTTACGCTTAAATTAGGATAGATGACATTTTACCTTTGTTTAAGATTCTATTTTTCGAATTTATATTCTACAGCCACTTTTATACAGCCACTTCGAATTAGCTTCAAGTAAATGAAATGTCAAAACATTTCATAAGACTTACCGTATTCGAAGTGATACAATTAAAGGGAAAATGTCGCAACATTCGCGATATATTTTACTCAATCTTCAGAGCCAAAATCTAAGTACATTAATGTTAAATTATATAAGCGTAACATATTAGGACTTAACGTAATCACTGTATACGATATTCTCATGTGTGTTATTTGTTTGAACAGTTGCATTATTTTTGTAATCTTTACGTCACACTGTTGTAATTATTTTGGCCGTGCTCTGTTTGTGTATTGTACTTTTGTTGACTCACATTCATTTCAAATACGGTCTTGGTAACAGTGAGTGGTGTTTCAAAGTGACCTTGAACCTAAAGAAACAGCTGTTAGCTCGAACGTAAGTATTTTAATACTATATTGTGACTTTTAAGTCTTTTATTCATAAAATTAAAAAATATATAAATGGTGCCGTTACTTTAAGACGAAGACTGTTGTTTACCTAGACTTAAGCGCCTTTTTCTATTTGTTTTTATCTTTTAAATAAAAACATTCTCCTTTATAAACATTCAGCATTGTTTATCAGTTGTTTTGCTACTTATCTAACATTTATCATATTTTATTGGTAATATATGTATTGAAACAAAGAATTTTTCTTTTATCCTGCAGCAGTTGCTCTTGGACATATAATAATTAGATTTTTATCATACATAGTGATAACATTATTATATCAATTATTATGGTATAGTGGAATAACTTTTTTAATGAATGCATAGTTGTTAGAATGAATTTATCACTACTTGTACCCTATAACTAAAAAACACAATTTAAAAGACATCTCTGCATATCTAAATACATTTATTTATGGTAATTAAAATGCAAAAGACATGTTTTCAGTGAGTGAGAAATGTCACTTCATGAATACAAGGTGAAACAAATTATCACTTTTTTGTATGAAAAACTGAAATTTATGCAATTAAACAGTACATAGTTTAGTAATTTACATATTATTAACATCAGTGATCGCTTTAATGTATGTTATTATATATTCTTTATTGAACACCAAAAAAAACATGAAAGGAAATGTTACAGAACTATAAACTTAAGAGGTATAAACAATAAGGCGGTCTTATCGCTAAGGAGCGATCTCTTCCAGACAACCTTGTGGTTAAAAATATTTAATTTGGACAATGGTAGGTGGTGTAAATGATAAACTTACATACTAATATTTAAATAAACTAAACAAATATGTTGTATTTTTGTATAATAATAATATACTAATATATACGAAATAAGATCCAATAGACATACATAAATCTAAATATATACTGTACAATAACTTACAAAAATATATACAGGAAGAAAAGAAAAGAATAAAAAATAAATATACAAATGTCGTCGGTGATAATCAGCTTGAACACAGTGACAGATAATAATTTTTAACGTCAGTTTTAAACTTGCGTAACGTTTTTTGAGCGCTGGATGTGTGGAGGAAGCGCGTTCCATAGGCAAATGGCTTTGACCGTAAAAGAGTTCTTAAAATAATTGGTCCGGAAAGTATGCGGGGTATATGTATGTTAGTGTATTTTTTGTTCGATATTATAATGTTTCATGAATAAAGTATCTCTTCTAGTTGTAGAGGTGTATCAATAGCTTATTTACTTGAAAAAATATTACAATTAGAAGAAAAAGAGAGGATACTGAAATTACAATGGATTCTATATACATAGTAATGAAGCAGCAGACATACTGGCCAAAACAGGCTCTTCCCAAGGAGCTTGAATTAATATCCTTAAAATACAGAATTATTAGAACTGTAAATGATTTTTAATATTTTTTTCAATTAGCACCATGTGTGTTTGCCATTTTTACCATCTCATTTTATACCAGGTTTACATATCAAAAACAAGGATAGAAACTCCAAAACAAATTCTGACAAAAAAAAATTTAAGTATCTTTCACTCAGTCACTGCTTTAGTACAACAGCAAGTGTTGAATTTATCTTTGTATTTTAAAATGTCTGTAAAAAGTAAACTTATTTCATTATTCTTTATGCTTAAAAATGTATTGTAAAGAAGTATCTATCAATCTTTTTAGTACCCTTTGCAGTACCTTTTAATTATTATATATATATATATATATATTGCATAACTTTAAATTAAATTGCACATGCTTAGCAATGATGCAATATTCAACACTGTTGGGTATTCCCTGATGAGTCAATGTACGGATATCCCTTTGATGTTGACTTAAAGTTCAGATCAACATTATTCTTACCGATTATATGGCTGTGCATTTTTTTAATACATTTCATAAACAATAGAAAGTTTATGGCCCAACATGTCGGCTTTCATCAATATTTTTAAAGGAATTTTTATTATAAATCCACATTAATATAAATGTATTAAAATTATTTCATGAATTTTAAGATGGCTTCTTATACTATCAATGATATTGTTTTTCTTTTCCTCGCCATCGGCAATAGCATAGGCATATCTCGACGTGAGGCAGCCGGGGCGCAATTTGTTAAAAGATTGCAACGCATATACAACCCTATGGGCGTTGCAAATGGCAGAGTTTTTACAAAATAAATAATTCCCTGATAAACGCGGAATAGAAAAAAAGGGCGCGAAAGTAAATTCATTGAATCGTTGTGAAAAACATTTGGTTTAGTTCTGTCTTGTTCTCGCTCTCGCCATGCATATCTTCCATCACTTTCTGCAAGCGGACGCTAAAGCACATCGAAGCTTACGCTCATAGAGATATCACGTCGAAAGTAGTAATTTTAGACTTTTGGCAGTGTGAAAACAATTCCGTTGCGCTTTGTTTTTTTTTAAAACATCGCCGCGCAGACGTTTTATAAGCATGCCAAATTCCCGCGTTCCTTTGTTACGTTGCCAAGGTTGAAAACATACGTTCAGGAAGCGGTGGTTCTGTGTGGTCAATAAACTTTTGATATCGTAGCAAAGCTGTTAATGAATTATTCGTTCTCGAAATGTTACTACTTATCGGATTTTTGTTAATATTATTTTATTATTTATAGTCGGTTACTTTACTTTTACATTAATATGTAGGTAATAATAATTACTATGGGGGAGGCATATGTTCAGCAGTGGACTCAAACATGCAGAAATGATGATGATGATGATGAATAATTAAATTTAAACAGACAATCGATTGTGACAAGAATAAGAGCTGAAATTAAATGGCGATAAAAACACTGAACGAATGACATTTAATTTAGTAAAAAATTAAGCGATACCATAACGACTTCATAAAACGGACGGGTTGCACCACAAACACGTGTTTACAAGCATGCGTTCAAATCTCTCGTGTGGGAATCGAACCCAGTATCGCGGGCGCCGAAGCCAATACCTTGGCAACTACACCACTGAGTCATCAACCGTTTTCTTATTAAATAAACTGTAAGATGTATATTGATTTTACACTAATTTGTTTCTGTTTGTTTCTTATCTCAATAACTTCATTCCGTTTAACGTAATGACTTCTTGGGTTTAGTCGGAGACTGCGCATTGTAAATAAATGTATTTTTAGCATCTTATCGCTTTTTAATTGTCATTAAACTGGCGGCGTTCCGTGCACACCGTATCTATGGTTACGTGACGTATTAATATGTAGAGCCGTAGCTCAGTGTCCGGGCGCTCGCCTTTAATTCAATATACTCGAGCAACCCGAGTGCGATCCTCGGTGCGGACACCGATGAAATGGTTTAATTTTGAGTGCTGACGTATCACGTGCCCAGCGGCGAGGGAAAACATTAGGGCACCTGAAAATTTTCGAAGTAATAACAAAAGAAAATGTTTCGATGATATCTGAATTCCGCCAAACCGCAGTGGGGCCGCATGGTTGGCTATGCCCTAATAACCTCTACAGAGGAGTCAAAGGGACATGTTAAGGGTGTACTTTACTTCATCATCATCATCATCTCAGCCTGTTTGAGTCCACTGCTGAACATAGGCCTCCCCCACAGACTGCCACTAAGCACGATCCCGAGCCACCTGCATTCATCGACACTCCCCACATTTGCACAAGTCATCACTCCATCTAGTGGGGGGGTGGAGAAATGTTCTCGAGTGGCTGCCTCGAACTGGCCATCGTAATTTTTTTACTTTACTGTAATACTAAACGGCTTTTTGGAGTGTTCCTTTAAATGTTTGACACCCCTGTTTTACGGTCGGGACCATGTGACCCTTGCCCTTACTTTATGTTTGACACCCCTGTTTTATGTTTTACGGTCGGGACCATGTGACCCTTGCCCTTACTTTATGTTTGACACCCCTGTTTTACGGTCGGGACCATGTGACCCTTGCCCTTACTTTATGTTTGACACCCCTGTTTTACGGTCGGGACCATGTGACCCTTGCCCTTACTTTATGTTTGACACCCCTGTTTTACGGTCGGGACCATGTGACCCTTGCCCTTACTTTATGTTTGACACCCCTGTTTTACGGTCGGGACCATGTGACCCTTGCCCTTACTTTATGTTTGACACCCCTGTTTTACGGTCGGGACCATGTGACCCTTGCCCTTACTTTATGTTTGACACCCCTGTTTTACGGTCGGGACCATGTGACCCTTGCCCTTACTTTATGTTTGACACCCCTGTTTTACGGTCGGGACCATGTGACCCTTGCCCTTACTTTATGTTTGACACCCCTGTTTTACGGTCGGGACCATGTGACCCTCGCCCTTGAATATATACACAAGCCAGTATTTAGTATAAGCAATACTCGTCGTTCGTTCTATTTTCAAATTCTACATCGCTGACATTGAGCCATCCCACGTGTTTATCGCGCATTTTCTTGGACTGGACGGAGATAGAAGATCTATTTTTAACGGGTCCATTAAGTCCCGGACAGCCGATTGAAACTCGAATTCGGGGTGATCAACCTTTTTATTATTTCGTTATCGTTGTAACTAACGTTAGATGATGCGGTACTTTATTATGTGGGCACACGAGGAATTATTTTTAGGTAGTTTCGCGACATAAAGTCAAAATCATGATTTTCTCTATTAGGGCCTCTTTAATTTTGAATTGAAGACTCCGTGGCGTTGTTGCCAAGGTATTGGCTTCGGCGTCGGGGGTCCTGGGTTCGATTTCCACACGGGACAACTATTTGTGTGGCGCACAGATATTTGTTTCGCATCTGGGTGTTTGTCCGCGTGAAATTTATGTTTGTAAAATGTCCTTACAACACAGGATAATGTTATCCTAAAGTAAGGGCAATGTTTAAAAAAAAATAAGATAAAGAAAAGAAAGATAAAGATAATTCTAAAGGTGTGGTGACGGTAATAAGGTCTATAAACGTTTATTAAACGTTTTTCTTTCGCAGTATCAACATGGACTCATTCTTCAGCCTGTTCAACCCGTCAGAAGGTGGACAGAACAAGCACACAAAGAAGCCGCGTCAGAAATCCGACGCTGACGCCAAGAAGAATCCGGACGCGCCCAAAGGTAAGGCGAGGTCTGATGTGATTGGCCCAAATTGTCTACCATTATGGTTAGACAGTATCGGTGGAAGGTCCACGCAACAGCTTTCGCCGTTGCACGATAGGCCAGGTCCGTCCGGGAGAGTGCCCCGACCTCACAGAAGACCGGCGTAAAGTGGAAGTACCTACCTCTGCATTTCGTCTGGTGAGTGAGGTAGCCGGGGCCCACTATATTATAAGGGGGCAACGTATCAGCAAACCTATGCATCTGTCCATGGGTGGCGGTTATCATTTACCATCAAGTTAACCGTCAGCTCGAGTGCCACTTTCCCACATAAAAACGAATATTGATTAAAGATGTTTCAATTTGCCACTGTGCAATTGCTGCAAGTATCTCTGACCTATTTTAGTTCGAAGTCATGGACGCGTCCTTTAGCAATTAACGGCTTGAATCGTGGACGTGTCCCTCCAGCAATTAATGGCTCGAATCATGGACGTGCCCATAGGGAGGAGAAAAGGACGGCGGGCGCACAGCAAGCGCGAAACCTTACCAGAGGAGTCCTCTTTCCTTTGCGAGCCGGACCTCAGCAACGAGCTGCTGGTGAAGGATTGCAGCTACATTGAGAACTACATGGAGGTCAACAAGAAAGACGATGGTGAGTCGATAGGCTCAAGGTCTGTGGTAGGGCTACGCCTGTGGTCGGGCAACGCAGCAGCCTCGGCCGTTGCACGAATGGGCAGGCTCGTCCTAGTAAATACCACGACCTCACAGAAGACCGGTGTGAAGTGGAGGTATAATACTTTCGCGTTTCGTCTTGTGAGTGAGGAAGCAGCAGTCCAATTTAGAAAAAGTTTGTCAACGGATCTGTAACCCTCGGGTGTTGCAGATGTCCATATATATTCACACACACACACTTTATTCCAAATTTAGTAGTACAACGCAGTGTTCTTTTCGTATCGTTTCTTCTTTACATATCTTGATTCAGGATCTGATTGGCGTAGTGGGTAGTGACCCTACCTCTTGCGCCAAAGGGTGTGGGTTCGATCCTCACTACTGGAAAAATATTGTGTGATGAACATAGTGTTTTTCTATATCCGTAATATGCACTTATTTACAAAAGAAAAGTACATTTAAGTACGTTTATCATTCACCTAGTATCCACAGTACGATACGATAGCTTCGATCAGTTTGGGACTAGATAACGTTGTGTAATATGTCCCGAAATATCTATTATTTAACGTCCTTAATACTGATACTTTAGTTTTTAATGGCCGTCATGTTTTTGTTGATCTCCGACCATAAATCGCTTACTCTCATCCATAAACCCAAAGCGGACGACAAGAAGCCGAAGCGGCGAAACTCGGGCCGAAAATTCAGAAGGAGGAAAAACAAGATCTCCCCCGGAAAGGAACTGACCGCCAGCACCGCGTGGTCGGAGACGGGGGATCCCCCGGACCCGAAGAGCTGGAACAACCAGGCCGCCGTGCCGAAGGTATGCGACGGCAACCTGGGCAAGAACGTCAACGACCTGGGCAGGGAGGACCCCAGGAGGAGGAGGCCCGAGTACGACCTCACCAAGGAGAACAGCGGCTACTTGGACAGGGCGGTCTACCGTGACGTCATCGACAAGCTAGAGAAGGTCGGCATAAAGGACGAGATGTACCTCGCGGGCGATTTCAACGACGAGGATCTGGAGAACGACTTCTTCTACAGCTCCGACGACATGGAGGATTACTTTGACGACGACACGTGAGTCCATTGAATTTGATACTTAAGTTATACCTGTATATTATTAATCAGAAATCCCACCATTAAACAAAAGGAGTAGAGTGATTTTTAATTATTAGTAGTATAGGCAATTAGCACCTTTAACGAAAAAAAAAAGTATTAAATCTAATGGTTATTAGGTATATTAAGTAGTAAGTAAAAGTTATAACAAACAAAACGGATTTAGCTTCTTTAATATTTTATAGCTTTTAAAAATCTATAAAAGGTATATACAGGATGATTTTATAGACGACGGACATATTAACAGAGCATATTATGCAGAATTTGATTCTAAACCTGAATCTGTTACGTACTTGTGACCTAATTTTTTTTTTTTGCAAAGATTTTTTTTTTTTTTTCAAACGTTACGGACACCTTAAGAAATTTCTGCCTTACCGTCTCAATACAATAACCTTCACTATATATACTATTGACGAGCACTAAAACTTCGAACACACAAGTACTAAACCACTTACCAATAGGGTGATCACTCTTAACAGGATAAACAAACAATTTTCGAATTGATGTTTTTCTGGTTATTTCTTGTCAAATTTTTTTTTTTATTATTTGATGCTAAATTAACATTATATCAAACTATGTACTTCGTCTTAAAATCTCCCTATATATACTGTTACTCATACTGTTGAAATTTAGGATTCCTTTTCCCATTTGTTGGAGGACAAGAGAGTTTGAAGGAGTATTGCCTCCTTTTGAAAGGATTCCGAAAGTGTTACCGAAGGTTAGGTAAAAGTATAAATACTTCCACTTAACTCAGTCTTCTCTGCTACTTGCCCAATCAACCCTGCCCATGTGTTTATACATCTATTTATGTACAAAAGAAAACAAAGTTTAAATAGATTTATCAGTTACCTAGTGCCCATAGTATCAGCTTTGCTTGGTTCCGAACCAAAGAATGTGTTTTTTTTTTAAAGTGGGCAAACGATCCCCGATGGAAAGTGATCACCGCCGTAAATCAACATCTTCAACACCGGAGGGCTTGCCAATGCGTTGCCGGCCTTTTAGGAAAGAACATGTTCTCTTCTTGTAGGTTCCCAGGTCGTAACGGTGTTTAAAATTACTCCCCGAGGCATTTGTGTACAATCATTTGGTCGTCGTCGTAACTTCAAATGAATGTAATTAATTACTTACGAGTGATTTTAAATATCCATAATTTTTTTTATATAACACTATTTATGTCTAGAATTTAATAAAAAAAAAATGGATACACTTAGAAAAGCCACCCTGTATAGGAGGCCTTTGCCCAGCACTGCGACATGCATAGGCAGTTACTTTACTCACTGCACTCCAGGACAACGGACTCCGACGACTCGGGCGAGGAGTGCTACGGCAGCCTGCCGCCGGAGCCCCGCTTCGGCAACGTGGAGTACAAGCTGCAGCTGGTTTCGCCTTGCGAGAGGCGCTTCCAGCACTTGGTGACGCAGGTCTGTCCCTCTGGTGACGAGGCGTTGCCGAATCGCTTAAGGGCGAGCCTCGGCTGCACAGCATATGGATGAGAATCTGTTTTAGAGCCACGCGACAGTCGCTTGACATCGGGCGAACCACCAGCTGTAATTTGACTTTATGATTCCGTGGCGCAGTCCAAGGTATCGGCTTCAGGGGGTCGTGGGTTCGATCCCCACACGGGACAACTGTTCGTGTGACGCACACATTGTTGTTTTGTATCCGGGCGTTTGTAGACGTTGAACTTCTTTGTGAAACGTCCTCACAGCACAGGATGTCATCCTAAAGTAAGGGCGATGTTTTAAAAAAGTAAAACTAGACTAGACGTAAACTAAACCTTGTCGCATAAAAAACGTCTCGCGCTTGACCGTAGATGAAGTGGCGCCTCCGCTCGGGCGGCGGCAGCGCCGTGTACGTGGTGGGGGTGCGCGACTGCGGCGCCCTGCGGGGTCTGAGGGCGCGCGCCCTTAGGGCTTCGCTGCGGGCCCTGCGCCGGATGGCGGCCGCCCTGGGCGCTGCGCCCGTGGCCGCGAGGGCCCGCCGCCTGGCGCCGCATCGCGCCGTCGCGGAGGTCTACATACGCAAGGTGCGTCCAGGTGGAGCTTAAGGCATTTTTTTTATGTGAAAAGTTGCCAAACGAGCAGACGGTTCACCTGATGTTAAGTGAACACCGCCGCCCATGGACATCTGCCACACCCGAGGGTTACAGATGCGTTGACAACCTTTCGAAAATTGGGCTCCGGCCACCTCACTCACCAGACGAAACGCGAAAGTATTTGTCATACTTCCACTTTACGCTGGTCTTCTGTGAGGTCGTGGTACTTACCCGGACGGGCCTGCCCATTCGTGCAACAGCCGAGGCTGCTGCGTGACCCTACCACCGCATAGGACGCCTGTTGCTGTTTAGTTCTCCATGGCAGAGGAGTACATACGCAAGGTGCGTAAATCTATAGGGCGTTGCCAACCCTACTTTCAGTAGGATTCCTGTTGCTGGTCATCTTCTCCGTAGCTATAAGTCTGCATAGGCAAGGTGCGTCCAACGATAGAGCTTCAGTAGGACGCCCTTTGCTGATAACATTCGGCACAACGTGAAAACTAAATACGCAAGGTGCGAGGTTCCACTCCTTTTAGTAGGATGCCTGTAGATTAGCTTGGCCACAGTGCGAGATCTACATAGGAGAGGTGCGTCTACCTACGAAGCATAGCCAACCCTCCTTTAAAAAAAAATGGTATTTGTAATATACGTACTCTGAGAATGGTAGATTTGGTGCTTTCTATATAAATTATTTAAAAATTATAATGTGGAGCACATTTGTTTCTAACCTACTCTTCTTGCTCTCTGTTTTTTTTTTATTCTCTTATTCTCAATCTCTAACTTTGTTGTCCCCTGTTGTTTTAGCTGGCGGATACGCAGCAGAGCGTGGAGCTGAGGATCGCCGTGATGGGGGCAAACGAGGCCGGAAAGTCTACCCTCATTGGAGTACTAACCCAGGGTTTGTAAAGTTTTTGGCCTGTTTAGATAATACGTGACAGGTGACGAGCTTGTCCATGACTTCGGCATTAAAGCCTGGGTAAGCTCATATGACGAAATAAATTCCTATTAATGAAGGGTCTTTAGATCGAGATACTAGCTTGATATACGTATTAGTTTCATGCTTTAAGTCATTTTTGCTCTGAAAACTAATCCGAGATGAAAACTCATAAAACTAAACTCGTAAATAGTGAATACTTATAATGACAGCTACTGATGAATACCTATACGTGACTGAAAGAAAACAGGGCAGTGTTACATTGCCAAATCAAAAAATGTGTGGACGAAGTATCACTACATAGTATAAAACAAAGTCGTACCGCTAACTGTCTGTCTCTATGTATGCTTAGCACCCATGCGATGCGAGCAGGTGCGGGTCGCTAGTTCAACTATAAAAGTCTGGTTGATTTTTTTTTATACAAGTTTAAAAGCCAATATCAAAATTTAACTGTCATTTCTTTATTATTATATTATTGTCACTTAGGCATACCTTTTTTTTTTGGTATCGGGGGGGAAATCTTCAAAAGTTACCCTGTCACTTTATATGACAGGGTTATGTGGGGTTCTTACCCACTAAAACCCCTTCGGTGGCCGCCTTCTGTGCATTTGGAGGGACTCCGGGATCTCCCATGGAACGCACCGGTGTCCCTCGGTACCATGCCTGATCACGCCTCGGAGAAGGATAAACGTTCTCCGATTCCCTCACCCTCTTGCAGCAACACGAGACCACTTCGGGCTGCTGCCCACCCGTGTCCCCTTTTAGTCGCCTTTTACGACAGGCAGGGGATACCTTAGCCCTATTCAATGAGCCCGGGACTACAGGGCTGACACTTAGGCCTACCTAGTTTCTTTTGCGGTGGTGCCAATGTTCACTTTTGTTGTGTTTTGTTATACCTTTTTTGTGGGGAAAAAAGCGACATAGGAGCAGGAGCATCACCTGATGGTAAGCGATCACCGCCGCAGATGGACACCTGCAACACCAGAGGGCTCACAAATGCGTTGCCTGCCTTTTGGGAAAGAGTATGCTCTCTTCTTGAAGGTTCCCAGATCGTAACGGTCCGGAAAGACCGCCGGCGGCAATTGGTTGCACAGAGTGGTTGTGCGAGGCAGGAAATGCCTTGAAAATGCGTGCCATTGTGGAACGCTGGACGTCGAGGTGGTGTGGACGAAATTGTGGTCTATGAGAACAAATTTTTGTTGGTCGAAATGCCCTTTGGACTGACAAACGCACTCGCGGAAAACTTCCGCTCCGTCGCAACTAAGTCTCCGTTACAGGGGAGTTAGACAACGGGCGGGGCAGTGCGCGCCTGAACATGTTTCGGCACCTGCATGAGGTGAAGAGCGGGCGCACCTCGTCCCTCAGCCACGAGATACTCGGCTTCGATGCGCAGGTGGGCACCGGGATTCCAAGTAGTTGACAACCCTTGACATTTTCTAGCCTAACAAATGACTCTAAGGTTTATTATATCAATGAATCATAAGAGTACACAAGATAGACGGAAACTCTTGGCAGGGCTGACCAAGCGACCATTGCATCAGTAAAGCAACTTGTGCTGCGAGATCTACAAAAAAACGTCGACGCGATAGCTCAGTGTCCGGGCGTTTGCTTTTGGTTTAATATACTCGAGCGACCTGGGTTCGAATCAATGAAATTGAAGATATTGCGAATATATTTGAAGTCCGCCAATCCGTGGTGGGCTTGCGTGCCGGCACAGAAGGCCTTTGCCCAGCTGTGGGTCATATAAAGACTTCACTTTAGACGACAAAACAAAATCGCTGTATATTATTTGTGATCCTGCTATTTCTGTTGTCAATCAATCAAGTCTTGTCCAGGTCTTATTTACGCCCCTTTTTTTAAAAACATGAAAGTTACAAACCATCGACCATATGTCCACCTCCTGTTCTTTGGTCAGGTCAGTAACAAGCCATCAACCTACCCCAGTGTACTTCATACTTTTGGGTCAAGTTCAGCCCTTGATCAAGTTTCGCACCCTGGTCCCAGGGCAACGTGGTGAACTACGGCTGCTCGGAGCTGATGACGGCCGAGCGCATTGGCGAGCGGAGCGCGAAACTGGTCTCGTTCCTGGACCTGGCCGGGCACACCAAATACCAGAGGACCACGCTCCACGGTCTCACCGGCTACTCGCCGCACTACGCCATGATAGTGGTGAGTGATGACCCTGGAAGAGAGATGGAGAGGGAGAGAGAGAAAGAGAAAAAGTGTGAAACGCATTTCTTTCCTTGTTTGTCTTAACAATATCGGGTTCAACAATTCAATCATCATCTTTATCGATAGCCTTTCTTTCATAGTTGTGTGGAAAGTGTTTATCGATGAATGGTATTTTATTTTGAGGAATATCTTTAAATTTCTTACAGTGGATTCAACCAAACTTAATTTTATACACGAGTAACTATACCGGGAATAATCTATTCCATGATTTTAATCTCGAGTGAATCCATATTCGTTTCTCCAAGTAATCGATACGTATACTTGCGCAAGGAATAACAATACGCGAATAGCAGAGTGAATGGTGAACGGAAATAAAACCCGGCAAATAAATGTTGTTCTGCAACGGGATAGTGTAAGAGCATACATCATGTCAACTCGATTTTGCCGTATTATAGTGTGAAAAAGTAGCTGTAGTGTAAGCTAGCTAGCTATGTTAATTTTATTTGTTGTTTGTTTGAGGAATTATCAAGTTTTCGATAGCAGAAACAAAGTGGCCTCTCTGCTCAAACCATAATATTCAAATAAGTGTTTTCCTTCTTTTAACCGTCTTGGACGTCTAAGTATAATTTCCTCATCACTACTATCACTATCATCAATCAAATTGTTTAAACGTTGCATTATACAATGCCAGAATATTAATTTAGTTCATTGCGTTGACTTTTTTTTTTTTTTTTTTTTTGCGAAAAGTTGTCAAACGAGCAGACGGTTCACCTGATGTTAAATAATACCGCCGCCCATGGACATCTGCTACACTCGAGGGTTACAGATGCGTTGACAACCTTTTGAAAATTGGGCTCCGGCTACCTCACTCACCAGACGAAACGCGAAAGTATTTGTCATACTTCCACTTTACGCCGGTCTTCTGTGAGGTCGTGGTACTTACCCGGACGGGCCTGCCCATTCGTGCAACAGCCGAGGCTGCTGCGTGGCCCTACCACCGTAGACTTGAAATTAAAACAGAATAAATATATGTGAAATGACAGAAACCAGATTATTGGACTGACTGACTCAATTACATTATTCTAGAAATAGCTCCGTTATTCCGTGCGAAACGGCGTTATAGTAACAATTCCCGAATAGGCCCACTATTCTTAGAATTGTAGATGGTAAAACGTAAAATTGATTTACTCTCGATTAACTGACGATTTATTATAAGATTAAGATTTGCTCTTGTATGGTCGAATCCACCCTCAGTGTACATATTGACGGCATTATTGTACATTCTTTATAAAAAAGTTTTCACATGAAAGGTTTTTAACTTAACTCGTTCGTTGATGGGAGAAAAGGTTAGTTTTTAAATGATTTTTAGTATGTAAAGCAAGTGGGAAATAAAACAGAAAGTTTTACGGTTATACATACTTAAAACTGGTCGAGTACACTCTGCGAAGTCGAGCTATAGTTTCTTTTATCTTTAATTTATAGTTTGAATATGCGTAGGGTAGAATGTTTTGGCCGACTGATGGATCCAGGTGGCTCAAGACCGTATTTCGTGGCTGTCCATGTGTGATACCCACCCGTGTTCAGCTGTGGACTCCCGCTGAAGTGATGATTATGATGAGGCCAACTGTACATTTGCATCAAAGTGGTAGAACAAAGCGACACAACACGAATAAAATTACATCAATGTCATTAAAAAAAAAAAAAGAAATCTAAACCGACTTGAAATATCTCACTCACTACGGCCACGCGACACTGTTAGCTGTTGCACGAACGGGTAGGTCCGTCGGGGTAAGTACTCCGACCTCACAGAAAACGGGCAAAAACAAAGTGGAAGTTTTTTTTTTTTTTTGTAAAAAGTTACCAATCGAGCAGGTGGTTCACCCGCTATTAAGTGAATACCACCGCCCATGGACATCCGCTGCACCCGAGGGCTTGCAGATGCGTTAACAACCTTTTGATTTTACGTTCCGGCTACCTCACTCACCAGGCGAAACGCGAAAGTATTACTTTACGCCGGTCCTCTGTCTACGGTCGTGGTACTTACCCGGACGAGCCTGCCCATTCGTGCAACAGCCGCGGCTGCTGCGTGGCCCTACCACCGTTATTAAAAGGCGGCACCGCATCTGCAACCCTGCTGATGGTGAAATATCAATGGGGGGCGGCTATCGCTTAACATCGGGTGAAACACCAGCTCGTTTGCCACATAAAAATATCAGACGGCAATCGAATCAACTCGCGGCCCAGATATCTGCCACGGCCGGCATCACCCGCATAACGGAGGAGCACATAGCCCTGCTGACGGCTCTCGAGCTGCCGTTCTTCGCGGTGATCAGCAAGTGCGAGCTGTGCCCGGCGAATGTGCGCCCGCTGATGCTGCGGCTGGAGGAGCTGCTGGCATCCGGTGACCACGCCGCGCGCAGGGTGAGTCTCGGCGGGTGTGGGGTGACGGGTGACAGGTAGGCAGGTGGTGGCGGGTGACAGCAAGTGGTAAGTGAAGTGTGATAGATGAAATGGGTGGGGTGACATGTGGCACGAGCGTGACGGGTGACGTGTGGTCGACGTAACTGGTGGGGTGACGGGTGACAGGTAGCACGAGACGCGTGACGCGTGACGCGTGATAGACGAAGTGTGTGATGTGGTGGCATGTGACCGTAAGCATGTGGCGGGCGACGTGTGATAGAAGAAACAGGTGAGACATAGAGACAAGGGAGTGGCAAATAAAGTTGTTGCAGAGACGAAATTGAATTAATTCATCAAATTTCTCGTATAGATTGCTACCTCTTCCACCTTAAGTATATAAAAAAAATATTTGTTTATGTGTAAAGTTGGCAAGCGAGTAGCCAGTTCACCTGATGTTATGTGATTAACACCACCCATGGACATCTATAACACCTGATGGATTTCAGAAGCTTTGTCAACATATAAAAAAGAGGGTCTAGGTTACCTCATTCTACATATGAAACGCTAAAGTATAATACTTCTACTTCACGCCATCTTCCGTGTGGCCGAGCCTACCCATTCATGCAGAAGTGTTTCAAATTTTAATTTCTCTTTGTTCCTGTTGTTTATAATATTGTTGTTGTCATATGGTGTCTTCAGCTCATTATCTCATAAAAAGCGTGAATTCCATTTTATTTTGGACCAAAATTACCTATGTTGTTCTTAGTTTTTCTTTCTCCCTTTATTTTCGTTCATATCAATCGGCATTAACGATGTAAATGTACGCCTATCTCAAAACTGGCAACTCTCGCTCCCAAAATACAAGCACAACTTATTCCAGGATCCATTGTTAAAGTTATTTACTTTGATGTTAGTTACAATATTTTGTATCCTAATATTCATTATTAATTTTTCCAACTCGTGTTTTGTGTCTTATGTTTGTTCTTACTTGGATAAATAACTCAATATTTAACAGTGTATAATTTTCTTAATCAGAAAAAACCGCTACTTATAACTGATGAGAACATGGCGCGCAACTGCGTCGCGCCGCAGAGGTCCATTTTGGACTCCATCGACAAGAGCACAGACGCGGCGGAAAAGTCTGACGACGAGTGAGTAAAGTCGATGGAATGTTAGCGCGACCTCCTATCCGGCCCGAAGGACCAAAATCTTGAAGACTTGAAATGTGAATTTTCGTAGATAAATAAACGGCTTCCGGTTTTGATATATAAAGTTAGTGAATTCGGATCCGCGGCGGCGAAAGTTCTTGTTCACTTATCGCTAAAAATAAAAATGTATCGTATAACCTTAGACTGTTCAGTGTCTACTAATAGTTTCTACTACTAATAGTTTTCTCTTATGGGACTTTGTTTACCTTTATTTCAATTTCACTCTGACTTTCTGAGAAGTTTCTCGTGTCCGATATGCACTCGGTATGAAATTTATATGTGAGCGACGTTTACACATAATCTTCTCACACAAAACAAAGGCCTATATTGGACAAAGAAAATTTTGCCTTTATCCCTCACCCTGGTCTCGATGTGCCCACGGTCCCAGGCCTGCGGAACAGGTGGCCGTGTTCCCGGTCAGCTGCGTCCGAGGGGCCGGACTGAACGCGCTGCACGCCTACCTTCTGGCGCTGCAGCCCCCGCCCCAAGATGTCCAGCCGAGGCCGGACGACGTGAGTGATGCATGAGTAAAGTCAAGCACCAGCCCATACATGTCCCACTGCTGGGCAAAGGCCTCCTATATACAGAGGGTATCGGGGCACAGTCCACCACGCGCTCCCACTGCGGATTGGCGGACTTCACATATCTTCGAATTTTTTTTTTATTGGTTATTATTTATAAAATATGCAGGTTTCCTCGCGATGTTTCCCTTCACCGCTGAGCACGTGATAATTCGGCACTTAAAATTAACAATTTCATTGGTGCCGTTACCGGGGATCGAACTCGGGTTGCTCGAGTATATTGAATCAAAGGCCTGGACCCGGACACTGAGCTATCACGGCTGAGTGATATACATAAAGTGGTAATTCCCCGCACGGACCCGGGAAGTTACTGGTCGTCCCCGCCACCGACCTATGGCTCCGTGGTGCAGTTGCCAAGGCTTCGGCGTCGGGGGTCCCGGGTTCGGTACCCACACGGGACAACTATTTGTTGTTGACCCACGAATAGTTGTTTCGCACCTGGGTCGATGTGAAACTTATGTTTGCATGAACGTCTTTACAGCACAGGATAAAGTTATCATAAAAGGCAAAATTTTAAAAAGAAATAAGAAATAAAGTTAGAGCAATGTCTTAAAAAAAATTAAGAACAAGTAGAGTATAAATTAAAAAATAAAAATAACCCGACAGAGTTTCAGTGTAATTTTTTTTATTTCGATATACCCAGTGTCACTCTCACAGTAAATACGAATCTAATGACACCTCTCAAGCTAAAATCCACAAAGCCGTTCAGGCTGCGGAGTGTGCCAAACAATTATACATACATACATACTCTCGAAAAACATAACCCTCCTTCTGTCGCAGTCGGGTGAAAAGGAACCTATCGTTGCAGGAGACGTGCGAGTTCCAGATAGACGAGATCTTCCACGTGGACGACTCCACCGGCCCAGTGGTGGGCGGCCTCATGGCCAGGGGCCAGCTGTTCGAGGGGGACAACTTGATCCTCGGTGAGTGGCCGGCTTTTGGTGGCGGTAGGCGATAGGCGATAGACCTCGGCGCCGCCGAGTAGGTTCGATTCCCACTTCATCTACACTCATCTGGAAAATAGCTTTGGGTGTTTGTCCTTGATCTTTTAGCGTCTGTGAAACGTCACTACAATACTAAACGAAAGTTGGCTGCCATATGCTACAGTGGGTAGTTTAAAAAACGAAGAACTGGGTAGTTTTTTGTTTTTGCGTTTCAGAAAAGAAGGCGTTAAGATTTTGGTCGCTGTGGCTATCAGCCGTTCAGCTCAGTGGCTAGAGCGTCAGGCCGCGAATGCCGAAGACGTGGGTTCGATTCCCACAGCGGCGACAATCTTTTTGTACTTTTTCTACGTGTTTTAATGTTCAATCTTAATTGCAGAGATTAGCACTATAAAAAACTTTAAAATTCACAACAGATATTCTAGATCGCAGTGGTCGGGACTTACTACCCGACCCGTACCATACAATTTGTTTGTATGTTTTTTTATAACCGCCGGCCATGGACATTTGCAACGTAGGGTTGCAGAAGCGCTGCCACCTTAAATTAAAGTGGAAGAAGGTGACAAACGAGCTGGAGTTTCATCTGTTGTTAAGTGATAACCGTCACGTATGGACATTTGCAACACCCGTAGACTTGCAAATTCGTTACGCCTTTCAATAAATTTGGCCTCCGCAAAAGCGTAACACTTCCATTTCACGCCGGTTCTCCGTGAGGTAGAGGAACAAATGGGCTTCAGTTCTAGTTAGGGCCCCGATGTACAACCGCCCCCACAGGTCCGGCTACCTCGCTCACCGGACGATACGCAGAAGTACATTACTACCAATTCACGCCTGTCTTCCGTGAGGTAGTGGTACAGATAGCCTTTAGATCCAGTCGGCGCCTTGGTGTGCACCCGCCCTTATAAATCCCCAGCCGCGGTCTGGGCCTCGATGTGCACCCGTCCTCATAGGTCCCACGTTCTAGTCGGGGCCTCGGTGTGCACCCGCCCTTATAAATCCCCAGCCGCGGTCTGGGCCTCGGTGTGCACCCGCCCTCGTAGGTGCCCTCTATTGACGGGCGCGCCGCGCAGGTCCGCTGGACACGGGCGAGTTCGCCGCGGCGACGGTGCGCACGGTGCACCGCAACCGCGTGCCGTGCGGCGGCGTGCGCGCCGGCCAGTCGGCGAGCCTCGCGCTGGCGGGCCGCCCGCCCGCCCTGCGCCAGGGCATGGTGCTGCTGGCGGCGCCGCCCGCCTTCGGCCGCGCGCCCCGCCGGCCCGCGTACGCGGCCTGCGCGCCCGGCTGCTGCAGGACGCGCCACGCGGCGCCGGTGAGTGGCGGCCCCGGGTTGCGGCGTGTGTGCCAACCCTGTTGTGTTGGAGCGCGGGGAGCGGGGCGAGGGAAGTGGCCGCCCTTATGCGGTGTACCGTAAGGACGCTGCACGTCGAGGGAAGTGGCGACCCTATTGCGACATAGCATTCGCTGCAGGTCGAAAGGATGGGCGGGGTGAGTGGCAGCCCTGTTGTGTAATGGCGCGCGTAAGTGCCAACACTGTTGTGGTGAAGTGGCGGCACCGTTGTGTTGTGGCGGCGGTGAGTGCCAATCCTAATGTGTTGTACCGCGGGTAAGTGCCAAGTCGCGCATGATCGCCGACCCTGTTGCGATGTACCGTAGAAATCGCTGAAAGTCGAGGGAAGTGGCAACCCTATTGCGACGTACCGTAGGATTCGCCGCAGGCCGTGAGTAAAACTAAAAGGACATTGAAATATTTTTACATATTACATATTTTTACATAAAAGGACATTCAACTATTATTATTAACTCAAATGTTTTCTTATCATCGCTATTGCGTCCAGCTGCCGGCAGTGGTTCTCGACCGCCAGGCCAAGGAGTTCGCGAAGAACACCAAAGCAGCCAGGAGGAAGGAGAAGAACCTCCTCAGAGACATTGCTGTCGCCGAGAGCTGCTTGGCGAAGACCAGGGACGCCGCTGAGGAGGGCAACATTTACAGGTGGGCGGGGAGGTGGTGTTTGAAGTAATATTTTTGGCGCGTTTGCGAAAAATTGTGAGGGCAAAGTTGTCACGATACGCGCACACCGACCCCCAGGAAGCGATATTCCGAGTTGTTTAATTAAACCGTTATCGATTGCATTCAATCTCTTTTTCACAAACAAACAGTGAGCGCACAGGGGATAAACTTTACTTCTCTTGCGTACATAAGTACTGACATTGTTTTTGTTTTTTTTTTTTTTAAACATTCATTCATCGTTTGTTCGTTCGTTCATTCACGTAGAATTTTGTCAACGATATTGCAACGTCACGCTGTATAGGGATCTAAATGTGTAACATAACTGCTATGATTATAATTTTTAACAAAAAAAAAAAAACACCGACTTCAAGCCGGAAACTAACAAACATTGTTATTACCTATAACATTTGAGGATTGCCGTCGATTTCTCTGGGATGCCATCATCAGATCCGTCTTTCCTTATCATGGTACCACTCTTGGGATGTCTCCGTTTCAAAAAAAAAAGAATCATCAAAATCAGTTAAACGACGAAGTTATCCGCGAACGCAAAAAAAATACGCTCGAATTAAGAAACCTCCTTTTTTGAAGTCGGTCAAAAATATTCTCCACGATCAGATTTAGGCCCTAATTTGTCACCGAATACAACTCACCCGAAAACCACTCAAATGTTGTCGACCTATTTCTTACTCCGTTCTCTGTCCCTCTCTCTCTGCCTCTCTTTCTCACACGATAATCCGTAATTCTTCTCTGTCCACCCCTTTCTATAGGCTGGCCTCTTTATCTCTCTCAAGTACGCAGTAATTGTTAATTCGTCTCTGTCCAGCCCTTGTGTCTTATGCTGGCGTGAGTTTCCCTCCATGTATGCATGAACACGTTTATGGATTCATTAGACGGTCTGTTGATTGTCTATTATCAGGTCTTATGTTTTTATCACAGTAACATAGTTTAGCCTAAACCGAACACGATGTAAAAAAAATTATAATCGCCTTATAAACGACTGAGTTCCGATGTTCCAAAAAAAAAAACAACCTAATAGAGAACATCTTTTATTTAATGTCGGCTTAAAATCAATCGATTATATTTCCGTCTTACTAGATCGGACAGCGACGGCGAGAAAGTCGCCGAGGTCTCAAAGGGGACCTTTGAAGGCGAGGTCTCGCAGGGGACCTTTGTCGACGAGGTCTCAAAGGGGACCTTTGAAGACGAGGGCCAGTGCATATGCGAGGACGTGGTGCCCCTCGAGGACCCAAACGACCCGCGCGGCTGCATCTACTTCCAGGTGAGCTCAGTACCTATTCCACAGCTGGGCGTGGTATGCCCACTCTCCAGAAATAGTCCTTCGCACCAGGCGGGTAAGCGATTTAACTTATATGACCCCGAGGTTAGAGGATATTTTATTTTTCGTACTCTCCTTTTGTAATTCCGTTTGTGTTTCATCTTTACTTTATCAAAAATCCATGTTAAACTTTTCCTTTTGGCTGTGTCTCTACTGTCAGTCTGTTGAAAAGCGATTTTGAAATTTATAGATAAGTTTTTTTTTTTTTTTATAATCTGTTTAAATTAATACATTCCGTTTATATGAATATATTTGGAAAGCTGAACTCTCCGATTAATTCGTGCCATTTTTTTTTTATGTGAGAAAGTGGCAATCGAGCTGGCGGTTCACCTGATGTTAAGTGATAACTGCCTGCCCACGGACACTTGCAACACCCGTAGGGTCGCAGACGCTTTGCCGCCTCTTAATAACGTTGTCCCCGGCCACGTCACTCGCCAGACTAAACGCGGAGGTGCAATACTTGCGGTCTTCCGAGGTCGTGGTACCAACCCGGCCGGACCTGCCCATTCGTGCAACGGCGACCAGTGTTGCGTGGCCCTACCACAGCTGGAATTGATAACTAAACGCAACATTCCCACCAGGCGACAGTCCGCGTGCTCAGGCATTCAACTACAATATGCCCAGGATTCCAGTGCTCCGTCCACGTGGGCAACGTCAGGCAGACCGCCATCATAGAGGTGAGCGAGAGACTCGGTTAAAAGTTCTGCTAAACAACAAAGCATGTATGAGATGACAGTGAGACGATAAGAAGACTCTTCCACCTTCAAATTCAAATTAATTCAATCAAATTAACTTGTTATTAAATTTTCAAAAGCAAATTATTTTAGAACAAACTAAACGTAAAGTTCATTTGTAAAGGTCACAGAGCATATGAATTGGTTGAATGAATTTAAAAGAGATAAAACATACTGTTAGAAGGAGACACTTGTATTGCAACGTTGTCGCAACAAATGAAAAAGTCTCTGAATGTATGAATCAGTTAGTTGTAGTTGTATAGGTGTTACAATTATTTTTTTATTTTATTTGTTTGTTTGAAATTTATCTTTTTAATTATGTATTTTATTTTAACGTTTATATATTTTATGATTATTGGGAGGTAGCGTTATGTGTTCATTTAAGGTCGCAGTTGTAACGCCATGCTGTGTACTAAAATTCATAATCATGTTTTGTCATTCTCACAATTAATGATATATATGTATATTTTTTTAGTTTGCCCTGTTGATGTGTCCTCCAACAAACTTCCAACCGTTTCCCCTAGAAATCTCGATGGAGAGGGGAATTTAAAGACACTTTGTTCCAGGGCATAATGTCCGGCAACAGCGAGCTGCGCGCCGGCCAGTCCGCGGCGGTGGTGTTCCGCTTCGCCAGGTGCCCCGAGTACCTGGTGCGGGGCAGGCGGCTGCTCTTCACCGCCGGCCTCGGGACCAGGTTCGATCCCGGAGCCCCTATAGGCGCGACTGTACGCGATCCCACAGCCCGTGTGGGCGCGACTGTACGCGATCCCACAGCCCGTGTGGGCGCGACTGTACGGGATCCCGGAGCCCGTATGGGCGCGACTGTACCGCGCCGTTACTGTACGGCCGAACGATTGTGCGCTCGTCTGTACGACAGCAGTGATAGTTAGCTGTTCATTACCAATGCTCTTCAACTCCGGCTTAGGGACCAGGATCGATACCAGAGCCCCTATGGGCGCGACTGTACCGCGCCGGCACTGTACGGGTTTCCAAAACCCGTATGGGCGCGACTGTACCGCGCCGTTACGGTACGGCCGAACGATTGTGCCCTCGTCTGTACGACAGCAGTGATAGTTAGCTGTTCATTACCAATGCTCTTCAACTCCGGCTTAGGGACCAGGATCGATACCAGAGCCCCTATGGGCGCAACTGTACCGCGCCGGCACTGTACGGGTTTCCAAAACCCGTATGGGCGCGACTGTACCGCGCCGTTACTGTACGGCCGAACGATTGTGCGCTCGTCTGTACGACAGCAGTGATAGTTAGCTGTTCATTACCAATGCTCTTCAACTCCGGCTTAGGGACCAGGATCGATACCAGAGCCCCTATGGGCGCAACTGTACCGCGCCGGCACTGTACGGGTTTCCAAAACCCGTATGGGCGCGACTGTACCGCGCCGTTACGTACGGCCGAACGATTGTGCGCTCGTCTGTACGACAGCAGTGATAGTTAGCTGTTCATTACCAATGCTCTTCAACTCCGGCTTAGGGACCAGGATCGATACCAGAGCCCCTATGGGCGCGACTGTACCGCGCCGGCACTGTACGGCCGAACGATTGTGCGCTCGTCTGTACGAGAGCCGTGACAGTTTGCTGTTCATTACCATATTATACTATACTAATATTCACTGAATGTTACGTTCATTATAGTCTTATTTTAATTATGTCTTTATTTTCAGGGGTATCGGACGCATCACCCAGCTCTTCCCTTATGTGCCGTCAATTTGAATGCCAGAATTTCATAGTGTGCTGGCATCTCTCAATGTAGCTGTCTCTCTCGCACTCTCTCAAATTTCTTCACCCTAGTGGTGTATTACACATTACAATTACATGTAGAAAGAGAAGCAAAATTCCATGTATGATATCTCAATTGTATGTTTTTTTTTAATGTACAACGTATTGTACATTTTTTGTCTGAAATTCATTTTAAATATTTACAATAGGTAGAATTATAGGGCATAACTTTGAATTTGTGTAAGTAGCTATTAAAATATTTCAAAATGTCGTTTTTATGATAGCCAATGCATTATTGTTAGGACTAATATCTAATGTCTGGTATTGCTAGGCATCATCAATATGTTAAATTTGTTTTTAAAATACCTCAAGCATTGATGAATAAGGGTCGGTTTTGTTAAAGAAATAAAAAAAATATCTGTAGAAGGAATTGAAATATATAAATTTTTTTTTAAATTAATATTGCACATTATTTAATTATTAGCACTACAATTGGCTCAAGAATGTATAATATACATATAACATTTCCAGCCATATCATTTTTGACAATTAAAAAAAAATAGAATTTAAGCACAAATCCTTTTTTATATTCAATGTAAACTTTTTGTTAATAAAAAGTTTGGTATTTTAAAGGACTAAAATTTGAAACAAGTAGGTATGTGGTTAAAATATTTTTGTGAATAATGAACAATGTTAGTTTTAAAATAACATATTTTTAAATCCGAAGTGCAATATTTTCGAAATAGAAATCTAAATTTTTACAATAAAAAAAATGTGAACATATTTGGCATAAATGCTGTTATTGACATTTGATTATTATTAATGACATATTTTTTGGCGCCAAAACTAAATGGATACTTTAAATGTATATGTAATTTACAGTACGATGATTACAATAAATCTCTGAATTGTAGGTGAATGTACGTTTTTATCGACTGCGGGATGATATTTAAGATTTGGGAGTGGTTTGAATTTTTCTGCAAAGTATTTGCTGGTGTCGTCTACACGATGCTTGTAGGAAATGTGTTGTTTTCGATAAATGTGGCTTGAAACTTAAATCTAGTCTTAGAGTCGCAATATTTATTATGACTAACACTTAGGAGGATAAACTACTGTCAAATAATGTTTTAATGACTGTCAAACATTACTAAAGGACGAAATATTCCTTCCGTATGAAACATATCGATATTTTTGGATCCGATGTATTGATACAAAATATGTATCGATACGAAATCGTATCAAAACCGATATTTTTTCAAATTCAAATTTGGTTCAGTGTCCTGTGATGTCAAATATTTAATACTTAACATACCTCTTTTTTTGACAACAGCCTAATCGATATTTCGATATTTTCTCTTTGATATATCGAGGCCGATATTGATATTTAATAAATATCGATATATTTCTTCACTTTCGACATCCCTAGTATGAAAGTCAATATTCCTGGCTAATTATATTACTTACTGTTTGTTTTATTCAACCTTGACATTGGCACAATCGTTATGTTATATATTGCCGGAGCCATTAAACTAAAATTGAAATTGGAAAAATATTTTAGCATAGATTTCCTTAACACAATTTTCTCATAGCAAAATATTCATTCGCAATGTTATTGATTGCATACTTTATGCAAAAAGTCAATATGGACGAAAAATAGATAATGTAAAATATTTTAAATGTATTCCTATTTCACAATAATCTATCAATGTGTAATAAAACTTCAATACAACCTTGTGTTTAATTGTTGGAAATTCTTCTGCTTATTTTGAAATGCCTCACCAATCGCAAAATATAACGAACCAAATAGAAGATCCACTCACCTGAATTAAGGTTGCTAACTACTCAAAAAACAATACTTTTTATCCATAATGTAAAGAAAACACGAAGATATGTTTTTAAACTATTTATTTTAGGTTAAACTTACATTTTTGTTAAAGTACTAACAAAAACGAGGAATTTATTTTTTGTAATCGTACGTAAACCCCAAATTCATCAACGATTTATGTTATAGCGCAGTTGACAACCCTACCTGGATCATAATTTGTTGGCAAAAGACCAACACAATCAAGAGAAATAGAATTTTCTTGCACTTTTTTTATTAATTAGAACTGTTGAGGGCTCATTCGTGCGTTCGCTTTTAATCCAATATTCTCGAGCAACCTGAGTTCGACCCCCGCTAAATTTGCGCGAAATTGTTAATTTTAAGTGCTGACTTATCACGTACTCAGTGAAGGAAACAATCGTGATGATTGATTACAAATAAAATATTTCGACAATATGTGAAGTCCGCCAATCTGAAGTGGACTATGCCCTAATACTTTCTGTTCAGAGGAGGCCTTTGCTCAGCTGGGGGACATGTATAGGCTGTTAATATACTTTTTATGAACTCTAAAAATCATGACAAAATTACGTTAACACGTTACTAGCGGTGGATGCCAACTTTTTATCGTTGCCCATAGCCAGTGACCGGTTCTCGTTAAATTCAGTTCTGAAGAAGCATTCATCACCATTTCACCCTTTTTGAGTCCACCGCTGGACAAAGGCATGTTAACAATTAGAGAATCCTTACCAAATTTTATAAACGCGAAAGTTTGTATGTATGGATGGATGTTTGTTACTCTTTCACGCAAAAACTACTGAATGGTTTTTAATGAAACTTTACAATAATATAGCTTATACATCAATTAAGTAATGGGCTATAATATATATACATATTTTATGTATATCTGTCTTTATGTCTGAATATTACGGCTCAGCCTATTCTACGCAGATGTAGTCGCGGACAACAGCTAGTATCTTAATATATATAACATCCGAAAATATACAATGCTATTTTCGAAAATACATAGAAGGAAATAAAAGAGCGGTCCTTACGTTGGTAACTGATAATGTCACCGAACAATTCAATTTCCAAAGTTAATTGGCGTGACATAACCTCAAATTCGGTAAGTGCAGTCATTCGATATGAACGCGATGCTCCCACTGATCTCTCTAGTGTTTAATATTGCCGTGGCAAAAAGTTTGAATAAGCTGCCAGAGGTGGGAGGGAACTATTCGTGGGACACCCACTTGGGGTATGCGCACGTCAGGCGGAGTTGTTCGAGCACAGATAAGATATGCGAGGGCGGTGGCGCGGACGTGTGCGCGATGAGAATGGCGGGCGGGGTCCGCCAACACGTCCACTACGAGAACTCCTGTTATTTATTCATGAGCAACATGTGCGAGAATCCCGGTCAAGGTAAATATAAATATTTTCGGACACATTTCTTTTACACAACGTTCTTTAGTCCCAAACTAAGCAACACTGGTATTATGGGTACTGTAAAACTGATAAACACACTTGAACATACTTTTCCTTTTGTAAATAAATACATAGTATATATTTATATATAAACACCCAGACACTGGAAAAACATTATGTTCATCAGACAATATTTTTTCAGTAGTCGGGATCGAACCCACACCCTCTGGCGCAAAATGCAGGGTCTACTACTACCCACGTAAATCGGATCGTTAAATCTAGTTGAATCGTTCGAAATTTCCGTAGTTACCGTGATCATTCACCGAATTTTAATATAAAATGTTCAAATAACAAGCATTCCATGAAAGAAGTATCTTTTGAATAATAACGGTTAATCGCAGTCTACCACGCTTCATTAATTTAAACAAATGTCAAAAGATGTCATAACCATACATTCTTATTATGAAGCTTTTAAACCAGTTTTTTTAAGAAAACCTTATTTATTTATTTTTTTTCGTTCATATCGGCAAACGTAAGCTTTAAATTGGTGTTGGAATCATGAAATGTCGTGAATCACTATGGAAGTTATGGTGTTCCGAGAAAAAAATGCCTTTGAGAAATAATATAAGTGTACAACAGTGGTAGGGTCACGCAACAATGTTCACTGTTGTAAGACTGGGGGGCACCTCGACGGCCCTTAGATGACACACCATAGTTAAACGCACGCATGAGCACTTGCGCGGCCCTAACCACAGCGGAGGGCCCAAACCCGTGGGTTCTGACTCGCCCACCGGTTCTGCGTCAGATGAAGCTTTAATAGTCTCGGGACTGAAAGCAAAAACATCAATTAATACAAGACACGAATGGGCAGGTCCGTCGGGGTAAGTACCACGACCTATTACGTAACGTATTTTGGCTTTGAGCGGTGCTTAAGACACAAATGGTACATGATTCTTATAGTATATCACAATCGGATTACAAGTTATAAATGTATTCTGTTTCAGAGGTACATAATTTATTTCATTTATCGATAATTTTCCGTCTTCCAGAGTTTTCGATAGTATCGAGCGGCAGTTGCGAGCATTATAAAGATTCGCGAAGGAACAGTCCAGTTGCGAACAAGAACGCGACAGTAGACATTAAATCCATGCCTGGTTCGACAGGTAAGTATAAAAATTTATGCCATATGTTGTCTCATATGAAACCGTTCAGCGTCATTAATGAAACTAGTTTTTCTATCCCGATAACCGTCGAAACTGAGTTACACGTATATCGTCGTTTCTCCAGAAATGTCATCTTGAGTGCATAGAATGACACTGTAAAAAATAACACCTTTAAAAGTGTTACTCCTCAAATTCGATTCGAATTTGTTTTTGTTTTCGATTCAACTCACTCTTGATTCGAACTCGATTTGAAAATCTTACTAACCGAACCGAATCGAAACTGGAAACAAAACCGTGCGTCATCGAATCCGTTAACTGTATCTGGCCTATTACGTCACAGACAAATGTTCCATGTTTACGGCTATAACATCTTTCTCAGATAAAATGTTAGTTGCTTAATTTTTTTCTCGAAAAATTATCCGACCTTAGTTGGTTCCAATTAGAGCCACTGCTGGATTGTGCGCTGGCGTCAGATTCGGTGGTACGAACTGCCACGGATTCGAGTCAAATTCGATTGGTTCACAACTCGAACCTGTCGGGAGTAGGCAGCCAGCATTGATACTACTAACGCAACGATGACAGCCAAGCCGGCCGCTCGCTCGGGCACCATGAGCACGCTGTACGACGTCGACTCTGCCTTCGACTTCCACCTGTGCCCAATGTCCTGCCCCGACACCTACGAGCCGATCTGCCTCAGCGTCAACCGCGGCTACGGCGCCTACTTCAAGTTCTACACGTTCATCAACCACTGCGCGGGCGATCTGTACTACTGCAAGCACTGGCAAGGCACTGTATTAGATAAATCTATATTTCAAGACACATATGACTCCCAGTGCCGGATTAACCACGTAGTAAGGGTAGCAATTGCTACGGGTCCCGCGCAAAGTGGGGCCGCGCATTCAAACCTGAGCGAAATTTATTAGGACGTTGATATTGAATTTACCTTAAACATGTGTTGAAAAAATTAACTCGTGTAGTATTCTCAGTTTTCAATTGCTAGTCAGTTTCAAAATTATTCCAAATTGCAGGGCGATCTCATCTCTGGCTATTTGTACTGTGGGCCGAGCAGGGCCTATAGTAATCTACTAGATTTATTATTTTTAACCCACAAAATTGTGAGCTATAGACGTTAAATAAACGTATCGAGTATTGAATTGTTTTTTACCACTTGAATCAATAGCAGATCAAGGGTTATTTGAAAGAATTTGCTACTGGACCCCCACTTGCCTAATCCGGTACTGATGACTCCGTGGCGCAGTTGCCAAGGTATTGGCTTTGGCATTAGGGATCGTGGGTTCTATTGGGGCTTCCTAATTATTTGTGCGACCCACAGATAGTTGTTTCGCATGTTGTTTGTCCATGTGAAAGTTACGTTTGTAAAGACGTCCTTACAACACAGGATAATGTAATGATATAGGTAAGTGAGGGCAATATAAAAAAAAAAACCCGAAAAGGAATGTTGACAGTTTTACGCCCTGTTTCCGAAACACTTATCATCCTAGAAATCAATTGATTAGTTAACTTATACGATAATCAGTGTTACAGAAACCGGGCGTTAAGGTTAGGATCTTTTTTTTTTGTTCAAAAAAATCTTGTTCACTGGAGAAAAGATCTCTGTAAAAGATCTCTGTGTACAAAAATTGTCCGTTGAAAAGTTAAATTGGTGGAACTCAGTAGCAAGCGGGTACCAGGGAGTAGTGATAAAATAATATTCACCATGGTCAGTGAATGTCAGCCATTCACCTCGGTTTAATATTCATATAACAAAACGCGAACGTCTGTTGTTAAATGACCACCTTGATTGTCAATAACAACGAATAACTTCTTCTTTTAGAGTTTAGTCCACCACCAAATGAAGACGAGAACGTCGTCAGCTCCAAGCTGGGTTGGTCTTTCTGCGGGTCTTCCAGGTGAGATTGTAGACTCGCGCTCCCTAATCCTAACCGAGTGGGAGTATACCAACCGAGTGGCTAGGCTAGACTAACCGAGTGGGCTAGATTTTGGTGATTGGCGACGAGCTTGGCGTCTGATGACATCCTGTACCTGTAGAATGCCATTTAGTTTTGCAAATGCAAGTAATCGCAGGCTGTTCGCCTGATATTAAGTGATTACCGCCACCCGTGTAATTTCCAACACGTTTGTGGACACAGACAGCTGGAGAGAGAGAGGTCTTACCTTTTCTATTGGGAAATTCGAGATATCGAGTAACCATGTACGCCTAGCCTGGTCAACCTGTGACCATTTACCATTTTTCGTGTTGCGATTATCATTTAACGTTGTAGCATTTTGAGTAGAATAACAGTAATCTATACAGATAAATAAAAAAAGATAGTCTGTTTGTAATATTAAAATAGCCGCTTTTTACTAAATGCGGTATACACGGTACATATACAAAAAATAACATTTTTTACGAGTTTTGTCTGTTTGTTCCGGCTAATTTCTGAAACGGCTGGATCGATTTTGACGGAACTTTCACTGGCGAATATCTGATGTAATATGGAGTAACATAGGCTAGTTTCAATTTAGAAATGTATTTTAAATTCCACGCGGACGTAGTCGCGGGTACAGCTAGTATTTTATATTCTATATTAGAAATTTCTATTTCACTACTTTTTTACACATACAAATTTAGAAGGAAGTGATTACAGGGACGTTGCAAAATTATTAAAATTTCAACTTACGCCTTTTGTCGTAAACTGCGCATTGATTCCAGATACCTTCAGTTCGCTCGATTTGCCGAAGTGTCATCATCGATGGGTCACTATGGATGGTTAGCTGGGAACTACAAGTATGCACTCTTTTTGCATTTTAAACCTTAAACGCTGTGATTTAAATCAGAGCCTTTGAGTTATATTCAACAGAATTACTTTTCCAAAGGCGGCTTAACTTATACAGATTTCATTATTCATTGTGTTATTTCTAAACAATTATACAAAATGTTGGTTTTTTTTTTCGTTTCTTCTGTTTCAACTGAAATCCTGATATATATACACGCAGTTTGTCCATTCGTTTAACATATGAGCAGTTTTCTCATCTGTGGGAACACTATTCTTACAATTTTTGCTTAGCCGCGGCCTAAAGTTCAATTTGCGGATCTAAATACTCCGGTACCTAGGCGTCCATATTGAGGAAAACCAATTTTTAACCAACCAAACATTTAATATAAATAAATAAATAAAATAAATAAGCCTTTATTACTGCTCTTAATTTTTACATGCTATAAAATATGAGTGTGCCTTAAACTTAATTAACTTAATTCAACAAATTTATATTTAATTCAAACTTAAACTTAACATAAACTTAATTAACACTGATAATAGTTTCAAAAACATCGGCAAACGGTCGTTATTCTGGTGCAGCTTGTCTTTCGACAAAGGCCTCCTCTAAAGATTTCCATTTTATTCTGTCCTTTGCTGTACGAGTCCATAATGGACCTGCTACTTTCCTGACGTCATCCTCCCATCTCTTGGTCTGTCTACCTTTGCTTCTTTTACTGTCGCGTGGGTACCATTCTGTGATTTGTCTAGTCCATTTCTCTTTCTCCTCTCTCATCATATGTCCTGTCCGTCTCCACTTTAATTGTTTATACGTTGTGTTGGCATCCTTGAACTTCGTTATACTTTTTATATCTTTTAATTTTAATCGGTCCTTTCTTTTAGTTCCTATTACGCTTCTCTCTATTCCATTCTGACATATTTTTATTTTGTTTTCTAATTGTTCTGTCAATACCCAGGTTTGGCATCCGTATAATAGACATGGTAGAATACACATATTGTATACTCTTCTCTTTTCCTTTATAGGCATTTGTTTATTCTTCATGACTTCATTAAGTGACCAAAATCTTTTCCAAGTATTAGCAATTCTTCTATCTACTTCTTTTTGCATGCACTCTTCGGTAGATATTAGTTGTCCAAGGTTATATATTGCTGTACGTATTCTATTTCTTCTTGGTTTATTTTTATGGTCTCTGTTTGTGGATAATTTGACATTATTTTTGTTTTTGTTAAGTTCATTGAAAAACTCGCTTTGTCACTTTCATTCGCTAGCTGCTGTAACATTATTTCTAGCGTTTTCGAGTTGTCAGAAAATAAGATTATGTCGTCTGCAAAACGTAGGTGACTCAGATATTCGCCATTTATATTTAATCCCTTATTCTTCCAATCCAAGTTCCTGAATATCATTTCTAAGACGGCCGAAAATAATTTAGGTGAAATAGGTTCTCCTTGGCGTACACCTCTTTTAATAGAGAATTCTTCGCTTGTTGATTCCAATTTTACTTGCGCATTTAATATACCTATATGTATATTACGATACGTTTTCAGGGCTATTTTTTTGGTGGCACCAACGTAATTATTAAATACAATCTGCTATTATTAAAAACAATTTATCTGCTTAAAAATAAAAAGTCGAAGATACTTGAAGTCCATCAATAAACGTGTGAGTTGTTTCATTTTTTATTTTGTCTGGCAAATGATTGTACACACGGATTGCCATGTAGAAAGCATTCCTGCTAAAGGAGTTGCCTGATTTAGGCAAGAATAATTTATTTTTGTTCCTAGAATTTCTCTGCGTTACATCAGACTGTTTTATAAATAATTTAAAATTTTGTCTAACAAACAAACAGATATCCCTCACATACATACACGGTAAGGGAAGAATTTTTAACTTCTTAAAGTGGGATCTACAACTCTCCCAGTGCCCAAATTACATATAGCACGAATACATTTTTTTTGTACTACAAATGCTTTCTGGCTATCGACAGAGTTACCCCATAACAATAAACCGTAGCTTAGAACTGAGGAAACATATCCATGATATGCATAAAGAGCTGCCTCTCGCGAAACTGTTCTCCGTATTCGTCTTAGAGCATAAACAAATCGGTCTAATTTCTTACAAATTTTAAAAATGTGCTCTTTCCAATTGCATTGTTCGTCAACAGTTATGCCCAAAAATACTGTAGATTGCACCTTTTCTATCGATTTATTTTCAAATTTAATGTTAATATCTATTTTTTTGGATTTGTATGTCGAAAATTGTATTAGTTTTGTTTTCTCAAAATTAATATTGAGGTTATTTATATCAAGCCATTTAACTATGTCACGAATAGAGTCATTTATTTGATTACTAAAATTTTTTTCGTCATTAGCTTTTATTACTAGGGTTGTGTCATCGGCGAAAAGAATGCATTTTTCTTTCGTAGCTTGAGGGAGGTCATTGATATATATTAAGAATAAAAGGGGGCCTAAAATACTACCTTGCGGAACACCATATTTAATTACTTTATAGTCCGATCTATATGATGATTTTTGTAGTTGTTTGCTTTTAAGCACCATCTTACAGATTTCAGTGCATTGCCTTCTGTCCTTTAAATAACTACCTATCCAACGATTTGCTTCACCGCGTATGCCATACTTTTTTAATTTTTGAAGTAAAATGTCATGTTGTATGTGATCAAAAGCCTGAGTCATGTCTAATAGTACTGCTACTACAGGTATCCTTTGAGATATGCTTTCTGTGACAAATTTAATAAGATGAAAGCATGCGAGTGTAGTTGAACTTTTCTTTACAAATCTAAACTGCTGCGGATTTAATATATTGTGCTTTGCAAAGAATATGTTCAATCTACTAAGCATAGCTTTTTCAAATATTTTTGATAACACAGGGACAAGAGTAACTGGTCTATAATTATTAACTGTTGCCTTGTCACCTTTCTTAAAAAGCGGTTTTACAATTACTTGTTTTAACTTCGATGGAAAGGTTCCTTTACAAAATGATAAATTTATTGAAAAGCTTAAAATTTCAGAAATGTTGTTTGCACACGCTTTTAATATTTTAGTTAAAATTTCGTCGTATCCTACAGATTTACTATTATTAAGATTCATTATTATTTTACGAACCTCATAACAATCCGTAGGATATAGAAAAATTGTTTTATCATTCGTTACTATCTGTTTAAGAAAATTTTGTTTACTGTTGCCTTTTGTAATATTACCTATAAAGTGGTTATTAAAAATATCTGCAATATTTTGTGCATCAGTGTACTTAATGTTATTATACGTTATGCAATCTACGCCCTGGGAGTTTGGTTTACACATTATATTATTTTTGATAACATCCCAAGTTGCTTTGCATTTATTGGAACTGTTGCCTAGATGTCTATTATTTACATTTTTTCTGGCAGTGTAGATACATTTTTTTTAAGATGCGACTATAGGTATTGTATTTTTGTTTATTTAGATTTTTTATAGCATTGCTATGAATATATTTCAAATACAGATTTCTTTTTGTGATTGTTGACTTTTTTATCCCTTTAGTAATCCATCGCGCAGTAACATTTTTATGTACTACTTTTATTCTAATGTTTGGAAAACACAAATTATAGAAAACTAAAAACAAGTCATGAAAATAGTCAAAAGCTGCGTCAATATCTTCCATTGTATATATTTCAGACCAGGATAATGCCCTCATGCAATGATTAAACTTAATTATATTGCTTTGACAATAATCTTTTCTATATTCAAACCAGTATGTAGTTGTATGTTTCTCAGGCATATTTACGCTGAGGGTCTGCGCTGTTTCATGGTCTGACAAACCGAGAAATAGAACACCAGATTCAGCTTGTATTATATTGCTAGCTATATGATCAATGCACGCTTTATTTCTAGTAGGTAATCTTATGTGGAAGTCAATATTATAATTACTTAATATACTTGTTAATTAATATACTTGTTAATTAATATACTTGTTAATTAATATACTTGTTAAAACTAATTCAGGGGATTAACCAGTTCATCATTAATGTCTGCGCGTGTTAAATGTGATTTAAGATTTTAAAAACTTACACTTATATGTTTAAAAGTTACTCTAAAACGTGAACCATTGGTAATTTTTATAGTCATCTGAACTAGTCCATTTGCTTAACTCAAGTCTCCGACGAACTATAACAAGCATACAATTTAAGATATACATATTTTTTATGTGAAAAGTTGCCAAGCGAGCAGACGGTTCACCTGATGTTAAATGAATACCGCCGCCCATGGGCATCTGCTACACCCGAGAGTTGCATATGCGTTGATAACCATTGGATAAAAATTGAGCTTAAAAATTGAGCTGAAAGTATTACACTTCCACTTTGCGCCGGTCTTCTGTGTGGTCGTGGTACTTACCCGGACGAGCCTGCCCGTTCGTGCAACAGCCGAGGCAGCTGCGTGGCCCTACCACCAGAAGGTACAAAGGTCTATCGTCGTTTACATGTGGCGAATCAGGTTTATCGTCCATTTTATCGTGCATACATGTGAATTTTCCCGTCACTAACCATTTATGTCCACCCCATTTGGGTTAAAAACTATAGCTTGTGACTTGTATTACGCTTCCAGATACAGCCACATCATGGAACCACACGAGAGGATTAAAGGATACGGGTAAAATTCAAGGAAAATTGCTACCAAAAAGCTTTATTTTTGATATGACAACATTTATTACAGTTGCAACATTGAATAAATCTTAAAATAAAAAAAACAGTATAAATGAAACTAACTTTTACGGATTTATCGCGTTTATTTTTAATTTAATTCCCGACGTTTCGAGCCCTTTACAGCGTTCATGGTAAAAATAAAAGCGATAAATCCGTAAAAAATAGTTTCATTTATAATGTGTAATCGCGTGTTTCATTGACCTTCAATACTTAATGCAATCTCCGTATTTTTTTTTATTGTTTCGCAAAATACTCAGGTTTCCTACATGGTATACCGTTCAGCACTTACAATTAACAATTTCATTGGTGCTGGTCGTTATCACGGCTGTCCTGTTACAAAACGTAACTAAAATAAACGCTATTAATTCAAACACCAGAGATAATTTTCAACTATCTGCGTCATAATGCCTCTTTCTGAACAATTGAATGAATATGGAACAGTTTCTAATAACATACTACACAGATCAAGATTGACAGCATCGCACAAAAAGAAAAATTATAACCAATAGTTTTACTGAAAATTATAATCATCGTGCGTGATCAATAACCCATTTTAGCGAAAACAAAACTTCGTAAATGAAACAGTTTTATTAAGTCAAACGCATTTAATCTCACAAAACCATTCCCGGCAGCCACGCTCAGCGATAGCAGTTGCTGCAACGTTATCTGTTATATCTTTTACGTTAACGGAGCCGTTATCCGTCCATTTAACAACACTACGTGCACTTCAACATTGGCCAGCAATCGATCACTTCACGATGCCGTGCCGCCTGAGTACCGTCAGGTCCACTTCGGATTCGTCCACCTCTTGAGGATGGTGGATGAGGTGCAGGAGTATCCTCGGTCGGCTCCTCGAGGACCAGCCGCAGACGGAGCAGCCGAACGTCGCCCCCTGGAGCCTCCTGCGCGTCTCTCCGTGCACCTCCGCCATGTGCCGCGCCAGTGCGCGCTTGTTGCACGCCGCGTATTTACATTTGGGGCAGTCTCCCCCCTCGCGCGACTCTAGCGCCCCCTTGCCGCGGCCGACCTCCCCCCCGGCCGCCTCCTCCGCGTGCTTCCGCTGGTGGCAGCGGTACGACCTCGTGTGCCTCGCCACGAAGCCGCACCGGCCGCACCGCAGCGGGTTGTCCTCCCTGTGCACCAGCTCGTGCTTCTTGGCGTTCTTCTTGGACGCGCTGCGATAGGGGCACACGGGGCACTTGAAGGGCTTTATCCCCTGGTGGATCCGCACGTGCTCCTCGAACATGCACTTGTTGTACGTGCTGTAGTCGCACATGGAGCACTGGAACGGGTTCTCGCCCCTGTGCACGCGCAGTATGTGACGCAGCATCTTCTCCTCCGTCTCGGCGGTGAAGCGCGCGCACTCGGGGCAGCGGACTCGCCGCTTCTGCGCCGCCGGCGGAGGGGCGGCGCTGCTGGGGGGGAAGGGGGGGGGGGGGGTTACGTTTCTCGCCAATGGAGAAGTGTAAAGCTATGCGAGAAGATCAGTGCTGACCGCGCGCAACGCCGGCGGGGTAGAAAACTTTATAAGGCATAGATAAAGCTTTTCTCATGAAAATCTTTCATTGTAGAAAAAATTAAATTATTGCGGCATGACAGCCGCTGCTACAGGACACGATTGGAGCGTACAATTTACGAAAGTTAAGGCGGAACTCTATGAGATATAATTACTAGAGTTCTATTGAACTTTGTTTATGTTAGCATGTGCAACTTTTTTTAAATACATCCACTGTGTTCATAATCTTGGTTATTATAATCTATATTATATTATTATTCAAAGCAAAAACTTTGCTTTCTCCATTTCTAAGAATATTATGCTCACGGATACATGAGATTTGGCATACTTAAAATTTATATGTAGAAGAGCAGAAATCTGTTATATATAAATATCAGCACACATATAATAGGTTACAAATTAAAAGTTAAAATCATATCCATGGGTGGAGGTTATCAGTTAAACATTAGTCAAACTACTGTATGCCTCAAAAAGGCTATCACACACTGTCAACAATATAAAAACATATTTACATTGTGTTCTATGATGTTAAGCTCTCTATAAGTTCTCTGCAGTGGCTAATATCATAAAAAAATTCCAAATGAATATATATCATTTATACAAGTTAACATAGCAAAGTAAAATCAGACAGTGTATAAGCAAAATGGAAAAGAAACTTTTGGAAAATTATGAGAAACTACACAAAGAGTAATGGCTACAACCTACAGTATAAATTCAACATTTTAATTAATTATGAGAGATGAAGATGTTGATAATTTCTAAATTTCTAGTAATAGACTTGTGAGATCTTCTTTTCATTATAGAGTTATATGCTTTTGTTGTTTTCATTATGGAGATATATATAGAGCAGGCAGCAGAGCCTGCTCTATAAATATAGTTAACTCTACTGAGTTAGGCAACTCTTTGACTTTATCGGTATGTTTGGCAGTTAAATTACAAATTAAACACGATAAAACCCGTTAAACAATTATACGAATGCGTACCAAACGCATTATTCGGTACGAAAATAAAATAAATGAGATATTATGTAGTTACCTGGAATCTCGCAAATATTCCTCAACGCTAGACTCGTCCCCGCGCCTGACGTCAACAAATATAGGACCATCCTGCGTTGTTTGCTCCATTTAAAATATTACAAGTCATAAATTCTCCCTTATCAAATTTATTAAAGTGTAAATAATAAATCAAATTCCATGATTACGAGTTTGTTTATTTAAAATCGGCTAAGATACTCTATTCATTCTATTATTATTTCCCTATATACAAAAGTACTCTGTGACTCTATTTCCATTGTTATGACGTTTCATGTAGGCATGGGCAAAAATTATCAATATATAAAAATATCGATAATTTTTTTCGCGATATACATATATATTCGATATTAATTTTAGTTATAAGCTTTGAATATAATAAAAGGATTTTTGATTTTTGATTCATATAAATATATGGCTTTTTGATGACCCATCATGATTTTAGTGTCATTTTTTTTAATAAGTTGGCAACATGGGGGCGCACGGTTCTTGGTAGGAAACTGAAAGCGCGAAATTTAATTTTCCTTTTTAGTTTATTATTTGTTGCTTTTATAAGAATCCCATTGAGGAATAGCTTCATAAAATGATGATGATGGTGGAAGACGGAGCGCAAGAAATTTAAGCGTAAAATCCCTGGAGACGCAAAGAAGTGTTGGCCAGTAGAGAAGTTTTAAACTTTTGTAAAGTTTGGATATAACAGAAGCTTTCCCGTGACCAATTTCCATTTTGTGTAGATAGTTTAAATAGGGAAAAAATTGCAATAAAAATTCAGTTGTCGAAAATATTTGGGAGTAATATTTGAAAGACGCAGAATGGTTCGAAAATTATGTTGGTGTTCAAACAAGCAACTGCTGCTAGTAATTTCTTAACGAATAATCGCTTAGCCCAAAATAATATGCGTGCCCATAGACTTAGCATCTAAGCATCTAGCACATTCTAAATCTATGTGCATGCCTGTAGTTTATACCAGTCCAGTATACAATAGTAGTCTTTGGTTTATACTTGCAGCCTCTGTGGAGAGGGTTGTGTTTGTTAGAGGGGGGTATATTCTTAAGGAAACTGGAAACGAGGAATGTATAAGAAGCTGACCATGACATCGGACAGTGAAATTATTAAGTTTCGGCGCTTTATAAAAAAAATTAGTCGTAATTATTACCAATATCTAAGATCACTGTGGCTTTTGTAGGAAGTAATTTACCCGCGGGATTCAAACTGCGTCTTCTGTTTACGCGCTCAAAAGCTTTAGCAACTAAGCTAAGCGGCCGATGACCATTAGGCGCGAAAATATTGACATCTATCTACCGTTCCTTCATAAAGTTTATTTTAAATTTCTTTTTTAAAGTGCATTTTATAAAGTTTTCGTTGATTTATCTACAAAAATTTACAATTTAAAGTTTCATCTTGATTGCAGATTAGTACTAAAAATAAAAATTAACCCGATATAAACTTAATTAGTTAAGAAGTAGCCACATTATAATTGCAAAGCATAACATTTACCCTTACTATTGTCCCTTTAATTTTGTATTAAAATTGCCATATGTTTTTCAAATGAATCTTGAGAAAAGATTTCCATGCACCTATTAAATTTTCAGGGTATAAATCAGTACACAAAAATGCATTTTGCTGGTCGCATGGCCCTGCAGTCAGGGTTAGCAAATCGGTGTTGCAAAACATATAAACACAGTTGTAGTAAAAAAAAAGCGATATGGGAGGGAAATTAAAAAAATAATTTTATTTAATTGAAACATTATCCTTATACAACAAATCACAATACATTATAACTATTACATAATGTTTCACACACGACCCGTTCTGTGACCAAATTGCCACTAAGGATTTGATGAGAAGTTGGTCGGTTCCTAACTTTGTTCCGAAACAGAACTAATTACTTTTCTCTTTACTTACTAACAATCGTCTTATGATCTGTGGGAACAATTTATCTTTACAGTTTTCGCTAAAGCAAATTTGGGGATACAAAATACCAGATACTCGAAATGGATAATTATTGTTTATTTTACAAAATTTTCGAATATGAACATTAAAATGGTATAAAACAAATGTAATAAACAAATCAATTTTGGGAAAAACAAACGACATGTCAACTGGAATATTATATTAATTAAATGATTTGTATAAAGAAATTTTATTCAATTTAATTCTATTGAAGTTATCGTTCAATAAATGGCGGCGAAACGTAAATATCTATTATCGTTGAAATAGGGTTGGGAAAAGTTAACTTATTCGAGAGCTGTATCCTCTCTCTAGCAATGGTAGAATGTAAATTTTACTTAAGTTATAAGATTGACTTTTAAACATCCGTTACCGAGTTGTGGTTAAAATGTTTCTGAAGATATGTGCAGGGAAGAGGGAAAGATTATATGCTTGTATATGTACCGGTACAGAGAGACACACACAAACACAAGCGTTTGTGTGTGTTTATAGAGAAGGCCGAATGAGACCTACAGTCAATGACAACATAATCTTAATGACATCTATCCGTGCAAAATCTCTTGAATATCTTATGGATTTTCACACATAACGGTTTTATGTACTATTTATGTTGACAATAAACAATGCGATAAAACATCTTCACATAACTTCTTCCCACTACTCAATCATGATTACGACCTTAATTGCACCGTCATAAGTTTAAGTTTGGAACGACTACAGATTAAACGTTTTGACACAATTCCAAAAACGACACGAACGATGGGATGCGAGAGAGACGGTGACTGTTGCCGTCCCGCTCCCGCTCCCCTTCGGAACGTCTCCCTCGGTTTCCGCGCAGCAGCCCCCTCGCATCTACGTGCGAGAGGGACGCAGCTAGGCGGGCGTCCCGCTCTAGGCGCGGAGGGCGCGGTGGGGCGCGGCGGGGTGAGGGGGCGGCGAGTCGAGGCACAGCTCCGAAGCCTGCTCGGCCAGCTCGCTGGTGATCTGAGGAAAAAGATCGCGGCTAGTGAGCTCGATGGAACGTTCTGGAAGCGAATATAATATACATAGCGAATAGGAGTCTTATTCGCTAGCTAGCGGGGAAGTGTAACGGGAAGAAAAATGGTATGACGTTTCTTTTATGACAGAAGGTGGCAAGGGAGCAGGCGGTTCACCTGATCTTATGTGATATCTTAATCTTAATCCATCCCTTTTTATTTCACCCTTAACTCTATGATCACCCACATGAGGTATTTTTTTCTTATTAATTCAATTTTGATTGTTACTTTCTTTTTATTATTTATTTATTTTTTATTTCCTTTATGTCCATCTTACCCATCAACAATTCCTTTTGGATAAACTTCTGAGGTTGCCTGGAAGAAATTGCTGTGTAGCAATAAGGCTGCCTTTTGATGACCAATATTTGATAAATATTATGTTTTTTATACTTTAAAACATGTAGAAAAAGTACGAAAAGATTTTCGCCGCTGTGGGAATCGAACCCACGTCGGCATTCGCGGCCTGACGACGCTCTAGCCACTGAGCTAAACGGCAGGTTTCTTATACTTTTTTATTTTTATTTTTTGGTGTACAATACAGTATATTATTATATAACATTTGTAACACCCGTAGGATCATAGATGCGTTGCCGCCTTATCATAAATGTGTTCCGCCAATTAATAAAGCGGGCCCCGATTACCTCACTCACTAGACGAAACGCAGAAATGGAACACTTCCACTTCACACCGATATGAGGTTGCGCTTACCCGCCCGTTAGTGCAACAGCGAAGAGTGTCGCGTGGCCCTAATCGGTAAGATTTGTCATGTGATGAGCAATAAGAGTAGCGGTGAAATGGTGGCACCTTGCGGTGCGCCAGCGCGGCGCAGTCCGGCGGCAGCCGCAGGGCGCCGAGCAGCGCCGCCAGCCGCCTGGGCGCTTCGCCCCCCGCCAGCGCCAGCTGCACCAGCCGCCCGCCCATCTCGGCACGCGCAGCCGCTCCACGCCCGCCCCTGCACCCACACCCGTTAGCTTTATGTCTCCCTCTCGTTCACTATATACATTTTTATTAATAATAATTCATTTTTTATCAATAACAGTAACACTGTATTTACTTTTTTTTCTTTTTTCTTTTGTTCCATAAGATGTAGTAATTTCTATCGTGTTATTTTCTGTTTGATTAAGTTCCAGTTAAATTGTGTGTGTTTTATAGATTGTGTGGTGCAATGTAACTTACGATGAAATAAATAAAATAAAAAACATAAAAATAAAACATCCCTCGCCCACCGCCAGCACCAGCGCCAGCTGCACAGTGCCGGAGCAAGAATGGCAATTGCTACGGGCGTCGCACCAAAGTGTTCCCCTCATATTTAGACCCACATATCTCTGCCCGAGCCTTAATTATTTGAGTGAAACTTAATAGCCGTGTGACTCACGTGTCCGGGCGGTCGCCTTTAATTCAATTTACTCTAGCAACCTGAGTTCGATCCCCACCACCAATGAAATTGTTATTTTTAAGTGCTGACTTGTCACATCCTTGGCGGTGACAACACCGTGAGGAAATCTGCATAATTATAATATAATATACCTGTATAGAAATAATAACAAAAATAAGTATTTCGAAAATATGTGAAGTCTGCCAATCCGCAGTGGGCTATGCCCCGATACCCTCTGTACAGAGGAGGCCTTAGCCCAGCAGTGGGACATTTTTAGGCTGTTACTTTACTTTTTTTATTAAATAAATAAAGAGTATTGAAATACGTTTTTTACCACTTTATACTTAAGAACTAATAGCAGATCAAGGGCTGTCAGAAAGAATTTATTACAGGTATGCAGCACTGCAGTTGCGCCAGCCGCCCTTTCCCTCCCGTAGGGACGTCGAAAATTATAGATATATTTTGATTATATATACACATAGATGTTTTCAGTCGATATATCGATACAAGATGTTCGATATTGAAAAACGATATTTTTCAAAGTGACCAGCATGGATAGGTAGCAGGTTGCCGCAATGGCGGGGGGGGGGGGGGGGGGGTCGGTACCTGGGCGCCAGGCGCTCCAGGGCGGCGCAGGCGGCCGCCAGGCGGGGGCGCAGCGCCTCGAGGCGCGCCTGCAGCGGGGCGCCGCCCTCCGCCGCCGACACGAGCCCGCGCACCTTCGATGAAAATGGCGATGGTAAACGAATACTGACAATTTGCATTCTGCCAACATTGGCTGAAACGCGTCTCTATGGAGGATGTCACACATGGAAAGCAAATTATTGTTTTTTTTTTTCGTGGGACGAAACACGCACATTCTGCGAATAGACTTTCGTAAAATTTTACTCCACTACTAAAGCAAGCTCCATCATAAAATACCGCATATTTGCACTATGCACTTGTTAAAATAAACACTCAATACTTTCATGGTTCTAATCTATATACGACATGGTGAAATATTAAAATTTGGAGAAAAACATGTATCATACAACTTTTCACCACTGCGCGAATCGAACCCATTTGCATGTCCATGATATCATATACTTATAGCAGGTGGATATGATACTAGCGCATCGAAACTGAGGCACTAAAATTAAGCCAATTGGTGTAATTACATTTGTTTGTTTGTTACAGGGGCATATATTCACACAACGTTATCTAGTCCCAAACTAAGCGACGCTTGTACCATTGGTACTAGGTGAGTAATAAACATACGTCAACATACTTTTCTTTTTGTATATAAATACGTGTTCTACGTATACATATAAACACCCGGACACTGGAAAAACACTAGGTTCATCGCACAATATTTCTCCAGTAGCGGGGATCGAACCCACACCCTGTGGCGCGGGAGTCCACTATCCACTACGCCAAACGGGTCGTTTACAGACTGCCATCTTTCTTTTTTTGTAAAGACATTGCCCTAACTTTAAGACAACTCCTGTGTTGTAAGGTCGCTTTAAAAACACAAAATTCACACGGACAGACGTCCAGATGCGAAACAGCCGTCTGTGGGTCGCGCAAATAGTCGTCCCGTGTGGGAATCGAACCCACGAGCCCCGACGCTGAAGCCGATACCGTGGCAACTGCGCCACGGAGTCATCAAAATGCTTTCTCTATCCGTGTCGTCAGTTTGGGTGCGCCAGTGTCACATCCACCTCGTATTTGCTAGAGTGAGGTAGCCAAGGCCACCTCACTCCGCCAGCCATCCGCCCACCTCGTCGCAGACGTGCATGTAGTGGTACAGCGCGCTGCCTCCAGCCTCCCAGCCGCTGATCTTGTGCCTCTCGGCCGCCTCTCGCATCTTCAACAGCATCGGCCTCACGCTCTGGATGTTATCTGCGGGGAGGGGGTTTTTGGTATTAATTTAAAATAGTTATTTATTTACAAAACCTTACGCTATCGTTACAGTCACTTAACCTAATACAATAGTGCTGCAATCTATAACATAAAAGGAAAACTACCTATTAACCATATTAACTACAAATTGACAATGCAGCCTTTTCGAATTCACACGGAGAACACAAGAATGAGTCTACATTCCCAGTGATAATGTTTAAAGTACTAGGGATGCTGAAAGTTAAGAAATATATTGATATTTTCTTTTTAGGCCCTGTTGTCTAAAAAAAAAAAACAAGTATTAAATATTTGTATTTATTTACAAAATAACTGTCATCATCATCAATTCAGCCTGTTCGAGTCCACTACCGAACATAGGCCTCACCCACGGAGAAAGAAATAACATTTTGCAATGGAAAAGAAAGAGACGGATGGAGATAAAAAGAGAAAAGTACAGCTCCTCACCGGAAAGCACCACCTCCGCGAGGAGCTCCTCCACTAGGAGCCTGTGGGCGGCGTTCCACTGCTGGGCACCCACCAGGTGCTCCAGCTCCAGCATCGGTTTGTGCTGATGAGGAAACCATCGAGGTCACAGTACACACAGCACAGACATACGGCCTAAGAATTGTGAAGGACTATGAAAGATTAATGAAGGTAGCGTCAGTGTAACACATAGCAAAGACAAAGTGGCTAGTATGGATTGGGAGAGAGAGAAGTATGAGAAGTTCAGAATAGGAAAGGATGAACAACCGAACATGAGGAGGCGATCAAAGTGAGATTTGTAAAGAGCGGTAAGAGAGGGAGAAAAAGGGAGGTGATGTACAAGGAAAGAGTTTAATATGTTGGCTGTGCAAAAAAAGGTCATGATAAGGAAAAAACAGCCATATGCGACTAAGGGTTGGTGTCTGTTGAATGGGAGCCCCATAAAATATTTTTTTATTTTATCCTGATTTATTTAGTAATTGTAGAAATACATCATCTGTTAACAATTTCAACTGTCCGACTATCACAGTTTAGGAGATACCGTCGGACGGACGGTAACAGGCGGACGAACGGACAAATAGACAGACGGAGGTCCTATTTGCTCTTTGGCTACGGAACTCCTAAAAATCGAAGTTGCCAGCTTTGTTTAAAGGGATATAAGCAATACAGGAAATAGACCGGCGAAAGAATACGGGGGGGGGGGGGGGGGGGGGATCTGTCTTTCAGAACTTGCGTGGGGGTAATTGTCCTCCAGTACGATCGACTTACACTAGTGCCTGAGGGGCGGGGGCTGTCCTCTAAATAAGGGGGTGAGTAGAAAAGGGTTTACTTCGTATTGGGCCGGGTGAGCCTGAGCCATAATTATATGGGGGTGGTGAGTGCGGGTGGGGGTGGGGGTGTGTTCCTCGTACATGGCCGGGTGAGTTTGGGCCATAATTATTAATATAAGATGCGGGTGTGCTACCTCGTACTTGGCCCGGTGGGCCTGGGCCAGCAGCAGCCACGCGCCGGGCAGCCTCAGCGCCTGCGCCGCCCTCAGCCGCCGCAGCTGCTCGCCCTCCGCCAGGCTCGGAGCGTTCCTGTCCAGCACGCCGCGCATCAGCCGCGCCCGTCTGGAAACAGGTGTTATTATTTTTTTTATATCGCTCCCGACCCGTCAAAGGGAATTACCATCAAAGGCTGCATCGCCGCTCACCATCAGTTGGGATGGCAGCCGAGTGCAAGCAATGAGCTTTTTATTATACGCCAGAATATTTATTTATTTATCTTTTATGCACTAAAAGTACAAAGGCGGACTTAATGCCAAAGGCATTATCTCCCAGTCAACCTTAGGGTGGTATAGAGAAGGTTAGGTAGGTGCACAGAAAGACGAAAAAAGAATAACTACAACTGAAACTTACAAGGTACATATCTGATATTATTTGTATAATTTAGTTAAGTAATATTCTAAAATTATATATTACATAAGAAGATTATAAACATAAACGTAATACATGCTAAAAATATAAATAAATACAGACAATATATATAATAAATACATAAATACATATATATATGCTATCTCGCGGACGGCAGAATTTTACGGAACCTTTGAACAAAGTGGGCCCGTCTACCTTACTCGCCGGACGAAACGCGGAAGTATGACGCTTCCGAAACGGACGCGAGGGGCGGTATGCCCAAATACTAACACGAGCCGGTGTCCTAGCACTCGAGGCGAGAAAACGAGATGAGGCCACAACAGGAGGTCGAGGAAGATTTGCCTTTCCGTTCTCGACTCCAACCGATGCGTCAGCGACAGGTCGACAGGTGTAAATTGGGTTCTTTAGTGGGCCACTCGTTTTGAATGGTATTCTCTCATGACTGCCGGAGGCAGGGGGAATCCCCGTAAAAGATATTCTCACTCAAAAAAAAAAGTGGATGAGACTCTCTCGTCCGTTTCGCATTATTTGACCATTACTGAGGACAGAGCCCTTAGAGAAGTCGTCCTCCTGCTCGGTGCAATACCTCTGCCAAGTTTATGATCCATCTGATGTTGATAGATCACCGCCACCACAACACCTGACCGAGTCTCGGATGCGCTGCCAACCTTTAAAACAGTGCGCCCTGGGATACCTCACTCGCCAGACGGAAGGCGCAAGTGCAACACTCCCGCCCGCCTAAACGTGCAACAGCGAGGGCCGACCTGGCGCGCTGTGGCAGGTGTGCCAGCGCCTGCAACGCCAGGTGCCAGTGGCCGCGCGCCTCCAGCTGCTGCGCGACGCCCTCCACGCTCTCGCCGCTCGGCCCGCCCAGCCACGCGCCCACCAGGAAGCTGCCAAAACGGCGCTTATGGTCAACGGATAAAGTGCACTTTCACTTGATAGATAGACTTGTCACTTGCGCAAGAGGTCGTGGGTTCGATCCCACCACTGGAAAAATTGTGTGAAGTAATTAATATAAGGAACATAGTGTTTTTCCAGTGTCTGGCTGTTTATACATATATAATACACTAGCTGCTGCCCGCGACTACGTCTGCGTAGAATTAGCCTGAAGGCGTAACACTCAGACAGCAAGACACATATATAAATAAAAAGTTGTATATAAATTATAGCCTTATTCTGATGTATAAACTATATTATTGTAAAATTTCATTAAAATCCATTCAGTAGTATTTGCGTTAAAGAGTAACAAACATCCATACATACATACAAACTTTCGCCTGTATAATATTAGTAAGGACGTATTTATTTACAAAAGAAAGGTATGCTTAAGTATGTTTTACGGTTATCTAATACCCCTAGTGCAGGCGTTGCTTAGTTTGGGACTAGAGAATGTTGTGTACAATGTGTCCTTTAATATTTATTCATTATCTGTCCTATAATTAAAAGCGAGGCCGTAGTATACCATAGGCTGTAGTCCAGAGGATCAGCGGTATACGCAGCGGGCTGGAGCTTGGGACGGCAGTTGAAAGCCCTCGCTCGGATCAGCTCGTAGCGGAGGTCCAGAACGCGTCGATTTCTGCCGTCCTGGCGGTGGAAAGAAAAATATAAAAGGAGCTCTAATTATAGCTGCCGGAATACTAAATTACCGGAATACTAAATTAACTATATTAGTTAATTTAGTTTAGTAATGTGCTCCTGGCCAATCAATGATGACACAGACTCCAAAAATTGTTACAGGTTACGTAGGTTAGGTTATAGAGGTTAGATTTTCAAGATTTGATTATATTAGATTTAATATAAGTATAAACTTTTTAGTGCTAATCATTTTTTTGTTAAAAAAACTTTTTATTACTCAGAAACTTTTTGGGTATTTCCAGAAGTTCCCATTTTTTTTAATTTTATATGTCAGAAAATGGCAAACGAGCTGGTGGTTCACCTGTAAGTGATAACCATGGCAACACCCGTAGGGTTGCAGATGCATTGCCACCTCTTAATAATGTGGGCCCTGGCTACCTCACTCGCCAGACGAAACGCAGCATCCACTTCCTACCGGTCCTCTGTGAGGTAGCGGTACTCCCCCGGACGGACCCGCCCATTCGTGCAACAGCGAACACTGCTGCGTTGCCCTACCAGCCACAAATGTACTGCGGCGGTGTTGCGTCACAGCGGTGACGTCACTCACGCCGTCCACCGCGCGCTCGTAGCGGTCGCAGTAGGGCGGCAGCGGCGGCCGCATGCCCATCTCGTCGCCGGCGACCAGCTCATCGCCGGCGTCGAGCTCGTCGCCTCCCGTCGGGCGCGATGAGCCTGTCGCGCCGAAGTAGCCCTCGTAGGCGCGCACCACCTGTTCCAGGCGCGGCACTTGCGGGCACAGGTATCTGGGGACGGCGGAGACGAGCGGACGTTAAGGGCACAGTTAAGGGTGGCATCGCGTCGAAGTCAACATCCGACTGGATCCTTAGACGGCCACTTTGTGTTCACGGAAACGGGATCGGTGTTCAAAGCGTAGCTTCGGTTAATACGAAATTCTTATGTGTACATATATATGTGTGCAGAGTCGTGGACATCCGAGAAAACGTCTCGTATGAGAAGTATCTCAGATTCGCTTGTCAACTATGGATCTCTGTGATGGCAGAAAGCCAGTGGACTCTTAGACATCCACCGATATTTCCCGCGAGTAACTGATCCACATGTAAGGGAATCCAATCCAATGGACCGTGTGCTAGAACTGGTACCCTGGATGCCAAGCCGGTCACCTGGCGGTGGCGTGCAGCGCGCGCAGCCAGTCGAGGCGCTCCAGGGCGCCGGGGGGGCGCAGCCCCGCCGCCAGGTGCAGCGCCGCCAGCCGCGGCTCCGCCACCAGCTCGGAGGCGCCGCACTCGCGCCACAGGTGCAGCTGCTTCGCCACCAGCGACTGGAAAGTGGGGTTGCCTGCAAGCGGGGATTTTGATATTAGTTTTAAAATGTGTTGAAAAGATTATATATTGTTATTTTTTAATGTTAATAGTTGGAAGACGAGCAGGCGGTGCACCCGATGCTGAGTGATAAGGGTTGCAGATGCGTTGGCAACCTTGAAAACTATGGGCCCGGTTACCTTAGGCACCAAACGAAAGGCATTATTAATACTAACGTAAACCTATACGTATAGGGGTAGGCAGCAATTTTTTTTTGATTATCAATATTAATGCTATCTGCCCTTCTTAAGAACCATCCCCATTGTGGGATATGATCATACAGTAAAGCAAAGTATCAGCTTATGCATGTCCCACTGCTGGGAAAAGGCATAGTCCACCAAGTGGCCCCACTGCGGATTGGCGTACTTCACATATCTTCGAAATATTTTTTTTGTTATTATTTCGAAAATATGCAGCTTTCCTCACGATGTTTTCCTTCACCGCTGAGCACGTGATAATTCTGCACTTAAAATTGCCAATTTCATCGGTGCTGGCACCACTCAACTAAAGAAATTCTACCCGCACAAATAGATTTTTTTATGCAAGGAAGTGGCAAACGAGCTGGCGGTTCGCTTGATATTAAGAGGTGACCCATTGACATTTGCCATACCTGTAGGGATGCAGATGCATTGTCACCTTTTAATAAAGTGGGCCCCGGCTACCTCACTCTCCGGACAAAACGCAGAAGTATGACGCTTCCACTCCACGCTGGTCTTCTGTCCGGTCGTGGCACTCCCCCGGACGGACCTTCCCTCCGTTCAACAGCTAGCACTGTCGCGTGGTCCTGCCACACCAGTCGCAGTTTGTCACCGCTTTCGGGAATGGAACGCCCATTTCTTTTTTTTTTTTTTCATTTTGCATTTCATCTTAGCATATTTCCACCACCCACCGGCGACCTGGGCGAGTAGGGTGGCCATGTGCAGGTCGCCGCTCTCGCGCGCCACCTTGCACGCTTCGAACACGCGACCGCCCACCAGCAGGCTCCACACGCGGCCGCTGTGCCCGTCGGACTCTGCGGGGGGGAATAAATGAAACTTGCCAATAATCATAAAAAAATATTCACGTTAAACAAAATCCATAATTAAAAAGAAATATTTTTCAAACAAACTAATTAAGTTAAAAAAGAAACAAAATTTGTAACATCCTATACAACTCGCGCCACAGCGTCGCATTACAAGCCTCTCCTTCTAACAGTATGTTTGTCTCTTTTAAATTCATTAAACCCATTCATATGCTTTGTGACCTTTACAAATGAACTTTACTTTACAGTTTTATACGTAAGGGTATTCTAAAATTCATTGTTTTGGAAAATTTAATAACTCGGTAAATATTGATGTTTAAAGAATGTAAATGTTTAATACAATTTTAAAAAGTTATCCTCTATATGTGTATACATTTATTGTCCCGGTGGTAACGACACGCTGTATAAGCATCGCAAGTTACCTTTTTAGCTCCGTACCCAACCGTGATGAGGTAATATAGTAAATATGTAAATAACAATTTATGAAACGCACGCATTCGGTATGATTTAGTGTCGATAGATGGCGTTATCATACATTCCTTGGAAACAGTTTTTAGCGAAAATTTTTATGAGAACAAATTTATTCTACTTGTTAACAGTGTCAAATATAAGCTTTACAACAGTGTAAGTTAATAAATTATAGTGATCAGACGAAAAAACATCTTTGAGAAATGATATACTGAATATCACTCGGTGGAGCAGTTGCCAAGCTATTGGCTTCAGCACTGGGTCCTATGGGTAGGGAGACCCCACCCAGGCGGTATGAGGGCAGGACGATGATGATGATACAGAGTGACTATCGCTGAGAATAATGTCTTCAAAACGGTCACCGTCACACATTGGTGGGATAAGGGAACATCAAAAATGTCACCGTTCCACATGGGTGGGATAAGGGAACATCAGAATGGTCACCGTTCCACATGGGTGGGGATAAGGGAAGATCGGAATGGTCACCGTCGAGGGGGTCAGATCGCGCCGTCGCCTCCAGGTCCCGGCGAGTGGCCTCCTCGGTGGCCTGCTGCAGCCAGCGCAGCAGCCTGCGATGGCGGAGCACCGACGATGACACGTCCGCGCCCGGGATGCCTGCACAGCCGACGAACATTTCAGGGGCACACTTTCACACAACGTTACTCTAGTCCCGAACTGGGCGACGCCCGCACTATGGGTACGGTATGGTACTGGATGTCGTACTTAAACATGTTACGCAGCCCCAGTGTATGGGATCTGCCGCGTTGCAACGGCTTCGGACCCCAACGCGATGGCACGAGGCACCGAGTCGGCACAACGCATTCCCGTCATAGTTCTTTACCTCATTACGAAATTGTAATCGATATAGCATTCTATATTCACATTTCGGATTTCTTAGAACCAATTTGAATGTAAGATTTTTTTAGTAAAACAAATTGTATTTCAATAAGAATTGATCGTTTCGTGTCTGATTCGGAGTACCGGTGATAGGTTTTAGTGACGAAACGCAACGCAACGAAAAATCTTTTGAAATATTTCAAATCGAGTTTTATTAGAGATTCCGCGAAGATGTTTGAACTCAGCCAACGGAGCAGTGTTGTGAACTAATCCCCGATTGTTTATCCGTATGGGGAATGCGCCCATGATTCTAACAACATGTTTTCGTCTTCAATGTTTAACGTATCGGATTCTTGGACATCCACCAATATACCTCACAAAGTAATACCAGTACATGACAGAATTCATATTATAATTAAAAAAAAAATGGATTCTTATCAATCCAGTGATATAAATCGCTTGAGAGCCGCTAGATGGCACTTATATATGCGCACATAAATAGATTAATTATCAATTATTCATTCGCCTTCTAATAAATTCCTTTTTTTATGCGAAAAGTTGCCAAGCGAGCAGGTGGTTCACCTGATATTAATTGAATACCGCCGCCCATGGACATCTGCTACACCCGAGGGTTACAGATGTGTAGACAACCTTTTGAAAATTGGCCTCCAGCTACGTCACTCACCAGACGAAACACGAAAGTATTATACTTCCACTTTACACCGGCCTTCTGTGAGGCCGTGGTACTCACCCGGACGAGCCTGCCCATTCGTGCAACAGCCGAGGCTGCTGCGTGGCCCTACCACAGTCCCTTTGTTTATACCGTTATTGTGACTATAAAATAATTAAACTTCACCAATATGTGGGCGTGTTTTTTTTTTTATTAACACTCCACCCTTCCAGCGCTGGCCGTTCGTAGTTCTCAACTCACCCCCATTCTCCAGGTCAGCCGCCCACAGCGCCTCGCAGAGCTTCCACACCTGGAGCCGGTAGGTGTCGCCCGTCTCGCTCTGGCCACGAACAGAGTGCGATTACAACAAGTTTTAATGTTTAATCTTAAGTGCAGAGATTAGCAATATAAATAAAGTTAAACGGTTTTATTTTCTGTTTTTTGTTTTGTGCACTGAAAACTACAATATTGTATTGTCATCTAAATTAAATGTGTGTGTACCAAATTTCAGATCAATCTGACAACGGGAAGGTGCCTTAATTTCAATTTCTGATTTTGACCCAAATAAACAAATAAATTCCGTACGTGTCGAGCTAAATAAAACCGTTTAAAAACTTTAAAATGTCTAAAAAGAGTACAATTACAGTTTTGAATTGATTAATTGCATGAATTGTTCACATCGACCTGTGCAAGTGTGCGGCGAGTCGATGGATTTTTTTTTGTGATTAAACGTGACAAAGTGGCAAACGAGCTGGCGGTCCAACGGTGTTAAGTGATAACCGCCTACCCGCGGGCATTTGCAACACCCGTAGTGGGTGATCCTGCACCCACCTATAGTGCATCCCACCTATAGTGGGCCCCGGCTACCTCACTCACCAGAAGAAACGCAGAAGTGTAACACTAACATTTCCACGGATGCAGGTGGCTCAGGATCATGCTTAGATGCGGTCTGTGGGAGAGGCCTATGTTCAGCAGTGGATTAAAGGAATGTATGTAACTGGCTGAAAATGATGATTTATTAAAGCTATTAAAACATGTAGGAAAAGTTCGAAAATATTGTCGCCGCTGTGGGAATCGAACCCACGGCTTCGGCATTAGCGGCTTGACACTGTAGCCTTCCATCTATGATTTATCTTTGACATAATTATATTATAACCTCTTCAAGTAGCGATAAGCTTAGCGCATTTTCTGTGGGAAATAAAAGTTCAAAAAATTAAGTAGTAGCCTGTACACGTCCCACAGTTGGGCAAAGGCCTCCTCCGTACAGAGGGTATCAGGGCATAGTCCACCACGCGGCCCCACTGCGGATTGGAGGACTTCGCATATTTTCGAAATATTTTTTTTTGTTAATATTTCGAAACCATGATGGTTTCCACGGCAATCATGTTTGCTGTAAACATGTAGGCCCCAATTAAGTATTTTTTTATCCAGTTTTTTTTTTTGGTATTTGTTGTTATAGCGGCAACAGAAATAAATCATCTGTGAAAATTCCAACTGTCCCATCACGGTTCGTGAGATACAGCCTGGTGACAGACGGACAGACAGCGGAGTCTTAGTAACAGGATTCCATTGAATACGGAGCCTTAAGAAACACGTATGCATATGTGCACGTGTGTACGTGTGTGTGTGTGTGCACACATATATACGCGCGTAAGAAGCTACACTTCTTTGGCGTATTCCTACATCACACATCAGAGTGGGCACGCCCTCACCTCCGCGTGCTTGAGCAGTTGCCGCAGCAGCCCCAGCCTCCGCTCCGGCTCCGAGTCCACCACCAGCCTGGGGCAGTCGCCTTCCTCCACCAGGTTGCAGAACTCGAAGAGGCACTCCATCTGCGCAGGCAGGGCGTCCTGGCGAAGAGACGGTGGATCGATTAACAAAAGAACCGGCCAAGTGCGAGTCGGACTCGCGCACGGAGGGTTCCGCACCATTGTCCGTGAAAACGACAAACCCATGTATGCTTTAAGGCAGCCCCACTCGAATGTTTTTTTATCAGTAGTATTCGTTGCTATAGCAGCAACGGACATACATGATCTGTGATCATTTCAACTGTCTACCTATCACCGTTCATGAAATACAGACATACAGACAGTTCATGACTGACAGACAGACGGACAGATGGAGAGCGGAGTCTTAGCAATTAGGGTCCCGTTTTGGCCATCGGGAACGGAACCCTAAAAGTCCTGATTATCCTCTCCTCGATAGATGCATTACCGCCTCTTAATAAAGTCGGCCCCGCCCACCTCACTCACCCGGGGAACTATCACGACCTCACGGAAGACCAGCGCGAGGTGGAAGTGTTACACTTCTGCGTTTCGTCCGGTGAGTGAAGTAACGGGGGCCCAGCATTATTGAAGAATGCAATCGCATATGCAACTCGGCCGGTGTTGCAAATGTCTACGGGCGGCGGTAACCAGTTAACGCCAGAAACGCCCGCTCGCTTTTAAACATAAAGGAGGTACCTGCGGGTCGGTGGGCTCCTGGCCCATGGCCAATCATGTTTGCACATAAAGGAGGTACCTGCGGGTCGGTGGGCTCCTGGCCCATGGCCAATCATGTTTGCACATAAAGGAGGCACCTGCGGGTCGGTGGGCTCCTGGCCCATGGCCAATCATGTTTGCACATAAAGGAGGTACCTGCGGGTCGGTGGGCTCCTGGCCCATGGCCAATCATGTTTGCACATAAAGGAGGTACCTGCGGGTCGGTGGGCTCCTGGCCCATGGCCAATCATGTTTGCACATAAAGGAGGCACCTGCGGGTCGGTGGGCTCCTGGCCCATGGCCAATCATGTTTGCACATAAAGGAGGCACCTGCGGGTCGGTGGGCTCCTGGCCCATGGCCAATCATGTTTGCACATAAAGGAGGCACCTGCGGGTCGGTGGGCTCCTGGCCCATGGCCAATCATGTTTGCACATAAAGGAGGCACCTGCGGGTCGGTGGGCTCCTGGCCCATGGCCAATCATGTTTGCACATAAAGGAGGTACCTGCGGGTCGGTGGGCTCCTGGCCCATGGCCAATCATGTTTGCACATAAAGGAGGTACCTGCGGGTCGGTGGGCTCCTGGCCCATGGCCAATCATGTTTGCACATAAAGGAGGTACCTGCGGGTCGGTGGGCTCCTGGCCTATGGCCAATCTGGCCACCACCGGCTCGCTCCAGTCGTCTTCGCCGCGGCCGCGAGTGTAGCGCCCGATCTCGCTGAGCTCGGCCGCTGCAAACAGGGAGGTTGGTGAGATCAGTCAAGTACAATACATTCCTCAAAGGTTTCCTGTGTCGTTTTTTGTTTCTTTATATTTGTAACTCTGTGCACTTACACATATTTCTCTTCTTTGATTTGTATTTTCCGAAAACGATGTTTGTTTTTTATTTTTTAATTTGTTATTTTCATGTCATTTATTTTGAATGTTCTTGCTGTGTGTTGCTTGTCAAAATTAAGTCCCACGGTTCGGAGGGAACCTTGGACTAATGCAAACACAGTGCATATTTGCAAATTTAGTTCACAATAATACCAAAATGAAAAGTTTTTCCTTAATGTTGTCAGTTAGAAAAATTTCTTAAACGATTTAAAGAATCGCCGAGTTCATGCATTAATATAATTGCAAATTTAAGAATCTACTGATCGAAAATCATCCGTAATTAATTAATCATTATTTTGCCCATCAGTGGGACATAAATGGTTGGTACAATACTCGCCCAGCAGTGAGACTGTCTGAAATTTGAATTGTTGGTACCCTACTGAATATTGACAGATTTTATAAGCATCCTTTATTAGTCTAGTCACTGATCTATCCAACGTCACAGCGAAATAGACGGTTCATATTTCAATAGTAATTTTGCATGTTTTCGTTGTCGCCTTGTAAAGCTGGATACTGGCAGAGCTTAAACTGTGGTAGGGCCACGCAACAGTTTTCACTGTTGCACGAACGGTCAGATCCGTCCGGGTCATTACCACGACCCTTCGTCTGGTGAGTGAGGTAGCCGGGGCCCACTTTATTGGAAGGTGGCAACGCATCCAACCGTACGGGTGCTCCAAATGTCAATGGGCGGCGGTTATCGCTCCACATCAGGTGAACCATCGGTTTGGTTAGTATATACAGCGTGTCGTTACCATCGCGACAATAAATGAACACACGTCTAACGCTACTTACCAATAATCATAAAAAAATATTAACGTTAAACAAAATCCATAATTGAAAAAAATAGTTTTCAAACAAACTAATTAAGTAAAAAAGAAACAAAATATGTAACATCCTATACAACTCGCGCCACGGCGTCGTATTACAAGCCTCTCTTTCTAACAGTATGTTTTGTCTCTTTTAAATTCATTCAACCCATTCATATGCTTTGTGACCTTTACAAATGAACTTTACGTTACAGTTTTATACGTAAGGGTGTAAAATTCTTTGTTTTGGAAAATTTAATAACTCTGTAAATATTGATATTTAAAGAATGTACATGTTTAATACAATTTTAAAAATGTATCCCCTATATGTGTGTTCATTTATTGTCGCGATGGTAACGACACGCTGTATATGTCGGGGGAAGCTATGTCTCGGGATGTTTGCGTGTATAATCCATAAAATTGTGTTTACCTTTTATCACTTTTAAAAATCTTAATTTAATTGCATTTGATTTGTTACATTTTTACATTAGCTTAAAACCTTAGTAATGAAATATAAGTTACGAATATTGTAAACCACGTAACGCCAATGAGAGCAGAGCACATGCCTCGAGTGGGGTCGAGGCGCCATCTAGACTTAAGGGAGCGTTAGGTTTCGGGAGACGCATTTGTGTAAAAGTGTTCTTTGCGTTTGAGTGATAGCCAATATATTGGTCTTAGCCAATATATTGGTGATAGCGATTGATCGAGTGGGATAGTTGAGAGTTTATTCGTTAGTTAAAGTAAGATTTAATTATCAGTTTTCCTTTCGACATTGTTGTGAAGTGACAAAACATTGTTTAATCTAAATTGAAATAATACAAAACTCTAATCATTGTGTTTGTGCTCGCATTTTACCCTGATGACGCCCAATAAGAACGCAATCATTATCGGCGATGTCAACGAGAACAATGTATCTTCGACATACGTATACATATATTTTAGGGCACATTTTTACACAAAATTCCCTAGTCCCAAACTGGGCAACGCCTGTACTATGGGTATTAGATATTGATAAATATACTTAAACATACTTTTCTTTTGTAAATAAATACATATTATACACATATTAGCGGACAGTGCAGGCATTGTCCTGAACACACGACTTAAATCCGGTAACTGAAAAAAAATTGTGAATCTAAACCATTCTCGGAGCGACCTGAAGACACACAAAAAATTTCATTAAAATGGGCCCAGCCGTTTAGGAGGAGTTCAGTGACAACACACGCACAGTATACTTATGAATATAAAGATAAACCATATACCATATACCCATACACTAGAAATAGACCATGTTCATCACACAATATTTTTCCAGTGGTGGGGATCGAACCCACACCCTTTGGCGTAAGACCAATCGCTAAAAAAAAGTAGTCATCAGTTGATCGTGGTGCTATCTCCGAGATAGGTTGGGGATCTCCGAGATAGGTTGGGGATCTCCGAGATCGGTTGGGGATCTCCGAGATAGGTTGGGGATCTCCGAGATAGGTTGGGGATCTCCGAGATAGGTTGGGGATCTCCGAGATCGGTTCGGGATCTCCGAGATAGGTTGGGGATCTCCGAGATAGGTTGGGGATCTCCGAGATAGGTTGGGGATCTCCGAGATAGGTTGGGGATCTCCGAGATCGGTTGGGGATCTCCGAGATAGGTTGGGGATCTCCGAGATAGGTTGGGGATCTCCGAGATAGGTTGGGGATCTCCGAGATAGGTTGGGGATCTCCGAGATAGGTTGGGGATCTCCGAGATCGGTTCGGGATCTCCGAGATAGGTTGGGGATCTCCGAGATAGGTTGGGGATCTCCGAGATAGGTTGGGGATCTCCGAGATAGGTTGGGGATCTCCGAGATCGGTTGGGGATCTCCGAGATAGGTTGGGGATCTCAGAGATCGGTTGGGGATCTCCGAGATCGGTTGGGGATCTCCGAGATAGGTTGGGGATCTCCGAGATCGGTTCGGGATCTCCGAGATCGGTTGGGGATCTCCGAGATCGGTTGGGGATCTCCGAGATCGGTTGGGGATCTCCGAGATAGGTTGGGGATCTCCGAGATAGGTTGGGGATTTCCGAGATCGGTTGGGGATCTCCGAGATAAGTTGGGGATGTCCAAGATAGGTTGGGGATCTCCGAGATCGGTTGGGGATCTCCGAGATAGGTTGGGGATCTCCGAGATAGGTTGGGGATCTCCGAGATAGGTTGGGGATCTCCGAGATCGGTTGGGGATCTCCGAGATCGGTTGGGGATCTCCGAGATCGGTTCGGGATCTCCGAGATAGGTTGGGGATCACCGCGATCGGTTGGTGGCACTCACAGCGTGGCAGGTCCGCCAGCGAGCGGTGGGAGGTGGCGAAGGCGAGCTGGTTCCGCGGGCCGAAGCCGACCCTGGCGTGGCGGGCGAGGCTCACCGACACGTCCGCCAGGCACCGCCCGTCCAGCCGACCTGAAAACGTCATCATCGTTCATCACCACCATCGCCATCTTCGTACTCATACCGCCAATACTGCCATCATCATCTCATCATCAACACCAACATTAATACCATCATCTTCATCATCGTTGTCATACACATCATAATCATTACAATCATCTTCATTGTAGTTGTCATACACATCATGATCATAATCAATACTATCATCTTCATCCTTGTTGTCATACACATCGTTATTATCATACACACCACCACCTTCGTCATAGTTGTTATAACCATTATCAATACTACAATTTTCATCGTCTTTTTCCTTTCGAGTCATCCACTTTTTTTAAGTTGACAACACTTTTGCAACCCGTCGGATGTTGCAGATGTCCATGGATCCATGGGCGGTCTAAATAACTTAACATCGGGTGGACCGCCAGCTAATTTGCCAACTTTTAACAAAGTTCCGAAGTGAAACTACTTACGAGAATTGAAGGCACATATCGTAAAGAGAGGGATGAAAAAGAGATAACACGCAGCAAGACCGACGGATGCGCTAATAAAAGATGATAGAATAGGAAAAACGCGTGATACACTACAAATGAGCAGCTGAGGTAAAAGAAGTTCATATTCAGGAACATTCAATAGACGAGACGAAATTCAACCCGTTTCCAGAGCAGTCAAAGCGATCGAGATTCGGCCTATAAAAGGTGCTCGAAGCGATCTAGACGGCAGTTCAGTGACGGAACTCGAAGAAGAATGAGGAAGAAGGAAGCTAAAACTGAAGTGAAGAAGGAAACTAATAGTGAAGTGAAGCAAAATAAGGAGTGAAAAGTGAAGTGAAACATGAAGTGATTGAACATACATAATATACACACAATGCATATCCTATCTCAATCTGTAATAATGTAGCTCAATACGGCATAAGAGTTTTTCAAATAGATGCATCGACCCCAGAGATACTTCACGTAAAACCACAAACACGCGTGACCAATACCAAAAATCTGGTGACGTCACCGTCAGCGAGTGGATGACGTCACCTTTCAGGACCAGGGCCCCCACCTGCTATGGTCTCCTTGAAGGGTGGCACCTTCCTATGGTACTTCAGCACAACGCTGTGAGGCCGAACCACCAGGGGCCTCATAACCGCCTCTGGAAAGAATATAAACAGAAAAAATCACTACATAGTACAAAAAAAAAGTCGTCCCGCTGTCTGTCTGTCTGTCCTTAAACAGCGTGTCGTTACCATCGCGACAATAAATGAACACACATATAGGAGATAACTTTTTAAAGTTGTATTAAACGTTTAAATTCTTTAAACATCAATATTTACAGAGTTATTAAATTTTCCAAAACAAAGAATTTTAGAACACCCTTACCTATAAAAGCGTAACGTAAAGTTCATTTGTAAAGGTCACAAAGCATATGAATGGGTTGAATGAATTTAAAAGAGATAAAACATACTGTTAGAAGGAGAGGCTTGTAATACGACGCTGTGGCGCGAGTTGTATAGGATGTTACAAATTTTGTTTCTTTTTTACTTAATTAGTTTGTTTGAAAAATATTTCTTTTTAATTATGGATTTTGTTTAACGTTTATATTTTTTTATGATTATTGGCAAGTAGCGTTAGACGTGTGTTCATTTATTGTCGCGATGGTAACGACACGCTGAATATGCTGAGATCTTTAAAACTACGCAACGGATCTTGATGCGTTTTTTTTACTAGATAAGAGTGATTCAAGAGGAAGGTTTATATGTATAATACATGCACAATATAGTAGAGAAACAATGTAGAGTATATTAAGTATCAAGCATTGCACCCGTGCGAAGTCGGGGCGGGTCGCTAGTATTGAAGGGCAAATTGAGAGATATATTTACGCAACGTTATCTAGTCCCAAACTAAGCGAAGCTCGTACTATGGATACTAGATAAGCGATAAACAGATTCAAACGTACTTTTCTTTTGTAAATAAATACATATTATAGATATTTAAACATCCAGACAGTAGAATAATACTAATTTCATCACACAATATTTCTCCAGTAGTGGGGATCGAACCCACACCCTCTGGCGCAAGAGACAGGACCCCAATTGGGTCAAATCCGTACTAATATTATAAAGGCGAAAGTTTGTATGGATGTTTGTTACTCTTTCACGCAAATACGGATGGAATGGATTTTAATGAAACTTTACAATAATATAGCTTATACATCAGAATAACACATAGGCTATAATTTACATACATATTTTTATGTACATCTCTCTTTCTGTCTGAATGTTACGCCTTCAGCCTATTCTATGCAGACGTAGTTGCGGTCAGCAGCTAGTTATATATGCTTTTTCTAAACATTTCAAGACAAACTGTAATACCGTACTATTGTAATACCTATATTCTTTTTAGTATTTTTTTTTGAAATCAATATACTTGGACAATTTGATGTTAAATCCCGGTGCTAGCGTAATAATAAATTGTTATATATTAAAATATATATTAAAATATAATATATTAAAATTATATTAAGCGTTGACTCATCGCGGGCTCAGCGGTGAAGGAAAAAAAAATATTTCCAATATATTATGTGAACTCCGCCAATCCACAGTGGGGCCGCGTGGTGGGCTATGCCCTGATAGCCTATGTACAGAGGAGGCCTTTGCCCAGCAGTGGGACATAGGCTGTTATTTTACTTTATGTATTACAATACTGATACCATCGATCGCTGAATTGTCAACGAAGGTGTATATAAAACGGGTATATCGTATTGTAAATTCTATTGCAAATTGCGGTATTGTTGCATGTATTACATTACTATTTTCAACTTTCAACCTCACTGTATGGTGTAAGAGTCGTTTTTCAAGGAAAAAAAGTAGTAAAAACTTTTCTAACTGCGTGATATTTATTATTTTTTTTATATTTATGTGTGAAGTTGGCTGGCGGTTATCTGGCGGTTCCCTTGATGCTACATTTGCAACACCCGTATGAGTGCCGATGCGTTGCCACCTTTTAATAGATTGAGCTCAGGCTACTTCTCACACCGAACGAAACGCAGAAGTGTAACATTTCACGCCGGTGTTAAGGGGATCAGATGCTTTAGGGGGGTCAGATGTCTTTAAGGGGTCAGATGCTTTAGTGGGTCAGATGCTTTAGTGGGTCAGATGCTTTTGTGGGTCAGATGCTTTAGTGGGTCAGATGCTTTAGTGGGTCAGATGCTTTAGTGGGTCAGATGCTTTAGTGGGTCAGATGCTTTAGTGGGTCAGATGCTTTAGTGGGTCAGATGCTTTAGGGGTACAGATGCTTTACGGGGTCTGATGCCTTTAGAGGGTCAGATGTTTCGAGGGTCTGGTCTGTTGGTCAGGCCTGTCAAGCCAAGCGGACTTAGTTGGCAGTCAAGACACATGTCCCAAATAGCGACACTGCATTCCCAGTCACGCCGATGTTCCGCGAGCTCGCGGTACTTCCCCGGAAGGAGCCGCCCCTTCGCGCAACAGTCTAGTAGGGCAACGGATACGAGCGGTCCGCTGTCGGCCTCACCCTCCGTCGGCGGCTGCGGGGCGGCGACGAGCTCGTCGTCCCGCGACAAGATCTCCGGCCTGGCTGACAGCGATGGGGCGCTGCCGACCCCGCTCATCGGCACGAGCTGGTCGCCCGTCGACTCCGAGACAGCCTCGTCCATGTCTGCGGGCGGGGAGCCATGTTACTAGAGGTTATTACGAAGAAAAAAATAAAAAATCGATAGTAAATATCCTCAATTACTAAATTTTCTTAATTTCCATGCTGCTTCACGAAACCTTCTACTACAGTGATTGCGTTGATTTTCAACATGACTCGATTGCAAAAAAATAATAAAAATATATGTATAGTTACTCAATAACAACATTATTAAGTTATCGTCAAAGAAAGTTGTCATGTCGATTACACCCGTGCACAGTTTTGTTTCACATTTTGATGCCACAAAATTTTCCAGTGTCATATCTACCTCTTATTTGCATATATCATTTCCCTCACCAATGTCCGCATATAGGGAGGCCTTCATCAGTTGCACACTGTGGCTCTGCCGGTGCTCGAGCCTCGCCAGCTCGCTTGTTGGACTCTTCACGCCGAATGCTGGAAAGGGGGGTAATTGTTGACAAAAAATCATTGTTTACGTAAAATCATTATTTACGTAAAACCATTATTTACGTAAACCGTTATTTACGTAAAACCATTATTTACGGGCACTAATATTTACGTAAAACCATTATTTACGGGTACTAATATTTGAGAGTCCTATTAAATCGTCGAGTTGAATCGATGATCATTCGGCCAAGCGTGAACGCGATTTGTTATTTTCGATTTTTGTTTTAATTATTTTTCTATTACCAAGAAAATAATATTGTGTGCTGAAATTTTCTTTTTATTTTATAATTTAAAAAAATTTCCTTAGGCCATTTTGAAATAATACATTCGAGAATTATTATTTCAAAATGGCGTGGCAAAAAACCAGTTGGTTTTTTAGAGCTATCGTGCGATATACTCAATATCTTATATTTTCACATTATTAACGTTTCTCTTTCTGTGTGGTAACTTTATCTTCGTTGTAGAGTTGTTTCCAATCACGCAGACCGAGTCTTCTTTTTTTTTTTAAACATTGCCCTTACTGAAGGATATCATTATCCTGTGTTGTAGGGACGTTTCACAAACATAAATTTCACGCGGACAAACACCCAGATGCGAAACAACTACCTGTGGGTCACACGAATAGTTGTCCCGTGTGGGAATCGAACCCACGACCCCGACGCCGATAACTTGACAACTGCGCCGCGGAGTCGTTAAACATTCGAGAATTAATGTCTCGGGTGGTGGGTTCAATTCGCGGTCGTAAAACGCCTCTTCAGCGCGGAATATTAGCTCAATGGCTAGTGCGATGGGCTCGTATGCCGGAGGAAGTAGGTTCAAATCCCGGGGGCGCTGAATTCTAAATCCACCCAATACGAAAATTTACTCCAGAGAAGAGCGGCGTGAAGTGGTAGTGTAGAAGTGTAACACTTTTCGTCTGGTGAGTGAGGTAGCCGGGGCCCACTTTATTAAAAGGTGCAACGCATCTGCCTCCTTGCGGTTGTTACAGATTTCTATAGGCGGACGGTTATCACTTCAGGTTAAGTGATAACCGTCTGTCTGTCTCGCTTTCATGCCAAGAATACTGAACCGATTTAAATGAAATTTGGTACACAGATAGTCTAGAGCCTGAGAAAGGGCATAGGCTATTTTTTAATTGGATTTTTTTTTTTAGAAGAATGACATTTATTTAAGGGCTGCAACGCGAGCGAAGCCGAGGGCGAAAAGCTAGTACCTTGTTGAAGTTGTACTAAACACGATATAGAATGTTTTAAAAATCGTTTTGGATTGTTTTTTTTACTTTTTCTCAATTCTACAAAAGGCTATTTTCAATTTCTCGCGCCGCGTGACAAGCTCGACTCGTCAGACGGCGAGTATGTCGTCTGCCAACGGACACCAAAGAGTCTTACGTGAGACATCCAAAGAGCGTAAGACTCGGGTTCGAACCCGCGACACATCGCATCGACACGTGCACAACCACTAAGCCCACGCAAAATGGGAAATTGGATACCAACTATTTCTTTTACGAAAGATCATCAAATCTTATTTCTTATTCGATATTAATGACGTTTAGTAGTTTATAGATGATGTACTAATAGCTGGTGCCCGCGACTCCGTCTGCGGAGAATAGGCTGAAGGCGTAACATTCAGACAGAAAGAGAGATATACATAAAAATATGTATATAAATTATAGCCTATGTGTTATTCTGATGTATAAGCTATATTATTGTAAAGTTTCATTAAAATCCATTCAGTAGTTTTTGCGTGAAAGAGTAACAAACATCCATCCATGCATACAAACTTTCGCGTTTATAATATTAGTAAGGATGTAAGTTACTTAAATAAAATACTTTTAGCCACAATATTGTCTGGAAGAGATCTCTCCTTAGCGATAAGACTGCCTTATTGGTTCTACCTCATACTTTTTTTAACATTACCTTTTATGTTTTTTGTCTCCAATAAAGCATCTATAATAATAATAATACATTTTTTTTTGAAGACTATTTCTGTTATGACAAAATGAAATAACACCCTCGGCCCGGAGATACAGAATTTATTATGACATTACAAAGTTATTATTTATTGAAATGTTAAAGTTATTATGAAAATTTTATTCATGTATCAGACAAAGAGCTTACACAGGTGATGTTCAATAAAATCAACATATTTAAATTATTTAATTGTATAAAAAATATGACAGTTTTAAAATCCAAAATGGTTTAATACATTCAGGTTTGTTCCGTGCACTCATATTTTTTTAAATATATTACCGGTTCAAGAACCTAGACCATAGAGAAGAACCGGTAAGAAACTCTATGGTCATAAAACAATCAATTTAAACATAATCTAGCCTATTGCATGCAATACTAACGTTTATATCCTAGGCTAAACATTAATAAAGGGAGGAAGATTTAAAATTGAGCAAGGAGATTTAGATATTTACCCTATACATAACATATTCTAATATACAAATACTGATACATTACATACATATTACATAGTACAATATATACTAAACTACAATACATTTTTTTTAAATACTTCATTACATAGTCTACAATCCTAACAAGATATAAATCCTAACCTAGTTATAAAGGAACTGGCATAAAAATTTACTAAAATATTTATAACAAAATAAAAATATTCTATATATTAATGGTAATATTTATACTAAATATACTGTATTATAATATTTGTAGCTTGCATGTGAATATTAATGCTAACTAAAACAAGTTATCTACAATATACTAATTATGAACTAATTAATTTATGATATTTATTATATTTATTTAGACACAAACAGTCGGAAAAAAAGTGATAAATACGATTAAAGACGAAGGGTATACAAAATTTAACGAAGCTTACATGATAGTCTCGAACCTGCCATTATATTTCATACACATATGTCTAACAAATATATATTAAAAAAAAAAAAAAAAAAGCAGAAAAACATTGGACAACATTTTTTAGTTTTTTTTTTAATCTCTGAGAAATATTATTAATAATATTAAGAACCCTCCCAGGGTTCAAGTGTTACATAGGTCTGTCACGATTCATAAACGATTTTAAACAAAGGATTGGGTACGAAATTCAAAAAAAAGTATAAAAAAAAAAGTCATTAAGTCAGATACATGTATATCAAGACGGGGGATGAGTACGCTTTATTTCTACACATACAGCCACAGCAAGCATTTAAACACCCCCAAAGTTAATATGTGTGCGTAATTACCGAGGCTGTCTGGGTACAGGGTGGGTGCCTCCCCGCTGTCCTCAGTTGTGTCCATCTCGTACGCTGTGGACAGAGGGCTCCGATTAGACCATTAATTCATACAGGAATAGCCATATTGTTTTTTAAGAAGTGGTAGTTGCTTACGAACTTATGTATAAAGTACCTGGGGGAGGAGGAGGCTTTGTTCGTTTTTTTTTTTTGGTAAATCATGTACTTTGGGAATACAAAATATGAAAAATAAAGAAAGCAAAATTCTAGTATGGAAAAAGAAGTAAAAAAAATAAGTGTGACACGAACCGCGCCTTCTGTTTTGGGGCCGCCCGATTACCGACCGAGCTATTATAACATTTTTTTTTCGGCGAAATTTACCATCATATTCGAATGATATTTTTCATTCCCTGAAAACATGTATAAAAGGACATTTTCTAAAAATGAAACCTAGCTAGACCAATTTTTCGCCCCCGAATCTACGCACATACAAAATTTTATGAAAATCGCTGGAGCCGATTCCGAGATTCCGATTATATATATATATATATATATATATAAACAAGGATTGCTGGTTAAAAGGTATTAGATATTTATTTATTGTTCGGAGTTACGCAACCGAACAGCGACATTGTCACTTTTTGCATCATAGGCACATTTCACTCGCATACATATGTACGTTTTATGCCTAATTTAAGGCAGTACGCGCCTCGCCACCGTCTAACCAATACCATAACCACTTATTTATACCGTGAATTCACCAGTAATATATGTATATACCATACAATCAGTAATCAGCGATAAGTGCTTTATACCATTTTATACAATTTACTATACCATTATATATAATAAACCATTATTAACTAGACTTTCTATAAAACCTCTCAATCTATACAACCTTCTTCTTTTTTTTTATTTGTTATTTTATTGTTACATGGAGTACTACAGCATGAATACCAATTATAAAATATGGGAGATAAACAGAATTACAGATTATAATTAAAGATAACTAGAGTTTTCCATTTAAAAGACTTAATAATAAGGTATTAAAACAAATACATCATCAAGGCAAGAGTGAATAGGATATTACTGAGCTAACGCTAACCATCGAAGAATTCCATCGAGAATTGAACTTGAAAAAAAAAAAAAAAAAAAAAAAAAAAAAAACTGTATCTTCAAACCTTTCTCCGTCGCGTTGAGGAGGTCGAGGCTGGTGCGTTGCATCGAGAACATATCCTCGGCAACGGAACTAGCGCCGTCCGCCGGGAAGCTGGAAAGACCGCCGAGACCGCCGGACCCGCCGAGACCGCCGGTCCCACCGAGACCGCCGGACCCACCGAGACCGCCGGACCCGCTGAGACCGCCGGACCCACCGAGACCGCCGGACCCGCTGAGACCGCCGGACCCACCGAGACCGCCGGACCCGCCGAGACCGCCGGACCCGCTGAGACCGCCGGACCCACCGAGACCGCCGGACCCGCCGAGACCGCCGAGACCGACCGGGCTGGCGGTCTGCACTGCAGCCGCTTGCTTCGCAGCTGTGACAAAACAAACAGAATGGCATGAATATCAAAACACTTGGGTGTTTTCTTCGAGGATTAATATGTTGCTAACTGAAGAAGTTAACTAATCAGTTGTCAAATAGCTTCAGGTTTGAGCAGTTCAAAGAGTTTAACCTTCCTTCTGGGGACTCAAATGACATTTGACAACTGATTAATTAATTTCTAGACTCAAATTTTCTTAAGCAAGAGACAGGCTCTCTATCTCTGTCTCAACGCCGATCGATCAAAGTGGGACGGAAGTATATGCCCACCGGTGGGCGGCGGCTGCTGGGGCTGGGCGGCGAGCTGCCTCTTCAGCACGTCGGGAGTGGGATCGTCTTCCTCGTCCGAATCCGTCAGCCCGTACTTGCTGAAATGCTCCACCTAGAATAGTCAAAGCCATTAAATACACCACCATTGAGGAGTTGTGAGTCATTACATAGTATAAAACAAAGATTTTGATGCGGTTTTTTTTCACTACATAAGAGTGATTCAAGAGGAAGGTTTATATGTATAATACATTGCACCCGTGCGAAGCCGGGGCGGGTCGCTAGTAAAACATATTGTGTACTTTTCTGTGATATTAAAAAGAATTGGATGTGTACCCTGAACACCCAGCTGCCAGTCTGCGGGCGATACTCGATGAACTTAGTGTCGTGTTTCTCACACACGCGCCTCAGCTTTCCCTCGTAGTCCATTTTCAGGAGTCTGCGGGCAAAAACGAATATTTCAGGACATATTTATGGACCACACGAATAAAACAGTGGTAGGACGATCAGCTGTGGTGCGGAAGCGGTGGTGGTTGATTAATGGTTGTGAATTTTAGCGGCGTGGTGGTCGCAAAAGCAGTAACGGGAGAGTCTCGAGGGCGGCGATTTAGACGGTGACAGGCAAATGTTCACGTTACCAACTTTACAGTAATTTGCCAAACTATGGTTAAGTTGGTAACATGAACTGGATCGGTGGCAGAAGACATGCGGGAGCGATGTGGGATCAGTGACGGGAGAGAAGCGGGGGCGATGTTGGGTCAGTGGCGGGAGAGAAGCGGGGGCGACGTGTGATCGGTCACGGCACAGAAGTGGGAGTGTTGTGGGATCGGTTTCAGGAGAGTTGGGGAGCGATGTGGGATCAATGGCGGGAGAGAAGCGGGGGCGATGTGGGATCAATGGCGGTGGAGAAGCGGGAGGGCGATGTGTGATGGGTGGCTGGATCGAAGCGAAGGCGATATGGGATCAATGGCGGGAGAGAAGTAGGGGCGATGGGTGGCGGGGAGGGGCGTGGAGGGGCGGGGAGGGGCGGGGGCAAAGGGTGCACCTCTCCGGCTCGACGATGAGCCGCCGCTGCGTCTTGTCGCGCGGCCAGACGCGGTCCAGCGTGACGACGGCGCGCCGGTTCAGCTCGCGGCCCACGGGCGGCTTCGCGGCGTCCTCGGGGTACACGATCACCTCCTTGTTCATGAAGTGCACTGGGGACACAACGCACGGAACGGAGTCAGCGCCTGCGCGCGAGTAGGGACGGACAAGACACAATAGGGCGAATATCTATTCGATTATTCGTGACGTGATGCAGGTGGGCCGCGATGATAGCTCACTGTCCCGGCGCTCGCCTTTAATTCAATATACTCGAGCAACCCGAGTTCGATCCCCTAACATTTTAAATTTCAAGTTCCGAATTATCACGTGCTCAGCGGTGAAGGAAAACATCGTGAGGAAACTTGCATGTCCGCCAATCGGCAGTGGGGCAGCGTGGTGGACTATGCCCTGATACCCTCTGTACAGAGGAAGCTTTTGCCCAGCAGTGGGACATATACAGGCTGTTACTTTTTATGCCTGTTTCCCTGTCGAGTTACCGTTGACAAAATGACCTAGATACATTTATTTGTTTAGCTTGCATTTTTGTTATTAACAATGGAACAATACGCAAACGTATTGCGTATTGTTCCGGGAGTGAGGTCGAACGATACCGTCTCTTGAGATGGCACTTGTATAGACACACTATCCCCACTGGTTGATGTTCGGAACGTTAATACCACCCCTCGGTTCCTGTTGATATATCCATAAGCGGGTTGACAAGAATCACTTGTCTTTTTGCCAACTTTTCTCATAAAAAAAGACTCAAATTATCTCGCTTTAAGGCTTAGTCTTTGTTAACTCGCTATTATTACTATTTACTAATATTATGCAGCTTTCACACTTACGGGATCATTGGGAGAATTATTGGATTTGCGAGGTTCTCATCAAACGAATATAAGAAACGCGGTAGCGTAGTGCCATTTACGTACAAGCGAAACGCCGTAGCGCTGTGCCATTTACGTAGAGATGCGAGTGGCGAGTAGCCGAGTAGCCGTAGCGCAGTGTGGTATACGTAGAGGCGAATAGCCACAGCGCAGGGCCATTTACATAGAGGCGAATAGCCGTAGCTCAGTGCCATTTACGTAGAGGGGAAACGCCGTAGCGTTGTGGCTACTACGTAGAGGCGAATAGACAAAGCGTAGAGCCATTTACGTAGCGGTGCAACGTTGTAGCGCAGTACCATTTACGTATAGTTATATCGCCGTAGCGGCGTAGACCCACCGAGCGCGTCCAGGTCGAGGTTGGCCACGTCCATCTCGCAGTCGTAGAACACGTTGCCGTAGTTCCGGCGGCCGATAGTGAAGTGCGGCACCACGCAGCTGCCGTCCGGGCGAATGTACTCTGGAAGAGGCGATTGTCTATGAATCTTGGTTCAGACGACACAGACACCGGGCTACCGGTAAGCTGACGTATACGCTTCCACTATTTTATACTATGTAGTGATTAATACAATAAAATATAAAAAATATAAATAAAATAATTGCGGATGTCAATTTAATTATTCTGTAATTCAGTGGTCATTTAGTGGTAATCTGCTCAAAGATAAAAAGTTAAATGTGAGTTTAATACAAATGCGAATATTTTTATTCAATATAGAAGCATTATCCTCACTTATTTTTTTTCAAAAGTCTATCACCACGCAAACAACACGCCCAAGTCTAGCCAGGTCTCAGTGCGAGAATAATTGAAAGTTCGCTTTACAAATGGAGAGTGTTAATTTTAAGTGCTGACTTATCACGCGCTCAGCGGTGAAGGAAAACGCCGTGAGGAAACCTACATATGTTCGAAATGATAACAAAAAGAAAATATTTCGAAAATATGTGCGAAGTCCGCCAATACGCAGTGGGGCCGCGTGGTGGACTATGCCCCGATACCCTCTTTACAGAGGAGGCCTTTGCCCAGCAGTGGGACATTCATTAGCTGTAACTTTACAAACGGCAGTGTAGTGTACCTTTTAGCTCGTCCAGCGATGGTATTGTGTAGTAACCGGGGCGTCGAAGTTTGATGCCGGTCGGGTGGGGAGGCGCGTCGCCGTCGATCGCGTTCTCCTCCTCGGACACTGGGGGTAGAGGTCAAAGTCAAGGGTAAAGTCGAAGTGAAAGCCGAAGTCAACAACAAAATGAAAGTCGAAGTCGAGGCCACAACTACGACGCCTCCGCGGCGGGGGTGCCTTTGAAGGGCCGACGCGTTTACCGTAAACAGCTTTGTCGTACTCCACTAGATGGCGTTGTAATTAATGTTAAGAGGTTTCTTAAAAGCAGTTTCACTAACATCCTAATGTTGAAAATATAAAATTATACCTAGGCTACTTAGGCTTTTACAGAAATATTGGACACTGATTTAGCAAAGACTCATATCGACGGGAATCGACCCCACAACACAGAGCGCCAAAACCAATCTCTTAGCAAATATGTCATTAAATTACTTTGAACAGAACATACGGAATAATTTTGTATAATTTTAATTATAAAATAAGACTCTATACCTCTACACTAAATACACTAACTACAAATAATAATTCACTAATGGGCTCGCATATAACGCATTTTTAATTTCGCCCCTGAATGTTCAAAATATCAAATATATAGTAGGATTTATTTAGCACAAAGTTTTAAGACAGAATTAATGACCAAACAACCTTTTTATCTGCTGTGTATTCTTGCCATACCCCTATAAAGCAACTCGCCAAGTACTCCACAAGGCAACTCGCTATCTACTCCACTAGGTAACTCGCCAACTATCCCATCAGGCAACATTTCAACTACCCCAACAGGAACTCGCCAACTACCCTACACGGCAACACGGCAACTACCCCACAATTCAACTCTCCAACTACCCCACACGGCTACTCGCCAACTACCCCACAACTCAACTCGTAATCTAACCTACAAGTAGACTCAACAACCCCAAAGGGCAACTCGCAAACTACCCTCCAATACGAACTACCCCAAACCCTAACTGGGCCAAATCCGACCGTATAGCCCGCCGATCTGGTGAGCGATCTTCTCGCAGCGGGAGCACCCTGGCTGCCCGCCCCAGCGGTGGCTGCAGAAGTTGAACTGCTCCCCGCCGACCGCTCCTTGGGGGGTGGGGGCGGCGGTGGGGGGTAGATTTAGGGATGCCCAAAGTGAAAAAATATATCGATATTTTTTTATGTTAAGTAATAACTGCCGCTCATGGACATTTGCAAATGCGTTGCCACCTTTAAATAAAGTCGGCACCGGCCACCTCACTCACCAGACGAAACGCAGAAGTGTAACACTTCTACGTTACTCCGGTCTTCTGTGAGGTCATGGCACTAACCCTAACGGACCTGCCCATTCGTGCGACGGTGTTGCCTGGCCCTATACCGTAAGGTAGTACTTATAAAATAATATATATCGATATTTGTAAAAATATCAATATCAGCCTCGATATATCGATGTTTTCTATTAGGTCCGGTTGTCAAAAAAATCGTATGGCAAGTAATAAATATTTGAATGTACAGACTGTCCCGGATTTGAATTTGAAAGAAAAAATATCGTTTTTGATACGATTCCGATATTGAATATTTTATATCGATACGTCGCATCAAAATATATCGGCTGAAAACATCGATATATTCAATAAAAAAATATCGAAATATCGATATATCGATATTTTTTCGGCATCCCCGGGTAGGGTAAGGATGAAGGCGGAAACAGGGGTTACATATTCCGAGAACTACTGCCTACATATTGGATTCTGCACGGCTGTTGCACACTGTAAATTATTTAAAGCAAACACAAGAATGGACAAATTTAAATTTACTGTTTCATTTCGTGTTTTTGTGTCATAATGTTTCAATTAAAAATTACTTAAGCTTACATTGATTTTAATGTTCCAATTTATAATTACTAAACTGATTTGAAATGTAGCATTTCATTGAAACAAAGGTCGGCGGTCTTTATCATAATGTAATCGAAGACCACTCGCTGGGTTGCCATCTTTGTGAAAACCAAATAAAATTTATACTCTATGTAAACAAATTACACATAGGTTAGTTGAAATTAAGTAGCTTTAGCAGTCATTCCATCGGCAGTTATTCAGTTTCCGATACATCTGAATTGCATCCCAAGAATAGTAAGTTAGTAGTAGTAGAGAAAGTGCGTGCGTGAGTATGTAAAGTGCATGCGTGCATGTGTTAAGTGCGTGCGTGAGTATGTTAAGTGCATGCGTGCATGTGTTAAGTGCATGTGTGCATCTGTTAAGTGCGTGCGTGAGTATGTAAAGTGCCTGCGTGCATGTGTTAAGTGCATGCGTGCATGTGTTAAGTGCGTGCGTGAGAATGTAGTGGATGTATGCATGTGTTATGTGCATGTGTTAAGTGCATGCGTGCATGTGTTAAGTGCATGCGTGCATGCGTTTAGTGCGTGCGTGAGTATGTTAAGTGCATGCGTGCATGGGTTAAGGGCGTGCGTGATTGAGTTAAGTGCATGCGTGCATGGGTTAAGGGCGTGCGTGATTGAGTTAAGTGCGTGCGTGTCTCACCGGAGCCCGAGTCGACATTCTCCTTGTCGAGCGAGGCGCGCTCCGGTCGAATGGCCAGCTCTCGCACCGAGCTCTCAGCCGCGTCCGGGTTCGAAGCCAGCGGCTTTCGCAGCGGCTTCGTCGTCAACCTGCAACGGTTAAGTTTTTTTTTTATGTGAGAAATTGGCGAACGCGCTGGCGGTTCACCCGATGTTAAGTGATGACCGCCGCCCGTGGACATTTGCGACACCCGTAGGGTAGCGGAAGCGTTGCCACCTTTGAACGAAGTGTGCCCCGGCTCGCTCGCCAGACGAAACGCAGAAGTGTAACAACTTCTACTTTAAGCTGGTATTCTGTGAGGTAGTTGTACTTACCCGGACGGACCTGCCCATTAGTGCAAAGTGAACACCGTCGGGTGGCCCTACCATAGTTAGTTTCCAACGTGAACCTCCAATAGTTGGAAGTTCCTAGGTTACGTGTAGACTCATTTCGTTACTACAGAGAAGCTATCGGCTTCGGCGCTCGGGCACTCGCTCGCTACCCACGGTTAATTGTTTCGGATTCGAGTGTTTGTTCCAAGGGTCGAATCCCATGCGAGATTTTCGTGCGTGCCAAAGTTTGTCTTTTTTGTATTTGTTCAGAAAACAAACACAAAAAAAATGTCAGGCAGCCAGCCGGAAGTAAAAATACGTAACCAATAATAACACGATTCACATATTGTATCTCGAGGACAAAAAGGAGATAGAAGAAATGACGAGAGCCTTGAACATAAACTCTTACAACATAGGAATAGCGTAGTCAATATTATTGCCTACACTAAGCATAGAAATGAGATGGTCACAATGGGGTTGACATATCCAAAAAGGATACAAACCCCAAAACAAATTCTAATTAAAAAAAAACAAATTGTACCGACACCACAACGGTGGGATGAGGACGGGAGAAAGAAGAAAAGAGAACAAAATATAACGTAGAGCGAGATCCACGTATGCACTCTTTAAAATGCGATAGAATGAGATGTGTCACATATGCGCGCGTTCTTTATATGAATAGCGTGGAAATTTTAATGTTTTATAGTGCTGATCGCTGCACTTAAGAATTACCATTAAAATTTGTAGAAAAAGTGCGAAAAGATTGTGGCCGCTGTGGGAATCAAACCCACGACTTCGGCATTCGCGGCCCGACGCTCTAGCCACTGAGCTAAACGGCTGATTGCCACACCGGAGAAAATCTTAACGTCTTTTATCTACATTATTTTTTTTTATCATTTCAATCAATGCCGCGAATGCCTAAGACGTGGGTTCGATTCCCACAGCGTCTACAATCTTATCGCACTTTTTCTACAAATTTTAATATGAACAGCGTTGTGAAATTAGTATTTATCATTGTTTCGTAATTATTTAAGTTTTATTATTCAAATAATTAGTCGATATATTCACGCCCGGTTTCTGAAACAATGATCATCGCAGATGTCAACTAATCGGCTGTCAAATGGCTTTTCACTCTTTTTGACTCTTTGAAGAAGAGTTTAACAATCCTTTTGGCAACTCAAACAACATTTGAAAAGCCATTTGACAGCCGATTAGTTGACATCTGCGATGATCATTGTTTCAGAAACCGGGCGTTAACTGTTATAGTTAGAACCGATTCGAAATATAACTTACCAGCTTGCGCGTCTGTCCGTTGTCTGCGACATCTCCTTGTCTGCGAAGGGAACACATAGTTAACTTTAATAACTGTAACAACAAGTAATGTAGGATCGATCTAATATGGCAATAAACAAGTACAATTTTGAACACAAAAAGAAAACGACTTCAATCAGAAAATTGAAAACGTTGTTAATAAATATAACAATCAATGATGGCCCTCGATTTCTCTGGGATGCCATCGTCAGATCCGGGCTTCCTTACCATGGTACCAACCTTGGGATATCAACTTTCGGACAAAAAAAGAATCATCAAAATCGGCTCATAAACGACGAAGTTATCCGCGAACAAACATAAAAATAATAAAAATATATACGGTCGAATTGAGAAACATGCTTTTTTTGAAGTAGGTTAAAAAGAAGTGTTTACACTGGTGGATATAAACTACATAAACAAATGTTTTCTATAAAAAAAAATAGTTGCGTGTATTTATGTACGCGCGTGAGAAGTTATACTTCTTTGGCATTTTTGAAAAATAGTTTTTGATTGCATGAAAATAATTAGTTACAATAAAACAATAAAAGGACTGGAAATGGATATAACTTTAAAAAAATGATAAAATTATGAAAGCTCCATCTACATTCTTTATTGAGAACTGTAACGGGCGAATGTAATTGAGACTATGCTGCCATCTATAAATAAATAAGCTGTTTAGCGGGCAGCTTGAAAGATGTTACTTTTGTGTTACAGTGATGCGTGCACCTTAAAATTTCACTCTCATCATTTTTTAATAACGCACCTAAAGAAGTATAACTTCAATAAAAAAATATATAAACCGTTTAATGACGCCGTGGCGCAGTTGCCAAGGTATCGGCTTCGGCGTCGGGGGTCGTGGGTTCGATTCTCACGCGGGACAACTGTTTGTGCGACCCACAGATAGTTGTTTCGCATCTGGGTGTTTGTCCGTGTGAAATTTGTGTTTGTAAAACGTCCTTACAACACCGGATGACGTTTTAAAGTTCAAAACTTAAGGGTAATGTTTTATTTTTTTAAAGAAAAAAACCCTACGATTACATAAATTTACTATTATTCTAGATTTCACTATGGTATTAAAACGCGACCATAAATCAACACATGGCTAGAAGATAACTTTTTTAAAATTTCATTAAACATTTAGTTTCTTTAAAAATCAATATTAATAGTCGATGTCGATAGTCTTACCCAATTGGGAACTGAGGTACAGTCGCAATTACACTATAAAAATAATCGATATCGCACCCAAGTTGGGGTACAGTCGCTACTACTCCATTATGATAGTGAATATCGATAGTCTCACCCAATTTGGGGTACAGTCGCTACTACTCCATTATGATAGTGAATATCGATAGTCTCACCCAAGTTGGGGTACAGTCGCTACTACTCCATTATGATAGTGAATATCGATAGTCTCACCCAAGTTGGGGTACAGTCAGCTACTACTCCATTATGATAGTGAATATCGATAGTCTCACCCAATTTGGGGTACAGTCGCTACTACTCCACTATGGTAGTGAATATCGATAGTCTCACCCAAGTTGGGGTACAGTCGCTACTACTCCACTATGGTAGTGAATATCGATAGTCTCACCCAATTTGGGGTACAGTCGCTACTACTCCACTATGGTAGTGAATATCGATAGTCTCACCCAATTTGGGGTACAGTCGCTACTACTCCATTATGATAGTGAATATCGATAGTCTCACCCAAGTTGGGGTACAGTCGCTACTACTCCATTATGATAGTGAATATCGATAGTCTCACCCAAGTTGGGGTACAGTCGCTACTACTCCATTATGATAGTGAATATCGATAGTCTCACACAATTTGGGGTACAGTCGCTACTACTCCATTATAATAGTGAATATCGATAGTCTCACCCAAGTTGGGGTACAGTCGGTCGCTACTACTCCATTATGATAGTGAATATCGATAGTCTCACCCAATTTGGGGTACAGTCGCTACTACTCCATATGATAGTGAATATCGATAGTCTCACCCAAGTTGGGGTACAGTCGCTACTACTCCATTATGATAGTGAATATCGATAGTCTCACACAATTTGGGGTACAGTCGCTACTACTCCATTATGATAGTGAATATCGATAGTCTCACCCAATTGGGGTACAGTCGCTACTACTCCATTATGATAGTGAATATCGATAGTCTCACCCAATTTGGGGTACAGTCGCTACTACTCCATTATGATAGTGAATATCGATAGTCTCACCCAAGTTGGGGTACAGTCGCTACTACTCCATTATGATAGTGAATATCGATAGTCTCACCCAATTGGGGTACAGTCGCTACTACTCCATTATGATAGTGAATATCGATAGTCTCACCCAAGTTGGGGTACAGTCGCTACTACTCCATTATGATAGTGAATATCGATAGTCTCACCCAATTTGGGGTACAGTCGCTACTACTCCATTATGATAGTGAATATCGATAGTCTCACCCAAGTTGGGGTACAGTCGCTACTACTCCATTATGATAGTGAATATCGATAGTCTCACCCAAGTTGGGGTACAGTCGCTACTACTCCATTATGATAGTGAATATCGATAGTCTCACACAATTTGGGGTACAGTCGCTACTACTCCATTATGATAGTGAATATCGATAGTCTCACCCAAGTTGGGGTACAGTCGCTACTACTCCATTATGATAGTGAATATCGATAGTCTCACCCAATTTGGGGTACAGTCGCTACTACTCCACTATGGTAGTGAATATCGATAGTCTCACCCAAGTTGGGGTACAGTCGCGGCGTAGAGTCATTCTCCGTCTGCTTCTCCTTGTCGGCCCAGGTCACCTTGCTGCCACTCAGCCTGCGAAAGAGTTTTACTAATAAGCAACAAAGTACAATCAAGTAGAGAAATTTATAGGGAATAGCTAGTTCTTCAATAATCGCAAGTACCGTCACGCACATATTGTACTCTGGTGAATTATAGAGATGAGTATTGAAACTAATCAGGCTCGTGAACGAACAAGTACAATCAAGCAGAAAAAATTATCACAATCCCAGGGCCGCTATTATTCTATATCATATGCGAGTACCGTCACGCACATAATGTACTCTGGCGAATGAATGATTATTAGAGAGATGAGTATTGAAAGGTAATTCCTTTGGCTCGTGAACGAAAAAAGTATAATCAAGTAGAAATTTGTCACATCCCATGGCCGCTGCTCTTCTGTATCATTTGCTGAGTACTGTTACGCACATCAGTACGCACGTCAATAATCTCGAATGTACACTCGCACACACAACCGTTCCCATTCGATGAAAACAGAAGTGAATTGAACACTCACCAGTTCCCGTGCTTCTCGGAGTTCACGTCAGGACCTGCGAAACGAGAAAACAACCAACATTGAATCCAAACTTTACAAAACTTTAAATTTATAATACACTTATAATAGTTTTTCTTGGCAATCAAAGATTATTTAATTGCAACATTATATACTGTTACACTGTCATTCATGCCCTACTAAAACCTTCTTCCACACAAAATACAGTAACAAAATGTATGTAGGTATGTATGAGGTATTTTAAGTAATCTAGTTTTTTGGATCCTTTGACTGCAGTCAGTCAACATAATCAAAAGAAAAGAAACCGCCCAAGTGTGAGTCTGACTCACGCACGAAGGGTTCCGCCCCATTATCTATAAAAGCGGCAAAAAATGATGTCCGTTGTATGGGCGCTCCCCTTAATACTTTTTATTCTGTTTTTTAGTACTCGATGTTATAGCGGCAATAGAAATATATCTGTGAAAATTTCAATCGTCTAACTATTAGGGTTGAAGAGATACATCCTTGTGACAGACGGAAAGACAGCCAAACAGACAGAGCCAGACGGAATCTTGTTAACAGGGTCCATTTTACTCTTTGGGCGCGGACGCGGAAGGCCGGCGTATGGTGGAAGTATAATACTTTCGCGTTTCGTCTGGTGTGTGAGGTGGCCGGAATCCAATTTTCAAAAGGTTGTCTACACATCTGTAACCCTCGGGTGTAGCAGATGTCCATGGGCGGCGGTGTTCAATTAACATCAGTTGGACCGCCTGCTGGCTTGGCAACTTGTCACATAAACAAAAGCAACCCAAAACTAAACACAGTCTTTGAATCTCATAAACATTTGCATTGCAACACCCACTGGCATCGTGGACGCCGTTGTGCTCGCTTCTGGCGGGCGGGCTCGGTCCCTGGTTCGAAGCCGGACCGCTCTTCTCCGAATAGTCGACTTTCGACTCGCCCGGTGAGGTGGGTTGTTCCAGCGACCTGCAAAGTCAACGAACTCAATTAAGTCCAAAAAAAAAAGGTAAAACTACGCATTAAAATTTGTAGAAAAAGTAAGAAAAGTTTGTCGCCGCTGTGGGAATCGAACCCACGTCTTCGGCATTCGCGGCCAGACGCTCTAGCCACTGAGCTAAACTGCTGATTGCCACACTGGCGAAAATGTAACATCTTTTATCTACATTGTCTTTTACCATTTGAAGCAATGCTTGGCGCATCTATTGTTATATCCTTTACAGCATACAATTTCGGATATATTTTTTAAGTCATACATATTTCTCAGAGATGTTTTTTGGCTATATCTTTGTTAATGTTTCGTTGAAAATAAATATCCGAGGTCATTTTTATGCTTGTGTTCATAGCGATTGGTGAAAAATGCACGAATTAGGAAAAATGTTTTTAGAAAGTTTTTTAAGGGAAAACATTTTTTTTACAAAGTACACTTACAGCATTACATTTTGCAAAACTTATGTGTTCTTACCTAAAGGGACAACTCTCAAAATATATGCCTATTACAGGTGTACACAAAAATGGTGAAAATAATAAATTAACATATATATATAAAAAAAAACAGTTATACTTTAATGCTACTCAATGTGCATAATATATGAACAAACTGTTGTAATATTTAAATTCTAAATATGAGATATTTATGGGTACTCTGCAAAATAAAATACCGCCCATGGGGCTGAACGGAAAATTCGCACGTGATAAATGTTAAAGTAATATGGCACGACAATTTCAAATGAACATCAGTGTGGGCGACATGCCTGTCGCCCTCGCCGGCGACAGGCTCGTCGCCCGGCCTGGCGCTGGGCCTCAGCACCAGCCGCTTCCTGCTCGGCCGCAGGGACAGCTTGTCCTCCAGGCTGGCGTCCGACTCCTCAAGGCCGTCGAACAGGGACTTCTGGAAGCACACACACTCATTTTCACCATAAAAACAATATACAGCGTGTCTTTACCAACGCGACAATAAATGAACACACATATAGAGGATAATTTTTTTAGAATTGTATTAAACATTTGCATTCTTTAAACATCAATATTTACAGAGTTATTAAATTTTCCAAAAACAAACAATTTTAGAACACCCTTACGTATAAAACTTTAATGTAAAGTTCATTTGTAAAGGTCACAAAGCATATGAATGAATTGAATGAATTTAAAAGAGACAAAACATACTGTTAGGAGCTTGTAATGCGGAGATGTGGCAACGAATGAATCAGTCAGATGTAGTTGTAAGGGATGTTACAAATTTTGTTTCTTTTTTACTTAATTAGTTTGTTTGAAAAATATTTTTTTTTATTTTACTTTTAATATTTTTCATGATTATTGGCAAGTAGCGTTAGACGTGTGTTCATTTATAGTCGCGGTGGTAAAGACATGCTGTATACTATAGCAATGGATACCACCATAAAAACAGAGCAATATAAAATTCAAATTTAAAAGACAGTGGCACCAGGTGGGTGACGTACCGCTGCGAGTGATGACTCCGTGACGCAGTTGCAAAGATATTGGCTTCGATGCCGTTAGTGGTGAGTTCGATTCCCATTCGAGGCAATTTTTGTGATCCACAGACAGTTTGTTTTTGATCTCATGTATGTGAAAAGTTCTCAACAGAATGCTGTTTTCAAAGGAAAGACTAGGTCTTTCTATGTCCGTGTGGTCGTTGGTGACTTACTGCCCAACCTTCAACACTAAATAAAATACAGCTGGGCGTGGCAGCGGGAGTGGCACCGGGTGGTGGTGGTGGTGGTGGCGGTGGCGGCGGTGGCTACCTTGTCGTGGGAGATGGTGGGCCGTGGCAGCACCCTCAGCCGGCCGGAAGACGGAGAGGCCACCTTGTACGCGTTGTCCAGGGCGGTCTTCAGGGCGGCAGGGTTGGTCGGCTTCAGCGCCTCGTCGGCCGGTGAAGCTGCCGAGAACAGAGATAGTGAGCATATTAAAATTTGTAGGAAAAACGTGCGTGTGCGTGCACTCGTACGCACGTAAGAAATTATACTTTATTATTTTGCCATACTAAAAAGTTTTCCTTAGTGTAACAAAAGAAGAACTAACTAAAAATTTGCCCCCATGTAAAAAGAGACATTAAATGCAATTGATTACGGTTTAATCGATGATGTTTTATAACATATGATATAAAACATCATCGATTATCATATATGACGCGTGTCCATACTGCGTGGCGTTTAAAAATTGTTCCGCTTTCCGTTATTTGACATTTATAAGTGAATGTGACGGATGATATACAACGTATGATACGGAAAGAGATAGCACTGTATAGTCACTCAAATTACACCAATCGGTGTAATTGAGTAAGTTGGTGTCGCATCTAGAAGTTGTTGTAGCGTTAAAATTCACTCTCACCATTTTCCAAACGCGACTAAACAATAGCCGGCCCCGGCTTCGCACGGGTGTAATGTGGATATTGAATTTCTTGGGTATTCTCTACTATAATACGCATGCATACCACAAATAATCATTCCGCTCTCATCGCTATATATTGCTGAGAACCGCATTAAAATCCGTTGCTCGCTTAGATCAAAAGATAGTTTACTGACCAGAGTCAGGGAGCAGGTCCTTGAAGAGGGGCGAGTCTCCGTAGGGGCGCGCAGCCAGGGTCAGGATCTGCTCGTGGACCCCGCTGCCGGCAGCGCTGCCACCCCTGGAATACAAAAGAATGTAGTTGGTTCATCATCGTTTCGCTCCAGTGCTATATGAGACTACCACGAAGCAGTGTTACCAACTACTAGAATGTAAACACCCAGACATGACAAGTGATTGCGTGAGAAGTTATAAAAATAGTTTTTAATCAACATGAAAATAATTAAAATAAAATAATAAAAATTTTTTTTCATGTGAAAAGTTGACAAACGAGCAGACGGTTCACCTGATGTTTATTGAGTACCGCCGCCCATGGACATCTGCCACACCCGAGGGTTGCAAATGCTTTTACAACCTTTTGAATTGGTGGCTCCGGCCACCTCACTCACCAGAAGAAACGCGAAAGTATTATACTTCCACTTCACGCCAGTCTTCTTGAGGTGGTGGTACTTACCCGGACGAGCCCACCCATTCGTGCAACAACCAAGGCTGCTGTGTGGCCCTACCACAGTTAAAGGACCGTATATAAATAATATAAAATTATCAAAGCACCATCTTTATTGAGAACTGTAACATAGACCACGTTAAGTGGGTAGTGTACTTGCCTCCTAGGCCAGAGGGTGTGGGTTCGATCCCCACCACTGGAAAAATATTGTTTAAGTATGTTTATCAGTTATCTAGTACCCATAGTATAGGCGTTGCTCAGATTGCAACTAAAGGACATTGTGTAAAAATGTGTCCTAAGATATTTATTTATTACACTAGCTGCTGCCTGCGACTACGTCTGCGTAGAATAGGCTGAAGGCGTAACATTCAGACAGAAATACAGATATACATAAAAATATGTATATAAATTATAGCCTATGTGTTATTCTGATGTATCAGCTATATAATTGTAAAGTTTCATTAAAATCCATTCAGTAGTATTTGCGTGAAAGAGTAACAAACATCCATCGATAGATACAAACTTTCGCCTTTATAATATTAGTAAGGAATTATTATTGTGGAGGACTGACATTTGCGGGGCCGCTGCACTAGTGCCCAGGCCGCCCATAGAGAGGCCGGTGCCGAGGCCGGAGTTGTTCCCGAACATCCCGCCGCCCAAGTTCAGGGAGCCCTCTGGAAAACAAAAAGTGTGTGTATGTGTGTTGTGTACGCACGTAAGAAGCTACACTTAGGTTTAAAGAATTTATTCTCATAAAAAACACAGTTTTATATAAAATGAGATACACGTTACAAGATACGACATATAGTTCATTTAACCTCTTTAGCATTGTGTTGTAGCATCTTTTGTTACACTTCTTTAGTAACATAAGAAAAGAAAAAAAAGAAGAATTGTATACCGTGTGACGGTACTCTTTGTTTGCGAAAAGGACATTAAAATGACTCCGCGGCGCAGATGTCAAGGTATTGGCTTGGGCGCCGGTTCGTGGGTCGCGGGTTCGATTCCCACGCGGGACAACTATTCGTGTGACCCACAGACAGTTGTTTCGCGTCTGGCTGTTTGTCCGCGTGTAATTTATGTTTGTAAAACGTCCTTAGGACACATAACGTTATCCTAAAGTGAGGGCAATGTTTTTTTTTTTAAAAATGCAATTGGTAACGGTTATAAATTGTTTTTTTTTTTTTTTTTTATTTCATTTAAGACACACCAACAGTATACATATTTACACAACTTACAAAAAAAAGGAAAAATTTAAAAAAAGAAACTGGACCTAATATGTACACCTATAACAGGTGTGTACATCATTTACAATATTGTGACAAAGTTTAGTAAACAAAAAAAAAACTAATTCATAAACAATTAAATATTTGTATTCTTTGGAATAGACTAACAATAAAGAATCAAAAATAAATTAAAAAAAAATCACTTTGAAGAATACTATACTATAATATATACTAATGAATGACTCCAGTACTTTCTTTTTGTAAACATAAGGGGAATCGTTAAAAATATCGATATATTCAGCACGGTTAAAAAGTATATTAAATTCTTTGCACATTCTTACAAAAGGTGAATTGAGGCCAAGATTTTTACGGTCGGTGTATAAAAGATTTTTGTAATTGGTTTGCGTGGAAATTTGTGAGGTACAGCTAGTGAAATATTTTGAAGAGCCTTGGGGCAATTTATTGAGTTATTTAAAAGTTTGTGCAGAAAAACCACGTCATGCATTTTACGACGATTGTTAAGAGTTATAGGTAAATGTCAAAAGGTTTTTATCGGTTGCCATGCTTCACAAACACATTTAGGGAGTCGGTGCGCGCGCGCGGCGCAAAAGTTTTCCTCTCGTATTTTATTACAAACAAGCCAAAGGAAGTATTATTTAAAAAAAAATATGGAGCCAAACATGTCAAAGTCAAAGTATCTTTATTCAATATAGGTTTAACTTAAGCTGTAATTGAACGTCAACAAAAAATCTACCACCGGTTCACTAAACTAGACCTGCACAGAGAAGAACCGGCAAGGAACTCTGCGGTCTTGTTCTTTTAGTTATTATTTTTTTTTGATGCAATTATACAAACTTATTTAGGTATAAAATCAGCAGCGGCCAGGGGTCTTGCAAGTGCAGAGCAAAAGTCATTTCCACACATCCTTGTCCTCAATGTATTTGTGGACATTATAGTAGGCCCTTGCCGTTAGGGTAGCTTTTACAAATTGTTTGACACATTTGACATGTTAAAACATGTAGAAAAATTACGAAAAGATTGTGGCCGCTGTGGGAATCGAACCCACATTTGACATGTGATAGGGCTCACTCCACTCAACTTCTTTTTTATAACACTTTATAGGGAATTAAATTTGATTGATATAAATGGTTTATCAAATGATTCGGTCAACCAAATGATTTGAAGTTTATATTCCGCACATTCAGTCATAATCACCTCAAGCCTGCCCTTATCTAGGTGGGGCCGGCACAACATTTGAATCATGTTGTAAGCAGTTTTGGCTGTTTTTTTACGACTAACTGACGTCACCCCCTTGGGAAACATACACCCAGGTTCGGAACAATTATCTGTTGGCCACATAAATACTTGTGCCGTGTGGGAATCGAACCCACGACCCCCGACCATGTTGATCACTATACCATACATACCATAAAACACACACAAATAAATGTCGAATAGACTGTATGGAGAAATCCCAAGCGCTTAAAGTACATTAAGAAGAATAACAATCAAAGTTAGGTATTGATAGTGTATACTTCGGTTCTTTTTGAGTAAATAATAAAATGAAAAAAAAAAAAAAAAATGATATACAGCGTGTTGTTACAACCACGACAATAAATGAACACATATATAGAGGATAAATTTTAAAAATTTTACCAAACATTTGCTTTCTTTAGACATCAATGTTTACCTAGTTATTAAAATTGTCCAAAACAAACAATTTTAGAACATCCCTACGTATAAAACTGTAACATAAAGTTCATTTGTAAAGGTCACAAAGCATATGAATTACTTGAATGAATTTCATTCACCATCACCATATCAGCCTGTTTGAGTCCAGTGCTTAACATAGACTGTGAATGAATTTAAAAGAGATAAAACATACTGTTAGAAGGAGAGGCTTGTAATGCGACACTGTGGCAATGAATGAGAGTCTATGAATCTATGAATCAGTCAGTTGTAGTTTTATAGGGTGTTTCTAATTTTGTTTGTTTTTTAATAATTTAGTTTGTATGAAATTTTTTTTAACGTTTATATTTTTTTATGTTTATTCGCAAAAAGCGTTAGCAGTGTGTTCATTTATTGTCGCGGTTGTTGCTAATTTCGTTGCGGTAGTGCAGTAATTGTGGTACATTGGTGACTCTTACGGAAAGTGTTCTGCTGCGGCTGCTGGAAGGTGTTCTGCAGTCCACCGAAGGCAGGCGCCGCCGGCTTGGCCTGGAACGAGGTGCCCAGACCGGCGCCCAAACCGGCACCTGAAAGAAAGAGAACACATGATAAACTGATGGGACGTCTTTTTTTCAATTTTAACTGCGGCAGGGCAACGCAACGGCCTCGGCTGTTGCACGAATCGGCAGGCTCTGCCGCAGGATGAGTCCTAGCAAGCGTTCGTTTTTATAGTGTAGTGCTATTTCCCGGAGGGAGCCTGGATTGCTCTTTCAAGTGGACTTTAATATATTTTGACAATATATTACAGTCCACTTGAAAGAGCATAGAGCGATCAATAAATTTCCAGAGTGTGTTTTCATTTAAATAATGACTAATACTATAATAGCCTTAAACACACGAACATTACTTTGCAAGTTTTTTTTAATTCAGCAACTGATTCATTTTGAATGTTTTGTGGGATTTTGCTGTAAATTCGTAGTTTATTTTTATCTGAAAAGTTTCCAAGTGAGCGGTTCACCTGATGTTAAGTGAATATCACCACCCATGGACATCTGCTACACCCGAGGGTTGCAGATGCTTTGATAACCTTTGGACAATTGGGCTCTGGCTACCTCACTCACCAGACGAAACGCGAAAGTATTTATTATATTTTCACTTTACGCCGGTCTTCTGTGAGCTTGTGGTACTTTTCCGGATGGATCTGCCCATTCATGCAACAGCGAACACTGTTGTGTGGCCCTACCACAGTTAAACTTTCTCGTTTCCTCTGGTGAGTGAGGTAACCCACTTTTTTAATGGTTCGCAACTATTAACATTAAAAAAATAATATTATACTGCTATATTTTACGGTGGTAGGGCCACGCAGCAGCCTGGCTGTTGCACGAATGGGCAGGCCCGTCCGGGTAAGTACCACGACCTCACAGAAGACCAGCGTAAAGTGAAGTATGACAAACTACTTTCTCGTTTCCTCTGGTGAGTGAGGTAACCCACTTTTTTAATGGTTCGCAACTATTAACATTAAAAAAATAATATTATACTGCTATATACATTACGGACCAAGGACCAAGAAGTGTTAATTTCACCCATTCAACCCATCAATTGTCATGACCTTGTTTAACTTTAAATCTAAACTTGGAGAGAAAACGGAACACATACAACGGAATAGATTAGAACACAATTGGTACACACCGAAGCCAGTGGTCTGCTGCTGGCCGCCCAGCAGTGGGGTGGTGTTGGGCTTGGAGAGGCCACCGAAGAAGCCGGTGGTGGAAGTGTTGGCGCCGAAGCCGGTGGACAGCGTGCCGAACGCTGTGGAAGAGCCAGACATGAGCTACGCTACAATTATATTAACACAGTATAATTTGAATTTGCAGAGAGAGCGAACGAAAAGTAAAAGTAGACAAAAGATCACCGCCGCGGGATAGCTTGAAATGCGAAAGAACAATGTATCTAGAAATATGTTGAGATTATCGCAGGTGTGTGCTGGTTACAGCGTCCGGCCGAGATTACGGAAGACGTGGGTTCGATTCCGACGATTAGCGGCCGAAAACTTTTCGTCCATTTTAATGTTTCATCTTTATATATTATGCAATACAAAAATTTTAATTTCACTATAATTTTTTACATTTTACGCGAGTATACATAACTAAATTAAACTATTTATAAGCTTTACGGCTTTAGATAGGCTAGTGCGCTGCTACCAAATTCATATTATTTTTTACACTGACGGTCTATTCTCAAATATTCTGTGGAACAACACTGAATTGCATGAATAGAACTATCAAATTATTTTTTTTTAACTTCTAAATAATTGTAATTCACTGTAGGATAATGTTTCCACTTCACACCGCTCTTCTGTGAGATTGTGTTACTTCCTCGGATGGACCTGCCCATTCATGCAACAGTAAAGACTGTTGCGAAGCCTTACTAAGGTGTAAAACTATAGGAGTTATTTATGTATTAAGCATGATCAGGCAAGGAACTCTAGACAAGGAGCTGTATGTAAAGAGGTCTAGACAAAGAGGCTTTGGTAAGGCGATCTAGACATGGCCTAGGCAAGGAGGGCTAGACAAAGAGCTCTACGAAGGGAGTTCTAGGCAAGGAGTTTTACGGAAGGAATTCTAGAGGAGTTCTTCGAAACGGGCTCTAGGAAAGGAAAGAGCTCTACGAATGGAACTCTAGACTAGAAGCTGTAGGTAAGGAGGTGTAGGTCAAGGAGTTCTCCGATAGGAGCTCTAGGAAAGGAGCTCCAGACAAAGAGTTCCTGCAAAAGGATTTCTAGACAGGGAGCTGTAGGTAAGCGGTTAAAGGCAAGAGGTTGTATGAAAAGAGCTCTAGGCAAGGAACGGTAGGTAAGGGGGTGTAGGCAAGGAGCTATAGGCAAGGAGCGGTAGGTAGAGGGGTGTAGGCAAGGAGCTATAGGCAAGGAGCGGTAGGTAGAGGGGTGTAGGCAAGGAGCTATAGGCAAGGTGCGGTAGGTAAGGGAGTGTAGGCAAGGAGCTATAGGCAAGGAGCGGTAGGTAGAGGGGTGTAGGCAAGGAGCTATAGGCAAGGTGCGGTAGGTAAGGGAGTGTAGGCAAGGAGCTATAGGCAACGAGCGGTAGGTAGAGGGGTGTAGGCAAGGAGCTATAGGCAAGGAGCGGTAGGTAGAGGGGTGTAGGCAAGGAGCTATAGGCAAGGTGCGGTAGGTAGGCAAGGATGGTAGGTAGAGGGGTGTAGGCAAGGAGCTATAGGCAAGGAGCGGTAGGTAGAGGGGTGTAGGCAAGGAGCTATAGGCAAGGAGCGGTAGGTAGAGGGGTGTAGGCAAGGAGCTATAGGCAAGGAGCGGTAGGTAGAGGGGTGTAGGCAAGGAGCTATAGGCAAGGAGCGGTAGGTAGAGGGGTGTAGGCAAGGAGCTATAGGCAAGGAGCGGTAGGTAGAGGGGTGTAGGCAAGGAGGCGCGCGGGTACTGACGCGGCGGCGCCGCGGCCTGCTGCGGCTTGGCGAACAGCGCGCCGCCCGAGCCCGCGCCGAAGCCCGAGAAGCCGCCCGGCGCCGCGCCGAAGCCGCCGCCCTTCGCGCCGAACAGGCCCGTGCTCTGCAAACGTGTCCATTTACATTAACGAAAAACAAAGCCGACTTCAAACATCTCGCTCTATATTCATTGTGTCGGTGTCGTCAGGGGCAAATCAAATATCAGAAATTCGGTGAGCGCGTATACATCCGCGAGGAGAGTGACATATTTGCGTCCCCGTATGATGTCTAAGTGCAACTGACTAGGCTCGCGTCAACAAATTCAACGGCTGTGCAACAAAGTACAGTTACCTTCCATTTATTTTTAAAATATGATAAAACCTAAATAAAAAAGTGCGCGAAATACAAATCACCGTCCTCGTATGTATACGCCATTTTATTAATTTAAATTCAAAAACAAATACATAAAGGTGACAAAAGGTAAGTAACTAACTTAAAGGTAAGTAATTAAGTAATATGTAATATATGACTGTAGTTATAGTACAATCCAAAAGCATTTAATTTTGTTGCTAAATTAAATCAAATGTTTATATAAATTAATTATAATTATTTTATATTTCAGGTTGAGTAGCGTAGCCGTCATCAACACTATTCTTAGGAGTTACCTAAGTATCTTGGGAGCCGAAAATCCAATACCAATGAAATTACCACACAAGAAGCACCAGCCAAATTCACAGAAATTTTCACAGCTGACGAGGTATTTCTTTCGCTTGTTAAAGTTAAAAGATATTTACTATTTAAGTGGGGCTGCCATACAACAGACATGTTTTTATTGCAGTTTTTATAGATAGAATGATACGAAGCCTTTCGTGCGCGAGTCCGACTCGCACTTGGCCGTGGACATTCGCAACACCCGTAGGGTTAGATGCGTTGCAACCTTATAATAAAATGACGCCCCGGCTACGTCATCCACCACACGAAACGCAGAATTAAACGCACATCCCCGGACAGACCTGCCCATTCGTGCAACAGCCTAATATCCCTGCTGGGCAAAAGCCAATTCTGTACAGAGTACTTTTTGGAGAGTAACTTGGATAGCATTGAGCGTCTTTTTTTTTTTTTATGTGATAAATTGCCAAACGAGCAGACGGTTCACCTGATGGTAAGTGCATACCGCCACCCATAGACATCTGCTACACCCGAGGGTTACAGATGCGTTGACAACCTTTATAAAATTGGGCTCCGGCTACCTCACTCACCAGACGAAACGCGAAAGTATTTGTCATACTTCCACTTTACGCTGGTCTTCTGTGAGGTCGTGGTACTTACCCGGACGGGCCTGCCCATTCGTGCAACAGCCGAGGCTGCTGCGTGGCCCTACCACCTGTGGAATCTAATAGGATCAGGGACCCGACCCCACCTGGTTCTGCGTGCTGGTGCCGAAGCCGCCGAAGGTGGGGGTGGTGGTGCCAAAGGTCGGTGTCTGGGTCGTCGCCGCTCCGAAGATGCCGGTGCCTGGAAAAGTTTTAAAAGGGCCAAATTAATAAAGTAGTAGTAAGTAAATGTTACTTGCAATACATTTCCTGCACAATTTTAAAGAGTTTCATGGTGTATCGAAAACAAATATCTGAAGCCAATAAAATTAAAATGGTGCCCTCCACGATACCTCTCCAATAAAAACAGAAATATCCAAATTGGTTTATAAATGACCTAGTTCTTTTGGAATTCAGGATAATAACAAACAACAATTATAAATATGAAACATTAAAAATTGTCTTTCGCACACACGTAATTCTTAAAATAATACTGTCAGAATACATTATACTTAATGATGGCACCCTCCACTATGGCAGAGCGAGGATCAAATATTTGTCATCATCATCATCATCATTTCAGCCTGTTCGGGTCCACTGCTGAACACGAAGTACGATCCTGAGCCACCTGCATCCATCGACTTCCCGCACATTTGCACAGGTCGTCACTCCATCTAGTAAGGGGTCGTCCCACACTGCGATGGCCAGTACGAGGCTGCCACTCGAGAACCTTTCTTCCCCAACGGTTATCGGTTCTATGATCGTTCTTCGTAACGATGACATCCGCGGTAGAACCAAGGTAACCGACATAGCTCAGAGGATTAGCAAGCCGAAGTGGCGATGGGCCGGCCATATAGCTCGTAGAACCGAATATTTGTCGTAAATACCAAAAATTGCCAGCACATCTTCTGGTATTGTGTGATGTCCACGGGCAATAAAATCACTCAAAATCGGATGAACCATTCGCGTCTTTGCCGAAATCTGATCTTTGTCTATAAGTTATCAACTCACCGGGTGTGGTGGTGGTTCCAAAAGCGGGCTTGCTGGCCCCAAACAGCCCCGTAGACGTTGTCTGGTTCTGGGCGCCGCCGCCGAAAGCAAAAGTATCTGGGTGGTGTAAGGAAATTTATTTTAAATGTTACTACAGACTTTCGGTAATAATAATAGTAGGAAGAAATAAGAACATTCTGGAAACAGGGGGCATTAAACCTTAACTCTAGTTATAAAGTTACTAGACCGATCTGATAGCTCAGAAGAGCCGTGATAGCTCAGTGTCCGGGCGCTCGCCTTTAATTCAATATACTCGAGCAACCCGAGTTCGATCCCCGGTGCCGGCACCGATGGAGTTTTTAACTTTAAGCGCTGTCTTATCAAATGCTCCGCGGTGAAGGAAAACATCGTGAGGAAACCTGCATATTTTCGAAATAACAAAAAAGGGGCCGCGTGGTGGACTATGCCCTGATACCCTCTGTATAGAGGAGGCCTTTGCCCAGCAGTGGGACATGCATTGGCTGTTACTTTAGACCTATCTGAATACTAACTAAATATAACTTTACAAAAAGCGGCCATACTTAAAAGGTGCCACAGCGTTGGCAGAAATTTCTTCAAGTTAGCTCAGATAACGAATATCCATCACAACAATTATTTATTACCGACCACTCAAATTTACGTCAACGCTTGATCAAATACCATGTAACGTTATCTTACCAGGTTAGGCTGAGATAAGTATGTCGACGTTTGTCCCACAAATGAAAATTTTAAATAGAATTTTGCATTCGTCAAGCTTTAATAGTCTTGAAACTGAAGGAAAAGTATTATAATATTTATAAGAGCAAAAAAAAAAACAGTATTCTCAGTATGCAAAACGCCACCAGAACAGAGGGACGTTATCCAACGACGAAACATGATTTGTATGTACAAAATAAAAGAAAGAGAACAAAAGAGAAGTCTGAAGAAGAACTGAAAGAGTCTTCTTCAATTTTAGACTTACTTTAAACAGCTTCCTTAAAAAATAGATTTCGCTGGCGAGCAACGCCACGGATACCAGCTAGTTTTTGGGTTACTGGGCTACTGTGGTACGGCCACATATCAGTTCACTGTTGCACAAATGAGCAGGTCCATGAGGGAAGTGCCACAACCTCACAAAAGACCGGCGTGAACACCTTCAGTGATACACGTCTGGTAAGTGAGGTAGCCAGAGCCCACTTTGTTAGACGCTGGCTACGAATCTGTATCAAATGTCCATGGGCGATAATCATCATTTAACATCAGATGATCCGCTGGCTCGTATTCCATCTTCCCTACGTAGTATAAAACAAAGTGGTTCCGCTGTCTGTCTGTCCCTATGTATGCTTAGATCTTTAAAACTACGCAACGGATCTTGATGCGGTTTCTTTTACTAGATAGCGATTTAACAGGAATGTTTATATGTATAATACATTAAACCCGTGCGAAGCCGGGGCGGGTGACTAGTATTACATAAAAAAAAAACACTCACTGCTCTGCCCGAAGGTGGAGGTGGAGAGACCGCCGCCGAAGAGAGGCGCGCTGGTGGTGGCTGGTTGACCGAAGGCTGGAAACAGTAAGTAGAGTTAGGTAAAGTAAGTTAGATGATTCCTTTGCGCAGTTGCAAAGTGTATGCTTCGGTGCCAGGGGGTCATGGGTTCGATTCTCACATGAGACAACTATTTTTTTTTATTTTAACTACTGAAGACTTATCACGCGCCCAACGGTGAAGGAAAGCATCGTAAAGAAAACATGCGTATTTTCGAAATAATAACTAAGAAAAAATATTTCCAAGATATGTGAAGTCCGCCAATCCGTAATGCGGTCGCGCGATGAACTATGCCCCAATACGCACTGTACAGAAGAGGCCTTTGCCCACCAGTGGTACTTATTATATACTCTAAGGTAAATCCTTTTAATAAAGCATTTTAAATTCACTAGCAAGCGTTGGATGATAAAGTTACATTTTTAGAGATGTTTTATCAGAATGAAATGTACTAGGGACTCGCTACAGCTGTGCACAAATAGGGCAGGCTTGTCTCTGCAGTCGCTCTCAGGCGTGAAATAGAAGTATTTTATGATAATTTAATATAATAAAATTATCTTTATTCACATAGACGCTTGCGCGTTCTTATGAAACGTCGAAATTTTACAAAGAAATTAAATTATTTATATTGCACTTAAGCATTTCGTCTGGGAGTAAGGTGGTCAGGATCCACTCTTTCACGGATCCCCAATGCGTAAGCAACCCTCCCGCTTATCACGAGGTGTACCGACTGCTCAAATAAGGAAAAGGCTTTTCGTTAATTTACCCAAAGGGTACGGGACCCAATTACTAATACTTCGCTGTCTGTCTGTCTGTCTGTCTGTCTGTCACTATATAGATAGACTTAACAACAAATACTATAAAACGATGTCTGTCTGTCTGTCTGTCTGTCTGTCTGTCTGTCACCAGGCTATATATCATGAACCGTGATAGATAGACAGTTGAAATTTTCACCGGTGATATATTTCTGTCGCTGCTATAACAACAAATACTATAAAACAGAATAAAAATAAATTTATCCAAAGGGTATGGGACCCAATTACTAATACTTCGCTGTCTGTCTGTCACCAGGCTATATATCATGAACCGTGATAGTTAGACAGTTGAAATTTTCACCGGTGATGTATTTCTGTTGCTGCTATAACAACGAATACTATAAAACAGAATAAAAATACTTAAGTGGGGCCCCCATGTAATAGACAAGATTTTTGCCAATTTTATAGATAATGGTACGGAACCCTTGGTGCGGGAGCCGACTCGTTCTTTCCCAGTTTTTTCTATAAATTTCATCTAAGGGCAGTAATGAGCACTATTAAAATTCATATAGCAACACCCACATCTCTCATTAGAATCATCATTCTAAAACAATATTTGAAATTATTTGTCGGCTGTAAAGTATAACAATAGATTCACCAAGCATTGCTTCAAATGCGAAAAAGCAATTGAGGTAAAATACGTTGTTAAACTACGGCCGTTTAGCTGTGGTTAAAGCGTCTGGCCGCAAATACGGAGGACGCGGGATCGATTCCAACGACGGATTTTGTGCATTGCAAAAGTCTTAGTAGGTTGGAGTTGCGCTGCCACCTTTTACTAAAGTGGGCCCTGAACCAGACACCAGATGGAACGCAGAAGTGTAACACTTCCAGTTCACGCCGGTCTTCTGTTAGTTCGTGGTACTTAACCGGAAGGACCTGCCTATTTGTGCAACAGCGAACACTATTGCGTATTGGTAGAGCCACCACAGTAACCTACCATTTTGTGCAAACTTTAAAGAGAAAGCCCACTAACTGGTTGATCCTCCAAAGAGAGGTTTGTTTTCCGTGGGCTGTTGGAAACCGGAGAAGACGCCGGTGGTGGAGCCACGACGTCCGGCGGTGTAGTCTTCTAGACGCAGTTCCTCGAGCGATTTCCCCTCATATTCCTGGAATCAGATTGGTTTTTAATGTGAGAATGTGGCCAAACGAGCTGGCGGTCCACCCTATGTCAAGTGATGACCGCCACCCATGGACATTTGCAACACCCGTAGGGTTGCAGATGCGTTGCCACCTTTTAATAAACTAGGCCCCGGCTACCTCACTAACCGAACGTAACGCACATGTGTAACACTTCTACTTTACGCCGGTCTTCTGTGAGGTCGTGGTACTTACCCGGACGGACCTGCTCATTTGAGCAACAGTGCGTAGATATTACTACCGTAGATATTAAATTATACCAATAGTAGATATTTATTACACCAACAGTATACATACATGTCACAAGTACATTTTTATTAACAAAAAGACAATCATCATCCTCCTAGGTGGGTTCAGAACAACATGTGGATCATGTTGTAAGCCGTTTTGGGCTATCTTTACGACCATCCGCCTGCCTGACGTCAACCCCAGAAACAGGAAACAAACACCCAGTTCCGGAACAATTACTTGTCCCGTGTGGGAATCGAACCCACGACCCCAATATTTTAACAAACCAAATTAGATACTGGATTAAAGTCATTTTTGCTCAAACTCGAAACAGAGCGACCCACCTTCATGCAGGTGATGCAATGGTGCTTGATGTTGACATTCTGGGACGCCCCAGACTTGACCACCACATCGGTGCCAACGACTGGGTTGTACTTGGTGTGCCCAGTGCCCGTTGGCTGTTGCTGCTGACCAAATGTACCTGGAAATGTATGTTGCAATTAGAATATGGCTGTGGAAGATGAATCACACATAGGGATATCAAAAAAGAGGAAGGGATTTTCAATTACTTTATGGTTTTCTTTGGATGTAAAATAAGTAGTTTGGCTCTTTTACTTATCATTTGGGAGAGAAGAGTGAGAGCTATTAAGTAAATGTTTTAAATATATGATTAGATACAAATATTATACATGGCTTACTTCCGGTGTTTGTGAAAAGGCCACCACCACCGAGTGTGGTGTTCTGCTGTCCAAACAGACCAGTGCTGGTGGATGGGGTGGAACCAAACAGCCCGGTGCTGGTTGTGCCAGTTGCTGAAGTGTTGCCAAAGCCGAAACCTGAAAATTAGGTCAGTTTAATCTTTCATTGTTCAATTACAGATAAAACCGGCAGAAAAATTTATCAAGTCCCTCCACAAAGGCTTATTTCCAAAATTATTTGTGAAGGTCAATTGTAGACTGGAGTGTTGATAACTCTATACACAATGACATTTCACTTATTTTTTCCTCGGCAGTCGGGATGAATTTGATTAGTGGCAGGCCTGTGATTGTCTTTACTATATCAGGCCCCCGTAGAAAGTGAACTAACAAATACCTGCGGGTTTCGCCCCAAAGGCGGAGGTGTTCTGCGTGTTGCCGAATAGACCAGTGGACTGGTTGTTGCTAAACAGACCGCCGGTGGTGGTGCCGCCGCCGAAGCCGAAGCCGCCAGACGTGGCGCCGAAGGCCGGGGTGGACGTGGCAGCAGTGGAACCACCGAACAGGCCGCTGCTGGTGTTGGAGGATCCGAATAGACCTGGAGGAAAAGATCCATTATAAAGTCCATCGAAACACAATCCTCATTCTGATTCGGACTGGGAAGGGCCTATTATAATGTCGAGGTATATATTGAGGATAAGGATGTATGGAAATAACTCTTGCTCTGCACTTGCAAATCCCTAGCTGCTGCTATAAAACACAAAACAAACGCTTGTACGCTTAGATCTTTTAAACTACGCAACGGATTTTAATGCGGTTTTCAGCAATAGATAAAGTGATTACAGACAATAGACGCGGAAGGTTTATAAGTTTATAGTAGAAATGAGAGTCGCACAGCTGCTTCCGAGAAATACTACATTCTCACTAGACCAGCCTATAGTAGGACAATTTGTTTCGAGTTTCCTTAAGCAACTTTTGATGACTCCGCGGCGCTGTTGACAAGATATTGGCTTCGGCGTCGAGGGTCGTGGGTTCGATCCCCACACGGGACAACTATTTGTGTGACCCACAGATAGTTGTTTCCCATCTGGGTGTTTGTCCGCGTGAAATTTATGTTTGTAAAACGTCCTTACAACACAGGATAATGTTCTTCTAAAGTAAGGGCAATGTTAAAAAAAAGTTGATTGTTCAAAGCGTTCAGGGAGTCCATTTCATGTTAAGCCCACGGACATCTAAAACACCTGATGTGTTGCAGATACGATGCCAACCATCAAAGCACCCTGGTACTTCACTCCCCAGACCAAACACGAAAATACAACTCATTCGCTCAACTCTTTTGTGAGTCGATACTTCTCCGGAGGTGCCCATTTGTGCAATGGAATAGTAGTGATGTCTCTTACCACCGCCAGTGGTTGGCTGCGCGGTGGAGGCGGCACCGAAGGCTGGTGACGCTCCGAAGGCATTCGTCCCAGTGGCCGGCTTGAAGCTACCGAAGGAGGGGGTCGTAGACGTGCCTGCAGACAAATAGAATGTTAGAGCAACTGTACAATGCTTTGCGCATAAGTGGCGTTAATAAATATTTATAATAATTATTATTTTTAATAACTACTGCCACGCAACAACATCTGTTGTTGCATGAATGGGCAGAAGACCGCGACCTCACAGAAGATCGGCTTGAAGTGGTAGTGTTTCGTCTGGTGTGAGGTCGCGAGGGCCCACTTTATTTAAATTAAACAAGTTTTCCATGAGCTTCACTTGCTTGTTCCTATCTGGCTTGCAAAGTGTGGTGCCAATGGACAATGTAATTCTTTTTATAATTTATATGAATATGATGTTATAAAAAGATGTAACATAATAAATACAAAAATTTATTTTTAACTTGTGCACTGCATAATGAACAGCGCAGATTTAAAAATAGTTTAGTTTTTCTGAAATGAAACTCACCAAATCCAGACGGACTGCTGCCAAAAGTCTGCTTTTGAAACATCTCTGTTATGTGCTGACGCTGAGGTTCAAGCCAAAATCACTTCGTTATTGTAAGTCAAACAAAGACCATGGTGCCTGCAAAGAACTTTTCATCATGCACACATTTTTCATTTGTATTTAGGGTTGGAAATAGCAAAATATAAGTGAGGAAATCTGAAAGATTCGCAATTTAAAAACTAAAATTACAAGTCAATAAAATGAAACTAGTTTACGGATTTTATCGCGTTTTTTTTATTTTAATTTTACCTCTCGACGTTTCGAACCCTTTCCAGCGTTCATGGTCACGGGACAGATTACGTTGTTATACGTCTTGATGTCATAGTTAACCCAGCTACCGTAAATTATTTTGTTTATTTTTATTCCGATCCACGCAGAAGGAGCTTATGGTATCCTGAGGTCTGGCAGTGTTGGTGTGCTGGGATTTAATTTTATAAATTATGGGATCCATCTGCTTGGGATTAACTCCAACCATCTTCTCTATTGAAATTAGGATGTTTCTTTATTTCAATAGCCTCGCGGATCATCCTTGGGAGGAATCGGTATTCTTTTGCGAGGATTTTCGGTTGAATAAATCTAATGTAGTGGTTGGGGCGGTCTAAAATATGATCACAAACTGCAGACTTCTTCAACCGTCGGTGCTTCACGTTAGCTATTTGTTCTTTTATTCTGGTTTTAATTGATCTTTTTGTTTGTCCTATATAAACGCAACATAATCCGTAAACTAGTTTCATTTATTATGTATAATATTCGCGTTAAATCAAGAAAACAATATTACAGGTCAATTGTTTTTTTGGATTTTCTTGTTAAATAAAATTAAATAGCGCATTACATTAGAAAAATGGTATAACAAATCAGAAAAATTTGCATCACATGTCATGTCTAACACATCACCGAATTAAAGCTTTGAGCTTTATATGTAGTTGATTAATGAGAATAAAATATTGTATAGAGAACATTTTCCTCAAAATTTATGTAATGTGTAAAGTAGAAATGGTTGAAAACATTTTGAAGTCAATAACAAAACTCATACAGGTCTTGCTCATTGCTTCATTATAAAAAAAAGAAAAATATAACTGTTAATGAGAACAGACATCACTGGATGACACAGTTGGGAACTTTATTTGACTTTTTGCTCCCATACAAAATTGATTAATAATGTTGTAATATAACATTTAACTCCTAAAACGGACTATTTTTAATTTGTATCCAAATGGTGAAATAAAACGGTATAACTCTTGTTCGAGGTCTTCCTCATGACTAGTTCCAAAAGAGTAAAAGCATTTGGAGGCATATTTTCCTTAATATGACACATATAGTAATGAGGTTAGAGAAAGGTTTTGTTTACACAACATGTTTTCATGTTGCACAATATTTACTAACAAATTTTATAAACAATCTATTAATATTTTTGATGTTTTAGTGGAAATTATTTAATTAAATAAAATTTTTACTAAAATAGAAAGCCTTAAATAGAATTTAGCAAGAAATATTCAGAACTACCCACATTTTGAAATATGTAAGAAACTGGTACATCAGTCACATTTTAAAACAATGACAAATCAAATAACATTGAAATAAATACGTAAAAGGGTTATATGCGTAGATAATTATGCAAAACATGATTAAAAATGTTCTAACATTTAACAACACTGCATTGTAAAATCGTTGATATGATCGATTTTTGGCGCGTAAACGTTAAAAAATCTATTTACTATGTATCTTACTTAATTTCTTGTAAGACTCATTCATCATAGATTAAATAATCCGTGCAGTCTGTGATGTAATTATGAAAACAATACATATCTAAAATCAATAAAAATACACCATTACCCCACGCAAAGCTGCTGGTAAAGTCCCACTGTACTTTAATAACAGCGTTCAATAGTAAAAATCACGTAAATAACAAGATATTGTTAAGCCGAACCTTTCACAAATGATGCAAATCAACAAAACATAACCCACAACGGAATGCGACGTAAAGTTATAAAATGTGTATTATTCACAATGTGAAAATTCTTTTCAGTTTAAATATAAAATGAAAAATGTTTACCATGCATTAAACAGTCGTCGCAGAAGTTGTACACATAAAAATTTCACAAAGTAATAGCAAAAATATTGAAATTTCTATATAATTCTCTCGAAACATTGAATTCGCCGAGACATGTCCGAATAACCGTATTTAAAGACTTACCGTAACAAAACAAACCAAAGGATAAATGAATTATTAGGAATAAACAATTTTTAAATTCTAACAAAAATATCTTAAACTTTACCACCGGAAGATTAAATCAATCGACAAAACGCAACGAAATTTCACGATACAACCAAAGGGAGGTCGCAATATTAACAGCAGATTAAAAACGCACGAATTTTATACTGTATTGCCATGTATAGCGTATAGCAAGGACCACAGAATAGAGAACAAAGATGCGCAAAAAGTATCGATACTTGCGTTTTGATACCTAGTACTCGATACTTTTTACTCTCGATTATCTGGAACAATAATAGTGAAGACTATTATTGTTCCAGATAATCGAGATTCTATATTACGGGAATCCCCGAATCTCCTAATCAGTGGTTATGTGTGGGCAGTTGAGTACCTTAATCGGATCTTGGTATTTTGAAATGGTGTCGTATTTATCTCGATGTCTTCTTTAAAGTCGGACTCATTCATACAATAGAGCGAGATGAAAACGGCCTACCCTAAAGGATTAAAGTTCTAAAAATCTAGGGGTTCACATTATAAATTTGTAGTAGTATTCAGTTTATAGTTGTTAAGAATGTAGAATGTAGATTTAATTAAAAGAGCGTAAAGTGGAAGTATGACAAATACTTTCGCGTTTCGTCTGGTCAGTGAGGTAGCCGGAGCCCCATTTTCAAAAAGTTGTCAACGCATCTGTAACCCTCGTGTGTAGCAGATGTACATGGGCGGCAGTATTCACTTACCATCAGGTGAACCGTCTGCTCGTTTGACAACTTTTCACATAAAAAAAAATTAAGAACGTACTTTTTTATTAAGATTTTTAACACGTTTCCGATGCATAGAAAAAGTAAGCAAGCAATTAATTGAGCAATTCTCGAGCATTGTCCAGTTCCGCGGTCAATTGGAAAGTAGGCCAAATTGGCCTCAAAGTAGCTTGATGTGCTCCGCAAGGCGACAGTTCTTCACATTGGCTCAACGCCTAAACCTTTATATAAGGCGCAAATTCGAATCTCTTGGCGTGAGCCCCCTGTTACCAGTTTCTTCCATTTGACCGCATCCAACATAGGGCAGCTAGGGTTATCGACGATCAAAGTCTTTCCGATCTGCTTGATCCTTTGGCTGTGCGTAGTTAGATCACTCTGCATCTTCTACCGCATCTATCACGAGGAGTGTTCCGAGGAATTGTTTGGATTGATCCCGGCGGCTGAATATCACCATCAGACATCGCGCCAAAACCAACACCAAATACAACCACTCGGTGGAACCAGATGCCGCCAGCGGTCTTTCCGAACCGTTACGACCTGGGACCCTTCAAGAAGAGAGCATACTCTTTCCTAAAAGGCCGGCAACGCATTTGTAAGCTCTCTGGTGTTGCAGGTGTCCATGGTTGTCGGTGATCGCACTACATCAGGTGAGCCTCCTGCTCGTTTGCCGCTTCATATTGAGTAGTATCGATACTTTTGATCCGATACTTTCATCGGTATCGATACATTTGATACGATACTTGGTATCGATTATAAACATATTTTTTTTTTATTTTATGTACTTTCTGTAAATAATAAAATGTTTCATGTGCATTATAAATTTTGTTGAGAAATGTTGCCTAGGTTCAGAAGCTATAGTTATAGTTTAAGTATTTTTGATTTTGATTTTTGATTGATTGAAACTCAATAACATTACAAAATATTTCCCAATTAATGCCTTGAATTTTCCAACAGAAAGAATAATTTCAAAACTCTATTCTAAGTTAACACATGCGGACTGATTTTTAAACTCGAATTCTCTTTATTTGCTGAAATATAGTATACATAACTCTGAAAATCATAATAATATTTCGCCACATTGGCATTGAAAATAACTTTATTGGGCATAATTTATAACTTAGAAAAGACTTATCTTAATTTAAAACTGTACATTATCGGCCGTTAGTAATGCATTTATGGCCAGCAATAAAAGTTCAATGAATGAAGTCCTTCCAATCCTATCATATACAACATTACCTCAATGCGTGTTACTCGGGTTTCCGTTCGACTTTTGTTTGTTTCTTAACTATACTATGATTATTCTGAATAGTTCTTGTCACTTGTGATCCATCTTACTTTTCTATCAGTCTCTTCGAAAATGGATCTGTTTCAATACGTTTAAACCGAAAATCACAATTGAGTACGAGATTCATTAGATTTCATTCTGTATTTATTCATATTTCATTCATTAGAACCAAAATATCGATGTATGTCCAGACTTTTTCAAATCGGTCAAAACTGTTCTGTGGCTGAACTCCAGTTGTACAGCTACGTTGTAACGACTAAAAGGCCGATCTTGCTTCACATTTTCAGTAATGGTATTCAATTCAAAAAGTATCACAAATATCTGTCGTTAGACTATTTCGATTGCGTGGACAAGAAAGTATTAAAAAAAATTAGACAGGACGCTTGGGAGAGACCGAGTTGCAGTTATCGAGTTGCATCGGTGCGATTACGTGCCAAATCGGATTTTCGAAGTAGTGAAAAATGTGCATATGGCCAAATAAATCGTTTGTCGCTCCATCAAACGATATAATAAAAATCCAAGGGTAGAATACAGAAAAAGAGGTAGGCCCCTCGTACTGTTAGGACTCCAACAGTGGTTAAAAGTTGTGAAGGCCTAACTGTGGTAGGACACACACACACACACACGGGTCGTCCACACACTGCCCTAGCAGTCGGGCAGGTGCAGGTGCGGGCATCGGGGAATCGAACCCCATAACCCGAGCATTGTCTCAAGGGGCGCACCGTCCCCCCGGTCTATGGCTCCTAATATCGGACGCGGCCAGTATGGAAATAACGCTTGACTCTAAGTTTACGTTATCCTATATGATGTACCATAGGCGTTTCGGATGCGCGTATAAATGTGCCAACATTGTTTACTTTCAACACTACACAACTAATAAATTAGCCATGTACTGTGGTAGGACCACGCACAGTACATGGACCACGCAATAGCTTCGGCTGTTGCACGGATTGACCTTACAGAAGACCGATGCGAAGTGGAAGTGACATACTTTTGCGTTTCATCTGGTAAGTGAGGTAGCCGCAGCCCACTTTTTTTAAAATATACGCTTCTGCAACCCTACAGGTGTTGCAAATTTCATTGGCGGTAGTTATGGCTTAACGCGAGCTCGCGTATGCAAAGGGCGCTAATCCAAAGAAATCCAATGCAGAAACTGCTGGCCCTTCAGATAAAGTTAAGCAGAACCACGGTGAAAAGGATGAAGAATGGAGACTTAGGCCTTCGAGCTTATAAGAAAAAACAGAACAACGTTTGGATGCCCGGTAAAGGAACTTGAGCAATGAAGAGAGAAAAATGTCATGAAATTCTTTTCTCGGATGGAAAATTAATTATCAACATAATTAATTTTCCATTTTTTGAAGATTAATTATCAAAATAAACAAAATGATAGAATGTACGCCTAATACAGCAAGGAAAAGCGAGCGGCCGTATTCCGCGTGTCCAACGAGGCCATTTTCCATCGTTACTCATAGTTTAGTTGTAAGTTTCATATTCGGGTTTAACTGAGGTACTTATATTTTTGTGAGAAAGGCGTGTGTCAACATACACCCCTCACAAACCTTGTGGAACTCTCCTCCAGTCCAGACTTAAATCCGTTGGATTAAAAAATGTGGCAATACTTTGAGTAAAAGGCCTACCCTAAGCCTCATCATGATTCGGAGTCACTACAGCCATCCTTGGTTAAAACACCCGATATTGAAATCGATCTCATTTGTGCTTCTATAGACGCGGGGTTGAAAACTTGTATTGAAAATTGCGTGAGTCAAACTATGTTTAAGTTAAAATCTTTTGGTATAAAAATGGTTGCTGTAAAAAGATACATTTGTCAATTATTTTACAATAAATATGTTACAGAACTTATGAACCGACTAGATATAAAATTAAAATCATAAAACTTAAAAAATAAATAAATTCAAAAGCCGTTATCGCATCATAAGTTTATGTCAGCAATAAAAGTCTAAAGTGTATTGCAATATGTATTTTATTGGTTGCGCACGATGTTTTCCATTCAGTTGTTGCTGATATTTTGTAAGTCACGTGCTTATAATATTTTTTTTTAGTATTAGTTAGACCCTTAATATTTTCAAAAAAAAAATCTTTTCAAGAGGTTTTAAAATTTATTTTAATTGAATTACGCCGGATTTAAAGTTATTTACATTTACCCTACTTCTTTACGTTGTAAATTTTCAGGGCATTATACAATAGTAGATGTTGCAAAGTTCCAAATAGATGGTCGCATTGATTTCGGTCCCAAAATGCACTACAAGCTCCACATAGCACAAGTCACCGAGGGAATACTTAATTTGGCATTAAGAAAGAATGACATTACGAATTTCATTGAAAATGTTTCATCACTTAACGCGCCACCGAGAAGTAATAGGGAATTAAATATACAAAACAATAAAATTCGAAGTAAAATCGATACGAATGACTCACACTTCAAAGCAGAAGATGACTTTATGACAAGAATAAATATTTCTGTCAATATTGAAAGTGTTGAGAATGGAAACGGAACCAAATGGGCTTTCGAAATCCCAATTCATAGAGCACACCGCGATTCCCCGCTCAAAATTAAAGATGACGAAAGTGTGCAAAAATATTTTAAACATTTACACAATCGCGCTCTCAAGTTACTTGACGCTTTGCGCGAAAAGAACAAAATGAGCAAATCGAATTTTCACAGAGCCAAACATATGTATAGGGACAAAATTCATGAGTTTATTGTCAATATGGAAAACCAGACGCTAAGGACGCAATTGGGTAGACAGAAAGCTATTTTAAATACGTTAGATGTGTCAAATAAAATCGTCAACAAATTGCTGGATCGTATGGGTCTGCACAGCAAAAATTCTCAATCTCTGAGAAATGAAATTTCTTTAGCAAATGCCGTACAGAAAGGATTCAACGTCGATGAATTCATTCATATCTGCAACGAGTACAAGATTTGTAGAACTGGAAGAAGTTTTAGCGACTTTACAGCAGAAATTTTGAGCATGATCTTAAGAACGGATGACCGCAGTGTCAAGCAAGCCTCTGACGCTTTAACGGAGGTAATAAAAGACGTTAAATTTCCAAAAATAATGGACTGGGAATCGCAGAAAAAATTCAAAAGTGCCATTGAGAATTTGGAGTTGATAGGAGCGCTCGAGACGAGAGTTGTCTTTACAGTATTTAAAAACATGATTGCCAATAGAAATAAACCTAGCAAAATTTACGGTAACGAAAATATGGTGTTGGTTAATAAGACGGTAGCATTTCAAACGATTCTTAGCGAGTTCGATACGGTGATTCCAGGGAATGAAGAAAATGTCAAAATATGGGACAATTTATTAAACAATGTACGGGAGTGGATGAATGGCGATAGAGGCCGAATCCAAAATATATTTAATAAACTTTTAAGGATTGTGCAAAAAGCTGTTGTTAAGATGACGGACGATTCCGCTCAAATAATTAGAAAAAATATACATTTTATATTTATTTAACTTATTAGAAATTATTGTATCAAAATATATATGCAAAGAACTACCTATATTTTGTTTTAACTTTTCTTTTTTTTAATACAAGTTGCTAACATAAATTTCAATTGATGAGAAATTGATAAATGTAATTTTAAACTAAATATATACATTTAATGCCATGTTATTATTACTAGGATGAGTCCATTTACACATGTTGAAGCTTTTTTTTAAATGTTATAAGGTGACAAGTGAGCTGGCGGTTCACCTGAAGTTAAGTGTTAGCCACCGCCCATGGATATCTGCAACAACCATAGGGTTGTAGATGCGCTGTCACCTTTTTATAAAGTGGGCCCAGGTTCACCGGCCGAACGCAGAAGTGTAACGTGTATTTGAAGACGGTTTTGTTTTTCATTAATATAAAAATAATTATACTAGATAATAATATGTGTGTGGTTTTTTTGTTGTTATAACATTTAAACATTGATGCACGCCACAAACTCATATGAATACGAAATTAACCAAACAATCGCGACGAAATAATATGTAGATTTTGTGCGAAACCGAATGTTCAGTCGGTAACTACATTATAGTTATACAATCTAGTCATCAATATCTGCATTACTTTAATTATCTATCTATATTTTATTGTTTTTCTGTGGTGCATTATGACAACACTTGTAAACTTTAATGGCGGAAAAGCGGCAAGGCAAGAGGTTTCCGTCACGTAGAAGATAGAACGCATTTTAATATATTTTGAGGGATTCGATTTGGATAACATGGACCGATGTGTGGACACCAATTTCGAGCAGCAGACGATTTACCAAATTTACCGAGCATGCCGCCTTTGCGGTGCCGGTGCTGGATACAAAATGCCAATTATACAAAATGTTGTGGACTTGGACGGACGCGATGTAGAATTGAGGCAGAAAATTCGGGAATGTGTACAAATAGAGGTATGACTAGAAACATTTTGTCATCTAAAACTCGCTCCTATTTCTTATATGGACTTACACACCAACCTTTTCACCTTTTTTCCAAGTTGTTTTTGATACACAAACAAAGTTGTTACAAAAACATTATTACAACATTAAAAAAAAACCGAAAACAAATACGAGGCGTTTATATACTGAAGCTTATTAGTCCAGTATTTGTTTTAAAGCATCGTTATTTTTTCTGAAATTAAACTTAAACTATTTGAGTTTAAGCTATTGGGAATTTAGCTTTTGGGAATCTCATTTTAATTAGGTACCTATTGTATGGTATCCCATTCTGCTATTTGGTAAGGTTTTGATAGTTTTCTGGGCAGAAAATATATTTCTCTGTTTCTTACGTAGTGTAGCCACTACTTCCGAGCAGATTTTAGAATTTCAATGCTTTCTATTTTGTTATGCATATTAAACTGTTTAAAGTTGTGTCAAACTTGCTTGAACATCGCTAATAAATAATAGCTTTTCTTTAGTTTAGAATTTTCTGGTGTGAGAAAGATCCAACAATATTAAAACAGAGATATTTGTATTTTCAAGAATACAACATTTTTCTTTTTAAAAGATGTTAAGGCAAAGTATAGTGTAGCCATATTGCTATAGCTTTGATATAAAGAGATATCTTGGATGGTTTTTATCTTGATATCTTGATAGCTTAACGCGATTCATTGCTTTGCAGGTGAGCCAGGATGACAAGATGCCACCGCTCATATGCGAGCTGTGCGTGGACAAAGTGAACGACTTCTACGAGTTCTTTGATATGTGCAGACAGACCAACAAGAGGACACGGCACCGGCTCGGCCTGCCACCACAGACACTGCCACGGGGGGCGGTGAGTGTAGGAAGTGTTATACTTCTGCATTTTGCCCTGTAGAGAGGTATAGGGGCCCACCTAATTGAAAGGTGGCGACGCATCTGCAAGGGTTGCAGCTTTTGAGGTGTTGCAAATGTCCATGGACTGGAGTTGAGTTGGTCATCAAAATCGGTTCAGCACACCAGACTCTTTTGTCTTTATCGCAGTCATGTTAATACAACATCACTCGATATCTTGGCACATCTAGGGCAATTATAATAAATATTAAACTAATATATTTTATTACTTCATGACAGTCAACATACTGGACATGGAAATGTATTAGTCTTTCCTACCTTATTCGATTTAGTTGGACATATGTATGGTGAAGGAAAACATCACAAGGCAAATTGTATATTTCCGAAATCATAATAAAAGAAAATTAAAAAAAAAAAATTAATGTTGCCTCATGAGAGAAAGAAGAAATTGCTACCTTAAGAAAAGGCTGCCACTATGTACACTACTTTTACTGTATATTCCTTGTGTATCGCATTTATATGCAATAAAGTACATTCTATACGTGGTTTGGAGGGGGGGGGGGGGGTTAGTTGGTGATACTTGGTGAGGTTTAGGAGGCGGTTAAAAAATGCTAAAAGAACATCAGGTGCTTAACGGTCCTTTTACACGGAACGACTAATGTTAAGCATTGTTAAAACAGGGTTCCGTTTTATGACGCGGCGTTATTGCCCGGACAGATGTTGTCCATTAATGCCCAGTTCCTATATTCAACGAACGGCCGTTAGTTACATAGCTTCGTAACTTTCATAACGACCGGTAGATATTAACGAAACGAGCCGTTTTCCTCACGAGCCGTTGCATCACCTGCGGAAAGTGAGTTACCAGCGCTTCCTTAATCTACAAGTTTATGAAAGTTACGAGGCTATGCAACTAACGGTCGTTCGTTGAATATAGGAACCGGGTATATGCCACCGTTTGTCGTTCATTGCTACGCGCATTTTAATAGCCCCGGGACAGTGCGGAGGTTTTATCGTATAACGTAGAAATACGAGACGCCATTTCCTTTTCTTGTTATTGTTTTAAATTTAATCTGCGGGCTTCTTCAATTTACATACGACGACGGCCCGATTATTAAAGGCATAAGTAAAGCCTCATCTTTACCTACTCGAAACCCTAACAGTTATAGAACCGAGTCGGATTCGCGCACGAAGGGTTCCGTACCATTATCTATAAAAACGGCAAAAAACTCATGTCTGTTGTATGGGAGCCCCACTAAAATACTTTTTTTAGTATTTCTTTTTATAGTGGCAACAGAAATAAATCATCAAACGGTTCATGAGATACATCCTGGTGGCAGATGATCAGATTGGCAAAGTCTTAGTAGTATTATCCCGTTTTACCCTTTGGGTACGGAACCCTAAAAAGCGAGCGCTCTGCCACTGAACTGTTAAGTTCTAGTTCCAAACTAAACAACGCTTGTACTATGGATACTACGTAACTTATAAACATACTTAAAATACTTTTAATTTAAAATAATTTTAATGGATATATATTATACATATATGAATTCCCAAACACTGGATAAACACTATGCTCATCATAAAAAAATCCTGCAGTAATGGGAATCGAACCCGCACCCTCTGGCGCAAGAGGTAAATTCACTACCCACTGCGCCATTCGGGTCGTGATCTACGGCTCTGTACTGATAGACGGCTTCATTCGGAATTACAGACGGACGACTGCATACTGGGCCTCACCGAGCCAGTGTACGTCAACGAGGACTCCAACGAGCCCATCTCCAGGCACAGGTCCAAAGTACAGAAGGCGAAGGTCAAGAAGGAACCGGAGTCAAAGAGCAAGGTATTTTTAGGACACATTTTTTTCCACAACATTTTCTTTCCCAAACTAAGCAACGCCTGAAGTATGGGTACTACACTGATAAACATACTTAAACATACTTTTTTGTAAATAAATACATGTTATACATATATAAACATCCAGACACTAGAAAAACACTATGTTCATCACACAATATTTTTCCGGTGGTGGGGATCGAACCCACGCCCTCTGGCGCAGGAGGCAGGTACACTACTCACTACGCCATTCGGTTCGTCATCATCATATGTATAATATATTGCCCCCCGCGAAGTATGTATTTGAGCTTGTAGAATTTTTGCATGGCATATGCGAGCTACCAGTCAATTGCCTTTCGTGGTATTTCAGGTGGTGGTGAAGGTCGAGGAGAAGTCGGTGCGTCGGCTGACGAGAGCCTCCGTGCCCAGCCCACCACCAGCACCGAGAGAGACGCGGCGGTCCGACGCGGTGGGTGTCTCCAGTGATGGTGGCCAAACGAGGGTCCTATCGGACAAAGGCATGGGAATGTGGTGGGGCCACGCAACAGCCTTCACTGTTCCACGAATGGGCAGGTCCGTCCCGGGAAGTATCACTGCCTCACAGAATACCGGCGTGAAGTGGAAGTGTTAAACTTCTGTAGTCCGGTGAGTGAGGTAACTAACATCTAATTTATTGAAAGGTGGCGACGCATCTGCAACCTTACGGGTGTTGCAAATGTCATCTGTCAATGGCTCGCTTGCCACCTTCTCACAGAAAAACAGGTGGGCAGCATTTGAAATGAACAAACCACTAAACGATACTGTTATCGAAACGGGATATTCCTGTTATAATGTGCCTGTGTAAATAAATTAACAAGGTGTAAGCTTTGTCACAGTCCATCTGAATATTTGATTAGCTTCTCAATCAATTGCAAACAACAACATTTTTATTCACAGAGAATCAATACATATCGAAAGTTAAATGGTTGGACAGAGTATAAAAAGAAAAAAAAATATAACAATTAAATAAACTAGTTGTGGTATACAGGTGCTAACTTCATTCCAGCTATATCTATTTTAAGAATGGTATAGTCAAAGAATGTTTCAATAAAAACTATTTTAAGTAATAGATTTTGTAAAAATTTATGATATTTTTTTTCAGCAGCACGGAAAAAAAGCCCCGACCCCACTCAAGTCCATACTGAAGAAGGAGAAAGATATAAAGGTGAGCAGGATATAAAATAAAGTATAATTACAATATCCAGAAGTTTAAAAAAATGTGCTTAGTTAAAAATCTAGAAAACCAGTTCCAATATTAAGAAATATATAATATACATATATGGAAAATGTCAATATGAACCATGACCATTCACCAAGAGGTAATTGATTGAAAGGTTTTCCGGACTAACGGTGGCGTTACTGCGTTTTTTTATTCTTTATTTCTAGAAACGGGTTTTGTCACACGTCAACTATGCCACCCTGATTTAATAATCCCAATAATATTAACTTAACCTACTCCTACCTAAACAGTAAAATTGTACATTCTTTATTGGATATTTTTTGGACCAATTTCAATGTCCAAACCTTTCTAATTTCCAGGCGGAGGACAATGGGCTGTCAAGGTCCAAGCGGTCCAGAGAGGACACCCCGGAGATGCCCACGAAGCGAGTGAAGTACGCCGCCTGTTCACGTCCTCTTAGTCGAAACGTAACGAACTACCAAACTGGCCTACCGTGTGGGAGTTTAAAAAAAAAGGCAAAAAAATCGTATCTTTTGTATGAGAGCCCTACTTGAATATTGTTTTATTCTGTTTTTTTAGTATTTGCTGTTATAGCGGCGACAGAAATGCATCATCTGTGAAAATTTCAACGGTCTAACTATCACGGTCTATGAGATACAGCCTGGTGATAGACGTACAGACAGACAGCGGAGTCTTAGTAATAGGGTCCCGTTTTACCCTTTGGGTATGGAACCCTATAAACGAGAACAATCAATTATTACAATTTTTTTGTGTGACGAGGTGACAAGCAAGCTGGCGGGTCACCTGATGTTAAGTGATAACCGCCGCCCACTGACATTTGCAACACCAATAGGTTTGCAGATGAGTTGCTTTAATAAACTGGGCCCCATCTACCTCGTGGCACTGCTCCAGACGGACCCGCCCTACCTGAAATATCCGTACGTTCCAGAATCGCGGCCAAGCCCGTCGTCAGGTCTGTCGCTAAGGCTGTCGCCAAGCCTAGCGCCAAAAATGTCGCCAAGCCGAGCCCGAAGAACCACAGGGGTGCTTCGAACCCGGGGCCGCGCGAGCAACGGGCTCCGAGCGCCAAGCCGCACTTCGCCTGCCACATCTGCGCCAAGGAGTTCCCGTCCTCCCTCTCGCTCGCCGTCCACCAGCGCATACACCAAGTCAAGTGAGTTCGTCCACTCTAGCACTTTGGGTAGGCTCGCCCGGGTAAGTTAATGTAACAGCCTATATTTGTCCCACCGCTGGGAAAAGGCCTCTGTACAGAGGTTTATAAGACACTAGCTGTTAACCGCGGCGTCGCCCGCGCTGTCGATGAGAATTAACAGTGAGTGTTTTTATTATGTACCAGAATAGCTCGTAGAGGGCAGAGTATTTTCTATTTACTTGATTTGACACTTAATATATGGACAATTCGCACGATATCTTTATGAATTGCTAGCTACTGCCCCCGGCTACGTCTGCGTAGAATAGGCTGAAGGCGTAACATTCAGACAAAAAGACAGATATGCATAAAAATATGTATATGAATTACAGCCTATGTGTTATTCTGATGTATAAGCTATGTTATTGTAAAGTTTTGTTAAAATCCATTCAGTAGTATTTATTTGAGAAACAGTAACAAACATCCATTCATACATACAAACTTTCGCGTTTATAATATTAATAAGGATTAGTAACGATGGACTGTCTTATTCTAATGTACAAGCTATATGATTATGAAGTGTAATTAAAATCCGTCCGTCCGTCGACGCGTCCTCGATTTTTACTATTAATACTCCAAAAGTGTAATTCAACGATTTTAATATTGTATCTTGATGAACAGACTACTGACCTGGCACATGGGTCAGTTGGGCACCAAGGCGGGATAAGGACAAGAGGATGATCATGATTGATTTGACATACCTATCTAGAGGTCTGACTGTTGGCGTGCTGTGATTTAATCTATGGTTGCATCCTTTTCGCAGGCAATTGAAGAACAGCCGCTGTGTGACTAAGGAGACTAGGAGCCCCAGTAGAACGCGCGGTGGTTAGTACAAGCCTACGTTCATGTCCACCCAGAGACATCAATTAGCATTAACAAAGCATTAAGTTCAAAAAATGGGTGCGTGTACTTATGTACGCGCGTGAGAAGTTATACTTCTTTGGCATCAGTAAAAAATACTATTCAATTGCATGCAAATACAATTAATTACAGTAAAATAATAAAAGGACTGGAAAAAGATATAAATAATAAAATTATGAAAGCGCCATCTACAATCTACAATGTGAATGAGAATATTGATATGAGCTGCCATCTATAATAAGCGGTTCAGGGGCAGCTTCAAAGGTGTCACTTTTGTGTTACAGTGATGCGCGCGCATTTTAAATTTCACTCATCATTTTTGCATGACGCGCCTAAAGAAGTATAACTTCAATAGAGCAATCATCTCGTTCTAACTTATGCGGCTTTCTTTGTAGGGAAATGCGATAAATGCGGTCGGACCTATCTGACGCGCAAGAACTTCCTACGCCACGAGAGTTACTGCACTTTCAAGAAGAAAGGCGAGTGTAACATAAGTACAAACGTTTTCATATTTATTAGTTCGTGTTAAAACCGGCCAAGTGCGAGTCGGCCTCGCGCCCGAAGGGTTCCGTACCGTTGTATATAATCTATAACGGTATGGAACCCCTATCTGTTTTACCCAAATTTACCCTTTGATAGAAAGGGACTCTATTATTAAGACTGCAGTCTGTCTGTCTTGTCACCAGACTATATCTGTTGAACCGTGTTAGACAGCTGAAATTTCTGCGGTGTCTTAATAATAGAGTCCCATTCCACCCTCGGTGTACGGAACCCTAATGGTTAATCGTTAAAACAACCGTGTCTCTCCATTGCAGTGTCGCAGGCCGTCGTGGAGCCAGCGGTGCTGCGCTCGCTGCGCCGCGTGCAGGTGCGGGTGGCGCGCTGCGACGCGCTGCTCGCCGCCAGAGGACACTGCCGCGTCGCCGACCTGCCCCAGGTGGGACGCCCACCGGTGGGACAACCCCACGCCCCACGCATGAACATAGCCGGACCTGTTCTGTTATGGAAAAGTTGGGAAATAAGCTGAACCCCCCCCTCAAATGTTAAATGATTACCGCTGCCCATGGATGTCGACAAACAATAACTGACAGATTGTGGACGCGGTACCAGTCATTAAAAAACCTAAACTTACCCTTTTCGTCTCTTTACAATTGGCTTAGAAACCAGGCGGCCCACCCGATAAGGTGATAACCGCATCCCATCGCACTTGCACGATAACTGACAGATCGTGGATGCGGTACCAATCATTAAAGATAAAAATAAATGTTATAAACGCGATATATAATGTTTCCACTTCACGCCGGTCTTTTGTAAGGACGTGGTATTTCTCTGGACCAGCTCATTTGTGCAACAGCAGAAGCTGATGCATGACTTTACACAACCTTACCACTAGTTTTTTTTACCCAAAATTTTTTACACATTAAAAATTAAAAAAAAATACCAACCCAACCATTATAGTCTCCAATTCTTCCGGCTTCCGACAATATTTTAAGTACCTCCATTGTTTTATCTCCTAATAATCACAAGAACAAGACCAAAACTAATTTTTTTTCTTCTGATCTTATAACTGTCAGCTAATCTTTTCCGATTTCTACCACGATTGCACAACCAAATGTTGTCGTGATTGTTATGTTAATACATGATGTAAATGTTACGTGGACTTTTTCACAAATACTACTAATACTACTACTTGATAAACTGAACCGGTTGATAAATAAAAAAAAATCCGGCAGGAGTACGGCCTGGACCAGCGCTGCGTCTACCCTTACATATCGTCCGTGCGCAGCCTGCGCATCAAGAGCGAGCCTGGCGAGGACTTCATGGTGGACATCGGGGAGGGGATCAAGCAGGAATTGGAGGACGTGGGCTACGTCCACTGGGACTCCGACGACAGCAGCGATCAGGAAGACTCCGAGCGGGACTTCGCCCCCAAGAAGAGGACACCGGAGCCCCTCTCGACCCTCGCTCTGAAGACGGTCTTCTCGCAGCGCTGCCTCGGCAAGGTGCCGCGGAAGAGGAGGCGCATCAAGGCGGAGATGCCCGTCGCGGACGAGCCAGTAGACCGGTTCGACGACGTCAACGATCTGGAGAGGATAGGCGAAGCCATCAGCGACAAGGTCGCGAGCATAGACGGTCTTCTCGGCGACGTGGACGATGTAGGTACGGTCGAGAAGACGGGGACGGAAGAATGCAGAGCGCAGAATAGCGGAGAGGTGGACTGTGGTGCCAGTGGTCTGATGGAGGTGGTTGGTGGTGATTGCTGTAGTGTCAAGTTAGAAAGTGTGGTGGGTGATGCAACAGGTGATGTAAGCCAAAAGTCAATGTCCAGTTACAGTCCGCGTTTAGAGATTAACGGTGATGAGAGTAATGCCGAGAATGAAATGGACGTCAGCGAAGAAGTCAACGGTGAGTTATCGAATACTAATATTAAGGAGATAAAAACTGAGATGAATATATCTATTGATAATGTTAACGAGTGTATTGTAAATAATGAAGAAAATAATATAGAAGTTGCTGAAAAAGAGAAGGTAGGATCAGATTGCAATCAAAAAGATAGTTCCGCAGAAGATGGTGTGGCAACAGATGAACCAAGTCAAGAAATGGGTGATAGTTATGTAGACAGTAATATTGTTGTAGCCAGTGAAAGTATACCTAATAAGGAAGTGAGTAGTGAAATCAAAATAGAAGAAAACGATTTAGCACAAGAGACTGACGACGCACAAACGGCAAGAGATACAGACGCGGACGAAATTAGCGCCGACGAAACGAGTCGAAACGTTGACGCCGAAAGAGACGGCGAATCCGAGCGAAAGAGCAATATTCCTAGTGAGCGAGATAGCAATAATTCCGATGAGCGAGACAGTAATGTTCCGGATGAGAAAGACAGCAATGTTACGGAAGAGAGAGAGAGCAATGTCTCTGATGGGCAGGAAAGCAATTTTCCCGATGATCGGGATAGCAATGTTCGCGATGAGCAAGACAGCAATATTCCCGATGAGCGGGACAGCAACGTGTCTGTTGAGCGGCGTGGAAACATTCCCGATGGATTCGAAACCGAATGGCAGAGCGTTATGGCGGAGGAGATCGAGGCGGGGGACCGCGCCGCGTCCACCAACGGAATCGACGCCGCTACTAAGCGGGAAGACGAGATAATGGACGAGTTCCACGCCAGTCAGGGTTACGATGGAGGGAGAGCCGACGTGAACGGACGCGAGCAAATCGACGCCGAACTGGAGGACCGCAGGCTGATGGAGGCCCTGGACGCGCAGATTGGCGAGTGCGAGGGGGACGGCGCGTGCGACAGGGACAAAATCACACTGGCCGACTTACTGCCCGACAAGGCGCACGAGAAGTCGCTCGACTTGGACGGAATGGCGGACGAGTTCGCCTTCGACCCTTAGCGGCAGCCGCCGGCGCCGACGCGTGTTCGCAAGCGGTGACGTCACCGAGCGGAGCGCAAGCGGTGACGTCACGGACGCATGTCCCATGGGAACGTTTCATTGTGCGAATACGTCGCGGTTCGGTAGCTTTGTAAACATCGTCACAAACGTTTTATAATTGTAAATCTGAATGCACGCATCTTTTGAGGGCTTGTTGCAAAATAAAATTGGAACTGCCGTGTTTTGAAATCATCCGTGCAATATGACGACTGCTATCGACTGTGGGACATGAGATCTATTGACGATAGAAATCAATAATGTAACCTTTAAAATGTGTCGTAAGGGTCGTGAGTAAAATGTTACGATCGGCATACAAAGCGAGACAGGAGAGAATATCATGAACTATCACGATAATCAATCATTTCGAAGATTTATAGTTTATACATGTCATAGTGATGAGACGTCTTTATTGGTTAGTGATACAAGTGATGCAGTGACCATAGACAAGAGTGCAATAGCGCCAAAAACTCCTAAGCACTTGGCGACTAAGATAATTTCGGGAAGTTTATTTTTTTATACATTTTCGCTTAATGTAGACGTACGTTGTTTTTTTTTGCCACATTTTATTCGAGATAATGTTCTAGATTGTAATATATGATAGCAATTGTTATAATTTTGGTAGTTCGGTGTAAATGTTGTCGGATATGACTCGACGGTAATATGTTTGTGTCGTGTAAATAATTTCCAGATGCTATATAAACAATGTTTTGTAATGAGCCTGTCGTTTTATTAACCGACTTCAAAAAAGGAGGTTCTCAATGCGACTGTATTTTTTTTTTTGCTTATAGTATGTTGGCAGAAATGATTTAGTCTAGATATAATGCAGCCCCCTTCGGGTGGACTTTCCCCATTCTAAACGGGTGAAAGTCTTTCCGAAGCCTCTTTGAAATGTTATAATTATAATCGATGTGAAAGTTCGCAAGAGTGAAATTGAGAAAATGAGTGTAATCAGTGTCCGGGCTCAGCTATTCTCGAGCAACCCAAGTTGAAATCCCGAATGAAATTGTTAATTTTAACTGCTGACTTGTCACGTGCTTTGCGGTGAAGGAAAACATCGTAAGCAAACCTGCGTATCTTTGAAATAATAAAAATAACCGGCCAAGTCCGAGTTGTACTAGCGCACGAAGGGTTCCGTACCATCTATAAAAACGGAAAAATCATGTCTATTGTATGGGAGCCCCAATTAAATATTTTTTACTCGGTTTTTTAGTGTTTGTTATGTGTTAAAATTGTAACTATCTAACTATCATGATTCATGAGAACCAGCCTGGTGACAGACCGACAGACCGACGGCGAAGTCTTATTAACAGGGTCCCGTTTTACGCTTTGTGTGCGGAACCCAAAAAAATAAACGTTACGGAAATGTGTGAAGTCTAAAGCGCTATTTTGTTTCGAAATTCGCAGGTGATTGGTGAATTTTCTCCGTGAAATCGGCGTGACTAAACTGACATGGGCAATAATGAACTCTTTTATGGTGGTACAATTGTTGCCAACGCGCACTGGCAACATTGTAATTGACTTGTAGGATAAGGTTTTTTAAACAGTACTGGTGATTAATGTGACACCTTTGGAAAGAGATAATCGGCTTCGTGGCGCGTTATCTCTTTCGCACACCGCAAACGTCGATGTGCAATATTTATAGCAACACTGGACCCTACAAATAGGCCTGGCAGAATACAGTGATCGCGTGATGGAATGTTTTGAGGCGTAAAGTGGTAATTTAATATACTAGCTTTTCGCCCGCGTCTTCGCCGCATTGAAGCCCTTAAATAAACATCGTTCTTTATAAAATATATATTTTTTTAAAGAAAGATATTTTCAACACTTTTTCCCAATTAAAAATAGTCAAATGTCCTTTCTCAGGCTCTAGACTATCTGCATACCAAATTTCATTCAAATCGGTTCAGTAGTTTTGGCGTGAAAGCGAGACAGACAGAGTTACTTTCGCATTAATAATATTAGTATGGATTGATAACTGAGTACCACAACTAGGTTGTTTCTTCATCAGATAGATTTCATAAAGGTTAACTTATCGGCTTTTGCCTCTAATGGGTGAGGGGGACAGGTTGAGGGTTGTAGAGGTGGTGCTACTCACCCCGCCCGCAACCGAGTTATCTTCTTGATAGTTAAGAAACCAAGGTTTCTAAGAAGATTCTTAGACATACCACGTAGCCGGAGATACTAAGGGTAATTTTTAATACGACTAAAATACGACGTCTCTTCGACCGAATGGCGTAGTGGGTAGTGTACCTGCCTCTTGCGCCAGGGGGTGTGGGTTCGATCCCTAATACTCGAAAAATGTTGTGTGACGAACAGTGTTTTTCTAGTGTCTGTGTGTTTATATATATCTATATTATGTATTTATTTTCAAAATAAAAGTATTTTTAAGTATGTTTATCAGCTATCTGGTACACATAGAACAAGCGTTCCTTGAGTTTGGGACTAGAGAATGTGTTCTAAAATATTTATTCAATCTCGGCGTGCGTCGATCAAGGACATGATTTTGGTTTTTAATGGCTTTACCCTTTGGGTACGGAACCCTATTACTAAGACTACGTTGTCTGTCTGTCCGTCCGTAACAAACACAAAAAAATACAGTCGAATTGAAAACCTCCTCCTTTTTTGAGGTCGGTTGAAAATGAGCACCCCCTTGACGAATCTCAAATGATTACGTCTTTCACTCCGACTGTACCCTAATTAATAATTTGAACAAAACACGAGGCTTTAATTGCTAACTCGAGATGAAAGCAGCTAACAGCTTTTATTATTGACAACAAATAGTTATTTTAGAAAATGCACTTGTTTCATCTCGTACTAGCAGGTGAGTATTTAATTTTGAATGTTTGAGGATCCATGAAGCTGAATAATTGAAATCATAAACTAGAACGTCAAATAAATACTAAAAAATAGAATAAAAATATATTTAAGTAAAATCATATCTATTGTATGTGAGGGGCTCCCGTTTTCAGATTTTTTTTGCAGTTTTTATAGATAGCTAGCGACCCGCCCCGGCTTCGCACGGGTGCAATGTATTATACATATAAACCTTCCTCTTGAATCACTGTCTAGTAAAAAAAAAACCGCATCAAGATCCGTTGCGTAGTTTTAAAGATCTAAGCATACATAGGGACGGACAGACAGCGCGACGACCTTGTTTTATACTATGTAGTGATGGAGTACGGAATCCTTCGTGCGCAGGTTTTTCTTTGTACAGTGTGCTGTTAGCCCGATACTACACTGTCACAAAGAAACTGACTTATAAACTTCTACAAAACATATAAATTTCTACTGGCTTGGTAAAACGGTTAACTGTGGTGGGGCCACGCAACAGTGTTGGCTGTTGCACTATATTCGTCTGGGTAAATACCACGACATCATACAAGACCGGCATGAAGTAGGAGTGTTAAACATCTGCGTTTGGACAGGTGAGTTCGGTAGCCGGGGCCCACTTTTTCAAAAAGGTGCCAACGCATCTGCAAACCTACAACCGCTGTTGCTAAAGTCCACGGGCGGCGGTTGTCGCTTAACATCAGGTGAACGGTCACCTGATGTTCAGCTGGCGAGCTCGCTTGCAACCTTCTCACATAAAAATAGTGGGTGCTTCTACAGTAGCTACATGCAGCAAGGCATCTTAGATTCAATACTTCTAAACATCATCCTGTTGCTAAAGTCAGTTTGCCTGCAAGCGTTTCACTGACCAACAGCTTATCGGATACGTGTATTAGTTCTTAGAGTTTTTGTACTCAAAAGGGAAAATAAGCCTTTACAATAATCTGGTCCATTGCTGGGCTAAGGCTTTATCTGGACAGAAGGTCAGAACAAACTGGGGATTGACGTTCAAGTTGTATTTATCTTTTCGAAGATATTAGATTACCTCACTGCCGAGCACGTAAACTTAGCACTTAAAATTGCAGTTAACAGTTATATTGTCCTCTGGTGTTGTAATTTAAGTTGGTAGAGTGCACTGAACTTAAAGAAAGATAATGAAATATCAAAATGGAGATGTTATATAATTTTTTTTACATATTACTCAGACAGTAAATTAAACTCTAGATCTCATGATTATGACGTTTTAGGCGTATTTATCGGAGCCAGCGCAAACGACTATGTCGGGGGGGAGTTTGACCAACTCCAAAGTAGAGAGGAATCAGATCCGACGCAGCGGAGGACCACCTTGCAGCGGGTTCGATCCCGTCCGAACGAGATAAACGACTCCGATTCAATCGATGATTGGGTCACCGAACCTAGGACCCCGCGAAGCAAGCCTACACGCTCAACGCCCGAGTGGCTGGACCCGCTGAACCTCACCACGCCGAACCCGAAGGCGTGGCAGACCAGTCCGAGCCAGGTCCGCGACTGGAGTCTGGATTTGAAGCGGGCTTTGGACAAATTGGCAGAAAGCGTGAAGGAGCTACACACGGCGGTCAATGACCTAACGCCGACTAGAAGTGTCGTCCCTCTGAGGGGCAAGCTTCCACGCCGTCGCAGAGACAAAAGGGACGTGGAGACCACCAGCCGCGTTCCGGTCGAAACAGAGGGCAGCGCAAACACGTCCGCTAGCGACGGAGGCCGCGGTGCGAGTGACGCGACGACCGAAGCAATCCAAAATGGCCGCCGTTCCGGGCACGACGCGCAATCGAGCGTGGTCAGGGACAAGCTGCTTTCGTATTTGGACGAGGGGTTCGACGAAGTGCGCAGGAAAGTGGACTCTTTGGCCGCGGCGAAGAGGCGGTTTTCGAGCGTGGCGCCGTACAGGATCGGGTATATCGTGGCGAACGTTGACACACTGGCGGTGAGCGTCAGGAACTTGAGGGAGCTGGCGAGGAGCAGCAGGCTGGTGTGGGGCGAGAGGAAGATTCTGGAGGTGTACGACCGCTTGAGGATATCGAACACGTTGCTAGCCAACCTCTTGGATACATTACGCTTGCTCATGGAGAACAAGTGAATTTGATTTTGCGAATTAAAACTCGTTTCGTCGATACGTTGTTGACTTTTATTTTTTCGTAAAAAATCCTTTTGAGATATGTCGAATTGTCCTTGAGTTTTTTCGTCTAAAAAATCTTTATAGTGTTTGAGATATATGTCAAATCGTTCGTCTCATCGTCACACCTAACATACCCAACATACCGCCACGAAGTACGATCCTGACATTTAGGTCTATAACACTACTGGGTATCGGATTTGGGCAGGGCAATATGAAAAACATAGTCAACACACAACTATTGTTCACCCCTAAGTGATAAGAGTTTTCACCCCACACATTTTTATCTACCCTACAAATTCCCTAGAAATATTTTTTATGGCTAAAGCTAGTATCTATATATGGAGGGTAGAAGTAAGGAGAACCATCTCAGTGTATTAAAGTGTCCAGGGAGCAAATTAAGGTGGCGCTATAGTAGCAAGTGGAAGAATTTTAAATAGAGCGCCACAAATTATTAGAGTAGGATACTAAATTAAAAAACGAAAGAAACATTTTCACTTTGTTACAGCGCAATTTTTTAAATTTTATTGTAATATATAGACAAAAATGAGTATGGAATAAAATTAAAGAAACAAAAAAGTTGAATTAAAACTACAGAAGTCAAGAGAAATATTAAATTTTTCAACCCAGCACACTTCACTCTGCTTATAACTGCTAAGTTCATATAATTTCCACTTGCTACACTAGCGCAATTTCGGTGAGAGTTCGAACAATAATTTGCTGTTTACAAGTTCGACACTTATTCGACCATATGAGACAGTCCCCCTTTATTCTACCCTCCATATATCTATCGTACAAAATGTCATTGCTTTATGAACTGACAGCGCAAATATCAATCAAGAAGGACTTTTATTATTTTGTATCATACAAACGATGAGGTATAAAAGTAAACAAAATTGATTTTATTTTGTTGTTTTATTGTATCAGTCTGTAAGAAAAACGATGTATTACAATATCAACTGTTATACTATTTTAAAACTACAAATCACCATAGACTTTAATTTATGGTTTGTAATTCATTTCAATGGTATAAATTTAATATTTAAATATATTTTTTCGTTTGACGAAAACCTTAAATAAAGTCTATGATAAATTATTTGAATTAATCCTAAACTGAACTTACGTAAATATAGGTGTCTTGATATTTTAAAATAAAAAATAAAAGTACTATAAAATACGTAAAACTTACATTTTCAGAACAGAATAATACACTGTATAATAGAGCAGTCTATATCAATAAGATACTGAGTTATTACTTATTTATATGTGTGAAGTCAATCTTATGAAGAATTATTGATAGAACGGAGAAATCGCGCTATTTTTAATTTAATTTTTTTTGCATTTTATGGCTCGGTATCGAGGACCTTTTGGCCAAAACGCCTTAAATTATGTTATAGATATTATAGATTTTGACGTTTTGTTTTTTTTTTTTAAGTCACCTATAATTAAAACACTAAACAAACAACTTGTAACATTGTAAAATTGTTTACAGTATCAATTTGCAATACATATCTAAACTCGATGAAAACAAAGCTACAAATTTTACAGTGTTATTGTTTTGTATCATATGTATAGATACTTAAGTAAATCCGTTTTTAAATGCAAGATAACATATATGTAAGGAATAAAAATTAGGAGTAGAATAATTTAATACAACATGAATATTGCTGTCTTTTTATATATCTATTTGTTACAACTAAAAAGTAACGAACTTGGCAACACATGTGGGGTCTGTGGACACAGTGTAAATAGTTTATTTTTATTGTCGTAACCAAAAATATTATGCTAATCTATGTAGCTTAAGTTTTTTAATTCATCGCGCTCTATTACTGGATTGCACTTTTTTCGCTGGCAATATTATGGAATCCATGACTACTGCGGCTGCATTCACTTTACTGCATCTGTGGTATAAAGAGACATCGTTACTTAATATTATAAAGGCGAAAGTTTGTATGGATGGATGTTTGTTATTCTTTCACGCAAATACTACTGAATGGATTTTAATGAAACTTCACAATAATCTAGCTTATACATCAGAATAACACACAGGCTATAATTTTTTTAGTCTTTCTTTCGGAATGTCACGCCTTCAGCCTATTTTACGCAGACGTAGTCGCGGGCAGGGGCTAGTTTTAAATTTATAAACCTAACTAACAAGGGACTGAAGAAATGGCGGTCAATCCTTATTGAAATTCGAAAGTTTGTTCGTTTGGATGTTCGTTGCTCTTTCAGGCAAAAAATAATAGCCAAAATAAAAACATGATTGCCTGGGCAGCATTCGCGCGCAGGGCAGATCCGCGCGGCCGGTGAGCGCCTCGTGTAGCGCGGCCGGCAACGCCCTCTCGGCGGTCAGTTGGCCGGTCAGCAGCCGCAGGGCCAGCCTGCGGGAGACCACAATCCTCATCTCAGAGATCGAGACTCATCTTTCGCCGACCGGGTGCGTGCCCGATGATGATGGCATCAGAGCCTAAGGCACCATCTTCCCCCCGAACAGGTGTATCGCCAGAGCTTAAGGCTCATCATTCACCGAACAAACACACCACTACCAGAGCCTAACGCTGCAATCTTCCTCCGAACCAGGTATGTCACAACCAGAGCTTGAAACACATCTTCCTCCCGACCGGGTACATCATCAGAGACTATTGCACTCATCTTCCTCCCGACCAGATACATCACCACGAGAACCTAACGCTGTCATCTTCCTCCCGACCGGGTACACCATCAGAGCCCATTGCCCCCATCTTTCCCCGACCGGATACATCATCACCAGAGCCTAACGCTGTCATCTCTTCCCGATCATATATATCACGATCAGAACCCGTTTACTGTGGGCCACGCAACAGTGTTCGCCGTTGCACGAATGGGCAGGTCTTTCCGGTCAAGTACCACGACCTCGCAGTAGACCGGCGTAAAGTGCGTGTGTTGCAGTTCTGCGTTTCCTCTGGTGAGCGAGGCAGCAGGAGCCCCGTCTATTAAAAGCTGGAAACCCACAAATGTCGATGGGCGGCGGTTATCACTTAACATCAGGCGGACCGCCAGCTCTCAAAATGCTGCCACATTAAGCGTCAGGAATCTCAAGCTAAAATTCTGCAATATTACACGTCAGCACCTTTTCCCAGCAACCATCACCTCGCATCGCTGTCTCACCCACCAGCTGGCCAGTTCCACTCACCCGTTGATCCTCGCCATGGTGCCGTACGGCGCGTTGAGGGTCGAAGTCGCGGCCAAGTTCTTGCAGTACAGCGTCCAGATGCAGTCGAGGTCGGTGTAAACCGCCCTGTCGTCGCCGGCCTCCTTCCCCTCGCGTCCGTACGAGCTCTGCAGGCGGTCTATCGCCTGCGCGGCGCCGTCTATTCGCGGCAGCTGGCCCTGGCCGCCTCTGGTGGACAGCTGCGCGAGCACCAGCCTGCAGCATGGTCCAGGCACGTAGGAAATTGATGTTTGGCGCCGTCCATTAATCTCGTGATAGCATTTTTAACCCCCTCCCCCACCTCCTCCCCCCTTGGTGATACGCGGTGAGTTTTAAGACTACCCCACCACGCCCACCTAAAATCACGTGTATTTTTGTGCCTACAAAGAATCATAAAAATTTTATAATGTTGTTAGAAATAAGACTGTGTCGGTCATTTAGAACTGTAATTAAACTCTACGCATTTTGGCTTACTGGGCAATAAGTCCTTTTAAAAAATCACTTAGGTATCGTTTCTATTTCTAACAATATTATCTTTAAATGCAGGTATAAAGCCTAACACAGTTTTTATTCTGAAATTAAGGTCATGGTCCTTCCTAATAATGTAACGGCGAGTCGAGGTCACGGCGCTTTTCGCCTTGTGATATTCCATGATTTTGCCAAAACCCCTCCTCCCCCTCGAGCCTCGCGTGATTAATGAACGGAATTTTTTAAGACCCAAGCTTGGTGATGATTTAGCTATAACCGGGTGATGAGCCGCGGTGATCACCCACTTGGTGTTCCTGTACGCCCTGCCGAGGTGGATGGCGGCTCTAGCGGTGCTCATGCCGATCTCCAGGACGTTCTCGAGAAGGTTCTTCCCGAAATCGAACTCCTGCGCCGTCTCGGGCCGGTTCTGGCGTTTGCTGTTGATAAGGAGATAATCGTATACGTCGTGCGCGATAGTAAAGTAACAGTACAGTGCCTGTATTGCCCGGTTCCTATATTCAACGAACGGCCGTTAGTTACATAGCTTAGTGACTTCCACAACGACTTGTAGATTAAAGGAGCGCTAGTGACCCACTTTCCATGGGCAATGCAACGGCTCGTAAGGGAAGCGCCTCGTTTTGTTAATATAGGAACCGGGCGCACGCATAAGTCAGCACTTAAAATTAACCATTTCATTGATTAGATTGCTCGAGTATATTGAATTAAAGCCGAGCGCCCGGACACTGAGCTATCACGGCTCATTGTCTGGGGATTCCGGGTGCTTGGAGTCAATTGTTATTTTTTAACGATAGATATTGATAAAGTAGAGTCACTATGGAAAAGTACAGTCATTATGGAAACATCTTAAAGAAGCGGCCCACGTTTTTCTACGGGAAAAGAGATTTTTGTTAAATAAATACATACTATGAATGTATAAACACTCAGACACAAAAAATTTAAAAACACTATGTTCATCACGCAATATTTTTCAAGTAGTGGGAATCGGACCCACACCCCTCGGCGCAAGGGACAATGTCCCTATCCACTACGCCGATTGGGACGTCGTTTTTCGCTTACATATTAAGTTTAATAAACACTATCTTTTGTACTTACGAGGCCAGGTTCTCATGGTGGCGGTATACCTCGTTCCTCTTCGCCTCCACCTTGCCGGGCTCCAAGAACAGGGCGTTGAAAGCGAACACGTCTGGGTCCTTGAGCATTTTGACCCTCGCGGCTTCCTGTAATTGGTGTCTTATAACATCTTCGCTCGGACATAGCTCAGTTGCCCGGACGCTCGGTTTTAATTTTGCTCTCGAGCGACCTGACTTCAAATCCGGGCGCCGGCACCAAATTAACTGAATATTATTGTAGCGTATATTGTGGGTAGACAAATAAAATACAAAATGTTATGTATGTACTGCCGGGCGCGGCAGTCTGTTTCCGACCATTAAATGTGTATAACGTTACATTATAGTTTTATTGAAATAACGTCTTCGACGTACAAATACTACAATCATATACTTCATCTATATAAATAAAAAAAAATAATGTTCGTAAGCGCATAACTCGAGAATGGCTGGAGCAATTCGGCTAATTTACCTTAAGGTCCACGGAAGGTTTAAATACTATAAAAAACAACTTGACACAACGAAGGCTGTCCGGGCAGCTAGTTGGAGATAAAAGCGAATTTTTAAAATCGAAGACAACAACGAATCGTTAAAGCTAATCGACGCCAGCCACTTGCATCTATTACTATCACCGCGAACGTACGCACCCAATTTTCAAAAGGTTGTCAACGCATCTGTAACCCTCGAGTGTAGCAGATGTCCATGGGCGGCGGTATTCACTTAACATCAGGTGAACCGTCTGCTCGTTTGACAACTTTTCGCATAAAAAAAAAAAAAAAAACCTGGTTCTCCCAGGCCATCAGCTGGATATTGTGCAGCAGTATCACGTCCAGGGTCAGGATCCCGAACGAGAGGAGGTCCGTCCCGTTTCCGAGGATCGCCTTCCGCGAGCGATTGGACAGGGCCACGCCATCGCCCAGATATATCTCCTTCAGCTTGCCCATAACGATGGACGCGTCGCCGGCGACAAGGCTGTCGTTCAGCGCCCTCAACACTTGGCCGAACTCGTCGCCGCTCCTCTCGCCTTTCCCCTCCCCCGCCTTCAGGTCCGGGTCAGAAGTGATCCACTCGTGGAGCTCTTGGACCTTCTCGATCAGGTAGCTGGTCATCGTGTTGCTCTGCATGTAGTCCTCGTAGAGGTTCTCGTCGTTGTAGTATTCCTCGTAGTAGTCCGCGTCCTGCCTCCTCATTCCGGGCACGATTGTTGTTTGGGCTGTGGGCTTTTGGTGCGGCATCCGCCCAGGGTATACGGCCTGGTCCTTCTTCTCTATCCTCCTTTCTTGGTGCTGCAGGGTCGTGTCGTGGAGCGGGTGCAGCTGGGGCTTTGAGGCCAAGCTCCCGTCTTCCGTCTTCTTCGTCTTCTCCCGGCCAACGGCGTTCTTGAATATGGACAGCTTCTCGAGGATCGGGCTTTGGATTTCGTTGTCCGAGTCTTCGGGCGTAGTGGGCAATTCAGTGGCGGCTGGCTGAGTCGGTTGCGGTTTGTGGGTGGGCTGAGTTGATTGTGGTTTGGGGGTCGGCTGGGGCGGAACCAGCATCGGCCGTGGGTTAGCGTACATCGGTTCCTGTTGTAAGTAATCGGTCTTTTAGATGGTAAAAGTAATAACATTTTGCCCAATAATTTCAAAAAAAAACAATTTAACTTCATGGTTATCAATTTTCGAATCAAAAGATCCAATGATTTGTAAATTACTTATAAAAAATTACTTATACAAAACTAAGAAGAACCAACAGCTAAATAAGAAGTTTTGTAATAGACAGACATACATACATATCATTTTTATATAGAAGTCACGTCAACATATATATCGTAAAATTATAGTTTAGTCGGTTTGTGTTCACAAAACTCAAAACTGCCCGACAAATCGACTTGATATTTGTACACGACACAGCCATTGAACATTGAGTGTTTTTATATATATTTTCATTGCGAAGTTTAAAAGGAGACGAAAAAAGTCCACAGCTAAGCTGTGCAGGGTTCAGCTAGTATTTGGTAAAAAGGTCCACAGCGCTGATGGGCGTTTGGATGACCAAGCTTAGCCGGGTTCTGCTAGGATTTAAATGTAAGAAGGCTCACAGCTAAGCTGTGCAGGGTTCAGCTAGTATTTGGTAAAAAGGTCCACAGCGCTGATGGGCGTTTGGATGACCAAGCTTAGCCGGGTTCTGCTAGGATTTAAATGTAAGAAGGCTCACAGCTAAGCTGTGCAGGGTTCAGCTAGTATTTGGTAAAAAGGTCCACAGCGCTGATGGGCGTTTGGATGACCAAGCTTAGCCGGATTCTGCTAGGATTTAAATGTAAGAAGGCTCACAGCTAAGCTGTGCAGGGTTCAGCCAGTATTTGGTAAAAGGGCTCACAGCGCTGATGGGCGTTTGGATGACCAGGGGTTCGACCATGGGGTACCGCTCCGAAGCGCCCCACTGCGTCACCACCACCGTCGCCAGCACCAGCACCGCGCACACCGCGAAGCAGGACGCGCTGGCGATGATCCACACCTTCAGCGGCACCTGATCAGTAAAGCCCGATTTACACTGGCCAAGTTTAGTACAGTAGACAAGTACAGTGAGTAAGTATAATAATAATAGCCTTCTATTCAGATCAATGAACATGAAAAAATCTTAAATTTAAATCTTAATCTAGTCTTTTATTTGAAATTTGCTAATTTCCTGTAGATCTTTTTGCCAGTCGGCGAAGGCCTCCTCCAATCTCTTCCAGTCATATCTTTCTTGGGCCACCCTATTCCATGTTACGTCTGCCACTTGTCTTATGTCGTCATCCCATCTTTTTTGGGTTCTACCTTTTTTCCGTTTACCCTCACTAGGATACCATCGTGTCACAAATTTGGTCCATTTGTCTTTTCCTCTTATCATATGCCCTGCCCATCGCCATTTGAGCCTTCTAATTTTGCACGTTATGTCTGCAAACTTTGTTTTCCTTCTTATTACACGTTTACTAAGTCGATCTGACTTCTTCACATTCATCATGCTCCTTTCCATTGCGTATTGGCAGGTTGCAAGTTTGCTAGTCCTGTTTTGTGATAAGCATAAAGCAAACAAAGCAAATTATTTAACACGTGTATTTTGGCTTTTCTAGCTGCCTTGCAAATTGGCCGATATAACTATTTCATTATATATTTTAATATTTCACCAAATAATAGAACCCGGTTTCTATTATTTGGTGAAATTGCACCCCTCGCAAGCGCGTTTGACCCCCGCGGGTCACTTAAGTCGTAACTTGCTGTAGTGTAAATAGTCAAATTAGTACAGTGGCCGGCGACAGGCAACAGAATTGCACGTATTTTTAGACGTCGCTCGTCTATTTCGACAGAGAAATGTCACTGGACTTGCTGTAGTGTAAACAGCCACTTGACCTCTGCCTGCCACTGGTCTTTGGGACTGACCACTTTAAAACGGGCTTTGCTATACTGCAGGAACCTTAATTGATTGACGTTTCGATGATGTTTAAAGGTGAGATACTTGTGCAATCGGTTAACGGGTATTGGTACAATATCTGAGGCTTGCTGCTCCAGAATCCTTACTTCGTTACTAACAAATGGAGAGACGACTTTTTTGTTTGGTTATACTGCGAAAACTAATGAACCAATCACAATATTACTTATATCATAAGATGCAGCGTGTTTCGGAGAATATTTTAGTATATGACATATCGGTGATTATATTTTTTTAAAATTGAAAACGGTATGACCCGGCGATGCGGGCGGGGACAGCTGTTATAAATGCGGAAGTGTGTTTGCCCGTCTTTCACGCCGCAACGAAGCGATTTTACGGTATGATTTTTGTATGTGGAGATAGTTAGGAGGCCGGAGAGTGATATACGAGTAGGGTACTTTTTTCCGCGGTAAAACATCTCTTTCCCAAGGGATCCATTATGATAAGGCAGGAGAAAGAAGAACATGAAGAGTGGTATCCAAATTCTAAAGTCTTTTCTGACACTAATGTAATAGGTGTACGTTAGTTATTAATATTATTATAGCATCTTCACTGTACATGTCTTTGGAATCGATACAGCTACAGTAACGACATCTTAGTGTAATCATTGTATGGATATTTTCTATACATCGAGATAATACTCCTTCTACCCTCGATAGTTCAAATGACAGTTAAAAGGTATGACCGAGATAAGGGAACTTTTAAAATGAATTTAAAAAAATACAAAAAGGCTTAGAAAAACCCACTCCAAATGCTTCCGACCGAATCCGATTGCTTAACTGTGAAGTTCCCATTACTTTTACGTCGACATTTCCTCTCGACTTTTCCAGAATAACGGAAATTATTCGCGGTCGTCGTAAATCGATGTCGTCTTCTTTTTAACCTATTCAAATAACATAAAACGGTGTATCCGTTGGACGTTTTATTGTAAGTCCGTGGAAAATTCACTGTCCGATTTCTAAATAAGAAATGAATGAATGGGAGTCAAAAGTTAGGGTGAAGAAGTTTTATATTGCTGTTCTTCAATAATGGAGAAGCACATAAAGAAGAACGGCTTGACCTCCTGCCAGTTTCTCACATAAAAGAAAGGAAGCTTTGGTAGGTCTCGGCCACAAGCTTTTTGTAGGAGGTTCGAAGGCTTTGTACGGTGGTAGGGCCACGCAGCAGTCTCGGCTGTTGCACGAATGGGCAGGCTCGTCCGGGTAAGTACCACGACCTCACAGAAGACCGGCGTAAAGTGGAAGTATAATACTTTCGCGTTTCGTCTGGTGAGTGAGGTGGCCGGAGCCCAATTTTGAAAAGGTTGTCAACACATCTGGAACCCTCGAATGTAGCAGATGTCCATGGGCGGCGGACCACTCACCATCAGGTGAGCCTCCCGCTCGTTTGCCCATTTTCTCAAAAAAAAAATCAAACAAAAAATTTAAACTACCCTTGATTACGGAATCAATCGGGAATGTGCAATACCAATTGCCACGCAGCAGTCTCCGCTGTTGCACGAATGGGCAGGTCCGTCCGGGGGAGTACCACGACCTCACAGAAGACTGGCGTGAAGTGGAAGTGATACACTTCTGCCTTTCGTCTGGCGAGTGAGGTAGCCGACGCCCACTTTATTGAATGGCGGTAGCGCATCTGTAACCCTCCGGTTGTTACAAATGTGCGGCAGTTATCATTTAGCATCAGGTGAACCGCCAGCTCACCTTTTCTATACAGATAAATAAAATTGGAGTGTCTGTTTGTAATTTTAAAATAACCGCTTTGTACTAAATGCATACATCCATATGTACGTATACCAAAATAACATTTTTTTTACAATTTTTGTCTGTCTGTTTGTCCTGGCTCATCTCTGAAACGACTGGATCGATTTGGACGGGACTTTCACTGGCAGATAGTTGATGTAATAAGGAGTAACTTAGGCTACTTTTATTTTAGATTTTTTTTATTTTAAATTCCATGCGGACGAAGTCGCGGGCACAGCTAGTCTTGCATAAAAAAGAAAGAAAAAAACCCTGATTCCCCGGTACAAAGGTCGAGTGGGGGCGATACTCACGGTGGGTTTTGCTGGTACCACGTCGCAAGGGATGGGCCTCGGCGGCAGGGGGCGCCGCGCCCTCTCCCCTGTCCCGTACGCCCACTGGGGGGCGGGACTCCTGCCGCAGGAGTTGGAGGAACCTGGCCTCTTCTCGCACTCGTATCGGATCATCGCGACGGCTGAAAGGAGATATTTCGTTCGATTAAGATCGATCGCTTTTAATGCGATATACTCGAGCGACCCGAGGTCAATTCCCGGTGCTGTCATATCGCGGTGAAGGAAATCATTGGAGTGAACTTGCGTATTTTCGAAATAATAATGAAAAGTATTTTTAAGCTATTGCATCGCTTTTATCGCGGGCTTTGAGCGCGGCGACCGAATCAAGAAATTCCGTAACGAAAACAAAACCTAACACTTAGCTCCGCCTACCATGTAGCTCGGCCGGGCGTTCGCATAACGTGTATGTATATGGTACGTCTGTACGAAGCTCGCACGGATGGATAATATAATATGATATTATAATGTTATATTATCATATGATGATATGATATTTAGAGGATATCAAGTCTCAAACTTATGTTTCTTATTTCAGTTACCATAAACCTATAGATTCAATGATAAAAATTCCTGAATAACCTACATGTATTGTAAGATAATAAAAACATTTTAAACGATATTAACTTCTCATTTATACCATAAAAGAAAAAAAGTTGTTTTCTTATCGGTACCACGCTCAAAAAGTGTAACTTGAATTAATATAAAAAAAAAAACTGATTAAATAAAAAATAAATAAATAATTATAATTCCATAAGTTAATAAAAAATACAATGCAATAGCTTAACCGCGGTAGTCCCCGAGTACCACAGTTACTTTTTAATATAAACTTTCTATTTATATTAAAAATACTTTTCAGTGAATACTAGTGGACAATCTAATGTCATGTCTTTTACAACCGTTTCTTTCCCACGCGTCTTAGGTGCTAGTTAGTAAAGTGTGTCAACCTGCGAATGTCTCTCTGAATCATACTTTGAATCGTAGAGAGGCGAAGGCACCTAATTGTTAAATGATAGCGGTACTTCCCTAGACGGACCTGCCCATTGCTTAATAGCGAAGACTGTTAGCCCTACCACGGTAAATTTTTAATCTATGCTATCATTGGTGAACAATAAATAAAGTGACCAAAGAAATGGACTATCTCAAGATCTCGAAATATTATTTTATCCGAAAATATCTATACCTAAGTCGGAAATCTCAAAGTCAAAGTATATTTATTCAATATACTTGATGACTCCGCGGAGGAGTTGCCAAGGTATTGGCTTCAGCGTCGGGGTCGTGGGTTCGATTCCCACTCGGGACAACTATTTGTTTGACCCACAGATAGCCGTTTCGCATCTGGGTGTTTGTCCGCGTGAAATTTATGTTTGTAAAACGTCCTTACAACACAGGATAAATGTTATCCTAAAGTAAAGGCAATGTTTTTCAAAAAAAAAAGAAAAGAAAAAAATATAGGCTTAACTTAAGCTCTTATCGAACGTCAAAAAAATATCTACCACCGGTTCACTAAACTAGACCTGCACAGAAAAGAACCGGCAAGAAACTCTGCGGTCTTGTTCTTTTTGTTATTATTTTTTTTGATGCAATTATACAAACTTATTTAGGTATAAAATCAGCAGCAGCCAGGGGTCTTGCAAGTGCAGAGCAAGAGTCATTTCCACACATCCTTGTCCTCAATGTATTCTTCGACATTATAGTAGGCCCTTGCCATTAAGGTAGCTTTTACAAATTGTTTAAAATTGTTTATACTTAGTTGTTTGTGGGATAATCTATTGTCCTAATCCAAAAACAGAGGCGACGTTTCGAGAGGAACTAGGTCATTGATGGTGCACTATTCGTGTGTCCAAACAGTGGCGAATTTTCCAGCAGGCTTTAACGGTGGTAGGGCCACGCAGCAGCCTCGCCTGTTGCACGAATGGGCAGGCTCGTCCGGGTAAGTACCACGACCTCACAGAAGACCGGCGTTAAGTGGGAGTATGATACTTTCGCGTTTCGTCTGGTGAGTGAGGTAGCCGGAGCCCAATTTTCAAAAGGTTGTCAACGCATCTACAACCCTCGGGTGTAGCGGATGTCCATGGGCTGCAGTATTCACTTAACATCAGGTGAACCGTCTGCTCGCTTGGCAACTTTTCACATAAAAAAGGCTAAGTAGGCTAGAGGTTAGAGCGGCATATATAAGGGGGCGGTAAAATTGGCCCCCAAATTATAGTAATGTTTTTAAGTTTTTTTACAGTATTTTTATGGCATAACTTACCCCGTCTTTTAATAAGAATATGATTGAGCTTAAAAATATACTCAAAAACTATTTTTCGTGTAATCTTCACTAAATCGTGGGTTGTAAAAATAATCTAGAAACTGACAGAACAAAACCTTAGTACAAAATCATGCTAATGACAAGGATAAAACTGATGTTTTAAAGACGATTGAGTACAAATCATAAAGTTGCATCTTTATTGACGGAATAAATGAGAGAATCAGACGTCAGTGGGGGCGGCAATTTAACAGCAAACTGGTGGCGTCCCCATGCATTGTGGTGTCACCACGTCTACTGCCCGACGCGGTCTACTTCGGCCGTGGGATCGGAGACCGGAAACCGAGATGGCGTGAAGATATCTGGCAACCACGACCTCCAAAAGCATCGCTCCCTTGCAAGTCATCCGTGAACCAGGCCAGCTGTATCTCATTATAGACAGGTGCAAATGATATCGTAGCCGGTCCGATCTCTGTTCAGTCAAGCGACGCAACAAGTGCAGTTTTACATACAAAAAAGTGTGTGTGTGTGTGTCTGTGTGTGTACTTCGCTACGCACGTTAGAAGTTCTTCCTTCTTCAGCGTAAAGTAAGAAGAATAAGTACGGGGGTACTCCGCTCTGATCATAATTTCTCCCTTCAAATTTCCCTTTATAGTTCCTGCTTTATGACCAACTCTTTTCAAGGTCACAGCTTGATCTTGAAAAGGATCTGGATCTCGCTACGCACCTCCATCAGAAATTGTTCGACTAAAAAGACTTAAACGTGCCGTCTTTAAATTTTATTCAGATAATCGACAGCACTAAGTTTGTTGAATTTCCCCTTCTTGACATAATTCGAAATTATCCAATATACTATGTAGGTATGTATATATTTGTGGTTTATGTGTATATGTATTATATATATGATATTTATATAAATATTAGTATACGTGTATATTTATATGTGTGTAATATTTTATATGTATATTATCATTTTTTTTCACTATCTCATCTGGCTCTTTCGCACCTCCTTATTCTCTCCGTTTATTTGTCGGTTGACTGGTAGAGAACAGTTAGGAACCTAATAGTGTTAAGTCCGCCGTTGTACGTTATTGTGCATAAAGTTTATAAATAAATAAATAACTAATAATTGTATCCCCCGTGCCAGTACTCTCTCAGAATCAAAGTAAAAGTCAAAATTTCTTTATTCAATCTTATTGTATATATCATAAATGAATGTCAAATACTATCACCGGTTCACTAAACTATGGGAGCTAAGCCGAAATACAAAAGTAATTTCCAAAATCCGTTCATTAATGACTGGGTAATGAGGTAACAATCATAAGAAATATTCAATCCATAAGGAGGAGGCTCCAAGCCGTTCGAAGTCGGGTGAGACACACCGCGCTGTAACTTAACAGAACCGATATATCAAATCAGTTTTACTGTAGTAGGGCTACGAAACAGCATTCACTATTGCACGAATGGGCTGTTTGAGGGAGTACCAGGACCTCACAGAAGACCGATTAAAGGAAAGGTAGTTATGTATTTTGTTTGGACCCACAAATTCTATTGTAGTCTTCCCTTCGATAACATTGCCGCCTTACTGTTTGTCCTGTGTTGTACTGTTTGTCCTATGTATGGATTTCATCAGAGCCGTGATAGCTCAGTGTCCGGGCGCTCGCCTTTAATTCAATATACTAGAGCAACCCGGGTTCGACCCCCGGTGCCGGCACCAATGAAATTGATAATTTCAAGTGCTGAATTGTCACGGTGAATGAAAACATCGTGAGGAAACCTGCATATTTTCGAAGTAATAACAAGAAAAAGAATATTTCGAAGATATGTGAAGTCGGCCAATCCGCAGTGGGGCCGCGTGCTGGACTATGCCCCGATACCCTCTGTACAGAGGAGGCCTTTGCCCAGCAGTGGGACATGTATAGGCTGTACTTTACTTTTATGGATTTCATCGGCCTTAGTGCAGTGTAGTGACTTAATTCGGAGTTGCCTTTTTTATTTATTTTTTTCATATTTATCCAGATAAGGCGTGTAACTTTGTTGCATCTCTGTAAATGTTCGTTGAACACTGAATAATAGTGAAAGGCGCGAACGGACATTTGTTTATCTATAAATTGAACATTAAAATACCACAAGATCGATAAAACGCCAACAGAGATAAACATGACGCACTATTTTTAGACAGCGTTCAGAAATATTGGAGATAACTTGTAAGAAACCGAAAATATCGATAGATCGAGACGGGTCGACTTTTGACACCAATGACCCCGTGTTTTCGGATTGTGCGTTTTCTTCGATAAAAATAACTTTTTAAATTGAACGCTTCGAAATGATACAGATTAAATTTAAAGTATTTTTTTTTTATATTCAGCCAGATTATATATCCGTTCAGATTTCAAGTCGAGACATTATATAAGTACTCCTTTATTGACAATTTTTAATTTACATTCTGCGTCTGTAACTGCTTTTAGTCATCGTATTTATCGAATGAACCAAATTAAAAATAGCCCACGTGATATTTAAAAAAAAAAGAATCATCCATCGTTTCCTGTTTACGTTTTATAAACATTGCCTTTGCCCTTTTGGAATTTGAATCAAAATACGCCTACTATAAAGCGTTTGCATGGTGCATGCATTATTATATGCATTTATAATTCTCTTTGTTTTGGCTTTATTTTTTTAAAGATCTTGTATGCGGAAATTTTTGCGCGCAATTATACAAAGAAAAATACTGAGATATATGTATTCTGTTACTATAGATTTTCCTATGCATATACTATAAATTTTATTTTTTGATTCCTTTTGGAATCGAAGTAAGTAAATAAAGAGAAAGGTAGAACATTTTATAATCCAGTAATTATTTTATTTT